CCCCCCAAGTAAACGACCAAACCGTGCTCCTTGCAATTCCAATGATTGGGCTCTCGTGGAATCTGAACATTTTCCCCATCAGAGGATCTCAGGCTGACTGCTGGTTTCTGCCCATGCGTGCATCCTTCTCTCCTGACTAGGTCATGCCAAGTACTTTGCGGGCAAGTTGACGGGCAACGACAAGGAGGTGCAACAGGGTGCAGCGAGGTGAGAAGCGTGACGAGCGTCTTGTGGAGCTCGAGGTTTGCCTCGCGCACAGCAGGGGTTGCCCCGCGCCTGCCCACTGACACTGTCTACGCTTTCTGTCTCTCAGGGTTCGTGGCGTGGAAGAGCCTCAGCAGTGAGAAACGTCCAGAGTGCTCTAGCCAAGACTTGCTTGCTCTAGCCTAGGAGGAACGCAGACATAGCTCAACGCACATCTAGGGTAATCACTCAAGTGGCACCCAGTGCTCGCCTGAGACTGCTTCACTCTACGGTGTCATGTATATCTATTCAAGTGCACCGCTCATAGCGCTATCCCACTCGACCGAAATCTGCGATACTGTTCTTCCTCTGCGCATCATCATTGGGATGCCTGACTGAGGTGGGAACGCCTCCATCGTGGGGTCGCTTGCCTAGCGACTGTACCACATCTCCTGCACCGACTGCTGCGCTGGTCTGATGATCGATAGGCGCATGCTTAGCGGGCGGCAATTTCCTTCCGTTTGCAGCTCTTCCGATCATGATTTCGTGATCGCTCAGGTGGGCTAATCTAGCTGTTTCTCTTCGCACGTATTCCGTCACCTTGGCCAAGTGGACTGGAAACTCCTGAGTAATGTCGGTGTGGACCGGGATTGTTGGATTCTCGGCTGAGTTAGAAGGGGCAATGGATCCACTAGCAGGAGCTGAAGAAGCCGCGAGCTGAGCAGCAGCTTGACCATAAGGTCCAGCCAAGGGTGCACCGCTATCCTTTGCCAGCACAGCTTCTCCCTCCTCGGAGGCATCTTCCCCTTTTGGCGTATGATCTATTCCCTTGACTTTTCTCTTGACCCCTCCAATCGACCCCCAGCCTTGACCCCAAATATTTCTCCAGAGCGCCGCAGCCAAGGCCGCATCCGTATCTGTCTGAGCAAGCCCTTCATCGAAGCCTAGCACGGCGCCTCGATGCTGGACATGTAGGTCCCTCATGTATCCCTTGACCAATCGACTCGTGCTGATACCAAAGCGAGATCGCATGCGCGACTCGGCATCAATGAAGAAGTGATTGACCAATTCTTGAGTATAGATTTGCGCCTGCTTCGGCGGCATTGCTCGGAATCGGACCAGCAAGAGGTAGACGTGCAGGTTGGTCAGCTGAAACCAGACCTGATATGTTCGAGGTAAGCCGCACTCTACATAGCGTTGATCAGACGAAAGCTCAGCTTGAAAATCTAAGACGCGCTGGGCGGGCTATATGCGACTCACCCTGATGCCAAAACTCCTCATCGTAGTAGCTTTGCTGTGCGCACAGATCGTACAGGTCGCTGTTGACTCTGATGGCCGTGTTTTTTACCGAGTTGTAGCCAAACAGATTTGCTAAGCCTAGCACGATCGATTTTGTCAAGGCGCTGTGCTGACGAGGAGGTCTGGGGGATGGCGAGAGACCGCTCTCGTGCTTGCCGCCTTCGGGTCTCGATTCCCTGTCCATCGCTTTGGATAGATGCGCGGTGGATGTTTGGAATGACCGGACCTGCGTCGAGCAGATGGCACGAGAAGCGGATGCAAGGGCTTGTTGACCGGGTTGCGCTGTTGATTGCGCGAGAATAAACTTGCTAAGTGCTTTACAAGCAGTCATGCCGCCGCTAGAGCTTCCGCTCAGCACCGGCAATGATCGGTGACCGAGCATGATGAAATCGGATCGAGGCAGCTGCAAAGTTGATTGTCGGCAGCGTACTTTTCGACGCGCTCACGGATGCTGTGGATGGGATGACTGGGGAGGAAGGGAACCGCAAAGTGTGCGGCAAGTCTTTGATGACAGAAACGAGCGGCGATGAAATCATGATTGTGGAGGAGGCTTGCTTCCGGGCTTGTGTGTAGGGACTCACTCGAGATTTTTGCTTTCGCGTCTACGGCATGTCTTGTCAGCTCGTTGGGTTTTGTCAGCCTTGCATGTCACGTGCGCCCAATGGGTCTGACCAAACAAGGGCCGCATTCGGGACCCAAATTCAGATTCGAGAGGTTGGGCGAGTCCGTGCGGTGTTGGATGATTTGGTGGAGGGCGTCGAAGCGGGCCCACGTGGCTTGGCCGCGCACTGCAAGAAGAACAGCTTCGCCATCTTGAATTCGCCTGCAGCTGTGTGGTTGCAGCGCGCTATGCCGGTAGCTGCTGTCTGTTGATTTCGATTGCAAGCAGCCGCGTGCAGCTTGCCTTGGAAGAAAGGTTTCGAAATATTTGTTGCACGCTTGCGGACGCTTAACCGATTTTCAAAGCGCACAACTCACTCGTGAATCCTTGAGCACCACAAACTTCTGCAGGAAACGATATCATCGCTTTGTCAAACGGTGAACACTTCAGCTCACCATCTGTTGGACGCGATGAGCAAATCAGCAGCAACCACCAATGGCACCGCCACGCCCATCTCTGGCGCTGCAGGTAGCACCGCAAGCTCCAGCACCGCAGTCATTGGTATCAACCTGGGCAACACTTACTCCTCCATTGCTTGCATCAACCAACAGTGAGTATGCAATGAGGGCCTCCGTGTGCGTCAACACAGCTCATTGAAGCTGCGACCTCCTACAGTGGACGAGCTGATGTGATCGCAAACGAAGACGGAGAGAGACAGCTGGCCACTCGCATCGCTTTCAATGTGAGTGGTGCCTAGACCGGTGCCATACGGCTTCAGCTCAGTACTCACACACAAACTCTACCCTTGCACATGCCTGCTCTGGAGGGCGATCAAGTATACATCGGTCAGCAGGCCACTCCGCAACTCGTGAGAAATGCCCCAAACGTCATCGACCGATTTGTTAGCTTGCTTGGACGCAGGTGAGTCTAGGCAGCTTGCGCTTGCGGCTAGTAGATACGATCGGCTTTGAGCAATCGTGCTGATCGAGCTCTGGCTCCTGCTCCTGCAGCTACAAAGAATTGAGCTCATCCGAACTCGCCCGCGACTCCGCACAAGTTCTGGACAAGAATGGCGTCCCCTCTTTCGAGGTGGAGATTGACGGGAAGAAGACGGTCCTCTCTGCTCACGATGCCTCAGTTCGATACATCGCCTCGCTATTCGCTACCGCCAAGGACTTTCTCTCCGGCGTGCCAATCGCTGGTGCTGTTCTCTCCGTTCCTCTGTCCTTTACTGCAGCCCAATCCGCCGGAGTGAGGAAGGCGGCGCAAGAGGCCGGCTTGATCGTTCTGGAAACTCTGGCTGCGCCTAGTGCCGCTCTGGTTGGCTACGGCATCACCTTGCCTGGACCTCGAGGAGAACTGCCTTCGAACCCAGAGGGCGATGAGAGCGGACATCAGACTACGTATGCTCCTGGCAGAGCCCTGGACAGAACGATTGCCGTGGTCGATGTTGGTGCAGAGACGACCACAGCCACCATCGTTGCTGCTCGTGCAGGCTTGTATGCGCTCCTTTCCAGCAGCACCTCGCAAGTGGGCGGCAAAGGCATCGATGACGCATTGCTGCAATTCTTTGCCAAGGAATTCACAAAGAAGACAAAGGTCAGCATCAAGGAGACGGACACCAGGTCATGGGCTAAGTTGAGAATTGAGGCGGAGAAGACCAAGAAGGCCTTGAGTGCAAGCTCGGGTGCTCAACAGTGCAGTGTAGAGAGCCTGGCCGAAGGCCTGGATTTCAGTGGCAGCATCAATCGAGTCAGGCTCGACATGCTCTCTGGCAAAGTGTACGACGAGGTGATCCAAACACTCAAGGCTGCGTTGGAGAACGCCAAGCTGGACGCCAGTCAGGTCGACGAGGTGATCTTGGCGGGAGGCACATCTAGATTGCCGGGCTTGGTGGAAAGGCTCTCCTTCATTTTCCCCGAGGAAGGTGGAGCTAGCATCACTCACGGCATCGACTCTTCAGAGGTGCTCGCTAGAGGATCAGCCTTGCAAGCTCAGGTCATTGCTGCCGTGCCGGCTTCTTCTGCAGAGAGGAAGCACATTGAGAGCCTCCCTTCTGCTCCGCCTGGCGAGGTATCAGAGTTGAAAGTCAGATCGACGAGCAAAGCTTTCGGGCTCGTGCTACCTGCAGCGACCGAGGAAGCCAAGAAGCTGGCTTCTACAGATGGCAAGCTGTTCGTCACCTTGCTGCCGCAACATACTCCACTGCCTGCTAGACGAAGCTTCCTTCTCCCAGGCCCAGAGGCAGCACCGGCAGCTCTTCTGTCGTTCCACGAGGGAACCGCAGAGGTCAAGGTGGAGACTTTGGCTCCCCCCGCGCCAGACCCCGAGGATGAAGATGACGAGCCTGAAGAGCCAGAAGAGGTTCGTACGGCCATCGTCAAGCCCGATTCCAAGGCGCTGGCAGAACTCGCCGTGACCATATCCAAAGGAAAGAACGTGCTGGTCAACGTGGTTGCCAACGCCGACGGCAGCGTGGACATTCAAGCTGGCGAGGAAGGTGCAGAGATCACGGCAAAGATCTCTCTGCCCGCCTCCAAGTAGACATGCAGAGTACGAGCAATAGACACACTCTCTCGCTTACTGAGCTCATGCGACCGCGATAATGCATAGATCTTGGTTTCGTTTGACCCCATGCGCTCACGAGCATTCATCGTCACGCCAGAACGTCGATGGCGCTCGACGCAAACTACACACGCTTCTTCCAGGCTCACCCGCGTGAAAGTATCGCATGATCATGGATTGCGTTTTGTAAAGCACACCAGAAGACAGCTTGTTCGGAGAGGCTGCAGCTGGGTGTGCTGGGTAGATTACAGGCGATCGATGTGGAAAGGAGAGGGAAGCGTATGCCGTGGCGCACCAGAGCATGATGGTGCATAGACTCAGACGACAGCCTGACCAGGCAGAGCGTTGAAGTTTGCTCTGCCACGTCCCCTTCCCCTTCCACGTCCACCACCGCCGCCTCTTCTACCTTCGCGTCTGCCACCCGATCCGTCGCCCCTCTCACGGTCACCCCTCTCGCCGCCAGGCCTGTCCTTGTCACCGAGCTTAGAGTCCAACAGGCGTTCGTTCTGAAGCAACATGGTCTCGGACCTTTCTGCGAGGGTTTGTGCCAGCTGCTGAACTTTGCTGAGCTCGAGCCTGTGCAGGACGAGCACACCGTTGATGGGATCCAAACTAGCAGCGAGCTCTTCGGTCCAGATCATCTTGCTCACGATGCCCCTGACACTGCGCGCAGGGAGCTCGAAAGTGGATGCAAGATGCGAGAGGCTGACTGTCTTGTAGTATGAAGCGTAGCTGAAGAGGTAAGTGCGCAGACCTTCCTCTTGAATGCGTCGCGCCAACATCGTCTTGACTTCATCCGCACCAGGCAAGAGGTTCCATATTTTGATCTCTGAGATGAGCTTGGTCGAACCTTGCCAATCGCCATTCTGAAGGGCTTTGCTAGCTTGCATGATGTGATCGCGAGTGCTCTCCGGCGGACCAGAGAAAACTTGCCTGTCGGTGTAGTCCAGCATCCTCCTGAAAGGACGCGAGATGACACGCTTGCGGAGCTCGGGATCCGAGCCAGCGAAAGCCATGTTGGGCACCTCGAGAAGCATTGAAGAGGTGAGATAGATGCACTCTAGCAGCTCGAGGTTGATGTGAAGGTGGAACGGCAATTGACGTTGACGGTCGAGCTTCTCTTGCTCTGGGGTCAGCGTAGTGTACTGGTTGGATCTTTGGACTCCTTGTGCCAAGAGCTCCTTGACTCTTCCGCTCGCGAAGATCTCCTGCAGAGCGCTCTGAGATTCCCTCACGAGGCCTAGGCGGAAGGCGCACATGCCGATCTGCACCACAACGCGGTTGTACAGAATCTGAGTGGCCGCGTCAGCAAGACTGATGTTATCCTGCAAGTGGCTCATCAAGAACATGTCTCGCGCAATGTGGTAGTCGCGGTGCAATGCGTGGTGGTACGTGTGGCAGAGCATGGCTCGAGTGCGAAGGCGCTCAGCAGCGAGACCAGGGACCTTGTACAGGTGGATGGCCAGTGCTCGAACAAGTGCCGTCGGCCCCTTTGACTGGACGAGCTCATCGTTGCTGGGCACGAGGCGGGAAATGAGCGCAGGTTGAGCTTCGATGCGCTTGGTCTCCAGAGCAGTGACGATGACGTCTTGCTTGGCGTAGACGTGTTCAAGACGGCGCATGACTACGCGGCTAAGGCTGTCTGTCTGCTTGAGCGACTCAAAGTACACCTGCGCGCGTACGATGGTTTGGTAAAGTGTCTTCTCGTCCATCAGTCGATCAATGTAGTCAGTGGTGTGAGAGTCGATGTTCTGCAAGCTCCTGGTGAATTCGTCGTCGAGACGGTCAAGGAAGCTGATGACGCTGCCTCGTACAGCCACAACCGGTCCTTCGCCATCTTGGTTTGGCAATCGGTCGACCTGATCATCGTAGTCTGGAGTTTCCTCTGACACGGTGTACATCTGATCATCTGCAAGGGTCTCGAGAAGCATGTCTACCTCTGAACGAGCAGCCTTCCATGCCTCGATTGGCATGTACGAGGAGGCACTTGCATTGTAATCGAAGCGAGCCGCAATGAGCGCGAGGAGAACGCGGACCTTCTGGTACGTGGACTCTGCGACGCCGAGGAGCTTCGTAAGAATCAGGACCTGTTCACTCCTGTCAGTGCTCTTGCGGCCACGCATCTCCATGACTGCGGCTAGGTGCTTGAAGAGACCTTCGCTTGTGAAGTTCATGGCACGCCCGCCTCTGCCAACCGTCTGGAAATCGTCATCGCCCTCGCCCTCGCCGGCTGCTGCTGCCTTGGCTGCATTCTCTACGTCCTCCAGAGTGACCTTTTTCTTCTTCGGGGCCGGAGCGGGGATGGAAGCAGCACTGGCAGCAGCTGCCTCGGTCAGGAACGCTTCGGGATCCTATGGAGACAAGTAATCCTCGTGAGCGCTCCGACCGGCTTTCCAATTTTAAAACCTCACGCACCTCGTTGTACTTTTGCACAGCATCCGAGTGCTCCACGACCGCCTTCTTGACCTTTTGCTTCATGCCGTTCATGGCCTTGGCGTTTGGCGCCTTCATCTTCTTGGTCGCCGTCTTTTCTTTAGCGACCGCATCCACGATGGCCTTTTCCAGACCGGCAATGCACCTGATGAACGCAGGTGGAATGCTTTCGTTGACGTTGCGCAGCCTATCGACAGCTCGTAGGAGACTCTCGTACTCTGCAAGGACGTACGCCGCGATGGGGCCAACGTTAGTGTGGAATCGCGATGGGACTCTCGCATACACGCGACCTTTTATTGCTCACCTTTTGACGTCGCGATCCAATCGTTGATGCGCTGCGCCTCGTCAATTTTCTTTGTCATTCCTTCTATCTCGTCCGCGCGCTTGTCCTTCGCGCTCTTGATGACCTTTCTGACCTCGTCCTCAGAGTCGCTCTCGCTATCAGCTCCCTTCAAGAATCTTGATGCCTTGTTGGCCACACCCGCGGCCTTGTTGTCATCGGCCTCGTCGTCGTCCTCATTCTCATCTTCGTCTTCGTCGCTCTCATCAGAGTCGGACTGGGCTGCTTTGCCCTTTCTGGCTCCCGCGTCTTGCGATTCGTCCCCAGAGTCGGACATGAGCTCCTCCTCGGATTCAGACTCGGACTCAGAGTCGGACGCGGCGCGGAAGAATCTGCTCGACATGATGGGCAGAAGTAGTGCGCGAGTTCGCTGTCTGGTTGTAGTGTCGATTGAAGTTGCGTGAGCGTTGCAGCAGCGCCCTAGCTTTTGACGATAGTGTGTGTCAAACGCGAGGCTGTCGACAGATGATCAAACTGGCAGGCGTGAGCGTGGAAGAAGCTGCTGGGAATCTATGCGCGTCAACTTTTGCGCCCCTCTAGACAACGGTACGCGCTCAGGGCTGCACGCCATGTGGCGAGCAGATTTAGCCCAAGGCAGCACTTCTCGCAGGAAAGATGTACGGTCACGTGCTGGAGATTGTACTCACAGGGACGCGCGTCTTGAGACCTCGCCCGGCGCTTAGACCACTCAGCTTGGTCAGGTTGAGTCACGCGTGTGCACTCACTTCCCCAACCCACGACTCGTAGCACCTAGCTACTTAAGACTTCCTTCAGCCCCCTTCCTACAATAGCCTCGCAAAGCGACGTGCACCGCCATTACTGCCAGGCGTTTGCAACTCGATCGAAGCATAATGTCGTCAGCCGAACCATCATCCTCCGCCCCACAGGCCGGCAGCAGCAACAATGCAGGTATTGACGGAGATGTAAAGATGGAGGAGAGACCCAGCTCTCCGCCTCTGCCGGACGATATCCTCAACGCCACAGCAGAAGAGATATCCACGCGCACAAGGCTGCTGGAGAATGACATCAAAGTCATGCGATCCGAGCACATGCGATTGAGTCACGAACAAGGCACGATGAGGGAAAAGATCAAGGACAACGATGACAAGATCAAACAGAACAAGGTGCTCCCCTATTTGGTCGGCAATGTCGTAGAGATCTTGGACATCGATCCTGACATCGACGAGGATTCGGAGGAGGGAGCAAATGTTGATCTGGATTCGAAAAGGAAGGGTAAATGCGCAGTCATCAAGACCTCCACTAGACAGACCATCTTTTTACCTTTGATCGGCCTGGTCCCATCAGAAAGCCTCAAGCCTGGCGACCTGATCGGCGTCAACAAAGACAGCTACTTGATTCTGGATAAGCTACCTGCAGAGTACGATTCGAGAGTCAAGGCTATGGAGGTGGACGAAAGGCCGACAGAGACGTATACCGACATTGGTAAGTGCCATGACCACAGCCGTTTAGTGGGGTAGTGAATCGGCCGTTGTGGCGACTTTCTTGTATGATATTGCATACTCAGCGACCAACCGTCCCTCCATTCCTTTTTCCACTTTGCAGGTGGTCTTGACAAACAGATCGAGGAATTGGTCGAAGCCATCGTGCTTCCGATGCAGCAAGAGGAGAAGTTCAAGAACTTGGGCATCAGGCCCCCAAAGGGTGCCCTCATGTACGGCCCTCCTGGTGAGTGGAGTCATTGAACAAGACAAATCGTTTTACACGTTCGCTGACTCAAAGGTTACTGGCACAGGTACTGGAAAGACGCTTCTCGCGAGAGCATGTGCAGCTCAAACAAACGCGTGCTACCTGAAGCTAGCTGGACCGTCGCTTGTACAGATGTTTATCGGTGACGGAGCGAAGCTGGTGCGGGATGCATTCGAGCTTGCGAAAGAAAAGTCGCCAGCGATCATCTTCATCGACGAGCTGGATGCCATTGGTACAAAGCGTTTTGACAGCGACAAGTCCGGCGATCGAGAAGTGCAGCGAACCATGCTCGAGCTGCTCAATCAGCTGGACGGTTTCAGCTCAGACAGCCGAATCAAGGTCATCGCTGCCACCAATCGAATTGACATTCTGGACCCTGCATTGCTGCGCTCTGGACGCTTGGACAGAAAGATCGAGTTCCCTCTGCCGAACGAGGAAGCAAGAGCCCGCATCATGGAGATCCACAGTAGAAAGATGGCGGTCGGTCCCAATGTCAATTTCGAGGAGTTGGCAAGATCCTGCGATGAGATGAACGGTGCGCAGCTGAAAGCTGTGTGTGTAGAGGTGAGTCAGAAGAGGAAGAGAGGGAGGGAGGGAGAGAGAGAGCGCCGGACGGCTGGCTTGGCTTTCTGCTTGCTGATCGAGGCTTGAATGGACCCGCAGGCTGGTATGATTGCGCTGCGCGAAGGCGCATCTGTACTCGATCACGAGCACTTCTTTGGCGGTATCATGGAGGTTCAGTCCAAGAAGAAGAACGACCATATGTACTTCAGCTGACTGACGCGATGGTTATCGTGCTATAGATCGACAGTCAATCCATCGAGGCTGCTCAGAGGTTCGCGTTGATGCGATCGTTACTATATTGTGAGAGGACGGCGGAATGTTGGGGTTCTCGTCTACCGTGTCATGAGTCGCGTTCTTTCTTTGACGTTCTGAGCGGTCTTGTACTCTCAAGAATCGAAGGAAGAAATGCGTTCCGCCGCATCCCCCGCGCTTATCAATCGTTGCCTTTGATCGAATGACTGGCCAGGCTCGATGTGATGGTCGGCCACAGCGCAGACATGAACGAGCACACCGCGTACGCGAATCGATCTTCAAAGAGGACTACGCATTGATCGAGAGAAGGGTAAAGTGCACCGCGGAACCTTTCGAAGCACAAGTGTCATTTCCAGCGCCTTCACGTGTAGGTGTGATATCGCTTGTCTTTCAAACGAGACGTGTTGGCGGTGATTGACCTGTCTCACGTCCCACCCTGCTCCTGTCTCCTAGCGCTGCAACTCCCAGTGCACTTTCATAAGGCGGCAGGAACGCTTCACTCATTCGTGCATGGTGACCTGTACCCTGCAACTTCGAGCTCACGCCTCTCACACACGCTCGCGATTCCTGCCTTGCATCGTTTCAAGTCCTCACACAAGGAGTGCGAAGGGTGTGCAGATACGAATGATCCCACTCACCAAACTTTCCCACGCCCAGAAAGCATCAGTTGCTGTGGGCCTCAAGGCAAGTGTAGACGGTAAAGTCACGAGTCGCCACTTGCGACTGGCAATCGAATTGAGACTCGTGGGCTGGCTGGCACGACTGGTACTCACGATCACACCGCGGCGCCGGCAGGCTGCTCGGAGCTGCACTTCGCGCGAGCCCGCGCGTTCGGAGTTTTTGACCACAAGTCCGCGCACGCACGCGGCACCGAAGCAAGAGGCGCGATGCGCGGTAGAAGGCTGTGCAACGCGCTCGATCGAGTGCCGCGGTGTAGCTATATGATCGTGAATCTTGCATGGTCGTGGGATGTGAGTAGTTCAATTAGGATGGTGGTTGCATGCGCTTAGTGAGCTACAAGCTGAGACTCGTGGTATCGTTGCACTCGAACTCCTCGACTCTGTAGTCACAAATCACGTCATCGTGGAGCAGGGGGAAGGACGTCATGCACCTAACAAATCAGAAGCCAGGGAGCCGCTTCAAGCCACGCGGTCTGCACCAATCGTGGCCCAAGTAAGAGCAGGCGCTCACTCTTCTGACTCTGACTCTGACTCTGACTCTGACTCTGACTCTGACTCTCGCCGTGACTTGAGCTTGTGTTCCCAATCGACGGAGGGTGTGCAAGTGCGACGCTCCCTGACAACAACGCCCTCTTCAGCTTCAAGTCGCGTGCGACCAGAATTCGGCCCAGCTTGCCGGAGCCCCACACTTGCGGGTGAGTGATCAGACGAGTGTTGAGCTAATTTAAAGCTCATTAAAGCTGCCATGCCCCATTCCGTCCTTGATGCTACATTCACGATTATGATCCGCCTTGATCGAGCGAAACACTCAGAGCAACGGTATCTGAACATCGAGTCGGCCACTGGCTATATAGCAGCCATTCATCCACCAGCACGCTTCCTTGGCGCCCTCATTCGAGGCTGCCAGTACTGCAGATACAATTTGACGAGGTCCGCACTAGCACTACTCGATCAAGCCACGACGAAAGCACACCGGTCCGATCGCGTCGCACAAAGATGGCGCTATACCTTCCGAACACCTCCTCATCGGAGGATGCTGTAGTAACACAAATGTCCGCTGCTGCTGAACACGTCGCGGAAACGACGAGGCACCAGAGTCGTCGATGCTCCCTCACCATCCTCGCGCCAGCACTGCAAGATCGTCCTGGTGCGCCTCGAAGCAAGTCTGCTTGCGCTGTAGGCTGGCACAGCGTATCCGACGATATCCTTGTGCCCTTTCTAGATCGGCCCTGCGAGGTGCGCGGTCTGTTGCATCAGCCAATCAATAGCAGCCTCCTCCAATCCCTCCGAGCTTGTCGTTCGGAATGGCCCAAATTGCAGCAGCTGCTGTTCGACTCTCCCCGCGATGAGCTGAATGACTGCGCTTGGCTGCACCAAATTCGTCGCCTGCTGGCCGCTCGCGATGCCAAGCTGTTTGCCGATCTTGTTGCCTGCCTTGGCGCAGAGCATCTAGATTCTACGCGAGTGGACCTGGTGGATCCAGCACGCCTGTCCACCTCGGCCACCAACACGAGCTCATCGTCGCACCTCCAACACGACATTTGGGCTCAAGCGGGCCATGACGGAGATGAAAGGTACGAAAGGCCAACCTGGCACACTCGACGAGTGTCGTTTGCCGACGAAGAGCCTTCGGGTAAGTTGGAAGTGGAGGTTCTCCAAGAAATCCCTCAAACCTGGCAGCTGGACTCGAGAGAGGTGTTGCCTTATGAACAAGCCTTCCTGCAAAGCCCAAAGCCTTTCCACAAGCGCAGTTTGAGCACCGGTGGTAGCGCCCACTCTCTGCCAGACATCGACGAGGAAGCTGCGACTGGTGCGTCGCACAAGGATCGCCCACGCAGTATCAGTCTAGTCGGCACACCCAATGAGCTCAATGAAGTGCTGCAAAATGGCTACCAGGCACTGCGCTTCACATCAAGCGAATGTGAGGATGGGCGCGCGACTGTTCAACATGATGCAGAGGCCTTGCACACACCAGCGCCTGCTCAGATCAAACGTCACAGGCGCTTTAGCGACTTGTTCAAGCCGCTCACTCCTATACACCCCGAACCGCAGCACTCGTCTCTCGATCAACCCACATCTTCAAATCAAAATAGTGTCACCGCTAGCGCAAGCGACCGCAAAATCGAGGCGCGCACTGGTACTCTGGGCGTACCGCCCGCTGCTCGACGTCGAATGTCCTTTGCACGCTCATTTGGCGAATTGAAGCCCGTCGTACGATCGCGCAGAAACTCGCACGCCTCCAACTTCGATAGCGCCTCAGCGCCTCCGTCTCATCGTCTTCTCGCTCTCGATGCCGACAATGAGAAGCATCCTCGTCCGTTGATTGAGCGCATCGCAGAGCTGGAAGAGCAAGGTGTGGAAAAACCAGCCTGGCTAGGAATTTTGCCCGATGGACGTACGCGACATCCCAGCGCTGGAGCTAAGGCGGCTAATCCTGCTCTAGCTGCTTTTAGAGCTAGTCTGGGATGGCCCGTCACCGCTCTGAGCCGGCCGTCCTCGAGAGGTGCATCCTCGAGCGGCGAGAATTCGAGCCGAAGCGCTTCTCCGGCCAAGCTTGGTCAGAGCGTCGGGCCTGTCGCAACGGAACACTCTGGTAGAAAGGACGTCCGGGCATCACAGGATCAGGAGCTGAGGAGCGTAGCTGGCGCGGGACCCGAAACCGAATCCAAGACAAAGGCTCAGGGCTTCCAGGATCGAAGGGGCACGGTCCTCGTGAGTGATGTACCTCGATACTTATCTTGCCTGACCTCGCTCACGTCTGACCTCGTTCATGCTCGCAGCATGAGGCCCCACATCATCGGCTCTCAGGTCTTGCGCATGGTGGAGGTCTTGGGAGTGCAATATCTTTGAAGAGATCTGGTGCTCTTTATTCGCAGCGACCACGCGCTTCGACGGTCTACAACGATGGCACGGGTGCCGCTGCAGCCACTGCTTTTGAGTCACAGAGCAGCAAGTCGCCTTTTCCCTCGATTCAGCCCCGTTCAGGTGGCTTCGAGTCCTTCATGGGCGAGCTGCGTCAAATCAGGAACGCTAGCCGCCGATCAAGAGCGCTGAGTGGAGGAAGCGTCGACTCCGTACCGCTCTCTTCTGGCTCACAAGCCGTGGCTTCAGAGGAGAGCGATCATGATTGGCTTCACCGCCCCGGCGGTCTTGGCTCTCTCACGAGCCTGCGAAATGATCTCGACGGTCGACCCAGCGGTTGGATAGACGTGCGAAACTCGCATAGCGACCGCTCTGTCCGCTCCGAGTCCAGTGACAGCGACTTTCAAAACGGCGCGGGAGAGATGAGCTCCCCATCTACATCAGTGGCGAATTCTCCAGAGCTGGCCAAGCTGCACTGTGCCCCGAATTTCTCTCACGTCAACAGTCCCAAATCGCTTCCGCTCGCGGACAGCTCAACGCACGCTGCAGTTACTCGTGCGTTGCCAGCAAGAAGCGACACACATATCAAGAGCGCCTTCGCGTCCACCAAAACACCCGCCAAGCTCCTCTTTCCCGTCGGCCCCTCGGACTCGCGCCCCGATAAATTTAGAAAAATGCTGGAGTCTGCATCGGCTCGAAAAGTGACTGGCAACATGTCAAGCATGAGCAGCTTAGGGTCAGAATCGGTCGATCGTCTCGTGGCGCTCGTGACCACCGTTGCAAGATCAGAGCTGGACGACGCAACCCTACTCGCGCGCATCGGTTCCGAGATCTTCATGATGGTGGATCACTCGCGGGACCCGAAGAGCGAGAGCCGAAAGCTTGAAGAGCGAGTGCGAGCTGAAGATCTGCTTTGCGACGATGATGATGCAAATCGCTTCGAGCTTTTTGAAAAGCTGCTGCACGCCTTTGGTGTGGAGAAGGGCGTCGTTGGAGAGGTACGCGACCGATTTGCACCCGCTACAGCTCTATCGCTCAGCCCCTAGCATTCATTCCCCCCTCTCGACAAGATGACCAAGGGCGGCACCTTTCTCGTCTCAAACTCCTTGGTGCGCGTTCCGTACCGAGTTCCTTGTACACTTTCTAGTCTCGTCGCGTACCGAATCTACACCGGTGATACAGTTCACCAAAGCTTCAAGATGTCACCCTCACGACTTTCTCATGCATCCCTCAGTCTTCAAATGCCAACGTCATCAGGCGCAAGCACGGCCCATGCACGTAACTCCGGTCGTCCTTCTCTTTACTTTCTGTGCGCACACGTACGAGTTCGTCATAGTTCAACGATCCCCGTCACGGTTCCCAATCACTATTCATGCACGCTCAGCGTCAGTCACGATTGTCGTGGTGTGCTTGCATCTTTTGGATTCGTGGGTGGCATAGTGGGCCGTACAATGAGTGGAGAAAGAATGCCGGATGATCTTCGACCATCAAAGCGATGAGATGTGGGGTGGGCGATCAATCTCAGGGCATGCGTGACTTTGAACGATGGTTGCCATCGTCGTGCTGGCGGATCGATCGCCAGCTTTTGTAGGTTTTTCTTTGCGAGGAGCGCATGTCAGGATGAGCAGCAAACGCTTACGCTAACAGTTGGTCGTGCAGATGCGAAACTACAACGTGCATCTTAGGCCTTGAGGAGCTGCAAGAACTCGGCGGAAGCAGGAGTCTTCTTCTCTCTGTGCTCAACCTTGGTGTTCGCTTTGTGGTTCTTGACGAACAGAGCTCTGCGGTTCTCAGCGCGCACCACAGCAGCCTTGTAAGGGTTGAGGCGGAGCATGACGGTGCGGTTACGGAGAGGGTTCTTCTTCTGGGTAGAAGTGCGCTGAGTGCGGGCAGCCTGCTTGGGCCTGACGATGGACTGGATCTCATCCGAGTTGATGATACGGGTAACATCAGTGTTGGTGATCTTGGCAGTGGGGATGGGCTTGGCGTTGGGGCCGAAGATGTTGTCCAGCTGCTTGAAGGCAGCCTCGGTGAAGATGGTGAATCGGCCAATGGAGCCACCGGGCGCCAATTGAAGCAGGTTGAGACGATGAACTGAAACGAGCTCAACACCTGGAAGGTTGCGGAAAGCCTTGACAATGCCGTTGTCGTTGTCGTAAACGACGAGGGGACCACGACGAGACTTGTAGCGTCTGCCGCGCAGCTTTCCTTGACCAGCCCTGATCTTGCGCTCAACCTTCTCGACATCAGCGTAGGCCTTGACAGCCTTGAGAGCAGCGACAGCCTCCTTGGTCTTGGTGAAAGACTCGACAGAGGTGGGAATGACAAGAGGGACTTCGTCAAGCTCCTCGACCTTGTGTCCACGGGCGAGCAGCAAGGAGGGCAAAGCAGTGGCAGCAAGCGCAGATGCAGTGGCGTAACGCTTTTGCTTTTGGTTGCTCTTGACGAACCAGCGGCGCCAGAGCTTGGTGGGTGCGAACATGTGACCTCCACGAGTCATGTTACCAAAGGCAGCCTGTCAGGAAACACAATCGAGCGCGCGTGAGTGTGCGCTTCGATCAGCGGGCAATTTGTTGACTTCGAACATCCTCCCCATGCCTTTCCAATGCGCGCCCTGCGACTCACCTGACCGGAACGGTGAGTTCCTCCGCCACCAACACGAGGAATACGAGCAACAGCACGACCAGTACCCCAAGATTCAGCGCTGGTTTGGTGACCAGCGTTAGTCGCTACAGCGTAGGGTTGACGCTTGTTCTTGGCCATGTTCTTGTGGATGGCGGCAATGACATCCGTGCGGATGGGGGCGGTGAAGACCTCGGGCAAGGTCAGAGAGCCCGAAGCTGCGCCATCAAGGCCGCGAACGGACACAGCTGCGACAAGGATCAGGACAAATCAGCCCCTTTGCGCCGCCATCGTACTGGGCTCGTTCAGCGACGCAGACTTACTGGGACGAGCAGTGGCCATCTTCTGGGGTGTTTCGAGTGAGGAAGAGTAGGAGGTGGGTGATACTTTGTCAGCCTGCATGTCCTCGGAGCTCTTCAAGCCGTGGCCAATGTGCAGCTTTCCACGAGCAGCGTAGCTCCTAGCAGCGTGTACAGAGATACACGATATGCATCTAGCCTGCGTGGCTCCCCTCTTGATATCCACCTCAACTCGCACAAGCCCGAGCTGGGACTGTCACAAAATTCGACCCCGCCACAGGGACACATCATAACCGATGCTGTCTCGTATACTCTCCAACCAGCGCGTATCCCACGCTCAATAACCAGCAAATACGCGAGGAGCATGATTGCGTCCACGTATGCCTCGCTGCCCTGGCGCCTTACTCCAGATCAAGGGAGACGAGTATCGCAGACCCAACACCCCCATCTCCTCGCCCTGCCGCCCGCACCCAATCCTTCCCTCTGTACTGATCCTAAAAAGGCCAAAGGTCGAGGAAAAGATACGCACGATGTTGGTAACCGCAGGTGATGTATATGGATCTTGAGGATGGTTGGAGAGAAGCGGTAAGTGAGTCCAGGTCGTGCGATGCGACAAGCAGGTGGATAAAGCGTCAGGCGCCCTTGAATCTTCGATGCGGCCTTGGCCGCGCAGCGCTCTGCAGCGGACGCTTGAGTGCCACGAGGCCACGAGGCAAAATTTCTGGGCGCGGCAGCTTGGCCGGACGCGCGCGCCGCACGCCGCAGCCATGCGCGTCTGTGTGTCGCATTGTAATCTCCTTGCCCACCATTTCGAAAGGAGGTATTTCAATATGCAAGCGAATTTTCTTAATTCGTACTTTTGGTCTCCTGGCGCGCGTTCAGCAGCGATGGACGGGCAAGCGCACTGTGAGAAGATCGCTCCCTGAAGCCGCCGTGCATACGCTCTCTTGTCACCACCACTCCGTCCGGCACACAACGCAACAAACAACATATTCAAAATGCCTCCCAAAGCACCAAAGGCACCCCAGGCCGAGGTCAGCCTCGGACCTCAGGTTGGACAGGGCGAGCTCGTGTTCGGCGTTGTGAGTAACCAGTTGAGCGTGGATGCGCAAGTGGGAGAGGTCCCGCTCGCGCTCTAGAAGAACAGAGTGTTGATCCAATATACTCTCTTCCTCACATCTCTGCAGGCACACATCTTTGCCTCTTTCAACGACACCTTCGTCCACATCACTGACTTGTCCGGAAAGGAGACCATCTCGCGAGTTACTGGTGAGTACAATCCTCTGGATTCCCAGTCTTCTTTGGTCTGGCAAAAAGGCGTAGGAGAGTAGACGCGAGAGGGAAGAACAAGGGGTGCGCGGGCGGTGGGAGCATCCGAGGAGAAATGTTCGGGCATGCTTGGGGTCTGCGGTCCGGTAGGCTGACCATACACTCCGCTCTGCGCCGCGCCCATCCAACAGGTGGTATGAAGGTCAAGGCAGACCGTGACGAGTCTTCTCCCTACGCTGCCATGCTTGCCGCTCAAGATGCCGCAGTTCGCTGCAAGGAGGTCGGCGTCACTGCTCTTCACATCAAGCTGAGAGCGACCGGTGGTACCTCCACCAAGACTCCTGGTCCTGGTGCTCAGTCCGCCCTCCGCGCCCTTGCTCGTGCTGGTATGCGCATCGGTCGCATCGAGGACGTGACCCCTGTGCCAAGCGATGGTACTCGTCGCAAGGGTGGTCGTCGTGGTCGCAGACTGTGATCGATTTTCGCATCCGCACACAGATCCATTTTTCCCCTCCGGCCCACGTCTTCTCAAGTCTATTCCAGCAGACTTCTCATCATGTCGTACCAAGCCTTCTTGTCAAGCTCGGCTCACGTCACACTACCCCAAATTCTACACAAGCCGCAAAGTGCAAAGCCTTTTCATGTTCGCGTTTCGTTCACCTACAAAATTACATCCTCGCCGAGAGGTGGGCACTCTGCGTCACAAGAGTCCCCGACCCTCACCCATGTACCAGCACAGTACGGGTCAAAGCGGCCTCCAACCCAATCCATCTGTCGACCCATTCACCTCTCGCTTGTCGTCGCTCGTGGTCATGTGATTCGCAATTCCTCAAAAAGCTCGTTCAGAGACTTGCGCACTCTGTAGCAAGCGTCGCTCCGCGATGCTCCTGAGGTGGACGGCGGCCTGCCCCGCGTCCCGTGCTTGCGCCCCCCACCCCATGAACTCATGGCAATTTTTGTTCCGACCCATCAAGTCAATCTGCGACCATATTTCAACGCGAAGCCTTCTCAAGATTCTCGCACGTCCCGGAGCGGAACCCAAACGGACTCTTGATACACGGCAGCTATTGTCCTCCTCTCTTGCCTCCCGCGAATCTCGCTAGACTTCACGGCTTGATATCAAACGGTCAACCAATAGCAGAACGCCATAGCTTGCATGGTGTGAGTGCGTGCGTGTTGGTTGGTGAAGTGCGCAATGTGACGAGCACGAGCGAGAAGGGTTGAGAGAATACAAGGCACTCGATTGAATGCCGCAAGTTTTGAGAAGGTGGACCCAGACACTTGTATGGTACTTCTGCTTAGCTGTAGAGAGACGCAGAAAGCAGAAAGATTCGGAGTCAGAAACTTGATGATCGAGGCGCAGGAAGAGGTTGCGGTCACTTACTCGAAGAGACCGAAACCCATCTAACAGAAACGGAGATCCACGCAAGGGGTAAGAAGGACATGTCAGCTTTCTTGTCGGATGCAGCTCGAATGTTCCGCTTTGCCCCCATCCGAGCGCCGGTCGCCGCAACTCACGTCATCGTCAGACTCCTCCTTCTCCTCCTCCTTCTTCTTTTCCTCAGCGGCAGGTGCGTCAGCAGCGGCGGCGGCGCCACCAGCGGCAGCAGCAGCTGGAGCAGCAACGGCAGCACCGCCAGATCCGGATCCGATATTGGTCAAGATCTCCTTGACGTTCTTTCCGTCCAGAGCCTTGGCAAGCAGAGTGGCCCAGATTGGCTCAATCGGTGTGCCAGCTGCAGTGGTCAGCTGCACAATCTTCTCGGACTGTAAGTTCGAGCGACCAGGAAAGGGAAGAGTCAGCTCCTTGTGGTGCAGCGCAAGGCCACGCCTTGCTTTGTCGCGTGCACCTGACCCATGCTACCTTCGCAACGGCCTCATCCGTGCTCGCCAGGTCTCGGCAGCTGCGCTCCACGCAAAAGAGCTTAGAAACGCTTGCAACATCCTTTTCCCCCACATCCGGCACACAGAAAGAGCCAGAGAGCGCACCGAGGCGCCCAAACACGCGCGCCTAATCCCACGGACTGATGCTCCCGACGTGGCTCTCCTTCACCTACACGCGGCCCTCTCCCATCTAGAATTATCCCCTTGCATCTGATGCTTACAGTGATCTCGAGACCCTCATCAGCGAGGATGAGGGAGGCGTAAGTAGCAGCAAGGTCACTGTTGTAGATGGTGCAATGAGCGAGGTCAATTCTGGAGTGCAACTCGCATTTCTTTGCAACAACAGGAGGCATCCGTCTCCAAAGGATCGACCTTTGAAGCACTCACGGAGAAGCCATCTTGAAAGCGTTGTATACCTTGAGTGGAATGCAGGTTGATGTGGACGGTAAAGCAATGCGTGACCGTTGCAATTCGAGGTTTGTCCAAGTCGAGCATCATGAAGCTTCCCAGCCAAGCCTTCCCATGCTGCGGGCCACGCGCCAATCTGGCCCATTGCGCGCACGCCGTTGGAAAGCGCTGCAGCGCCACGTGGTGAGCTTTCCTCTGCACGTGAAGAGGACATTGGGGCAGCACGTGACAAGACTGACATGCACGCCCACACGCGCGCGAAGCAACACGGCTGCTGCTTGGTTCGACGGTACCGATGCATGCATAGAGATGTAGAACTTCATTCAACATGCTGCCGCTCAATCAGCAGAAGAGTCAAGATCGAGTAGAGTGAATCACGACTACAGCGCGTGGCATACAACGCCAGGCGCGACTGCGCTACGATCAGGCACAGCATCTGTGTTTGAGACGTCTGATGATTGTGTTGCGGAGCTGAAATGACTGGACAGGAGGGCACTCATGCACTTGCCCTTGCACAACTATTCGAAAACTTCCTCTTTGGGCTCACCTGCTACTCCTCCACGCACCATCACCCCAAGGTGACGATTACGTTGTGATAGCAGACGGTCGGCAAAGAGTTGCCAGCTGTCCCAACATTCCTTCAAGCGCGATCCCACTCCGTGCGCCTGCTCATCGACGGCCCTCCTGAGCGCTACTACTGTCGTCGATTCGCCCACAGCCGTTCGCGTGCAGGTGGCCATCGCGCCTGACGAAAGCTGGTGACAGCCGAGTAACACCTTTGTGCGCAGCATCACCTCTCTTCACACTGTATGCAAGATGCCGATCCCTCGAACGTCGACAACATCGTCGCTCTCCAGCAATGGCTTGACGAACCTCACATCTCAGCCGGCACCACCCACTGCGATTCTCATGCATCCGGATGCCATCCACTGCCTCAAGAGGCGTCAATTGGTCAACCTCTGCGGTCGTCTAGGACTCAAAGCCAATGGCAAGGTGCGTAAGCTGGTGACTGCCTCTCGGTGGCATCCTGCGCCACTGTGCGCTGACGCCCTTCTGCTCGCGCTTCACTCAAGAACACCGACTTGATCGCTCGATTGCAAGAGTTTGCTGCCAAGAACATTAATTCGGCGGGCCCTACGGCTGGCTGCTTGCCTGTGCTCAGGCCTGTTTGCACAACCGACTCCAACGAGCATTCCCCTTCACCTCCACCGGGCATCGCATCGCCAGTCGGCAGCTCATCCCACACTCGCAGCCCTGCAGCGGACGATCAGATGCAGAGCGCGGAAAGTCCCGAGGACAGCAGCACTAGAGCGTCAGCCTCGCCACGCGCCACGGGCTCTAGCGCTTTTCGTGCAACGCCCTTGCCAGATGTCGACCAGCCTGACAAGGAGGGAGAGGTGCCTGCGGGCGCATGCGAGGAAGAGCAGCAGATGAGTCTCGATTGTCCGCTGGACTCTGATGGCCCATCAGCTTCAGACACGCTGCTGGAGCCGGCTCACGATGCCGGCGCGAATGACCACGGCACAGAGGCTTTGATCCTGTCGCACTCTGAACGCGAGGGGGCAGACGTCGATGATGAGCACCACGCGGACGATTATGCAGGTCTGATGCGCGATCCGCTATCCGACAGCAGCTTGTCCACGTACATCGATCCGACCACGACGATTCGAGCGGTGCTCAACACGCAACCAAGTATGGTCAGTCAACTCGCGCCCTCTTCCCCCTACTTGCCATCCGCTGCCACGATCAGTCGCTTGCCTTCTGTTCCCGACGACGAGCCAGCTTCTGCAGAGACGGAGCTGGCCAACGGAGCAGGCGAAGAATTTGCGCCTGCTGCGCCTTTGACAAAAACTGGCAGCTGGAAGAGCTTCCGCAGCGCTACCAGCTTGAGCGAAGGAGCAGCCGTGGCTGCGCATGCACTGGTCGACGGATTCAGGGGTTTGAAGGCGAGCGCCTCGGCTGCGCTGAGTCCCAACAAGGCTGGCAAGCGGAAGCGCAACGATGACGAAGCGCAACATGAAGATAGCTTCGTCATGCTCGAATCGCCCGCTACTCTTGTGCGACGCTTGGAGGGGCTGCCCAATCCTGATACATCGATGGAGGATGCTACGGCACCCATGCTCGCACAGCACCAAGGTCCGCCAGCCAAGCCGAGCGACGCTAATCGTGTCATCAAGTCCCGCCCTCGTCAGTCATTGGCCGTCAAGGCAGCAGATGCGAATCGGTCGACTGCCGCGCCTTCCCCCCTTCAGAATGGAAACAGCAAGGATCTCGCTCCCACATCGCCCCCAAGCATGACGAATGAAGTCTTCAGTGCGACGTCCGCCTCTTTACTGGCTGACATCAACGCTCGCTTGGCTGCTCAAGGTATCGCCCCTCTTCGAGCCATGCCTGGCACGTCTGAGGCTAGAGCAATGTACGAGAACAAGCCGAGTGGTCTCAAGCCCTCTGCTTCGACCCTGACTCGCTTCGACAGCGCGCACGGCAAGGCTTTCGATCAGATGGACAGCATTGCCAATCATTACGCTGCTCAGAGAGGCAAGACTTCTAATAGCACCACCGCGCGCTCTTCGGGAAGGTCGAATCCTGCTTCTCGAAGAAGAGATGCAGCCAGATCACCTGCCCTTAGCAGAGCTGCGACCACTTCGAATCTCGCTGTCCACGGCGCAGCTGCATCTGCGCCCAAGCGGCAGCGTATGGAGCCGAACAATGCAGTGTCCAATGGTACCTCATTTGGCAGTAGATTCGTGGGCGCTGTTAGAGGCGCCTTCAGGCCGCGCACCGCTAGTGGCAATGCGGAACCCACAGACGCTGCGCGAGCAGTCACTCAACTGTCTACCGCGACCACGGCTGCTGCGAAAATGCCTGCGATGGTCAAGAGGACGACAAGTTCCACGACCTTTGGTATACGCTTCGGCAAGAAGATCGCGGGCCAGGCTGGCCAGTCAAAGAAAGCCATCGGCACCTCTACGACTACCGCAACCGCTGGTGCACGGACTGCTTCTCCGACTACAGGGCTGAGCATTTCTTCGACCACTAGCAATCTGTCCCGATCCAACGGTAGCGCTGCCCCACCAAGCAGTGCCAGCTCTTTCGCTCGATCCAAGACGCACACGCAACTCTCCAATGGTGCTGTCCAATCTCCCCGCTCGACAGCCTCGACTATCTCTAGTCGCACAGAATCCTTGCCTGGCAACAAGAAGCCAGTATTCGACCTGCAAGCTAGTCTAGCGCGGAAGCCGCAAGGATACACTCCTTACTCGGCTTCCGAAACTGTTCAGCAGCTCAAGACGCAATCGCAGACTCTTGTGGGCGGACCAGTGACGGGAGAAGCAGTCAGATCGCCCACCAGCACAGCGGTCGAAGAGTTCAACGATGCGGAGCACCCTTTGCCACGCTTCACCGGCATGTCTCCAAGCAGGACTATGCCCTCCCTCACTGCTGTCGTTGCTCCTGGCATACCATCATCCGCGGCTGCAGGTAGCAGATTGACCTCCTCTGCGTCTCAACACACACTTCGTCGAGCGGCGGGCAGCAGCGCGAGCACCGCGGCGAAGCGTCCAGCTTCGACCGCTTCCTCTACGTCTACGGCCAGACACTTAGCTCCCCACGCACGCGCCGCATCCTCCGCTCAAGGTGCAGCACGCAAGACCCGCTCCAGCGTGTCCATCGCCTCTTCAGCAGCTGGCAAGTCCAAGCAGCAACAAGTTGCGATCAAAGTCAGCTCTCGAGCTGCGAGGCCCAAAGCCAGGCTGAGCAAAAAAGGAGCAGAAATCGCAAGGGAGGCTATGTGCTCTACGATTCAGACAAAGAGGACCAGAAAGACGGTACGGGTCGCCGAGACGAAGGATGAGGGGCGGGAAGAAGAGAATTCGCATGTTGATGTGGATGTGGAGATGAGGGACGAGGAGAGTGCGGAGGACAAGGCGCAGTCTCGAGATCAGGGACATGAGCCCGTGGAGAAGGTCAAGCGTCTTCGTCGAGGTCTGCGTCGCTCGCAAGACTTGCGCGAGCTCAGCAATTTGATGGAAAGCTGAAGACTGCGCACTTCGCCCCACGGCTCTACACATCGGCCTCGAATACCTTTCTTTCTTTTCCTCCCTTTATTGGTCTCCGACTTTTTACCGAGATCCGCTCGATGCGCATTCTTGGCGATCGAATCGCTCCATCTCATGTACTTGTACACCTTACGAACTCCCGATACGTGCAACGCGAGGTCGTCTTGTGCCTCGAATGGAACTCACGACCTGTGCTTTGCTGCGATCTCCTTTCGGATTCGTGAGCGCATGCGAAGCACCTGTGACATCTGCTTTGTCCTTCAAATTCGTATCGACTGCGTGTTTCTATTATACAATGCATTGGATCAGAGACCATCGAAGAATCCCGCTTCCTCCACCTCCACCCTTTCTTCCGGCGGCCGAAGGGCCAAGAGCTGCTGTTCCTTTCTAGCTTTCCTGAGCTTTCGCTTCTCCTCATTCTCCTCAGCCAACCAGTCCAACTCATCATCGCTCCTTTCTTGCCCCTCCTTTTCCCCTCTTTCAGCTTGGTCCTGTTCCAAAGCCGTTCGCTTGATGTACTCTCTCTTTCGTGCTTTCTTGCTCTTCCTCTCCTCCTTGACTGCTTTGGCCTCTTTCTGCTTGGACCAAGCATTTTCTTGAACCTCTGCGCCCCTCATCCTTTTGCGCTTCGAGAGCGAAGAGTCCCTTTTCGCGTTCCCTGCCAGCTCGGCGGCCTGTCTCTCGGCGCGAACTTTGGCTTCTTTTGACGCCAAGGACTCTAGGCGCTGGGCCTCCCGCTGCGGATCCGAGTACGCCCACGTCTTCAACTGCAAAGACGTAGATGCCCGCGGGGTCAGTCCGAATTTCAAAAGGTGCAGTGATCGCTGTTGATCCACTCACATCCACTTCAGCTTCTTTGAAGCCCCAAAGATCCGCGCGTTCCGCCTCATCGCTCTCCAAAGCCGCAGCCTCTCTACGTTTGAGGTCATCCTGTACCTCCGGCATCTTTGGCATGCGAATCAGACCAAAGCACTTAGCTACAGCGCCCAAATCCATGTCCTTTGCTCTGAAGACGTAGGACAGCTCGTGCTTCGAGTAGGCGCGGACAAAGCTGACGAAGGCTCTCACTGAGAGTTCGTAGATTTCACGGTCCGACAGACACATCGAGCGAATGGCTGCCGAAAGCGATTCGGCATCGGGTAGCGCTTGAGATGTTGGGGCAGAGACGTGCGATGCCGGTGGGAGTTTGAGTGGAAGTAGGCGAGGATACCTTTCCATCGGTAATTTTCGCACTGCCATCACCACTACATACAACGGGAGCGACTAGGCATCAGTGCAATTGGCACGAAGAATCCACTTTGGTACTCACGCGGAAATTCCTCCGGTCGTCCAGCTTCGAGCATGACCACTGCTCTTCCCGCTTTGCCCGCCCTGGCAGTTCTGCCAGCTCTGTGCGCATATACTTTCGGATCTGTTGGTGCGTCGAACTGGATGACCAAGTCCACATCAGGGAGATCTAATCCTCTAGCAGCCACATCTGTGCACATCAGCACGGAGGCGATAGGGACCTGCAAGACCGCTGCAAGTGACCTTTTCTTCTTTTTGCTGCGCGACTTGCGTACTTCTCCGCTCTGGGCCTCCGGCGCATCGAGATCTTCGAGTGATCTACCAGCAAGGCCGATCGGATTGCTCTTGACGAACGCCTCAAATGTTGCGCTTCGTCTCGACGGCGTTTGCTGACCATGCAGAGAATAGAGTTGCAACCCGCGCAAATGGTCTAGGTCACGCAACACCTTGTAAAAGTAGTCGACCTGAGCGCACGTCGCAAAGTAGACGATTACTTTGCGAGCTGAAGCGTCGTGACCTGACGCGTCCTCGATGGTTTCGAGGCGTAGCAAGTTCACAAAGTCCCACAATCGAGCGTGAGGCTCGGAGACAGTGTAGAAATTGGAGAGGCTGAGGGGACCGATTAGACGTGTCAAACGGGGTGTACACAGTGGCGAGGCGAGGTGGCGGGCGGGTATCGAAACTACTTACGCGGCAGGCGCTCTGCTTTGACCTCCACCGTTTGATGCGTTGCTGGATTTCACTGTGACCACGATTCGTGCTGGGTTCCGCAGACCTAGTGAGGCCAGACGGGTGATGGCGTCCGTCATCGTTGCGCTGAATAGCGCTGATCTCCGCTGCTTGGGCAAGTAGTTGAGGATGCCTTCCACATCGTGTGAGAATCCAGCATCCATCAGGCTAGGCATATCAGCACAGTAGGTGAGCGTCGACCTTAGCCTCTCCGAGCCACTCTACGTCAGCGGCACACACTCACCGATCTCCCTCATCCAAGACAACCAGCTCAAGGCTCTTGGTATCCACCGTCTTGCGCTCCACCAGTTCCAGCACTCTCCCAGGCGTGCCAACGACAATCCTGCACGCGTCATTTCTGAACCTTCTATAGTCATCCTCCGACCTAGATGCGCCACCCACGACCAATAGTGCCCCGTATTGGCTCTGCGTACTTAGTCTGTCTTTCACCTCGGCTTCTGTCGGCTCTTGTTGTTCTTCCTGCTTCGTCTGACCCTCGATGTGGGTCTCTGAAGCCTCGTCTGGCCCATCTGACTGGTCTTGTAGCGAAGAGCGAAATGCTAGCAGGTCCACCAGTACTCGATGTACCTGAGCTGCAAGCTCGCGCGTTGGACAAATGACAAGGCCTACAAGTTTCGACTTGACGTGAGATGACGTCGATGCAGTTGCAGCGAAAACTCGCTGAACATCTTCTGAGGTGGAAGGCGTATTTTGCAGCTGGCCACTCGCTTCGAGCATCGTCAACATAGGTAGCAGGTAGGCCAACGTCTTTCCCGAACCAGTGGGTGCCTCGACGATCGCGTCCTTATGGCAGAGCAAGGCATTGATACTGGCTGCTTGCACCGGCGTCATCGACCTAAAGTCTTGCGCATGAAGAGCATCGACCCTATCCACGAAGCGCATGGAGTGCAGGTGTGAGGTGGGTGCTAGCGTGTGGGTGCTTTCCAACCAATAACTTCAATGAGATGAAGCACTCAGGACTCACAACCAAGGCGCGAGCGGATGCTTCAGCATCGACCAAGCTCCAGCACCCATCGGTGCGTTAGCTTGAGATGTCATCCTCACTCCTTCATTCCACGAAGAGGAGCGCTATCGTGACACCAGACGCAAAGATCCGCGAAGCCGGTGTCAAGTGGGCGAATCGCAAGTCGCTCCGCTCGAAGATCGCAACGCAAGACGCCGCAATACTATGCTGCCAGGACTTGGAGTCGTTGCAATGCTCGAAGATAGGTGGCCAGAGTCGTTGATCGAGGCGCGAACAGCAGATCGACGAGCAAGGATCGCGCGCGCGAGACCAAGGAAATAGTCATGAGTCAAGAGTTGTTGTGAGGACCGCTCGAATCACGGGCCGATCGGCATGTGTCTGCCGCTCTCGCCCAACTTCAAGAAATTTCTCAAAAAATGCGGTCACGTGCAATGTCGACGCGCTCGCCTGCATCCTCCTCAAAGCTGTGCCGGTCAATACAAGGGAACAGTTGCTAGACGTGGAACGCAGCCTAGCGTCACATGTCGTGCCACGATTTCTAGAAAAATTACATTTTCAATTCCTCGGAGCGTCGACAATTTCCCTCCTGAGAGTGGCGTCGATGGCTTCATCCCACATGCCAATCTCGAGTCTTACAGCTCTACACGAAAGTGCGCGCGAGGGTCGTGCCATCAACATCCACACGCGCGGAAACTCAAGACTGAAGCAATGATTCACGAGTCGCTACTACTCACGCATTCCAGATGTTCTGCAGCTGTTTCATCCGCTCTGGGCTCGGACAATCCGCAGCCGCCCGATCCTCCATAGCTTCTGATGGTCGAAGGGCGCAAGAGCGTTGAGAGCTGAGATCAGCCATACACCAACCAACTTGCGCTTCACCGCATCGACTCACCGATGGATTTCCGCGCCACTTTCTGAAAGCCTTCGTCCGCATACGTATCGATCCACTCTCCAAACGCCTGAGCATTCTCCGGGAAATTCTCATCAACCGAGGTCCTCTTGCGTAATCGTCGCAGTCTCAATCCAACTTCAGCATATCCCAGCATACAAGGGCCGGTGGCGCATAGCAATTCCAGCGCGTCTCCGCTCCTCGATACATCGAGAACGTAGCGCGTGTAAGCCAAAGTAGCCGCGCTCTCCTTGGTCCTTCTTTGAAGGTCTTCTTCCGTGATGCCCCACGCCGCGCAGATCTTGGTGTGCGTCTTTGCTTCTGTCGCCATCGAGGCCGCCATACCTGCAAATAGAGCGACGTCATCGAAGGTACGTGCGGCAGCAGCTGAAGAAGCTCCCGAAGCCCAAACGCGCGAGTAGTGCAACAAGAATAGGTAATCTTGTCTCAGAAACCAGACGAAGTTTTCTTTGGAAAGCTCGTTGCACGAAAGCTTTTCTACGAAGGGATGCTGGACGAAAAGATTCCAATCGGAAATATTGTTGGCTATGAGGGCCGCACACAGCGGTGTACGATCGCTAGGCAGAGAGTCTGCGTGGCGGACTGGTGGGAGCACGCCACGAGGGGTGATGGTGCAAGCGTGATTCAGTGGGCCAGCACCTTGACCCAGACTATCCAGCCCTCGAGCGATTGAGGCTTGCACGTACGAGATTCCGTTCGAAACGGCTAGCTCGATGGTAAGGCCGGATGAAAGGAACGTTGCGATGGCCGAGGAAAGGGTGCACCCCGTTCCATGAGTCGCAGTCGACTGCACGTGGGGCTTCACGAACAGAGTATACCTCGGCCCACCGTTCACCCCCACTTTCTCGTAGAGCACATCCACTATGACTGAATCCACATCGTGCGACGCTGTACTCATTGAACTTCCAGATGCATACCACGCCGAGAGGACCTCTGACCAAGGAGAACCATCTGTCCTGACCACGCAGAGCTCATCAGGCTCTGCTGTTCCGGAGAGTTGACCTCTGTACCTCTGCCCGCTGCTTTGAGCGCCTGTATACAACTGATTCTGACTCTCAGGAGCTAAAACAAGACCACCACCGAGTTCAAGCAAGGAGGCGTTCACCTCGCTGTTGTGCATGACGTGATGACCACCCTTCACCAATGTTGCTTTTGGTCCCAAATCAGAGAGCTCCTTTGCAGCGGACAGAAGGGACTTGAGGGTGTCCAGACTGCTTTCCAAATCATCTCCACTCTCTTTGGTCTTCTGAGTCGGTGAAGTGGCAGTGGCACTGTCATCGCGGACCGGTCTGTTTCGCGCGTGAGCAAGAAGCTGGCGTGCTTCTGGCAGATTTGGTGTGAGGACGTCGCAGAGGGGCAGCATTCCGGAGATGAGGTGATGGATGGAGTCGTGCGTAAGAAGCAATGATCCAGACGTCGAGACCATGACCGGGTCGAGGACAAGCGCAGCTTTGCGTGGGAAAGTCGTGAAATGTCGCGGGGTAAGCTCGCTCAGGCAGTGTCGTAAAGGAATGAAGAGACTTACCGAGCTTCCCCTTGCCCTTCCTATACTTTCCCAAATCCTCTGATAGGACCTGTATGATCTCCTTGTTTGCTAGCATCCCAATCTTCCACGCATCTATCCTTATATCCGAATGTACCGAAGCAAGCTGAGAGCGAACGAACTCGGGAGGTGGAGCGTGCACCGCTTGAACGCCAGTGGTGTTCTGTGCAGTGAGCGCCGTGATGACGCTCAAGCCATATCCTCCGAGCGCCTGGATCGTCTTGAGATCGGCTTGAATGCCCGCTCCTCCTCCAGAGTCTGATCCAGCAATCGTACACACTCGCGGTGGATTGGCAGAGTGTAGAGCCGGAAGAGCGGGCTGCTTGGAGCCCTCCGCTCCAGCAGCTTCCTTTGAATGCTCTCCCGCAGCGCTGGTCATCTTGAGCAGGGCTTGCAAGGGATGCGCGAACCCTCTTGACTGCACACCTAAACGATGGTCGATGAAGGGCAGATCGCACCTTGATGACGAGGTCTTCGCGATTCGTGAGCGATGTGGACCTGCCTGCCTGGTTTACTTCATAGCAAAGTCATCAATCAGAAGAGTCAAAGTCAGACCCGCGAGTGGAGGCAACACGTGACGCGCAGCGTGCGCTTCAGACCCGACTTGAACCGTGATGACTTTCAAATCGTTGTAGAGGTCGATTTGCGATCCCGAACTCTGTCAATGCCCTCTGCTGCCAGTCTTGTTTCGTAGGCGAGTAGCGACTGGACTCGACGGCAAGACTCAGAATGCCACGTCTGGCTCAGCGACGCCGGATTGTCGACGCTTCCGCCAAGTCTGATCGAGTAGTCTGAGTGTGGATGTCGGGGGCGCGAGAACATTCTGCGCGCTGTTGACCTGCTCTGCTTCGCGCGTCGCGCTTGTCCGTGCTGCAAGCGGAGCAGCCGCGCGCCAGCCTCGCCCAATGCGACCATGCAGCACACGCAACGCTTCCAGCTTTGCAGGCCGGCCGCTCTCCGCTTGACTTTCATCAGGTCACAGGCAGCAAGACGCGAGTCGGAGTCAAAGCAATGCGACAGACAGCAGCGCCTCGATCGCTCAGACTTGATCTTCCATCCTCTGCGTCTCATCAAGACCCTCTGCTCCTACTGTGAGCTTCGACATCTTCGATCGGAGTCGTCCAGCCATACACTCCATTAACGTGTGAAGGCGCATACAGCAGCACGAGCGTGCTTCTCCCACACCATCACCACCTTTTCGTGCGCGAGACCGGAAGAGCATCCTTAGCCCTCGCTCCTCTGCAAGATTCGGAATCTGCCTTAGTTGCACAACAGGATCTTCAATATGGACACCGACCTTATCAAGGTCGTGAATAAGCTCCAGGAGACCTTCAGCACGATTGGTGGAGATGCTGTGGATCTTCCTCAATGCGTAGTGGTCGGGGCTCAGAGTTCGGGCAAGAGTAGTGTGCTGGAGACGTGAGTGCTGGCAGTGGGAAGGGATATCGCGGATTTTCAGCAGTCAATGTGGTTCGCCAGGCGTGCGAATCTTGCCGTTGTTGCTTGGACGGCGCTTGCGGACGATCACGGGACGCTGCTGCTCAAGATTTGCGCGTGCATGGGTGGTAGAGATGCTCAGAAGTGGGGCGACGCTGATAATGTAGCTTTCCTTTACGTCACTAGCCTGGTCGGCAAGGACTTCTTGCCGCGTGGGCAAGGCATCGTCACACGGCGACCTCTCGTGCTGCAGCTGGTCCACCAGCCCAGCTCAACAAATGCCGATGGGGAATTTGCAGGCACGAGCACAGCTGCTTCAGGTCCAGGTCCGTCCTCGTACGACGAGTACGGCGAGTTCCTTCACCTCGACAAGCGTTTCACAGACTTTGGCGAGGTTAGAAGGGAAATCGAAAACGAGACGTATCGAGTTGCTGGACAGAACAAGGGCATCTCAAAACTGCCGATTCACCTCAAGATCTATAGCCCTCATGTTCTCAACCTCACCCTCGTGGATCTGCCAGGATTGACTAAGGTGAGCTGTGGCCTCAGCGCCCTCATGTGCCTTGCGGCGTGCATGTTCTCGTAGGAGGCTGATGAGGCCACATGCTCGTGCATTCTACACCAGATACCTGTCGGCGATCAGCCTACCAATATTGAGCGACAGATCCAGGATCTCGTCACCTCGTACATCTCCAAACCAAATTGGTGGGTGGCAGACACGCGTGGTCATTTATAAATGCTTTGTGACTGGCTCAAACGTCCTTTCCCCGATTCTGCATCCAGCATTATCATTGCCATCTCACCAGCAAATGTGGATCTGGCTAACTCTGACAGCTTGAAGCTGGCTCGTTCGGTGGACCCTCGCGGCCTCAGAACTATCGGCGTTCTCACAAAACTCGATTTGATGGACAATGGCACACATGCTCTTGATGTCTTGACTGGCCGAGTCTATCCACTGAAGTTGGGCTTTGTGGGCATTGTCAATCGGAGCCAACAGGATATCAACGGCAATGTGTCAATGCTGGCTGCACGTAGAGCCGAGGAGGAATTCTTCAAGAGCCACAACGCTTACAAGAACATCTCACATCGTTGCGGCACCAAGTACTTGGCCAAGACTTTGAATCAGGTGAGTGTTGCGATGCTTTTTGGGAGCGAAGCTTGATGCTCATCAGTTTTGACTTGTTGTGCAGGTTCTGATGGCACACATCCGCGACAAGCTGCCCGACATGAAAGCACGCCTCAACACGCTGATGGGCCAGACCCAGCAAGAATTGGCATCTTTTGGTGACACGGCATTCTTGGGAGATGCACACAGAGGCACGCTCATCTTGAAGCTTATGACGCAATTTGCGAGAGACTTTGTGGCCTCGATTGAAGGTACGACATTTGACATTTCGACCAAGGAACTCTGTGGAGGCGCGCGGGTCTACTACATTTTCAATGACGTCTTTGGACACGCCCTGGACTCGATCAATCCCACCCAGAATTTGACGGTGACGGACATCAGGACCGCGATACGAAACGCAACTGGACCTAGGCCCAGCTTATTTGTTCCTGAAGCAGCTTTCGAGCTTCTGATCAAGCCGCAGATTAAGCTTTTAGAGCCGCCTTCTCTGAGATGCGTGGAGCTCGTCTACGAAGAGCTCATGAAGATTTGTCACAACTGCACTAGCACAGAATTGCAAAGATTCCCAAAGCTGCACGCTCAACTCATCGAGACGGTCTCTGAGCTTTTGAGAGAAAGACTTGGTCCTACTTCGGAATACGTGCAAAGTCTCATCGCCATTCAAGCGGCGTACATCAACACCAATCACCCTGCCTTTGTGCAGGACTCTGCCAACATCGCACGCTCAACCAGGGAAGGCCACCGGCAACCTGCGCCTGCGATTGCAGCTGGGTCGGAGACGAGCTCGACGGCGGGCGTGTTCGAGGAGGACGCCGATGACGACGATGGGCCTTCTCGGGGCCCTAATGGCCTGGCAGGCGGCGCAAAGAACAGAGGCGACACTAGGGCCACTTCATCGAGCTATGGCGATAGCAATGGGCGCAATCAACTTTCTGCCGCGCACGCCTCTACCATCGGCCACGCTTCGTCCGGCGCATTCTCACGCACAGGCAGGGCAGCAGATGGCGCCAGCGCGACAGGTCCTGCTGGTGGGAGAGACTTTTTGAACTACTTTTTCGGAGGAGCTTCTGGCATGCCTGGATCTGCCAGCGGTCCTGTCGCAGCCGGACCACAAAGTCAAAGGGGTGCATTTTCCGAGTACGGCCGGGACCAGAAGTCCAATCCGATGCTTGGTCGCTCAGACCTGGAAGGCAGAAGTGCGGCTTTCGACATGAAGAGCCTGGAGAAGCACATTGAAGCGGTGAGTACGATGTACGCCTGGCCAGATAGCTCAGTAAATCGCTTACCCTTCTCGCATCACTGTACGGCAGACGCCTGCCTCCGACGAGTTCAGGCTGTCGGAGCGAGAAGTTTTGGAGACTTCTCTGATCCGCTCTCTCATAGCCTCTTACTTTACAATCGTTCGACAGTCCATTCAAGACTTGGTGCCAAAGGTGTGTGCAAGCACTGACGCCTTTGACCTACTCGTCGTGCTCACCTTTGAATTTTGTCCTGTATCGTCAGGCCGTGATGCATCTCCTTGTCAATTTCAGTCGAGATGGTGTGCAGGCGCGCCTCATCAGTAGATTGTACAAGGAATCTCTCTTTTCAGATTTGCTGGAGGAGGACGAAGCGACAAACAACGAGAGAAGGCGCGTTCAAGCCCTTTTGGAGGCGTACAGGGAAGCCCATCAGAGTGAGTTGGCTTGGTCTTGCCTTCAAAGGGTGTGTATGGCCTGACGCATGCCCGACTTGCTCCTTTCAGTCTTGTCCGAGGTCACTTTCAAGCCGTAATTCGGCTAGAAATGCTTTTTCCACCAGCCCTGTGCATTCCTTGCAGTGCAGTCTACCGCGCTCGATCTTTAGCTCTGAGTCTGAGCGCTACTGTATCCTTCGACCCAGTGACACTCGCTTGTCACTCCACAATGCACCTCACCTTTCTATCTGACTCAGAAGCTGATGCACGCTTGTACAAGTCTGTGTTGTGTCCAGCAGCTGAACAGTCAAAGGTGGCAGACGAAGATTGCATAAGATTGGCGTTGCAAGGGTGATAAAGGGCGTGACTTGGCTCGCGTAGCTTGAGGACAAAATCGGGTCGAATGAAGAGAGCGGCGGGCAAAATGGTGGTCATGAAGAAGTAGCTGCGGCTTCTGCCCCATGCTCGAAACTCTGCGAAATCAATTGAGACACAGCACCGAGATACCCGTCGCTCTGCTCGATGTCGTTTCGGAAGACTGCGTAGTAGAGGTTTGAACGTTGGCGCTGTGGGCGTCAGCAGCGTCTTCCTTGGAGCAGAAGGGACCACAGAGTTACAGCAACGATGTAGCTCGGAGTACTCACGGAAGAGGAGGCTCTCGCTGAGCCTGAGCACTTCGTCCTTAGTCAGAGAATCGCGACCATCGGAGTGTAGCTTGAAGAACCATTCAATGCTAGCCAACACATCCCCTCTGGCCGACATGATGGCGTCCAGACCGCTCACAATGTCCTGAACATGCACGCGAAGGTCGGCAATCAGCCAGATCTGTCTCCACCTTTCGATCGGAAGCGCAGGTAGCCCTGACTCCTCACCTGGAAGCTGAGCGATCCACGTTTCTCCGTGTCCCAGTACTTGAAAATGCGCGTAACGAGCTCATTCTCCGGCACTTTCCGCTCGATGCGTTCCTGGAAGCCATTCGAAACGACATATTCGTCGCGTGCCCACGTGGCGACTTCCGCCATGAAGTATTTGAAAGTCTTGAGGTCCACCCTCATCTCCTTGTAGTCAACTTCGCCAGCGCCTGCAGCGGACCCAGGAACATCACCAGCAATAGCCGTGAGCGCAGGTACTTGCGTGGGAGTGTTTTCGCCCTCGGGATGCACGTTCGCTGATTGAGGCGCGTGTCGTGTGCGGTATATGGCTTCGACTAGCTGATCATATATGAGTCCACTGCGATACATAGTACGAGAGGGTAAGGCTGACTCGGAACTGAACATCGCACATTTGACTCACGCTTGCTCTTTTGACAAGTGGCCCAGATCGCGCAAATTTCTGATTGCCCCCCTTCGAGCGAAGAGCTCAATCTCTTCCACAATTTCTTGCCTGAAGCGTCTCCTCTCGCTCGCAATGGTCTCATCCGTCACCACTCCGAATTCTCTGAAGGCGACGACGAGCAGCTCTTGAAAGTTTGTGATCTGCCTGTGCCTCGGATTGGTGGCCTCTGGATGAGCCGAGTCTCCGAGAGTCCTAAAGTACCTCTTCAGAAGGTTGATGAACGCCCCATCATCCGTCACTCGGCCCGACAGAAGCTCTTCGCCGTTAATTTTGAGGATCGCAAGACCAACTTGGAAGAGCACTTTTGGCCCCATCGCCATGAAACAGTCTACTATCCTGAAAGCAAAGACCATCGGCATGGAGTTGATGTAGAGCGAAAGGAACCAGGGCAAAGAAGCGACCGATAATTGGATATCAGTCTGAAGAAAGTGGTCGTGAATCATAGGCAAAGTGCGCTGCACGAGATGTTCAAACACCTTCTGGTCCAGAATGGTTCCCGACATCGACTGACTGTGGACAAAGCATGTCACATGGGATGAGACTCATTTCCGAAGAACTTTCAGACAATCAGAACTCACGTGTAGTATCCCGGCAAGAGCCTATCGCATAGCATATCGAGCATCCAGAAGCACTGCTCTTCGGACATGTAGATGAGCAAAGCAGCCACGAGGATATTTTGCCCTTGACAATAGCCCAGCTCCGGATTCTTCCAACTGTACGCCGTGAGGACTCTTCTGAGCGCGTCGATGCCTTTTGGACTCTGATACGCGGCGAACTCCGGCAAGGAACGATACAAGTCTTTCTCAATCTCATCCGTGCTCGTGCTTGTCTTTCCCTCATTGCGCTTCAGGATGGCTTGATACTCTCCTGCGCGCGCAAAGCGAGTGTAAATTGACCCGCTCGTGAGCTCCCAAATTTCGCCTCTCAGCCTGTTAGGTAGCCCAACTTGAACCAAGCGAAGGAATTGAGGGTATCGCACCAGCGTGAGATTGCGGCCGTGGACTGGGGAGCACGAAGATCGAGTCAGAATGCCTTGGATCGAGCCACCAATCGCGCATGATGATCCCCGACTCACCTCTTAGATAGTCCTTCCACAGTTTCAGCTTGGACTTTTCACGTAGTCTATGTGCAGACCAGGCTTCAGCAATGCGAGCAAAATGTAAGGGTGATGCCGGTCGACTTACTTGCGAGGGTCGCCTGGAAATTTGAATTGGCTACCCAGACCAGCATGGTAAGGTGGAGGTGGGGGCAGGTCGCCGCTTGGTGCGGGCACTACAGCGCTGTCGCCGTCTACCACCTCTGATGTGGCTTGCGTGGTGGAGTCCTTCTCCGTTACAGACGCATCAGCATCAGCGTCAGCATCAGTTGTAGCACCGGTAGACCCTTCTGCTTTGTTCTTTTCGTCGGTGGCGTTCTTGTCTTCCGAAAGGAGCACTTCACTGTAGCAGCCGGCTGAAAAGCTTTTGACATTCTTCATGTTTCCGAGCTGAGCTCGCAAGCTGTCGCGGAGCTGAGAGCAGAAGGACTCGCATTGTGGGCGAAGAGCATTCAGTTGGATAATCTGAGATAGTTGAGCGAGTTGAAACGTCAACCTTAAAGCAGACAACAGCAGGAGCAACGGTCGAACTTTCCTGGTCCAGCCTTGGCAGCTGCACTCACAATGCGGCTTCCGTGCCAAACGACAATTGCGAGGGCAAACACTCCACTTCTGCCCGAATTCAGTCGCTCTACTCTCCTGACGCAGTAGAGGGGCAGACTCATCCGACAACTTCGCCTATCGATGCTCGAAAAGCACAAGAAGCTGGTGAAAAGGTGCAACCTGCCAGCATAGACTTGCTCTTCATCCGCTGTCGTGCCTGTGGGCGTCTGACCGAGCGACAAGACTGCAGGGATGTCATCCACCGGCTCTTCGCTGGAGGGAAGAGCGAAAGAGTTGACAAGTGCCGCGTTGCCCGAAGGCTCCTTGTAGTCCCGGAGGGAATGAGCGATCGTCGACATCGCCGAGCAGCTTCGAGAAGTAGCCAGCGGCGCTTTCGTGGATGGTTCTGAAACGCGGAATTCACGTCTGAGTTGTTCTTCGGAGGCGATGTGGAGATCTGACAGAACAGATGATGAACGCTGCAGCCGTGTTCGCGCTCGCGAGGGCGCTCAAGACGGTCTGGCAGATGACGCTCTCGACGGCCTCGGTTGAGCTCGGTGAGCCAAGGGGTCGGCTCGAAGAGATGCTGCTAGCAGTACGCTGACTTGGTTGTCAAATATGCTTGACTGGGCGGTGCTGAGTGCGGGCAAGTCAGTCGCTGTGGTACCTCAATGCGGAGAATGAGTACGCAGTGTTGAATAATGTTTGAATCGTAAATCGTGAATCGTGAATGAGGCTGTGAGCGCATAGCGACTCGGCCTGCGCCAGCGCCCTCGATCGCGGTGCGCGTGCACGCGCCATGCACCTTTAATAGGCACGACAAGCCACGTGGCTTGTGGCAGCCATATGCACAGCAGAGCCGGGGCACGCCGTCCTCCAATTGGACCACTCGTGATTCAGCTACGCGATTCCACGATGAGCGCGATTCACCTCGAGGTCACCTACCCTCTCATTAGCGACCTTCTTAGCCGTGGCTATCCATTGTTCTGGCGCAGCTCGTACCCATAGGTGAGCATTGGAATTGCGCCTCCGATTCTGCCGCGAGACGGCTCTAATTCTCCCTCTCCTTCGCACAGACAGCGTCTCCCGCCAAGCCACATTTGATCTCACAACCCAGATCGTTCCAGGACCGCCAAAATGCCAGTCGGTCAAATCCCAGCTATCACGGGCAAGCTGCGCAAGCGCCTCATCCTCGACCTGAGCGTCGCTCTCGGAGGCGGAACAGCTCTCGGATACGCTTACTGGTGAGTGAGAGGGCGGATGATCGCATGTTAGTCTTTGTAGGACGCACATCTAGGGAACGCTCTGGTCAGCAAGCTGTAGCTATGGGCAATCGATTCACAGAGCAGATGCGCTGTCTGTGCTCGACGTCAGAGAGTGTGCGCCGTGGAAGCCGCAGCTCGAGGAGGGAATCGAATAAAGAGGCGCTGAGAAGGAAGAAGTAGCTGTAAGAGATCGATTTTCGATAGGAAGCCAGCGACACATAGCTTCATGAGAGAATGTGGGATTGGCATTTCTCGATTGCGGAGAGTCCTGACTGCTTCTTGGGAGGCCTTCGTTCGTGGAACATGCTCGACGAGCTGACGCATCTCTTGACTGGGCAGGTACGGCATTCACATCCCATCAGTCCAGCGCCGTGACGCTTACTACGCCAAGCTGCAGTCGGAGCGCGGAGCATGAACAGGAACTTCTTCTCTCGATCTTGACAAGCACTACGATGAAGTAATGTTTGGTGTAATCGATAGATACAGTTGAAAGCCTTCTGGTACACTGAGTCCGGTACCACGTAATTGCGAGAAGCGATCGGTCGAGGGCAAGCAAGAGAGCATTGAGGCTTTAGACTGGGTGAAAGCATACTCAAATTGGAGCCACGCAGGAGGAGGAAATGCTTTCGAAAGTGACAACGAGCTGCGCTCGTGGTGCTCAGGCGGCTCTGGAGTCACAACATTTCAGGCTGTTCTCAGTGCTGAGACAAGTACCTGGCAAATGTGTCATTTCAAAGCTGCACTTGTGGGTATCATGTCAATCGTCAGGCTCTATCTCATCTGCATCGCGTATGGGCGCGTTTGAGTTGTAGCTCGCAGCTGCCGGTTCGGAATTCGTTGGCGCCTTGCTCTTGCTACGCCCGGGCGAGTTCTTTGGCGCGCCTCTTGAGCTGGGCGAAGGCGCGGTGGGATAGTCCCCAATATCGCCTCTCTCAGCTTCCAAGGCTGCCAATCGAGCGCCCTCTTCCCTCGCAGCTTCCTCGTCCTCCCGCGCTGTTTGTTCCCGAAAGAGATAAGCCTGAGCACAGATGAGCAGGTCTATCGAGAGAGCAAAGAGCGCGCAAATCAGGAATTGGGGCGGCGAGCCTTGCACGATGAAGTAGCCCGTCTTGAACACATCTCCCAGCGTCCATCCTCCCAGGACAGTCAGTCTAAAGCCCAACAGAGACCTGCGACGTTGATTGCTGGAAGCGCTTTCGTGGTGTCAATCAAATGTGCGCGTGTAGCTTCGCATGCTCCCGCTCACCTAATAGCTTGGGGAATTGGTAGAGTGCTTTCAAGTCCCAGCGCGTAGTAACCCAGTATACTGACGTACGTCTGGCTCCATCCGAGAATCATCTGCAACACGCCAAGTAGAAGAGTGTACCCAAAGAGGAATATGATGTAGCTGCCATGAGGCGAGGAATGATGTATTAGAATGTCGAGTGCGGCGCCCCGCGAGCCTTGAGACAAAGTTCCACTTACGAGGAAAGGGTTGTCCAAGTCCAAAATCCGAACGGTCTAGTTGCATCGCTTCCATCCGCTCTCAATCCTTGGCCCCTTCGCAGACTAGCCTTCAACAGCTGCTTGATTCGGTCTAGTCGGGACACCTCCTCAGCATCGTTCTCGTCTTCACCTTCTTCCAACCCGATCGTCGGAGCAGGAGGCAGCTCAAAGTTGAGGCCCGCCAACGCGGCGTACTTTCCTCTTGTTGAGTCACCAGCGTCGTACGTTGGCTGGGGAGCAGATGTATCGAGTCGAGACGCTTGCGCCGCGGTCGAGGTGGTCTTCGCTTGGCTATTCGCAGCAGATGCTGCTGAGGATAGCGCTGCGCTAGCAGCATCAAACAGTGGAGCACTGGAGCGGCTGCTACCAGCATCCGCAGAAGAGGCTGTGAAGGACGCATGTGCGAAGGAACCAGGGCGATAATATAGCAGAAGTGAAAGCAGGAACAGCTGCGCCGCTATCATCAAGATAGACTGGAGCAGCAAAACTTGAATGCAAGGGGGTCGAAGAGGTGGCTGTTTGTAAGGCAGCCCGCAGTCTTTCGCTCGCTACCAAGAGCAGCACTTACCGAGCTCGAATGGCTCTCCTAGCCAAAAGAAGCAGCGAGCGATGTTGGAGAGCAGCAAGACAGCGCATACATCTGTATGGAAACGGGTTGTGAGCTTGCAGAGCACGTGAAGATGAGAACTTCACTTGAGCACCACTGAAGCTCACCCTTTGAGAACCCAGAGCTGTCACGCTTCTTTTGAATACTCCAGGCTTGGTCCGCGTAGATCAAAGGCGCACCAAAGGCTGCAGTGCAATGTATCAGCTCAAAGTCAGCGATGATGTGGACACAGAGGCAATCTTTCGGTCACGCTGCTCACCCATGCCCAGACCTGCCAAAATGCTGATGAGCGTCATGACTTGAGTAGCCAGAGCGTTTCGGATCGTCGTAGGTCCGCTAGGAGAAGGTTCCTTTCAGCTAGCTTGGTGGTGGCTCGCAAACCTATCAACCACAAGCTTGCGAGCGTTTCTGGGTTGGTGCAATATCCTCAGGCGAACGTCGTTGTAGCATCAGGTCCAAATTATGTCGCCGTCTGTGCAAGGTATAGAATCCTCGTCCCGAGCGTCGCCACGGGTCAAGTGGAGATTGAAAGCTGCATCAGCGCGAAGTTCCGCTCGCCAAGCACGCTCGCGTCTCGGCCCCGCTGTTCTGTGATCTGACGCGGGTGCTGCGAGTGCACGGTACGCGCGTTGCGCCATAGACACGCACCTGCTGACCATCACTTGGGGGGCTCAACAGAAACACGGTCAGCTCGAACAATGCTGGCGGAAGATGGCTGATTGGCTCTGCAGCTGCAATGGGACTATCGTGCTACAAAGGCAACCCCAACATGCTGCTCCATCAAGCCACAACCTTAGTCACGGCCAGGCGCCTGCAGTGGGGACTCGAAAAGTTGCGATCGGCCCACTCTTATGTGGCCAGAATGACTTCGGCGACGGGCGCCGCCAAGAGTCGTGGACAGGTTCCTTTCAACTGGCTTGCAAGCTGAGCGAACGCTATATGAGCACTCACATGAGGAGTGCCCAGGGTTATATGCTGTCTTTGGTACAATACCCAACTTGGTGAAGACGATGGAGGGAGAATCAAGAGAGCTTGCGCGCTGCACAGCTCGACTCTTGACTGAGTGTGCATGGATGCTGCCAGCGCTTGTCCGGGCAAGATAGGTCACACAAGTCACGAGTGACCGCTTTCAGACGACAGACTACAGCGAAAGTCAAGTCCGTCAAGTCAAAGATTTGCAAGAGCCATGCAAGCAGTCAGCCCACGCTGATGGGCGTGCCGCGTGCAAAGCGAAACATCGAGGCGCGGCTGCTGATACAAAGTGCGCTGACCAGCAGAGAGATATATATATATATATAGAAGACGCGCTCGCGATGTGGTCGCGGGTTGCGAGTGTTGTTGTCGCGGGGCCACGCGCAGCAGCTGACGATGTGAAGGCAGCTATAATATATGGCTGATGCCTGCGCGCTCCCTCACGATCGAGTGCCGCACTCGACCGCCTGTACAAGCCCTTTGACTCGTCGCGGCTCAAGCACAGCTTTCGGTTTGGGGCGCTCAAGAGTGACGACAAGTGGGCCTTGCCAATGCCCTTCACTCACTGCCGTTGAGTGACCTATACAGCGGTCCAAGCTCTGCTCGACCAATCGAGACTGCGTCACACAGCGATTGCCCACTAAAGGACCTAAGGCAGATATAACAAGCACCCTGTCGAGGGCAAGTGGTCTCTGGCCAGCTTCTCCAAGCTCATGCTTGTATGGTCTTTGACCTCGGGGCCCATCACCACCCAAGGTGCTCGAGGCACGCGCTACACCCTCTCATTCTTGCGCCTCGCCCTCTCATTCTTGCGCCTCCAAGCCACCGCATCAAGATCTGGCCCATCTTTCAACGGCGTCATCAGGCTTCGCTTGGAGGTTGCGGGCCTCTCGCTATCAGTCTTTGATTCTTGGCGCATATAGGCGATTCCCACAGCTCATAGCGCCATCATGAACAGCTTTCGACCCTCCGGTCTTGTTGGCCCCGCTCCCTCTGACCCCGCTCCCTCTGACCCTAGCGTTTTCTGCAATGAAGCGATCGAAGCCCAGCTCCAGCTCAAGGCATCCCCAGTCGGCTCTGAGGTAGACGAGCTGCTTCAATCGCCACCGGCCTCGCCTAAGCCGAGTGTTATTCGCACCAAAAGCGCGCCGATCATTGCTGTGAACGACGTCCGATCGAGTCTTGTGAAACAGTCGGAATCAGCTTCAATTGCCAGTCCAACCAACATAATTCAAGGTGCTTCAGAATCCGCAACGACCGTCACGAACGGCGCCGCCCCTTTGGACCAGCATGTATGATCACATACGAGTGGAAACAATCCGCGCGGAAGTGTCGGCTCGCCACTCGGAGACGTAACGCTGTCGAAGGTAAATCTAGATGGCCTTTCGCAGTCTTTGGTGAGCCTACGTAATCAAATCGACGCTCGCGAGCAGAGCAGTGTCAGGCGACATCGCGAGATCGTCAAAGTGCGTATCCCAGGAGTAGGTCGGCCTCAGACGTGCTTTCGGCCCCTGCTCACCAGCCTCTTGTATGCGCAGCTACTACGATCCTCAACCGCCGAGCACAGCAAGCCACTAGGGGTAAGTCGAGACCTGAGCGTGCTCGTTTACAAAGCAAAAATCTAATCGCTCGCTTGCTGCTCGCTCCCTATCATACAGACCCGTGCAGATACAAAAGCCAGTAGTAGCATTGGACCGATCGATGCAAAGCCTTTCCCCGCGCTTTCGTCGCAAGCGACGCCTCACACGAACGGCGTCATCGACGCCTTTCGGGCTCAGCCAAGCATCAGAATTTCGATCTTGACTCTCTTTGATAGCAGTAGCATTAGCTTGTGTATTTCCAGGTCCGACGCTCCCTGTCCCACCCCAGGTTCAACAAGTGCACCGGACGGCGGTCTGCCAGCTCTTGTGCCTTCAGACACTCTGATCAGCGCCCTGCGCCTAACGTACGTCGACTCTCTGAGGCACGGGCACGATGCGCACACACAGCTGACGCACTTTGAGCGGACACAGGTATGGCTTCATTCTTGATCAAGGCGGTCTGCTGGGAACCTCCAAGGGTGCGCTCGCGGTCAACGGAATCCCATCAGGATACACCACTATTACTAGCGGAGGTCTGGCAACATCGACTCATTCCAACAGCATGGGTCGATATCCGATTGCGGAGAACGATGGTGATATGACTCAGACGGCAGTATGTGCTCCTTCCAACAGCATGGGTCGACATCCAATTGCGGAGAACGATGGTGATATGACTCAGACGGCAGTATGTGCTCCTGAAGCCACGTCGAAGGACTGGGCAAGCCCTCTCAAACCTAAAGTCAAGCGCAAGTCCGCCACGCCGAGTCGAATTGATCGCAAGGTACAGCAGAATGCAGCGCTGTCCAACACTCAAAGCAGAAAGCGCACGAAGGGCTCGATCACTATTGACACGAAGCAAGCAGCTGCGATCGCTTGTGACCAACACGCAAAGACGTGTACTGCAGACGGTGCAGAGAGCTTCGCACCAGCGGTGTTCTCGCAGCAAACGCACGGTGTCACGGTGCGTCCTCCTTGGGCACAGGAGGCAATTTCCAACATCGTGGCCCCCCGCAGTGCTCCTCCTACTCGAACTGCTCCTGCGACAAATTTCGTCCTTCCAAGCTTCAACCCCTTTGAGCGCAACGGCCCTTCGCCATCAGCAAATTTGGCGAACGACCAGAGCGTCACCGCAGCACAGGCCTGTGCAACCTCTCTGCCTGCTGCAGACTTGGATGCAAGCCAGCGCGCGCATTCAGATCTCGAGGGCGTGCTCGAGGCGCACAACTTCCGCGCCATGCCACCGGACCAAAAGATCGAACTCTTGTTCCTCATTTCTGTGCGCGAGCGACTCTTGTTTTGGCAGACTCGCAGAGGCCTAGATCAGCAACTTGCGGAAGCGGTCGACCAGCGTGCGCGTTTGGTAGACGAGAAGAATGCTGCTCAGCGACAACTCAGTCAGTACGTACGTGAGGTAAGTGGTATGGCTACAGTCGCAACCTGAGTCACGATTATTGCTTGCTAAGCCTCTGCAATGCTTTGAGGCACAAACCCTTGTGGGACAACTTCGCACCACTTTGCAGTCCAAGGACCAGGAAATTGAAACCCTTCGCAACGAACTGCACTGCCGCAATCTGACTATGTCTATGGGTTCAAGGCCCACTAATGAAGGGTCGCTCATGTCGTCGCAAACCAGCATCGTGCCTATTTTCGCCCCAACTCTTCCGTTGTACGCACCCGGTCATGCTCATGCCGCTCCTCAAACACCAGGTCAAGCTCAAGCACACAAAGAAGCGTTGCGCGAGTTGTCTCCTGTGTCAGGGCATGCAGGACACAAGGCACTTTCGCCACAGCAGGCGAGTAGCCCTGCGCACCAGCTTCGAGAAGCAGGGCTACAGCAACTGATACTGAATCGATTTCTCCGCCGCGGATTAGCAGCACTGATGAATCAAGCACAAATGGAAAGCAATACGTCTGCACCCAGTCATGCAGCAGTAGCGATCCAAGCTCGTCGGGACAAGCAAGCCATTTTGCGCCCCGCTCGGGCGAGCTCGACGCAGCCTGTGTAAATCAGCACACTGTACCGCTGTAAGCCAGACAGAACCTTTCCAATCCCACATAGGATCTTTACTCTGCATTCACCGCGTATCGCACGCCCACCACATCAGCGAGTCGCTCCTCGGTCCACTCCCCTACTTCGCTCGCACTCAAATTCCCCAAACTGTATCCCGACGACCTTTCTGTCGTCTCTGCGGTCGAACGTCAGCAAGCGCGCCAGAAGCAGCGATGCTCGCGCAATTCATAGGTTCATACGTGCTCGGCAGCGAAGATTGCAGTCATCGTTCGTGTTCGGCAAGAACACCGGAGTAACGTTGGTCGAGAGGATCGTGCGGAAAAGTAGTGGCGTCCAAGAACGGCGTGAGGGTAAGGTAAAGGGGCGACGAAGTAGCATGCACAAAGCCAGACAATCTGAATGAGAATGGAGACGGGGAAAACAAAAGAGGAGCAGGAGCTGGCCCTGAGAGTCATGAAGGAAAGGGAGGATTGGGGGTGGGTAACGTTGAAGTGCCACTATGCATGGCCTGCTGTGAAGTGTTCGGAGGTGATGGAACAAAATGGCTCAGTTGACTACGGAGAAAAAAGGGGGTGGAAACAAAGACGTGTCAGCAAGTGATCAGTCAAGAACTTGGCTTCTCAAGTCTTACTACTCACTGCGCTTGATGGGGTGCAAAAGGACTGGAGCTCTGCAAACTGATTCCTTCGCCTTCCAACCGACGTAGACTGCCAATCAATGAATCGACGTTGAGCTCGTTAGCCATCCCGCAGGTAGATTCGCACCAGCAAATGGGCCTCTCTTTACTCACTCTCTTTGGCATGTGCACCATCGTAGTAGAATGCCGAATCTCGCATGATTTTCTCGTTTGCCTTCTTGTAAAAGTCGGGTCTGTTGATTCTTGAGTGCAGCACTTCGGGATCCCAATAGTGTCGGAAGTAGACGGGGTGAGGTGCAAAGACACCCTTGAAAGGCAGGGGCAGATTGTGTGTGAATCCAGCCTCGGGGTAGAAGGAGTGATCGTGCGAAATTGGTAATTGCGAATGCAAGACGAGCGTCGTCGGCCACGCTTCGCAATGCAGCGACTTTTTCGCTTCCGCATTAACCACGTTCATAGCATCCAACAGTGACCTGGACATGCGCATATTTGTGCCGATCGATGCGCGGCGGTGAGTTGCCTCCCCCTTGGGATAATTTTGCACATCGTACTCCCAGAACCAACCGCTTCCACGGGGATCGAAGACGGGACCAAGAGTGATGAGATCCGCCTCATCGCCTCTTCCATCGATCAACGTGGCATTATCCCGCCAATTCTCCTCGCTAACGCTGACGTTGCGCACGAACCAGCTATCATACTTGTCCATGCCCACGTGCAGAGGTTCTTTTCGGGAGTACTCTTCGATACCTTCAAAGTAATCCAGGTAATTGCCAATATATCTGACATCCATCTCCCAATTCCAAACGAAGTCGTACTCTTGGTGGTCGAGATAGAACTTCTGGAGCGCCATCAAGCAGCTGCGGTAAGAGCTGCAAGGGGCCAGAGTAGTGTATGCGTCAGCGTCCGGACCAACACGCGTCACTTCGTCCTACTCACCTCTGCGCAATCATGTGGTTGAGGAACTTCCCAGGTAGTCCTGGGTAAAGAGCACACATCTCGTCCTCCGTCCATAGCTCCACCATGCCCCAGAATTCGCGTGGAACGCTCGACCTCAGCACGTTCAATCGGTCCCACTCCGACGTAAAGACGGATAAGTGGCGGCCATGCACCTCGACCAAAATTCTGATGTCGTAAGGTGTGTTGGGGTTGTTCAGAGAAAGCTCGCCAATCAGAGCTCTCATATTGAGGATATCGTCCTCGCGCCACACGTAGCCCTCGTAAGCACGCATGACAAGCGCTGTTCGTTTGGTCTCTGGTGTAGTCTTGAACTTAGCGGGGATGTCCTCGTCCATCATCTCTTGCGCAATGACGTCTGCAAGCGGCTGCGAGGTCGGATCGTAGGGGTCCACTCCAGCCGCTCGTCCACGCTCGCGTTCACGTTTCTCGAAGCAGGCGTCCATGAGAGCGCGCCAGTCTGGGAAAGAGATCGGGCCCAACTCTTCGGATCGCAAGTTCGCCCTCCACGTCCGGTCCCGCAAATATCTTTCCCAATCACCCTCGTGCCAGTTTGCCGGCTTCTGAGGGCCATACAGCGGATCCGTATTGTTGAAGGGCGCGATTTTGGTTGCCTTGGCATGACTAGCCGTGGTCGTCGATGATGCGGAGGAGGAAGACTTGTTGGCAGGCCTCCTCTGCCTGCTCGAATTTCCGCTCTTTCCCTGACCTCCAAAGGCTCCTTGACCTCCTGTGATAGCAGCGCCATTGCTCGCAGTACTTGCAGTCGGCTTCAAGTTGTCGGGATCATCGTCGTACAGAGCGGCTTTTTTCCTCCTGGTCTCCTCCATCTCCTCATCCAGGTCTTGGCGATATGTGATGCCAAGAGCGTCGTCGGTGTACATGGAATACCTATCCCTGTAGGTCAGGCACTTGCTGTTGTCCAAGTTGACAAGCTTGTAGTCACCAACCAAGGGAATGGGATGTGTCTCGGGGGTCTTGTAGTACTTCAGGGGGGCGCGAGGAATGGGCATGCCAGCCTTGGGTCCTGGGCAGGCGGACAGGGAGATTGGCTGAATGGGCCTGCTCTGGTGGCCAGACGCGATCTCCTCATGCGCTCCTCCCGGGTGTGGATGAGCAGGTGAGAATTGAGGGTAGGGATCAACTCTGCAAGCAAGATTGGAAGGAACGATCAGCACAGCGCTCAGTGTCGCGATATCCGAACAACAACGTGTCCCTCGAAGCGTGGCGGCCCACTGCGTTCAGGTCACGGCCTTCCCAGCGCAGTATCCGGCCTCGCTGCACGGATGCAAGGCGGCAATCTCCTGCTCTGGCCCCGACGACCTTGCAGGACGAAGAGGCTAGATTGAGCACACCTTAACCACTCACCTGTAGTACGTCATCTCTCGCCATTCTGTCCACATAGCTCCGAACATTCCAAAAGCAGCGAGGGTGCCAAAGGCGACGACAAAGATGACTGTCTTCCATCTCCTCAACAGCAAGCCAAGTATGCTCTTGAGGACCACGAGAGGAAACAAGATTCCACCCTTGCCTTGCCCCGATCTGCCCAAGTCCAGCGAAAACCCTCCCTTATCGCCCGACCCGCTTGATGGGCCTGGCATTGGTACTGATCCGCCGTGAGGCGGTGAGCTTGGCCTGGAACTGGGTCTAGATGTGGAAGGCGTTTGGGGTACTTGATGGAATCTGTATGGAGGTGGCGCCGTGCCTGATGGACTTGGCGGTGACAGGAAACCTTTTTCACCTGACATTACGCGGGCCGCACCGAGCCTGGAATTAGCCTATAGCTATCGCTTCGCTTGCCAAAACTACTATTCGTGACCTCGTTCCTGCGATGCTCCGTCCAGCTCCTCGAAAGACTGGCCCTCCCAGGATGGTTTTCGGCCCGAAGCGCAGATCCGTTGTTGGCGAGCCTTGGGACTATGCACGGATTGCAGTTGAAAAGCCGTGATGTATCATTTAGCGCACATGGCGCGATACGGAAGTGAGTTCGAGGAGCGGAGAGGGGCAGCCAAAGAAAGACCAGCGATCGAATGTCAGTACCACGTAGCACCTCCGAGCTTCGGATGAATGCGCTTGGGAAAAACAGACTCGTGACTGGTGAGGGCGAGGGACGGAGCGAGCGTGATCGAGAATTCTCTCGAGCTGAGCGCACTTGGCGTCCGAGCACTGGCGTCAACAATTTGATCCGCCCACGCGAGGCACCGCACCTGGGTCTTGCTCGCACCCATATAGCTTCTGCCGCGATCGCGAGCAACCCCCTTCTCGAGCCTTGGCCAGCACCCTGACCACCTCCTCAGTCTAGCCAGCGGAAGCTCCTCCCGCCTACAATCTGTGTGCCTAGGCCACCCCTTCACGCAACGCGCGAGCATCGACTCCCAGTGTAACACAGGAACCGTGGAAACAGCAAGCGCGGAACGGTCCTCGAGTAGCAGATAGGTAGACGACAGAAGCGGCGACTCACGCGCAAAAAAAGGTTGGGCGTTCCTATGGCAGGATGCGAACTTCTTGGAGTGCTGTCTGTCGCTCCCGATGAGGTGCGTGGAAGGCAGGCGAGCGAGTAGCCAAAGGGTGAGAAGAGCGAGCGAATGTCCAAGCGAAGTTAGGTGGGAAGGAAAGGTGCTCTGCGTGGGTTTTGAGGTGAGTCTACTTGCGACTGCTGAAACGGCTCGAGTGTGCATAAGTGCCCGAAGGCTGCAGGTGTTTGGGGTCAGCAGCACAGAAGCGGCTCTGAGCGGCAAGAGGAACATGTTAAGGGTGCGTGCTGACTGAGAGTCTTGAGTGCGGCCCCGACTTGAATCATTGCGAGCGGTCAGGTTATCCTCAGCGATTAAAAAATTCAATTCCAGATTACTGAATCGGTCGTCTCTTGCGTCGTCTGCTGCTGCTGCTGCTGCTGCACGCTGCATGCTGGTTGGAGCGCGCGCACGACTTGCGACAGCTATATAAGCTGTGACCTTCCATCAATCTGCCCGGCACTCATCGTGACTCTTGACTTGCATGTGTGCGCGGCAGGCCTCTGCAAAGCACCTCCATATAGCTGCAGGACGTGCAAAGGTGATTTCAACTCGAGCCTTCTAAGCTGCAGCCTATCTTCTATGTATATGTATGAGCTTACAAGGCTTAGAGTTGCACAGTGTGAGTCTGACGAGTCTTTTGAGAAGGGTTTGACCGTTAAGTCGGCATACGAGATCCGAAGTTCAAAAGAGGCGGCGGACGGTGCACTTCGAATCAAGAGTACACGAGCTCCAGCAATTCGCGACTCATCATCAGCAAAATGATGGCTGCTGCTCCTTCCTATATATAGGAATCAATGATGCAGGCTCCGTCAAAGGGGAGACGAGCTCCATCTGGACTCCTTGGGCACGAGGAGAGACTCGCGAAGTTTGGAGCTGATTAGCACCTCGCATCGCTCTCTTGTCTGGTGGCTCAGCCTGGTCTCGCAGGGTCCTGTAATGCCTTTGCGAAATTCCCGAGGTTGTCAAAGATGATAGCGGATCATAGCTAGGCAGCAGCGCGTCGCACGCAACCTTGAGCGTGTGGCTGAAAGGGGCCTCGCACTCAATATTCAAACTCGTGATTGGCGATCGAACATGCATATGCACGTCGGCTTTAGGTTCCTGCTGGAGCACGATGGATGATCCAACGGTCTGCCAGCGACCGTTGAAGAGTCAGTACTGTAGTCACCATGCAGTGCATGAGTGTACGAGTGGAGTGACATGCAGCCGGGTCGGCCACGCATCAGCGGGTCATTTCATCATCAATAATTGTCCGTGGCAAAATCGCACTCACGACTCACGAGTCCAGTCACACTACCTCCGCGCTGACGAATCTTGAATGCTGCTGATCCTCCTATACAGCTTGACGATCTGTGCAAGCAATTAAGTTCCCAGTCACACAGCGTTGTTGCAAAGCTCCATCCTGCTGCATCAGACATGCAGCTGCACAGCTCCATGTGTCGGACAGGACCTTGCTGCTGATTGCCCGCAACTTGGATGGCAGCGGGGATTGCGTGACAAACACAGCAGCAGCAACGACGCACCGTGAACGTGCACCGTCTGCGGCACCAATGGCCGGCGAACCGTACGCTTGCTACCCAGCAGAAGCCGGTCTACGCGCGTTTGCAGAAAGCGCATTCAAGTGAACGTCGCATGAATGGCCCCTCTAGCTTCAAGCCAAAGCCCCGGCGGCACGCTCCTCTAGCGTCCTCGTCATGCATTTCTCCTCCCGAACCGATTTAGAAAGTCTTTTCGAAGCGATGAGAGCTACGGTACTGTACCAGCAGCGATGCATGCCCTATCACTGGTTAGCGCACACCAAAGGATGCACGCACTATTGACTCTTCTGATTGATGCTTCGAGTCCGTCCAAAATTTGATCGTGGCTTGACAGTCCGCCCAGTTTGTGCGATGTGTGTACACGGCACGGCACGTCAGCTTCATGCACGTCCACGCCGCAATCCTCACGGCAGAGTTTGTCAAAGGGGTCAGCAGGGCTACCGACCATCGTCTCGGCCGCAAATGACAGGAGCGATCCCATCACCGCGGTGGACTCGAGACCCTTGCCAGCCCTGCCGCGTGCGCGAACCCCCTGCGCAGACATGAGAGAGTCTCGATCTCAACATGACCGGTGGAACGAGCATCAAAAGCTGTGTCTTTCGCAGCTCTTTGGGTAGAGAGAGTCAAGCTTTGCACATCGGGCTCGACCACGTCGGGACAGTCAAGGACAAACGCGAACTACCCGTCAAAGCGTGGCCAGCGCCGCGCCCCTTTGGACCATTGTCAATACTATTCCAATCGCATACGCTATCCGGCAGCCCAAAGATGTGTTTCGCAGTCCCACGCACAAGTAGCGACGACGCCTTGTTGAAACAGGCTCCAAGCCATGCCCACCACAAATTCCGTATGTGCGTCGTGTCTTCTTCTGAGAGCGCCTTGAGCGCCTATACGAGGTCCAGATTGGATTGCAGCTCCAACATCAGCGTCCCATATCCTAGCCGACATGTCGTACGATGTGGATCCCAGAATGCTCGCATTGTGAGGTGACCAGGCGACTCTACGAACCGCGTATTCGTGTCCCATCAAGACTGTCGAGATTTCTCCCCCGAGCGGTCCAGCGCCGGCGGAAGAAGCGGGCGGCTGCGGCACGGATCTGTTGGCTGCTGATCTCAGGTCCCACACCTTGATCGCTCGATCGGTGCTGCCAGTCGCAATATGCAGGGGCCGGTACTTGTTCCAGTCCAGACTCAACACTTCTCCTCCGACTGGCACAGCAGCTGCGGGAGGTGCATTGGGACCCTGCCGGACGTCGAACAGCCTCAGATGCCCATCTCCACAAGCTGACGCGAGAAGGTCCGGGTTGTGTGGAGACCAAGCTACCCCATAGACGCAAGCGGAATGGGAGCCGATGGCCAATAAAGATCTCGGTTGTTCGGGATGCCACTGGAAAGATGATGCAGGGAAGGAGTTGAGCGGGACAAAATTTATGCGCGGTGATCCACGTCTTTCAAGATGAGGAGACAAGCCAACTCACCACTCTGACGCTCCCGTCCCAGCTACTAGATGCGAAGAGCTCTTTCTTGAGATTGTTCCAGTCCACACTGAACACTTCGCGCGTGTGCTCTGCCCAATTCCTTATGGGATGCTCCTGAAAAGATGAAGGACACTTGTTCGTATAAGCTCAGGCACAACTGGCTGCTCGCACTGTGCACAGGCTAGCCTTCTCCGCTACTCGCCGCTAGCGTAATGTCCCACAACTTGATGCTCCCATCGCCACTACCTGTCACCAATTGGTTCTCGTGCATTTCGCTCCAAGCTACATCATACAACCCATCCTGCGTGTCAAAGCTGAGGAGCGCGAGGTGCGGCAATCAGCGGTTCAGCTTCTCACCAAAACACGGCATCAACACCATCCCCGAGTACCCAGCCGCATCTTTTGTGCGCTGCTGCTGCCTTTCCATGACCAACGCCACCACCGAGCTCCTGACTCACCCCTTCTCTACTCTGATTCCAGCTGCTCCACCTCCCCTTCCTGCGCCCCCAATCGCTCCCGTGCCAAATATGTGCACCCGACCATTGCCCACCAGGCCATAATTGGCAGCTCCTGCAAGGGCTAACTTGTCGGGATAGAAAGGAGACCAAGCCAAGTTGTAACCTGCGAAGCCTTGAGTTGGAATGCGTGCTATTAGGGGTGCGGAAAGCGAGGAAGCAGCTGGTGGAGGACGTAAAGGGGGCGGAGCAGCACTTCCGCCTCCTCCTGGTGGTATACTTGACATTTCAAGTCTAGAAAGCTAGGATTCCGCTCAGCCAAGTGGAGGACCTGTGGTGCTCATTCAATTCGGCCTCAGCAGTCGGGGTTCCAGTGTGAACGTGTGCTCCGGTGCAGCTTCTAGCTTGCGAAGTCTTGCTTGCTCCCGTGCGCTTTGATCCCTGCCGCAAGTGATTCCAGACGAAGTGATCCGCTTCCCCCCTTGACCCTCCGAGTCAACGTGAGAGACGTGTGCGGTAGTGGGAGGTGAAGATTGAAGGCTCAATGCACGCTGCAGAGGATGCGAAGTCGTCGATTTCGAGTCAAAAGCAACAGAATTCAGATTCCGAGCTCTGCTGATGCTGCACGTATATACGCTCCACGCGTTTGCACGTCCGTGCGCGTGTGGATCGCCTGCCTTTCGCACGTCTCCAAAGACACCAGAGCGAAGTCAGATCGAGCGGGCAGGCTTGCCACGCCAAGCCGTGCCATGCTTCTCTTTCCTCTCTGCACGCATTCACTTCAATCACACCGCCACCCTCGTAGGACAGGTTCGCAGAGGGCGTCGCTGATGCACTGCAAGCAGCATCGAGGCTGACCTCGAAAGGAAGAAGGTGCCGACGCTCGCGGCGACGAAAGGATGCCTCAAGTCGACGCTGAAGAATTTCATGCAGCGGTGTACGACATTTGTCGTCTGATTGTGAGCTTCAGATGCGTTGCCGCTTTCGGGGGGCATACGCGCGCACCTCAGACAAAGCTGAACTTTCGCCTTGCGACTTTGCCCTTGCTGAATTGGGTTCATCATGCAGCCGCGGGGACGAGTCACTTCGTACGGCCACATTGCCAAGCTCGCTGGACATCCCAATCGTAAGTCAGCGAGTCCCCTGATCCTTCCAGCATGGAGCGCAGCCAGACGGAGCTGAGGCCACTATTTCTGATTCACGTCTCGCTCAGATTCGCGCATGGTGGGAACAGCGCTGGCCTTGCTAGGTCAGGAAGCTTCTCTGGATGCCTTGCCGGGCGAGGGTGGCGGCCACAATGTCCCTTGGCAGAGGGTTATATCTTCCAGCGGACTCATATCCCTTCGTGGTCCTGGAGATGTCGGAGCTTCGAGGCAAGCAGAGAGACTTAGAGCCGGTGCGTACTTTGCCGAGCTAGCATGCATTTCGAGCCCGCACTCATGGCTTGATCTGCATGGCTCGTCTCGCACTCCTAGAAGGAGTAGAGGTGACACAAGCGCCAGGAATTAGTCAGTATAGAGTCAGCTTCTCGGATAGCGCTGGTTACGCTTGGTGTGAGTGAAAGGTACTCCTTACTATCACGCCGAAGAGAAGGTTCCACTAAGTGTCTTCTCCTTCCGCTGGTCCATTCACACTACACATATGCTCCCTCCCCAGTCCCCGCTTCTCTTGCGGAAGCCAGAGCTCTGGCTACGACAACGTGACGCTCCACTCGCAAACTTTGGCGAAAGTCTTTCTTCATTTGGCACGTTTATTTGTTTATACCACAAGCTACAGCCAGACGCCTTTAAGGAGCTTTTACGTCCCCGGACCTCGGGAAGCAAGCGATGTGAAGGACGTGAGGAGACGTATCCTTCATCCTCGTCGAACACGGCATGCGGATAGCACGCGCCGGGCAGGTGACACGGCTGAACTTCGCACTTCAAGCATCAGGTCGAGCGCTGGCTTTTAGTAGCTGCAGAAAGGGTCGGCAAGCGCGATCACAGCCAGCGCATCTGCCTCTTACGATGATCATTCCCACGCACATCAGCGTCGTCCAAAAACTTTCGTCTGAGAAGCGTCTTGCATGTGTAATAATCGGTCGAGAACGTGGAAGCAAAGCACGCGTGTCCATACAAATTGCAAAAATGTCCGTGACGTGGAGCGATGAGGCATGAGAGACGACGAGATGAAGAAAGCAGGTGTGAGCCTCAAGTCGGAAACTCAGGCGTCAAAGCGAATTATGAGAACAGCTAACTTTTGAACAGGGGACGCCGAACAAGAGACTTCAGTAGGTGTGCGAGGGTCAAAAGTGTTTTCTCGCTAGCCGTCCTTTTCTTCGCTCCTCCTCATCATCCGAATCCTCCACTTTCCCTCGAGGATTGAGGAGCTCCTCCTCCTCCTCGCCTTCCACAGCTTCCTTGTTCCTCGCTCTGAAAGATCCCGAAGTGGCGCCCGGAAACACCTTGTCCGTCCTCTCCCTGGTGCTGCTCGGGGAACTACTGATGCCACCAGCAGAGTCTTGCGTCGCGTCCAATGATAGCTCCGCAATGGACTTCTCGGACGGCGTGAGACCCGGCATCGGGGCGTCCCACATGGTTCTCAGATCAGGTGCAGCTGTGGAGCGCGAGAGAGATCCTTGCTGCCTAAGCGAGTCCGGCAGTGGTCTGGGACCACCTACAGACCGGATGCTTGGGCTTGCGGGCTTCTCGTTTTCGTTGACCTCTTCTATAGAGTCGCCACGGACCGGAGTTGATCCTGCTCTCGGACTCAAAGGGCTCAAGAAGGATGCGGGTTCCGTCTTGTAGATGCTTCGTTGCGGTGCATTGCTGGTGCTGTTGCTAATGTTCGATGCTCTGGAAACGCTGCGCAGCGGCGCATCACCCGCGTGATGGCCATGGGGATTTTCGGAGCCTTCTGCAAAGCTGATTGCAGTATCACGCTTCGCAGGCATGCCTAGCGCTGGCATAGTGTAGTGTCCGGGTGCTTGATTCGTGCCTCGGCGCACTGGCGCATCGTGAAGCTCGTACCTCTCCAGATCGCGCCTGGAAGACGTATTCAGCATGCCGTCCTCATCCGCGTAGGCGTCTGCGGAAGCATGCAGCTTTCTCGCAGATCGTGCTCTGATGAGACTGCCCACCACGCCCATACCACCTCGCACTGCATCCACGCCAGGGTCATCTAGTCCCTGCGTGCCAAATTGCGAGCCCTTCTCGCCCCCATGCCGCGAGACCATAGACCTCGAGGCTCGAATGAGAAGTGTCGTTTCTCTATCCAGAGGTGTGCCATCCTTGTTTGTGAGATCTTCAGGGTCGATCTTGCTGAGCTGCAGCAGGGAGATGCCTGCACAGATCGTCAAGAACCCCAGCACGATTGTGACAATGGCAATCGCGTCTGCATCTAGACCTTGGTAGAGCACGATGCTGGTGACCAGAGTGCAGAAGGTGAAGATGACGTAGTAAGTGGGAGTGACCATGGCGGTGTTGAAGAGCTCCAAAGCTTTGTTGAGATAGTTGATCTCTATGAGAAGCGTAACGATCACGAATACGAGCAAAACGTAGAAGAACCAATGTGTGAGCTGCATGCTCCCTCTGATGGTGAGGATCACTGCGCTTCCAATGCCGCTGATGGTGCTGACACTTAGTCCACCTATCAAGGAACAGATGGTGATGGGGATGAGCATCTGCTTCTTGCCGTATCGAGGAGTCGCCCAAAAGATGAGAATCAAGCTGCCAACAATGCATACACCCATCCAGCTCAGAAAGCCAGGAGCGATAAATAGATGCATGAAGCTCTTGATGTCTCCGGCCTGATGCGACGAGGGTGCATTGATAGCGATGACTGTCGACCCGACGATGCACTGTTCGACACGAACGTGCCACTGTGTAAGCCTTATATGCTATCTCGCTGCCCGGTTGCAAAATCGAGACCCACTAGTGCAGCACCCAGCTTTCCAAATAAAGCTACAAGGGCCACAGACGTGCGTAGTGGTGGGTGAGTGAGCTGTCGGCGAGACAGTGTCTAATGAACCTTTCCTAATCGTTCCGTCACTCACTGAGCTTCTCCTTGAGAAAGATGGAGGATAGAATGGCACAAATGACGACGGAAAGGGCTCCAAGCGGCGTGACCAATACGGCCGAAGACACAGCGTACGCTACGACATTCAGAATTTCTCCCAGGATCTGCAAAGGTGATGAACAAAAGCCGCCAGCAGAGATGAGTGTGAGCGCCCATGATCCCATCAGCAAACGCGAGCTAGTCGCCTCTCTCTGAAACTTGTTGTCATTGTTTGGGGTGCAAGCAGCTGGCGCTGTGCAAAGCTGAAGGCGATACTCACCATGAGGATCATGCCGCTCCACCACATCCAGCTCTTGAGGTACGCATGCCCCTCTCCCGCTTTCTGGCCATGCAACTTTTGACTGGCCAAGAGGCCCTTCTTCTTGAGCACAAAGCTAGATCCGATGAACAGTCCAGATCCTACAGCGAGTGCGATTCCCACGTATTGGAAAGCTGGAGGGTTGGAGCCGCTTCCGCTGGCTATTGCGGATTCGCTCGATAGAGCTTTGGAAGCTGAGGCCATGGCTGCGGAGAGCGATGACATGGCTGCTGAGGCTGAAGATGTTGAGCCTGGAGCATCAAGGGAGCTCGCGCTCGGCAGCGCTGATGAAGCGGCTGGCAATGTCATTGTGATCGGGGTGGTAGCGCTCATCTTGGGCAGCCCGCTTGGCGCTTCAAGCAGCCGGCTCGGATGCTATGCTGCAATGTGGCGGATCGCGCAAGAAGATGAGTGGGACCCTGCTCTGTGATTGACTTCCTTGTGCCTCTAGTCGCAGGGCAACATTGCTGAGCAGCAATCTTTGGTAGATGCTTGCAAGTGTTTCTTCGTGCGTGACGATGACGATGACAGGAAGAGGAGCGAACAGAAGCCGTGCTGCTGCGAAACTTCAACTTCGGATGCGCGATCACCCTCATCGGTCGGGGCTCCATTGTGGTTGTGATCGTGAATTCTAAGTGCATGGCACGCATTCTCGCGCTCGGCGCGCATCACTTACTTGGTGCGTAAGCAGCTACACACAGACGAGAGAGAGAGAGGCCCCTCTTTGGAAGTATGCGTGCGTGCAGCAGCGTGATCGCTTCGTGTGCGCAAGCGCGTTCCATCTGACGCTGTTGGGCCTCAGCGCCGCGATGAATAACCGTCCGCCTATATAGCTGCGATCGTGCGCACGGCTGATGCAACGAGCCCCTCGTGTTAATCTTGGCGGCTCGACTGCAGCTGCTATATCCAGCAGACATCAGCAGCGTCCCTGCTGCTGCTGGACGAGGCGGTGCAGGCACCCTCACTCAATCCAAGTCGAGGCCGGAGGATAGCGCAGAGGCGGGCGAATCTCTCTCCGCCGCCATGCATGCAGCATGCACCGCTGCAGGTCCTCGAGCCGTGTAGCGGGCGGCAGGGACCCACGACTCACGACTTCACCCTCTCTCATCAATCAGACTCGATCGTGACTGGCAACACAGCCTCTGCCGCCGGTCGTCCCGCAAAGCCAGATGGAGGTGGTGCCACGAGTTGTTTCTGCTGATTAACAGAGTTTCACATATCCATGAGATCGACGTCGACGACCCGACGACAGCCAATTTCACACTCAAGGTCACTCCATCTCACCGATCGCCGAGGGCCAGAAAGCACGCTCCTCCCTGCACTCCATGCTTGCTCCTGACCACGCTTCGAAGGAACGGTCAACAGTCTCCACACTCGCTTGGAGATCCACCAATTCGTCGCTGAACTCAAGATCGATCAGACGAGCGGACGGCAAAGAATCGCGATGGTGAAGCTCAGTACCTTTTGAAGTCGGATCATGACGTCACGCTGCGTCGCGCTCTTGTATCCAGCTGGTTGATGTCCTCGTCATCGATCATGAAGGATCGGGTCAGAAGCAGATCGACATCAGTTGCGAATGTTTCAATGAGCGTGGATAGTGGAGACAGAGAGAGCGGCAAAAAATGCTCAATGTCACAGGTCTTGTAGCGAATGTCCGAATGAGGGGGGTGAGACCGTACTGCTTCGGCCGTTGTGCGATTGTCCAAAATGGATATGACTGCGAGGGAGAAGGTAGGAGAACAGATAGGAGGGCGCCCGAGATTGTCCAGCTGAACGAAGACTGTCCAAGATGCGCGTCAGGCGAACGACGAGGCTAGCATCCATCAACGAGGCTATTCTTGGGCCACGCTTTGGGCCACACGGTCACGTTAGGATTGTAGTACACATCCTTGTGCCTCTCGATGAAATCTGAGGTAGGATGATCCGGCGGGCTGCAGCTTACGCGTTCAGGCTGGCCATTCTTTTGGTAGACGCGCACATAGTCCACCTTCATGGTCGCGGGGAAGTTCAGCGTGTCGAAGACGACGTTCTGAAAGCCTTGGGAGATGCCAAAATTGATGACAATCTGCGAACCAGCGAGCGAAGGAAAAGGTTCAAAATCTCCAGCATCCTTTCTCTTGATCGTCGCCTCATCACTCACGCTCATGGGCTCTGTCGGCACATGACGCTGGCCAACACCAATGTCTGCATTTGCTGGCATAGATTTTCCATCCATTCGCCAAGTTGGCTTGCCATCGACGTACCACGTCAAGAAGCCGCCGCCGTTGAGCTCAAGATCTGGCGAGTACTCTAATCCGAATTTTGTAAACGTCGGATTGTCGGCCAGCTCATACGCCTTCTCAGGAATGTTGGACACTCCGGACTGCGCCTCTAGTGGACGACAAAGGAGCGTTGAGCGGCATCGGCGTCATACTCAGAAAGATAATAAAAAACCATAAAACAACAAACACAGCAGCATCGACTCACGCTGGTAATTGTCCCCAGTATAGTCGTTGAAATGGGTGACTGATTCGTCGTAGATGGTAGCTGCGTTCTGGATACACTTGTGCCCTACGTCAAAAGCAGCAACCTGTTGTCATACAAAGGGCACGTCCTCGATCAGCAGTGGCTCTTTTTGCGGCTGTGCCTCCAACCCACTCGCACGATGCTTACTTGGAGACTCTGCGATGCCTGACCGACACCTTTTTGTGTCTGCGCTTCGAGACCGTCTATCTCAGGCGCAGCTCTCGCCACGTCGTTCGATGGCCCAGGGTGGTCTTCGCCCGGGCAGGTGCACGACGAATAACGCATGCCTGGCAGCCACGACAAGCCGGTCTTTCCATACAGCTTTGCTGTAGATATCGACTCTGGTAAGCCATCTGGAGTCGTCTGGTTGGGTCGGATGCCAGTATCACAGCCAGAATAGCTGTAGGGCCAAGTGCCTTCCGTCGTGCCCAAATATCCCGGTCGTCCTAGATTGCCTGAGAGCCACGCACCAGGCCACCAACCTTGGGTGTCCGGAGAGCCAGGCAGAATAGCTGAGTACTCGATAAAGCCACCTTGGAAACAAAATTTGTTCCAAGACTGTAGCATGGCGCTGCGGAAGTTCAGGTCGTGGGCAGGTCGGTCGCTCATGGTGATCTGCAAATAGCCCGACGTCGTATTGATCTGCTCAGGCATGTACCACTCGTAATCTTTAGTTGCACCATACCAAATATCGACGGCTTCCCAATACGGGTCGTCGCCTGGCCAGAAGGTGCGACCAGGAACTTCAAATTCGTCAGAGAATACCAGGTGGTAGTCTTCGCCATCCGGATTCTTCCACGACCAAGCCTCCGGAGGTGTGTCGTGGTCTCGGAAATTCAACGCGTTGACCACTATGGGCAGCTGGCCCGACCCATTCACACCAGCAGGAATCTGTCCATTGAGCTCGTCGAAATGCGCGAGTATCGGGTAGCCCGCAAAGAGTCCCAACAGGCCGAGTACGAGCATGATCAGAGTGCCGACGTTGAGCAGTCCTCGTAGGGAGATTCTTCCTCCGTCAAAGTGCCGAGAATAGCCTCGTCTGTAGTCCGAATGATGAAGAAAGTCGTCCGCTTCGGGACCAGCAGAAGCGCAGTGGAGCGGCGAGCGCTGATCGTGAGGATCCCCGGGCACGGCAGCATAAGGTCTCGAGGCAGAGTGAGAGTATGTGCTCTTCAGCGAGGAGTACAGTCCTGGTCTCCGTTTGGCGGATTTGTGCGCAGCTGGTCTGCTTGTTGATGGCAAGGGGTCGTGCACTTCGGAGAGACTGGCAGCGTTACTCCATGAAGCAGCCCCGCGCCCCCCTATGCCTCCCATCGAGCCGTGTCGAATGTGACTGTACGGTCCGAGATCGCCAGACGCAGAAAGAGCGCTACTTGCGGCAGATCCTACCGGGAGGCTTTGAAGGGTCGCTCTTGGACGAGGCGCTGCACTGCGTCCCGCCCGATTCTGGCTCGCATACGCGGGAGTCGCGCTCTGAAGAGCTTGCCGACGATCCATGGCGACGGCGAAGCTTTGCTCTTCGAAGGTGTTTCTTCTGAAGGCCGATTTGGTCAGATCCAGACAAGACTCGGCCAAGTTCAAAGTATGAGTGAGAGTTCACTACGTGGATGGCTTCTATGGGGAACATAGAGCACCTAGAGCAGACCAGTGAATGGCTGCAAACCTTGGAGTACAGCCGGTCCTTTCTTCACGGATTCGCCAGCGACCTTGGACGCCAGCTTCGAAGAGTGCAAGACTGCGTTTGGACGAACAATTACTACTGGCACATTTGTTCTCGGACTCTGGCTGGTGCCGTGGATCAACCCCAGTCGCACGCCCGCATATTTGACAGCCCTGTATCCACACGCCTAGCTCGCCTTCACTCTTGATGGCATCGACCAAGACACCTTGCACGCAATATCATCGCGTCAGCGGGTCTCCGTGGCAGAATGCTAGCTAGCTCGCTCTACGTCTGGTCCTAGCGGTCAGGACATCGACCGATTCGCATGAAAGCACCGTGGCTTATTTGGCGTGTCCCTTGAAGTCTACCAGGTACCACGTCTATGCCTAACGGATCTTCGCCATGATGACTACCACTGCCGAGCATTGCGGAAGACAACGGGCAAGTTGAGTTGGCCCATAGCACTAGCCTTGGGGTGTAGAGTGAGAAATGAACGAGTACGCAGGGAGTCTGCAATCGGCCGAGTTGCACCCGCAATTGCTGCGCGAATTTGGCGGATGGTCTTCGCTCTCTCGTGAAGAGGCATCTAGACAGACGACATCTGCGCCCTCTACGCAGTGCTGTGGATGGACAGCTTTGCTGTGATGTTGCGGAGATCTGCAAAATCCCGCTGGACGTATCTTGCACCCATTGCAGAAGGGCCTCACCAAATATGCCGAACAGGTTCAGATTGATGCTTGGCGCATACGTTTTCCTCGCAGCACATGCGAATAGTCACAGTTCCTGCGGCAACGGCAGGCTCCATAGCCACGAAGCTTGGCTGACGTCGGTGTCTTTCTACATCCCTGCGGTGGCGCTCGGTGTTTCTGAGTCTACGTTGAGTCGCCGAGCTTCTACGCCTCGACACGACCGCGGCAAAAAAGCTCACGACGGACTTTGACTCTTGCCCGCGCTCTGACTCGTTATCATGTGGTATTGACGATGGCCATTGCTGCGATGAACGCTGATACGTGCAGTCTCTAGTGCAATCGCTGGAGACACGGACATCCGACGCGTCGGCAGGCGTGCGCTGCACTGCTCTACAGAAGCGCCTGGCGAGTATGAAGTGAGGCTACACATCTCTCCAAGATGGCTGTGCAACAAATGTAGGTACGCTGCGATCGCGCTTTCCCCCTGACAAGGAGGGGGTAGTGGGTCTGCACCCCAGATCCAGAACCGTAGAGCAGCTGCAGGGCAGCGGCATGGAACACGACGATGCTTGCGGGTGCACTTCCATCTGCGTTCGGACGCAGAGTCGCACCCTTCCTATGCAGATGCTCGTTGGGTGTGAAAATCGTAGATGAAAGCATCGACGAGCAGAGGCTTGACAAATGCTACAAAGTCGAGATGGGCCGCGTCTGTTTCGAGATAGTGCTTGACATGATCTGCGTTGTTGAAAGTGACAATAAAAGTGTGCTGTGATGAGGTTGCACGGCCCGATACGAAAGTAGTCAAAAGGGGGGTGTGAGAATCGTGAATGTTCGGATGGCGAGAAGATGGATGAGATAGACACGCGTACAGGCGTATGAGGCATCGTGACACTCACATCGAAGCCTTTACCCGCGCCCTCTGGACTGATGTTGGCATTGCCAGCTATCACATCGGCAATGTATGCGCTGCCATCTTGTAGCTTGCAGAGCGAGCGCAGGTCAAGGAACCGCTCAAAGACCGATTGTCTGGTGGCCAGGTCCACTGTTTCCGCGTAGCGAAAGGACACGATGTGCGTGAGGGTCATCTTGCACGGCTTCAAAGCGAAGAGTTTGGTGAACTGTCTCCAGCAGTGGTCACGATTACAGTATTCAGGCTGTGAATGCAGTGGCAAGACCCGAGCCGTGAGTGGAGTGCAAGGATGATAACGTCAGGGTGAAGGAGCCGACGAGAGCGCGCGCTATGAACCCGCCTTCAGCATCCATCAGCATCAGCATCCATCATCCATCACGCGCGCACGGTCCGACGAGCCACCGCGGTGCATGTTCCCATGTGGAGGGAGCGCGCCCCTGCTGCTCTCATTCCCCTGACTCGTAACTATATAGATACCGGTACCTACAATCTCCGCCATAGGTGAGCTGCATGCGCACACGACGACTCTCTGGGACTCGTGATCGTAATTGCATCCTCGTAATCCGCCTCGAGCGCTCATACATCCACCATCACCGCAATTCTCTAGTCACCGGCCATTGCTTCTGTCGTGCGACCGTGGCATTCGTCCAAAACCGGCATCGCAGCCGATCTGAAGGAGATTTCGCAACAGAAGAGTATCGCCACGACCAATCCGTCATCCAAGCATGTCCATTCGTTTTCACGCTCGCACGCCTCTGCTGTCGCTCTGGCACGATCCTAACTCGCCAGAATCAGTGCGGCTTCTTCAAGAGCTTCACAAGCGACTCTCAGCTTCCTCGGCCTCCAAAGCCGGACGATCCGTCGCAGATGCTTCGCGCTCCGAGGCTCAGGGTTACTTGGAGCTTGTAGCCCGCTCCGCTCCCGGCTCTGAAGAGCCATTCGCAGAGTTGCAAATCATCGATCGACACTCTAATCCACCTACAGAGACTCAATGGCAGTCTATCCGGTCTTACCTGCCCGCGCACGTCGCCACACCCAGCGCATTCGTCCAAGGCGCCATCGACTCTGCAACGATGCAAGGCGCGGCCACTGCTTCTGTAGAGCACGCTCACGGAAACGATGGTCGACAGACACACCCGGCGGCAGTGGGCAGCGCAGCTGCACCGCCCGACGGATCGGTCAGGACGAGGATCAGAGAGGCGAGAGCGTACAAGCCTCAATCTGCCGTGCCTCTTGCTTCCGAATCCACCTCTCCAGCTTTGGCGAGCGAAAAGGAACCTTACGCAGCTACGCCAGTACAGCCGATTGCTACTCAAAATGCAGAGATGCAAAAAGCGACGGATCTGTCAGGCGTGGACGAGGACACTTCTGCACTGCCTGTCAGGTTGAGACCAGGACCTATCCTCGTGGCTTGGGATGATGGAGTGGCCGCAGCAGACTGGGCTGGGGCCAAGGAGATCTTGGACAGGTTGGAGAAGCGAAATCAAACAAAGGGCGCTGGACGAGGGTCCAGCTGCGTCATAGCGTAGCAAGGCGACAAAGGCTGGTCACCGAGAAAAGGGGTCAGGCAGACCGCACCGGAGGGCGCGCGAAGCGACGACGTGCCCATCGGGCCTCAAGCACCACCTTTCGATCCCACATGTACTCTATGGCTTCCTTTGTGTACACCAGCGTCCACATGCGCAATCCTTTCTGCACGCGCCACCGCAACTTCTTGTTCGATCCGAGTTTCACATGTGATTGTGCCTCCAAATTGACGAGCGTCGAAAGCTATAGTTCCATCGTCCATGCAGCAAGCGCGAAACCCAGCAATGTAGAGTACATGGTGGACAGTCTAGATGGCGCCAGCGCCGCGGAGCATGCCTTCAAGTATACCCAGATCCTTGTGCAGTGCAATCAGATCGTCAGCGCCTCCAATCATCTGTCCGCCGAGGAAGATCGTGGGAAACTGTGATGGAGGAGACCTTGGGTCAGATCAACAGCATTGCAACGCCGAGCACGATGATCACAGCATTTGACCACTCACAGTCGCATGACCACTCGAGAGCAAAGTCATGACGCTCTTGACTTCCTCGGGATCTTTGCGCAGATCGACCTCGATCGGATCGAATTTGGCACCTAATTCTCTGAGCAAAGCCTTGGCCCGAGCCGAAAAAGGACAATAGGTCTTGCTAAAGATCACGAGAGGCGGGAGGTGCTTCTTTGCCCAAAGCGCTGGGGATTGAACATACTGACACGAAGAATCACGAGTTTGGTCTACTGCATCAGCGACACCCTGTCGAGACTTGGAGCGCCAGACACAAAGCGGCATCGAAGCATCGCTCACCTCGTCCGCTTCCTGTTGCCCGCCGCTACCCTTGCTCAAAGCTTCCACCACCTGCTTACCGGTCGGGTCGACCAGGCGCTGTCTAGCCGCTGATCTCTGAGGAACCGTCCAGTCGGGATCCTTGAGTAGCCTCAAGAGCATGACGAGTCTAGTAGGCACATCTGTCAACTTGGGTGGTCTGGTGCTCGAAGTTGAGCCTTTCCCATCCGATGACAACTTTGTATTCGCTGGCAAAGGCGCATTCTGCTCTTGAGCGAGAGAGATGAGAGCAGGTGCGGGCTGCAATCCAACTCCTGCCAAAGGGGTGCCGAAAAGTCTATCTTCCTCGACGTGCGGCAAAGGACCCAATCGAGCAATGCTGGCGTTCTTATCCGCACCCGTCACAGGTCGCATGCTGTCCTTGACCCATCGTATGCCGCTACCAATGACAGCAGGCTTGGAGTGGTTCAAGAGCAAAAGAAGAGTGATGGAGGCGAATAGGAGGAACAAGACTGCTCTTCTACGTCGCAAGAAACCTGGTAGACCCAAGCCGCCAGCGCCTGAACCGGCCGATGCTGCGTGGTTGGACTTGCCACGAGCGGAACCGGCAAGAGCAGGCGATGGCAATGGAGACTGTGGCGCCATGTTCTGTGAAAAGGCCAGATGCTCAAAGTACGACAAGGTTTGCCGCGCGCGGTCGGGTGTGATGGTGCTGAGATGACTCGTGAAAGTCATACAGGAGCGACGTAGGCACGGCGGCTCGCGGCGACTCGACACGCAGCAGCGCCGAGCGCTTCCGTTTCGATTTCATGCATGCGCATGGCAGCGCCACAGCGCCGCGCGTGGAGCCGCGTAGCAGCTCGATTATTCGTGATTTTCAAGCTCATCCACGATCACATGCTGCCAATTCCCCAGCTAAGACGACGCGGTTCGGCAGGGTACACAGCACGGTCCAGAGGCGTTTCGCGGGATGGCAAACTTTTCAGTCGATTGTGCTGGTGCCAAACTTGCCAAGGACAGATCACTCATGCTCACAAACACGATGCAAGAGTCTTCGCTCCCACTTGGGACCACAGAAACTACAGTCCTGCTCGAGAGCGCCCAGCGGGTATACTTTGCTTGGCACTGTCGTCGCAATTGCCTCAGCCTGTGCTGAATGCTTACTCAGCCATCAAGCAAGGAATTTTCCCCAGGTCTCTGCATGCTCATTACTTGGCGACATTCTCGTCGTCAGGGTAGCCCGCGACCCGGTTGTTGCAGCGCCGTAGCCCCGAACGAAGGTGCGGCAGCAATCTTGGGATCCGTGGTGGCCCACGGCCAAGTGTCGTACAATAACACAAAGGGCTTGTTGTAGTGGAACCGCACGAGTGGGGGGAGCAGACGTTACGTTTTCCACTCTATCTTAGGTGACGCATGTTGTTGTAGTCGAGAAGGATTGATCAGGAACAGGGATGCTGGAATGCGTCTTGCAGGCAGTCTGATGTGCAGGTCTTGGACTGGTATCGCGCGGAGTTGCAGATGATGTGAGCGCTTTGATCACGACGCTTCTGAAACGATGGCGCGAAAAAGGTCGTTGGGATGGCTTTTGGTGGAGTCGTGATGTGTCTTTCTGGTGCACGTGCTGGGTATCGCTTGGCGGAATGGGGAGAAGAGCAAGTGGAGGTGAGGCTGTGCCTGCGAACGAGGTCAGCGAGCAGCCTAGCCGCGAGAGTGTGACTTCGACTCTGGGCCAGGAGCCGAAGGCACGCCTGTCCCGTGCAGCCCGAATGAATCGTGCACGTCGGCATGTCCCGTCTGACTGGTAGGTCGATCACCGGCATCGCGAGAGATTTTGGGTTCTAGCTTTACGCGGCTTCGTTGCGCATCTGGACTAGTATGAGTGCTCGTGCTGGTATTGTCCGTGTTGTCCATAGATGGATCCTCCATGATATTGGTGTACTGATTCGTACCACTCGTTCCATCTGTCATGTAGTCATCTTCGGCAGCCGGCCAGGAAGTGCCAAAACTCTCGCCAACGTCCATCACATCCTCTTGCAGCTCGTCAGTGTATTCTCCCGTATCTTCGCGATAGCGCTCCGCTTCCTCCATCACCTCGGCACACCACAGCGCAGATTGGCGTTCGACGCCTGCCAAAAACTCGTCCAATTCCACAAAGTTACTGTCGTTGAGAGCAAATCGGCGGTGCTTGTTCGAGGCAACGTGCTGCGGAGCCAAAGTCTATCAGCACGACTGACAGCGCAGGTTCTTTGCACGATGGCGACTCACTTCATCAAAGTCGTCGTACTTTGTTCTGCAATTCTCGCAATTGCCAGGCTTGGACTTTGGTGCCTCCTTGTCTTTCGCCGCCAGGGCTTGCCTTTGGGCTAGGCCGGTCGCGGTGCTCACGGCGCGACGCATGATACCTCTGGGAGAGATATGACTGGCAAAGGTCATGTGACGGGGGAGTGCTGAAGCCACGGCACTCCCTGCTGGGCCTGCCAATGGGCTGGGAAGTCCACGATCAGTCAGGGTCACCAGTCTGCGATCAAGAGCTCCTTGACCCGCAAACCCAATGGTGTGAGTGCCGGCAGCGGCGGAAGTCGTCGAGTGGATGTTGGACGTCAAAGCGATGCTGTTGCCTGAGGCCATTGGATAGGGCGAGGCTCCGCGCATCGAGGCTGCTTCAGGCCGAGCCTTTTCCAAATTAAAGGGCACTGGCTGTGGCGAGTGGCTTCCGTGTTTGAGCCTCGAAGATACAGCTCCTCGCGCCACGTCAGTCATCGACCTGGTACGTCTCAGAGTCTCATGGCGATTCGCAGTCGCGCGTGCATTTGGCCTCGACTCCCATCGCGTGAAGGGGCACCGACCCTCGCGCTGACCGTACAATTTGGGCCACGGTGGGTCTTCGTCGGCTCTGGGGCGCTTGAACTCTTGCGTGAAAAGAACTCGGTGCTCGCAGGTGGCATCTTCTACCAGAATGTAGCAGCTATTCTTGTCAAAGTAGTGATAGTCGGAGCGTGGTGCAGTAGGGTCGCGCTCCGAGGTCCCTTGCAGCTTCTCCTGCTGTAGCATCTGCGAGAGATTGCGGCGACGCTTGTCAGAATCGTGAGCTTGAGCGGGCACTTGGGCTCCGTCGAGCGCCGCAATGATGCTGCAGAATTCTGGACAAGCGGACAGCAGCGGTGTTAGGTATCAGCGAAACAAATCTTCGGGCGCCATTGTCTCCTACGTACTTTCATGGGACCATACGCGAATATTGAAGTCGCGGGCTTTTCTGACAATGGAGCTTTCGGGAGGAGCAGGCGTTGCCTCTTCGAAGGGGTTGCTCCCAGAGTGCAGTGGTTGCCTGGATGAAGAGCGAAGAGCGCCCAAATGAGAAAGGTTGTATATATGCTCAACTCGTGCACGCGCGATGCTCACTGTCTCGATTCACGTGCCAGCTTCGTTGCACCGGGGCGATGCGCCGACCTTGTAGACCGTTCAGCTCCATGGTTGGCCCTTGTTTCGACAGAACCGCCTGGAGTCGCCTTGAGGAGTGCCTGCCGCAGGGGCTCTGGAGCTCGGCGCGACTGATGCTTGTGCGCCGACACGAGGTGGGTGACGTCTTTAGAGAAGAACGGGGCCACGATCTGACGCACGGGAGCTAACGCATGTCAGCTCGCGCGGCTTCGTAGAAGCTCAAAGGAGCAAGACTCACCGCGCCAAATCGCTTCGCATTTGTGCTTGCTTCGACCAGGTCCGAAGGACTCAACTCGTCAAAGTAGAGGATGAAGGTTGGGAAGCTCTTGGCGTACTTTCTTCTCCACTCTCCGTCGGCTTCCCTTTTGCTTGCTTCGCGTGACGCGCCGTCGTGCGTCTTTGCACCGGACTGCTTGAGGAAGCGAGATGTGGTTACAGGTGCGGGCTGAGAAGTCTTGGGACTGCGCGCCGCTTCTTGCTGCTTCACATCTGCGAGAGTACGTGCCAGCTGAGAATGTATGCGCGATCCGTGTTGCGCATTTGATGACGCTTGGACAAGCTCTTGAGGCTGATCATGCATTGTTACTTCGACCAGGTGACCTGTCACGCTCGCTGTGGTACTTTCTGAGTTTTTTAGCGACTCGTCCGTTGCCATGCGGCGGCGACGAGAGCTGCTATCTGAATCTTCCTTTGACGAGCGGCTTCGCTTGTTGGGGCTTTCACCCGTCGCAGTAGCCAGGCCGTCCATTTCGTCATGTTGGCCGGCCTGCACCCTGTTGCGGCAATGTACATCGTCCTGCGGGACTGCACGCTTCCTGGGCGTGCGAGGTACAGGGTGCACAGGAGTTGGAGCAGGCTGCAGGGTAGCGATCTGTCGCTTCTCCGAAATGATGGGCTTAGGAAGCCTGGAGACCGGTCGCTCGGCGGGGGCGGGGGCGGGTGTGATGGCGGCTTCTTGATCCGCATGTATGCGCTTGGTCGATGATGAGGCTGCGAGATCCACAGAAGGCCATTGAGGAGAGCGTGTCATGCATACAGCTCGTTGGACATCAGCCGCCGGGCTTGGCTCTTTGTTCTCTGTCGGTGCGATGGATGCGCTCCTCGTGGCGGGCGCCCATCGCGCTCCGGCAATTCTTGGTTTGGAGGGACCGGCCGCTGCAGTATCCTGTTGAGTTGGATTTGTATTGGCTATCGTGTTCTTCTCCGCAAGAGGTCTGCGAGGGGCCTGCCTCGGGACCGGAGCTGGCCTTCGCCCAGTCATGGTGCTCGAAAGCTGCTGAGCGGCAAGATGACGTTGGCGAGATCTTTGACGTCGCTAACAGCTTACGTCGCTCTCAGCTGGCTCCGAGCAGCGCATGCGACATGCCTCAACAATGTGAGCTCCACAGTGGTAGCAGCATCCAGTGGATACGAAAGTGGAATAGCCTGTAGGTACTAATGGCCTTGGCCTCTATTTGCCAAAGGAGGCGGCCGCGGACAGGGTCAGGGCCGTCTGCGTATGGATGCGACGTCGAGCTTCGTGGTGGCAAGATTCTCGAGGCATGGAACTGGCTTTTGGAGGACAGCAGTCGTCGATTGGGCTGCAGGTATACTGTTGTCGACGCTCCGAGAGAAGACAGGAGGGTGTTCGCAATTCGCGGTCCTTGACTTGTGCGCTGACAGCGCTGCAGCGCTGTATGTACAGGTAGGTATAGGCGCGTGTTGGTTTGTTTGGCTACTGCATGCTCGTCCGGCGCTCTGGCTATGAGGCTCTCGCGCGTGCATGCATGCTGGTACCCTGGCCGGCCCGCGGCGAACCAGTTAACGCGTCAACTCGATCGTCGCGTTAGGCGAACGCGCTCGTGTTGCGGTCAGGTGTTGGGTCACGCGCGCGGCAGTCTTGAGTCACGCAGCTGCCACGTTCAAATCACAATCACTGAATGTTAATTTTTGTTTTGAATTTTGAATTTTGAATCATGTGAATGAGATCATTCGTGATTCAGATTCAAGATTCACTTTCTTGTTGTGAGCGTGTGACGAAGATGAACGTTAATCTTGACTTATAGAGGCTTCGAATCGGGCGAGCCGCGTCACGCAGCTCTCGATCGATCTCTTCCAAAGTTTGAGACCTGATCCAGCTTTGTGCACCGGTCCAAATCGATTGAAGATTAAGTTGACTTGGCTCACGGAGAGACTTTGCGCGTAGATTTAAACCCTCCATGGAAGAAGCGCAATCGGTACTGAAGTCTTGTGTTCCCCTGGCTCCTTCTATGTCGAGATTGGCTCACGCCGGCTGATTGCTCTACACCAGAGACTCAGAAGTTTTCGAAAAGGCCCACATATAATCCGCGGCGGAAAAGGACTGGAGGCATCAGCGAATTTCTTGCCGGAGCATTGCATCAACGATTGACCAAGTCTGATGGATCAAGAACATGTCCTTGCCAACGCGGATCGTTCCGGTAGTCTGTGCGCTCCTGTATCGTCTCAAACAAGCCGACGAGGAGAGGCACTCCGTTACAGCATCAAAGAGTGCCTACGATTTGCTGGTGTCATTGAGGCACGAGGACGCATCCAACTTTGCCAATCTATGGGAATTCCCGGGCGGCAAAGTGGAGGAGGGCGAAACACATGCGCAAGCTTTGACGAGAGAGTGTCGCGAAGAGCTGGATGTTCACATCGAGGTCACGGACAACAAGTGCGTGCACGCCATCCACTTTGAGAAGTCTGAGGAGGGAGTCAGGACGCAATACAGCGTCTTCTTCTACTGGGCGCGGATGAAGTTTGACGGTCAGGTTGCAAAAGCTTTGGCCAGTCAGAAGGTGGCGTGGGTCCACTACGATGATCTCAAGACTCGGGAATTCTGCCCTGGAGACGAAACATTGATCGAGGAGCTTGCAAAAGGTTCCATAGCGCCACCCGCATGAGGTGTGTACGCGAGGATTCCCAGGTGCTTCACCTCACCCTACTGTACGCCTCGGAATCACCGTCAAGCATCAACAATCACTAATTCGGGTCATTCAGCTGCCTGAACATGAATTGAATGATGCCTCTCGAGCTCGGCGACCAAGTGACCTCGCGTGTCTCAGCATCTCGCTCTGCACGATCGTAGAAGCTTCGCAACGATTTAAGTCAACCGGCAGCGAGGCAACTTTATTTCTACGCCAATGTGGGTCTGCGTTTCCGTGACTGTGACAGCAAGTGCTGCTACTGCCGTAGGACTACTATACTGTCCACACCTGACAGCCGAGCCTGGCCATTCAGACTGTAAGATGCTCAAAATGTCCGCCAAGAAGCCGGTCCAGTTCTTATCCGAGCGTCGTGACCGGAGCCTCAGCAGCAGCTCGTCAGCTGATGTTTCTTCTTCTCGCACGAGAATCACGAATTGACTTGCTGAGCGCGCTGCACCCTTTCGAAGCGCGGACAAAATGAGTTGCTGCGTGTGCGAAATCGTGTACCGGTATTCACATTCGTGAGTCGCAGTGTGATTTGAAATGCTCGCCAATCAAAACCAGGCTCCTACAATTGGAATCGCTCTCCACTCCTGCCGTTGTTGATGTCTTTCATCCAGGGTCAGCTGACTGGACCGCAAGCCCGAATGCTTGGAAGCCAGTCGCGCCCGCGAGCCCCATCTTCCTGGCCACCATTCATGACCAGCAAACCCTAGATGCTACGACGCGCGCCGACATGAGCAGGCTTCTGACAGGTCTCGGACCCTCGACGCTCCATGCGCAGGGCTTACATATCCTGTGGGAGGTACCGGTGGAGCACTTCAATAGAGCACGCGGCAGATATCGATCTCGCCTTGGGGTGACAGCGACGGGTGTGTCCGGCGTCTCGCGTGCTGCATTCGCTCGCACATCTTCAGCGGTGCTACTCGCGCGCATCACCACTCCGAGCGTTCGGAGATGGCAACACAGTTCCGCATGGATCCTGCCGCCAAATGCAGATATGCAGACAGCTTTAGACTCTAGCGGAAAGGTTCCAGCTGCACCTTATGACCCGACACCGCTGGCAGGTAGCGCTCCTTCATACAGAACACAGATCGTCATCGTACCGCAAAAGCACAGACGAGGAAGTTCTTGGCCCAGTCACATCGACAGCGTGTCTCCCTTGTTATCTGAGCTCTCGAGCAGAAGCAAAGAAGGCGGATCGCTCGAAGGATGCAATGTCAACCTCGCAGAGCTTCTTGGGCCATCCAAGGAGCTAGCGGCATGGGAGGCAGACATTACTTCAGCCGGTGGCGCAAGCTCGACCTCTGCGCCTTTGAGAGAGTGGGATTCCGCACAGTCCAGGTTTCTGAGAGCGCCTCCGGGGGGCGCAGCGGACGAGGAGCTGTACGCAATGCTGCTGTATCGTGATGGGAAAGCTGCAAGCATACAGTCCCTTTCATTCAAGACCCTCGATCAGGGTTCTCCGCTAGCCACCAAGATCGAAGACGCTCTTTCTCACGCCAAACGGCAGACAGCTCGATCACAGCCAGAGGATGTTTCCGACATTTTCGTTTGCATTCACGGTAGCAGAGATTGCAGGTGTGGGATAGCGGGAGGTGAGCTTTGCGAAAGGCTCGAGGAGGAGACACGCAAATACCGGGAACGTACGCTCTTGGACGGCGCCAAGCCCAAAAGGGTTCGGATCTGGGGCATTGGGCATGTTGGTGGTCACAAGGTGAGCCGCTTCGCCGCCGCGCTATGATTCGACTCATCTCATTGTTCGTCACCTTTGTCTGCCTTCTGCAGTGGGCTGCAAACGCCATCGTGCAACCTAGCGGTGACTGGTACGGAAATCTACGCAATTCTGATGCACCACTCGTCTTGCGCTCTGCATTAGCCCCTCCCACATCATCCTACGATTTTGAAGACAAACGCGAAAAGCTGGTTCACTGGCCGAGGTGGAGAGGCCGGCAAGGACTTAGCAAAGAGCAGATGGCGAAAAAGTACGAGCATTGGGGCCCACCAACTGTGCAAACTGCAATCGTCGTTCCCAGAGCGCGAGCACCTGCAGCGGCGGCAAGCGGAGCGTCCAAGTCAGCAACTGGCAGCCAAGACAGCGCCACTGATCCCGTTGCTGTTGCAGCATCATCGTCGGAGCTACAAGCCACTCCTCAAGCACCAAGAGAGAGTGCAGCGACCGGTCAGCCGGTCACTTTGCGTTTCGTCGACTGGCAAGGTGAAGAGTACGAAGTGCACAGTACAGTCGGAGAGACCATCAAAGATGCTGCGAAGCGCGCCAATCTACCCTCCATCGAGGCTACCTGCGGAGGTGTCTGTGAGTAGCTGCGACGCCGTCTCCTGATCGTCTCACGCGGACACGCGCTGACACGCTTCGATGCGGGTCTTGTACAGGCGAATGCGCTACGTGTCATGTATACCTAGTGACGCCCACTCGCACTGCAGATGCCTCACTGACCGTAGACGCTCCGAAAGACGCCGCCTTACCTTTTGCTCCGAGACAACGCTTCTCTATTCAGTCACCGCCGTCTGCGTCCGCTCTGGTCGACAACCCAAAGGCAACGCCGACGGATGAAGAACAAGACATGCTGGAGTATGCGATTGGCAGGGAGGAAAGCTCGCGTTTGGCTTGCCAGCTCATTTCCACGCCTCGGCTTGCTTCTTGGATGCAAACCCAGAACGGCAGGATACTCTTGCCGAGGTTCTAACAGATGGCACTTCGCCAAGTCGCCTCGAGACCTCATTCTGATCACCACTCCATTGCTCTTTTAGAAATCGTGACATTGTATCATATGCAGGAAGCGTTACGCGCCAAGACATCGCACTTGTCCACAATCAGGGTTGCGGCACCCACGTGAAAAAGTCCAGAGGCTCGTCGAGCAACTGGCGTATGAACGCATCCAAGTCTCCTTCCGGCCCGCTTAAAAAGTCGATGGAGTTGCCAGAAGGTCCGTTGGGCGGTGCTAACGCTGGCTCACCAGCAGTATCCTGGCCGCGCGCCGAATGTTCACTGGCTAATTCGTTGGTCGTTGCTGATCGCCTCCTATCCCCACGAAGCAGGCCTGGACCTCTGGGGCCAGCTGACGTTATGCTCGTGTGTGCTTCGGCCTCACCACTTGTAGTTTCGGCAATCTGCAGCGACTGACGGAGTCCTCGGGCGGTTGCTCCCCATTCGTGGATGACGCGGGCAGTCTTCTCCACGCAATTCGCTGAGATCCCAAACAGGTTTCCCATCCGGATGACTTCGGAGCGCTCTGCCTCCGCCTTTCCTGCCATTCCCCCAAAGTCGAGCAACGCCTGGGTAGTGCTGCGAAGTAGAAGTGCTGATTGGGCTACAAGATAAGTCTCTCCAGCAGAGCGCCTCGTACGCCGTCGATCGAGGTAGTGTCCTGTTTCGAATGCAGCACTGCGTGAGCGCGAGCTTGCAATGGGCAATAGCGCGACTTACCTGCAACTTCTTCTGCCAACTGCTTGGAAGCTTGAACCAGCATCGCACAAATGTAGATCGGCGAGACCGACGTGGCGAGAGAACGGCCTCTAGCGTGGGTCTTGCCTATGCGCGAAACAAAATGCTGCTGATGAAAGTTCGAAAGGCAAACGAGGGCGTGCCTTGTCATTTCTGCTCTTCTGCCCGTCGTGATCGCCGCTGCTCGCACCAAAGGGCCGTCTTTCATCAACGCTGCCATAAAGATGCCGGATTCCGAAATGTCGCAAAAGTGACGGCAGACATCAAAGACAGCCTCGGACAGTCGACACATGCCTGCGAATGTAGCGTAGGCATGAGTTCAGCTTCATCTCTTGATGCGACCGTCATACTCACACAGCAGCATGAGAAAGATGAATTCGATGTTCACCCAATCGACGACACTCTCGTCCTCGAAGCCGAGAGCACGGCAGCGTCTCCAGAAAATCGCCGTCCGCTCCGCCACTCTGATTCGGTACGTGTCGTAGTCCTCGGCGACCTTTTCAGCTTCGAGGTGAAATTCGTCGCTGGTCTTGAACTTCCGACTTAGGGCCTTGCACGAGATTCTATCGAGCTGGCGGCCATGTTCGGCAAGCTTGGCGTGCTCAGCCAAGAAGTACAGACCGATCGCTCTCCAAGTAGCTTGAGGCGAGCGATTCTGCCCAAGTCGGTCGGCGAGATGGACAATTGTCTCGCAGTCTTCCTCGGTGCAGCGAGCCATAGGTTCTCTATCTATCGTCTCCGCCATCGAGCGAGTGACGGCGTGAAGGCTAAGCGAGACCCACAACACCGCTTCTTGCTGCACCGTGGCCAGCGATGCGAGGTCTGCACCTGGCGGCAACTCGTGTAGCGCCGCTGCTAAACGTGCTGGCGCTTTGTCAAGTCCCAAGTTGCGAGCGGCCGCACTGGCAGACGCCAGAAAGCCTTTGCCATCCAGCGAGCGGACACCCGAAGCGCTGTTGAGCAGCAGCGGCTCATAGAGAGCGACGTAGAGCAAGAAGGCTACGTCTTCCGGTCCTTGAGGCGCCTGCAACAAGCAGCCGAGGCAGCCTCTGCGAAGCCAGGGCAAAAGGGCAGCTTTGAAACGCAACCATCCTGCTTTGCCAGCCGCAAAGTAGAGGCATGCGACAAGCAGATTCAAGACTTTTCCGTCGAAGCGTCGAGCGGCGCTCAGCAGAGTAGAGATGGAGGGCAACCATGGTAGGGTCGCGACGAGGTCTTTGAGCCTCTCGTCCAGCTCCGCGACTTGCTGGCCACCAATCGACATACGATCAAGCAACGCCAGGAACGGCTCAATGTCGGAAGAGCCCACGCTGGTGTCCAAATTCTCGTCCGGCGGCGTGGCGAGGTCGCCATCCACCAGCGTCAGCTTGTCACACTGGACCGAGCAGAGCTTGTCGAGGAGAACAAAAGGCAGCATGACCACCTTCAAGCGCTGCATCCACTCTGGCTCCCGCGAAGCCTGATCAGAGCCCGCACGGCGCTGTAAGACCTCGTCGCTGGCTCGCACATCTGCATCTGGTTGGCGTATGCCAAAAGACGGAGAAGGATCAAAAACTTGTAATTCGTGGATGAGACGCTGCAGAGGTCTGCTCGTTTGATGGTCCGTGCTACTCGTCGTCGTGCTAAGGGCGCTATCGCTGCCTGCGGGCGTCGCAGTAGGAACAGCATTAGGCAGTGGACGACGTTTGTATGGTGGAGCGCCAGAGACGTTGTCAAGAGGCACGTTCCCAGTGAAGTCCAGCCCTGCGCTTCGACATTCACGCTCTCTCACCTCGCCATGCTTTGTAGAGCTGCGATCGCTGCAAGATCGCTCGAAAGAGGTGAGCGGATGCAGGATGCTGGACGAATGACCGATGCTGCGATATGATAGCGCACCGCTCCCATGCTCGTGCTCTGGTGACCGCTCGTCCGGAGTGCGCGAACAGCCTGGACGTGAGCTCGAGCTGGAAGTTGCGTCCAAGGGAGCATGGGACGTGGGCGGAGATGGCCCGTAGCCATTGTAGAGAGACACGGATGAGGAGGCTTTGGACGAGTGACTTTGAGATCCACTACTGTGGTGAGGTGCCTGTTGCTGCTGTCCCTGTGCTGGCGAGTCCTGCTGTGCGCGCTTTCGCTTTCGAGACGCAGCTTTGCCGCTGGTCACGCTTTCGGGCAGCGGGTCGCTGACGATGCAGTCGAAGCGCATCACTTTGCATCTTCGACAGACCAGGTTTGCAGGCTGCGGCTCTTTGCTCGGGATGCAGGCTGGGGAATCCGGCAACTCGCAGCGCTGCTTGGCTTTGCGACACGCGAGACAAGAGCGAAGGCTGCGTGTTCGCCGTCCCTTTGGCTGTGGCTGAATGTTTGGAGCTTGCATCGTGTGCGGTGAAGACATGTTGGGTAGCTCGAGGCAGAGAGGCGTGGCAGCCCGAAAGGAAGACGTCGTAGTCTATACCAGCATCTTGTTTGGGTGTATTGGCAAAAGCAATGCGCCAGCGCTGGTGATTACTCTTTGCTCCTTGCTGTCTCCGTCGCACGACCGATCCGATCGATTACAAGCGCATACTGTGACCAGCAGGCTTGATGGCGAGATGGAGTCAACGTTTCTAAACTGCTGAACCTGTGCGATGCAGGGCTTGAGCGAGCTCAGAGATTATCTTTGGCGTACCTGGCTGTGGCTATTAGAGAGGCATGTATCAGAAAGTTCGAGGTTTGCAGATCCCAACAAGTAATGCCGGCGAACAGAGTGCTCTTACCGAGCGCACAACCAGCACTGCCTCTTGGCCTCCCGCGCAGTCGTGATGTGAACAGCAAGTCGATATGCCCTCGGCGCGCGCAGGTCTTGTCCAATTAGAGGTCGCAGCAGACTGCTACCTGGCTGCGTTGCGCAATTCACGAGTCCGTAAAGTTGACGGGGGCAGACGTGCAGCGTCGAAAGCCGCTCAACATTCTGTTTATGGCGGGAGCACAATCTGTTGAGCGCCAATGTGTTATTTTCGTGTCGGGTGCTGGGTGTCCTGAACCACGAGCGCGGCCTGGAATGATGACACCGCTGGCCCGTCCTGCGGATGTTTTGTTTTGCTCGACGCGAGATGATGGTCTAGAAACAAAGTCCTTGTAACTCTTCTGCTAGCCCCATCAAAGCGAATCTAGCTCAGTCGCGAGCGGGCTGCTCAGCAGCAGCAGCAGCAGGGATGCGTGTGTGATTCTTCTCTTCGCACAGCCTCTCTGCTGCAAGGGGCGTTCGTTTCCGCGGAAACGCGCGCCTCACGCAAAGCGGCGCCACGTGATCAGGAAATGTTCGGGTCAAACACTCAAATAATCAAAATCAGAATGTGGATGGAGTTGGCCTGCGAGAGTCAGTCTTGATGTATATCATGTCGATCTAACCTGCTTCAAAGATGACGCCAAGCAACCCATCAGCTTTAGGTAATTGCGGTATCAATTGTCGTGCCAAGGTGTCTGAGCATGCGCAGACGGGATCCGAGATGCTCGAAGTGAAGCACATAGCATCTGAATACCACGAACGAAACGGCAGCTGACCAGATAGGTCACTCGGCAGACGGAAGATCGGCTATTGCGCTCGTACGCGGACGTTCGTATGTACAAGCAGAGGGGTCATGTGCGTGCTCTGAATGTAGAGACGATGACTTACTCATCATCCACGAGCTTGGCATCGCCAGTGTCCCTCGTGCCCTTGTTCTGGGCTTTCTTGGACTCATCTGCTGCAGCTGCAGATTCTTGCTCCTTCTTTTTGCCTGTGCGGCGCGAGTAGTAGGCCTGAATGATCTTGGGATTGATACGATTGAGAGATTGCCTAGGGAAGATGCGCAGCAGATCCCACCCAATATCCAAACTGTCGTAGATGGTCCTCGCCTCGTACTCTCCTTGCTGAACGAATTCTTGCTCAAAGCGCTGCATGAACTCGAGCGAAAGCTTGTCCTCTTGAGATAGGGCTTCTTCACCAACAACGGCCTTCATCGAGGCCGCGTCGCGACCAACCGCATAACCTGCGTACAGCTGGTTCGAAACGTCACCATGGTCCTCACGAGTGTGCTTGGCGCCGATAGCAGACTTCATCAATCGCGAAAGAGAAGGCAAGACGTTGATGGGAGGGTAGATCTGTCTGTTGTTGAGACCGCGATCGACGTAGATCTGGCCCTCGGTCTGGTTAGGATGGAACATCGACGTCAGCTGGGGGTTGTTGCGCACGCGGACGCGCGGTACTTACAATGTATCCCGTCAAGTCAGGAATTGGGTGAGTAATGTCATCGTTGGGCATGGTCAAGATGGGAATTTGGGTAATGGACCCATTCCTGCCGGCGACGCGACCAGCACGCTCGTAGATTGTGGACAAGTCCGTGTACATGTAACCCGGGTAACCACGACGACCCGGCACTTCTTCACGAGCTGCGGATACCTCACGAAGCGCGTCGGCGTACGAAGTCATATCCGTCAACACGACCAGCACGTGCTTCTCAAGCTGATAAGCGTAGTACTCTGCGGTGGTGAGTGCCAATCGCGGTGTGATGATACGCTCGATGCTGCATAAGAAATAGGCGGGAGTCAGTGGCGCTCGTTGCCAGCTCCGGCCGCGACACTCACGTCGGGTCGTTGGCCAAGTTGAGGAACAAGGTGACACGGTCAAGCGATCCATTCTCCTCAAAGTCTTGCTTGAAGAATCGAGCAGTCTCCATGTTGACACCCATAGCAGCAAAGACGATGCTGAAGTTGTCTTCGTGATCGTCGTGAATGCCTTTGCTGGGAGCAGCCGCGCCGTCCGAAGCAGATCCTGGCTTGCGAACCAAACCTGCCTGCCTGCAGATTTGGGCAGCGATTTGGTTGTGCGGCAGACCTGAAGCGCTAAAGATCGGAATCTTTTGTCCACGAGCAATGCTGTTCATGACATCGATCGTACTGATACCCGTCTGAATCATCTCCTCGGGGTACACGCGGGAGTACGGGTTGATGGGAGAGCCTGGAGAGAGTGGAGTGCAGCATGTAAGCGGCTGCAAGGGATCGCACATGACCTGGTGTGCAGCAGCTACGTGACCCAGCAACAAGAGTTCCGTACCCACCATTGATGTCGAGATAATCTTCCGCAAACACCTTGGGTCCCTTGTCTACAGGGTTACCAGATCCATTGAAAATACGACCCAGCATGTCCTCCGAGACTGGCAGCTTCATGCTGGAGCCTGTGAATTCGATATGCGTGTCGCGAACATCGATGCCGGAAGTGCCTTCAAAGACTTGCACAATGGCTTTGCTGCCGCTGACTTCCAGGACTTGACCGCCTCGGCGAGAGCCGTCGGGCAGGGTGAGGGAGACGATCTCATTGTAGGAAGGAAACTAGCAGCGACGAGTGGTGCGCTCAAGTCAGCACCTCGAGCATACAAGCATCACTCTTGGCTGCTCACCTTGACGTTATCGAGAACAACCAGAGGTCTGAGCACGATTACCAAAGGTCAGCCGAAGCTGGTCATCTCGCCTGCGATCGGTTTGGCTCTCTCTCACCCATTGATGGCGGAGACCGTCCTGTAATCCAAACGAGGGTCGACGTTGTACTCCTTGACGCTGCACGATAGCACACCAGGTCAGCAGGTTGCTAATGAGAGCCTTGAAAAAGAGGGAGCGCCCGACTTACGCAGCAGCAGCGTTGATTTCAAAGGCCTCTCGGGCCGAGATGCGAGGGTCCGACATGATGCGCAACTGTTGTTACTCGTTGGAGGATGCTGGTAGAAGTGAGCGGGGCGCTTTGCCGCTTTGACACAGCTGAGAGCGTGATCCAAGAAAGACTCAGCAACCAGGCGGCGTGATGCTGATGGATGAGGAGCTGTGGGTCGAGAGTGGAGTGCTCGATCGTACCCATCAATCGAGTCGCTGCCGCTCCTGGGTGGACGCATGCAGGCCGGAACTCCTGCTAGGGGGCGATGTGCGTGCAGACCCGCGCACGCCCAGCACGGAGCAGGCAGCAGCGGGCCCTTATAGCAGCAGGTGTGATCTGTGCTCAATTAGGCCATGCAGCTGAACCAGCCACGTGCGCATCTGCGCTCGTGCCTGCGCAACTCCGCCTCAGATCTTCGACATTTTGACAGCTCGATCGCAGCTTCAACACTCTGGTGCGCCACAAGACGAGGTTTGAGCGTTACATGTTGCCTTCCAGGACCACCATTGCATCCCTCAGGCGCACCTCGAGGTGATGAAATGGTGACCACTGGGCTCTCCGGCGCAGGGGTTGGTCAAGCGCTGCTCCAAGCAGCTCGCGCAGCTAGACCTCGGCTTCTGGCAGGCACGCAGGTCGGCCCTCCAACATGCCCCCATTGCTGCTCCACTGCAAGACCCTATTCCACGACCCTCAGTCTCTCCCTCGGTGACTGCGGCGCAAGATCAGAGCCCAGCACGCTGACTAGGCGCACAGCTTTGACGTTTAGCTTCCTTGGCCAGACATCATCCGCGCGCTCTCAGTCCAACACGGCTCTTCATCCCCGAGGTGTAGACTCTTCGCTGTTCGAAGACGAGGAGGGCGCAGAATATGTTTCAGTCAAGGCTGCAGAGCACGTCTCTGTTGGCGAGAGTTCATCGGCTGCCCTAATAGTCGACACGGCCTCGCGATCGCATGCCGAAACCGGGCCGACCCGACTCGTTGTACAGCGCATTCAGCATGGCGATGTTCCAGCAGCAACGCAGCTCGTTCGGGAGCTGTCAGAACTCGGCACGCAGCTGGATCCAAGCCCAGCTTATGCGACCGCCGCTCGATACTGTATGGAGGAGAAGCAGATCGATGACACTCTGCTCTGGTTGCGATTGCTCGGGGTGCCAGGAGCGGCGACTGCTCAGGTGTCGGCCTCTTCAGAGACAGCAGAGGCGAAGGATGCCGGCTCAAGGGTGTACCAGTCAGATGCAGACCTCGCCGCCGTAGCTCTAGGCTTGCGCGCGCAGTTTGCTGCTCGATCCCTCACTCTGGGTGATCTGAGCGAAGCGCTCAGACTGATTGTCCGAGGTGGGTTTTTGGCCGGAGCAGCGTACCCGTCCATCAAGAGGGCCTACTTGACTATCCTGAGATCACATCATCCCGGTACGGATGCTGCGGCTCGCAACTCGTACTTGGAATACTTTGAAGAGCTTGCGCGGGCGCACGCCATGGCTTGTGGACAAGCAGACACCAGCGCAATGTCACCTCAGCTCACCGATTTGTTCAACGCCGGCACGATCGCACACGTAAAGGCCGGCAGACCGGAGGAAGCTCTCAAGTGGCTGCTGGCTGCCCTCTCAAGAAGTCAAGAGAACGCTGACGAGGTATCCATCAGCGAGGCGGTCGTGAAGGTCGTCGTCTCGGCCCTGATGCGACAAGAGGCGACCAGCGCACCTGCACTGACTCCTCAACACACAAGTTGGGACGCTAAAGAGTACCTCTTCAACGAAAAGGAGCTTCCAGAAAGCGTGCATGGCATTCTCATGCAGCTCGAGAAGTTGGGTGACGATGGCGTCCTACTTTCCGCCGCAGTGCAGGCAATCCAGGAGCCACCCATTGCAGAGCTAGAGCTCATGAGCGACCGCTCGGTTCAAGAAAGGTACGCGACGCTACTGAACAGTCTTGCAAGAGCACGACAAGATCGGAACCTGAGCCGCAGCGTGCGTATACCCAGCGTGCGCTACCTGCTCGCATTATCAAATCGACTTGACGTGGCACAGAATCGAGCGCTCGACATTGCCATTGGCAAAATCGACGAGGGTGCAAAAGTATGGCAAACTGCCTTGTTGGCGCGCGCGCTGCGCGATTGCCGATATCAGGATGCAAATGCCATCTGGCAACAACATTTCATGGACGTGTACGGTGTGAGCGAGGACGTGCGCACATTGGTGTTTGGATCTGCGCGTCCGGATCGTCGGACCGCAGGGTCTGACCTCAGTAACAAGGCATGGCCAAGCAGGAGATCAGCATCCTTGATGCTCCGTACTTTTGCTGCAGCTTGTGGTGGAGACGCCTCAAAATTGGAGCAACTCTACAGCATGTGGCTCGAAGCTGCCTTTGCCGATCCTTCACCATCCGCCTCGGCAAAGCAGGGCGCTGCCGAATTGGACACAGAACAAGCTTCTCTTGCTCCAGACGCGCACAACATGGTGCAGATAGCCGAGCCCTGGATCGAGGCTGCTGCGCCATCCCAGCGCACGCCCATAGCCTTGCGAGTTCTGAACGACTTTAAAAGGCTCGAAGTGGAGCCTGATGCAAATGTCTGGGCCGTCGTCTTTTATGCGTTGGGCACGGCTCCCAACAAGCTTGACACAGTTCGTCTAGGGACGATTGCGGACGGCATGGCGATGTTCCGACACTCCGAGCGTGCTGATCGAAAGGTTCCAGGCCTCGGGGCACCATCAGGATCCTCGCGGCTCATGCTACCCGCAGCAGATTTAAAGAGCTATCTCGTTCTTGTTGATGTGCTGACTGATCGCAACAGCACCCGACTCGCATCGACCATCTGTGCCAGTATGTTTGGTGCAGCGATCAAGAATCATGGCAAGCAAAGGGAAGCGAGCGTTGCCGCTCTGCGCGAAGATAAGCGGCGCATGCTGGACAGAGTGGCACGGAGAGCAGAATTTGCAAGGACTGCGGCCGCTTCTGATACGCCACCGCTCCAGCGATACAGGCACTACTCCTTTTCGGATTTTAGGCCGATCGATCTCAAGCGGTCCGCACCTTTGCGCGCTCTTCTGCGCAGACTTCGCAGAGCACGGATGGATGCGATGGATTCGATGTATGCCAAGAGCCGCGCGCGTCTCGTGCAACGGCATTACGAGGAACGTGCTCCATATGTGTACCGACCATATGTCCGCGCAAATGCCCTAGTCGACGCCAGGTACGCCTACCTTGCCGAGGGGCTGCGTCGACGAGATGAGGATCTTTTACACATGGACGAAGAGGAAGCGGCACTAGAATGGTGTAAGCGCGAGTTGGAGGTGTATTCGGTGGGTCATGAGGCGAAGTTGTCGGAAGACGAATTGCTGGCAATGCCCAGGAGAGATCTGCGTCGAAAGAAGAAACCGCGCGCTGCTGCGCCCGCCGAAACCGTCGTGTCCCCCGCTTGGCCAAAATTCGACTTTGGGCTGCCTTTCGGCTTCGACACTCCAGCCGTGTCGCACAGGTACAAGCCTTGCAAGGCTGCTGATGCTCACCGTTCCACTACCGGCGGTATACACGACGCCATTTACGATGCCACATTCGAGACTCGGTAAAAGCTCCAATCATAGATGTACATCATCTCCGTGTCCTTTGTAGAATGTCTCTTGGTGTTATCTATGCGGAGGAGTGGTGCGAGGAGTGTGGCGACAAGCGTCTCTATCGACAGCGAGCTCTATCTGTTATACCTCTCTATGAACTTCTTTCGAATCGGTGACGTCGAACCCTTCGCGTCTAGAAGCCGCTCCCTTGAGCGCCCAGCTCATATTCTCGTACACGACAAAGGTGACGCAAGTTCCTGGAATAATGCGAACGGCATTAGGGGCCATGCCGCGATAGAAGGCTCCCAATCCTTCCTGAGTGTATGTCAGTCTTATGCACGTCGGAATGGAGGTGTAGATGTGCGACGTCGCTTGGTTCTGGTCGATTCGAAGGACGACGACACTCAGCTTTTATGTGCACTGAACCTCGCGACCTTTCTAGACCTACTTGGATGCGCGATCGAATGACCTGATACGGATAGGTGATTACGATGGCGAGGAATTTCGAGAGGCCCGAGATGACGACATACTCGGTGTTGCTCTGTCGCGCGCAATCGACGCAATCAGCTCGCTTTTTCAGCGCGACAAAGTCAGGCCGGGCCGCTCACCAATTTGACGAGGTCATTCTCGCGCTGTCCAGATGCAGTGGGGGAGCTGCTCCGGATGCCACTGGCGGCCGCTGCCCTCCTTCTAGCTTTGTCGCTCCTCCATCTTCGCCCTTCCTCGTACGCCACAAACTGTATAGCGCCGTTGCTAACTCCAAACAATGCCAATCCAGCACCTTTGTAGAGACCCCTTACACCTTCGTACCTCCATATTTCCCGCAGGCCATGCATCAAGCCTCGGTAGGGTGTTGCGCTGTGGGCGGTTGAAATGGATGGAGAAGGTGTAGAGGTCGGGTTGGCTGCTGAGATGGCAGACACACTAGTAGAGGTGGCAGCGGCGCTGGGAGAGGTGGTGAACATGCGTGTCTTGACCACCCAGATTGGATTCGTCATGAGAGCAGTGATTGCGCCTGTTGGAAAGTGGCGGGGTTCAATGCCGTGGGCGCGTTAGAAAGCGAGCCTTTTTGACACCTTCAAAGAAACTCACCGCTCTCACTGGCAGCTAGCAAATGCTGTCCAGGACTCAACTTCTTGGCCCCTTCGCTCGAATCTTGGCGCGCCATGTAGTCCTTGATCATTGTGTACCTGTGCGGGAATGGTGGCGGGGCAGGGTAGCTCTGATGAGCGGTCACTCGCCTTCGCAAAGTCACGACGGCAGGAGCTCGCGACAATCTGCGAGGCACAGCTCACCAGAGAAAGTAGAGACCCCAACTGGCGCTGTTGCCCGCCACGTTGGGTCCCAAACCCCGATATAACCCTTGCCAGCCGTCGCGCTTGATAATCTCAGACCAAGCCCTGCTCATATCCTTGACCATGTGCACTCCCAGCACCCTCTGCCAAGGTATCCTTGCACGTCGCAGATGTCTCGAATTTTGGACTGGAATGCTGCGATCCGAGCCGCTGGGACGAGAAGAAGCAGCACCAGCAGCTCCGTGCCTCTCAGCCGCCTCTATCCTCGCCCGGCCCAGATCGCTAGCCCAACGTCCCAGTGGAGTGGTGCGAACTTGGAATTGCGTCTTGATCAGGTCCAGCGGCTGCATACATACTGTCGCTACTGCTCCTGCTGTGATGCCCGAAAGAGCATGGTCCAGCGCTGCGGTAGGCAAAAAGGTGGGTGGTGCGGGGCTGGAGTAGGAGGAGGAGGAGGAGCCTGATGTGGAGGTCGACATGCTGCTTGTGGGGCTGACGACGAAGGGGCTGAAGATCAAAAAGTCTTGCCTTTACAAATGAACTTTGATCGCTTCGACCCAGCCCCACGTCGAGCTGAGCTGATTGCAGAACGCGTGTGGAAGATTCGAGCGAGAGAGTGTGCGATCCCCCGACGTTGGCTGGAATGCAGCGCAGGGCGGGTGCCAAAAGTCGCCGTGTCTAGCCCATGCGACGTGTTCTGCGACCGGCATGAAAGACTTGTAATGCGCAGAGTGGGCTGATCTTGTTGAAGACAATGACAATGCTGATGGTGAATGGTGGCGCGAGCAAAGCACATCATCCACATGAAGGCGCGCAGCTTGATCGAAAGCACCACCACGATGCAGAAGAGTCACGATCGAGTCGCGATTTATTTGCCGCGCGCGCAGCCCGTCCTTCTTGTCGTGCGGGAGATCATCCCACCGCCGCGAGTGGCGTGTGTCGTGAGTGTCAGAATTTTGAGCTGCAAGGCTGTGCAGCAGAAAGGTATCGCTATACACTCCATTCTCTAACCATAACAGTCGTGAGTCTCGTGACGGTAGGAAAGCGCGGAGACCATCTTGCAACCCCTGCAAGAGCCTGCAATCAAGGCAGCTCCTGACCTATCCGCCGCGCATCCCAGCATGCCTTATTCGGAGGGCGCGCGCACGCGCACTTCACAGTCCACCTCCGGCGCCAGCAAGAGGCGAAAGGTGGACGCGACATCTGAAGCTGGTCCCAGCTCCAGCTTCAATGGCAGCGGTAGCAGTGCAGACCGCGGTCGTGGGAGAGGCCGAGCAAGAGGTCGAGGTCGAGGTCGAGGTGGCGGAGGCTCGAGAGGCGGGAGACAAGCAGACGGACCCAAACGCGCTCGTCGACAAGGCGGGCACGCCAAGTCCAAAAGGGGAGCGGATGATGCGGACGAGGATGATACCAAGCCTGGTCTCAGCAAGATGAAAGCGGCGCTCAGGCAGACGAAAAGACTGCTGGCTAAGGTGCGTGCCGGCGCTGAACAGGGAAAGAGATGCCGCTCGTCTGATACGCATCTTTGCTGCCTTCTAGGACGATCTCCCACCCGACGCTCGACAGCAAGCTCAGCGGCGCTTGCAAGCGCTCACACACGACGTTCAGACGCGAGAGCGCGAGAATGTGGAGAGGGAGAATGCGCGCAACAGTCATCGAGCTCGATTCTTTGGTAAGTGATGCGCCAACTCTTTTGCGAGTCAGATGGACCTTTAGCTCATCGGCGGATGCCCCCGCAGAGAGACAAAAGCTTGTTCGTCGGATCAAACAGCTCAAGACGACGCTTTCTGAAGAAGAAGCCAAAGATGCAAGCGTAATCGAAGCCCAGCTGTTCGAAGCGCGTGTTCGACTCAATTACGTCCTCGTGAGTGGCGAGCCCTCCGACGCCGGCGAGGGCTGCGACTGACAAGGAGTTTTTGACTGGGTAGAATTGGCCACACGAGCACCCATACGTTGCCTTGTTTCCGGCACGAGGAGATGCGCCCTTCGTCTCACTGGACGAAATGATCAGCGCTGATGTCAGTCCGAATCGCGCTACAACGAACGAATCGTATTCACGCGCACACACAGTCAGAGCGGAGATGGAGGCTGCTATGAGAAGGGGAGAAATGACAGAACCCGAAACTTTGCTCGAGGCTGGTGAACGCAGGGTAAAGAGCGGCGAGGAAGCCAAGAGAAGACGGGACGAGACTGAAGACAGGGATGCTGACGACTCGGACGAGGAAGAGGGACTGGCTGCTGATGACTTTTTCGCTCAAGGTGGGAGCGACAGCGATGAGGACCAAGCGTAGGGCAGCAGGCGCGCCATGCACAAGTTCAGTATCATCCCGCTACATTGGCCACAAAATCCTACCACAATGTTTGCGGTGATGACATGACTGCACAAATGTATGCCACTAAGCCTTGCCAAATTTTCTGAGCGGATCGGCTTTCTTGCCTCTTCCGCCCCCTCTGCTCCCGCCTCGACCGCGACCGCGTCCGCGTCCTCTGCCGCGTCCAGTGGAATTCTTTGCAAAACCAACGTAGCCCACATTGCGTCCCTCTGCATTCGTATCTGGTCTGGACGACCCGCTTGCTGTTGGTTCTGAGCTCGCAGAGCTGGGCCCGCTAGGCTGCTTGAGCCGCGTGATGCGAGGCATCAGATACGACGGGACGTGTTTCAAGTGCGGTTGGACGCGCGTCGAGTGCAAAGACTTGTCGTGGCGCAAATAAGCCAGATCGTGCGGATTGTCTTCGAAATGGGCCTGCAAAAGAGAAAGGAGCGTCAGCTGTGTGTGTGTGTCATCACAACCACCACCAAGCTCATACACACCTTGAGCTTCTCGCTGTTCAACAGCTCCTGCTTGATCTCCTTGATGCGAGCTTCCTTGATCGCAGCTCGCGTGACGGCTCTCAACGCATCGTCCACTCGGTATCTAAATCCTTCAATTTGAGGCTTGTCAAAGTTCCACTCCTTGATCGTCGTTCCCTTTTGTCTTTGATCCTCCTCGATACGTGACCAAGTACCTTCGTCCATAGCAGCAGTTGCATGCGAGACGCCAGATTTTTTCAGTGGACCTGCTGATGCTGATCCTTCAGCGCTTTCGGACTTCCACACGGACGAGGGAACGACAAATGAAAGACTTGTACCAGTCTGACCCGCCCTGGCCGTCCGTCCAATTCGATGCACGTATCCTCGCGCCGTCACTGGCAGGTCAAAATTGATGACACAGGCTACCGAGACGAAGTCGATACCGCGCGCCACGCCATACTCGGCGTCCCCACCGCGGCGTTTTGAGCTGCGCTCTGCGACCTTGCTCTCTCTGGAGGATCCTCCTTCTTCATCGCGCTTTCTCTTCCTCTCATCGCTTGCAGCGGTGTCGGCTTCGGGAGAGTTTCGTTCAGCCCCGAGAGGAACAGCCTCTTCTTCTTCCACCTCGAATTCTGCCGATCCCTCGACTGACGTCCGGCTTTGCTCTCGCGCAAGGCCTTGCTCTTCTTCGCGCGCAGTTGCGGCGTCGACACCGAAGCGGGATTCATCGGTCGCTACAATGTAGTCGTATACACCCTTGTTAAACTGCTGGACGATGTGAAACCTGCAAAGACGAGGAGAATGTGAGAAGGAACGCGTGGTGGACGAAGGGATTGCACAGACTAACCTGCTCTCCAAAGGCAGCTCCTCATTCAATACGGTGCTGCGAATTCCAAACTGCTCCAAGAACAATCTTACTCTGTACGCGCGCTCCGTCGAGTTGACAAAGATGATACACTTGCCTCGGACCAATTTGAGGCGTAAGATGACAAAGATGAGGAGGAACTTGTCCGCTTGAGAGGTGAGCTGCACGCTATACTGCGCCAAGTGAGAGAGGTGAAGGGAAGGCTGGAGTCTCAGTGTGACCTGTGCACGGGCGGGCTGGTGTCAGGTGGGCTCGTACTTGGCTCGAGCTGAACTCCACTCACTGGCTTTTGTAGCCTTGCGCCCATCAATTGCCTGACTTCCGATCCGAGTGTAGCGCTGCAGAGTATGTTTTGCCATCGCGATGGTAGCGTAGAATGTTCCAAAAGAGCTTTTACGTCTCCGGCGTGACCGTACGAAAGGATAAGATCTGCCTCGTCCAAGACGAGCAATTGAAGAGACGAGAGGGACAGCGCTCCGGTTTCGATGTGTGCTAGCGTTCTCGCAGGTGTGCTGATGACAATGTCTGGGTGGGTAGAGAGGAGAAGTCTGATGCAATCGAGGTTGATTCAGGCGTGCGCGCGCGCGCGTTTGCTGCGCTCGCCCCCCACTCACTTGTGAACCCCTTTGCCTCCCTCGCGTGCAGCGTTGACGACAGCTACCGTCTCGTCGTCGAGATACTCCAACACGTGTGCTATCTGCCTAGTCACCTGTTCTGCTAGTTCGCGCGTCGGTACCAGCACCACGCATCTCGTCTGCTGTCTCGCTGGATCGGTGAGAGGGATGGCGCTCTTGGCTGATAATATCCTTTGTACAGCAGGTAACGCGTAGGCAAGCGTCTTGCCGCTGCCTGTCGGTGCTTGTGCGAGCAAATCCTTGCCAGAGAGCGCTAGAGGAAGCAGCCGCTGTTGTACAGTGGTCGGGTGAGCGAATCCTAGCTTGGAAAGCGCTCGCAAGATCCGAGCGTCGAGAACGTGCGCGAACGAAGAGAAGGTCGTCTGCTGCTCTGCGCGCTGGGGTTGCGGAGCCACAAGCGAAGAAGAGCTTTGCAGGATGGTTGCGCTCGTATTGTCCATGGCGCAACGCCGTCGGAAAGCGCTTTAGCGTGTGGTGGGAGGCGATCTAGCGAAGGTGGTGGCAAGGGCGGTGGTGGTGCTCGCAAAGGTCCTCGTGGCTGCATGGCGCCGGATGCATGGAGGTCCGCTGCATCAATCGTGAATCGCGAATTCGAGATCCAAAAATTCCACAAGGCCACGTCTCTCGTGCGGAAGACGTCGTGCCGTGCAGCAGATGTCGGTCACGCGTTGTTCCCCGTGTGCGCACTCACACTATGGCTATGTGTCTGTGACATTCACAATTCAGTTCATTGGTGATGGAGCTCAAATAGCTCCTACACCTGCTGCCGCAGGTGAAGTGGCATGCGATTTGTGGCTTTTTGAGATTGAGAATGAGACTATACCAGGACAGAATGTGAATGGGACTGAATGAGGGTTGCTCATAAGCTAGATGTGAGCGTGAAGGAAGATTCTTGTGTAGGTTGCCCAGTGCTTGTGCTGGCACATGATGGCCTAGCCTGAGACAATACCAAAAGATGTGCCAGCCTACTTGGTTGACATTGGTTATTCTGTGATTTATCAGCTATGTTGCCACACCTGCGCAACGTGCTCGCATGATCATCTTCAACACATTGGATGTGCTTGAACTTGGTCAACTTGGACTCACCATCCTTGCTGACCAACAGCCAGGCCCAGCAGGTGTTGCCCTCAGCAAGCATGCCTTGACAATGTTCAGCTACTCTGAGAGTCCTTCTTACCTGTCAACAATGTCTGTCCTTGCTGCCTACCATCATTGCTGGACTACATTTGCTTTCTGCTGAGAGGATCTCTGGATGTTGCTGGTGATTCTGGATGCTGCATTCCATGCATGATCAGCTGTGTCGGTACATTTCGTTTGCTGGCCCCCAGAATGGAGACGAGAATGTCACTAAGAGAAACGTGGTCGCTGCTTAGCAGGCAGCACGCTCCAATTGGAGTCCGCATCTTCAGGACGCTTGCCCCGCCTCACCTGTGGCAGGTGAGGGAAACTGAGGGGCACTGGAGCCCGTGTGTGCCTTGCGGGGACGCGGTCCGCCAGAGACTCGGCCGCCGTCTCGATCTGAACGTTGTGGCTTGCGTTTGCCACAGACTTGTTCACTGCCGCGTGACTGTCTTCGCTCTTGGTCTCCGAGTTTTGGCTTGCGTTCGCCACAGACTCATTCACCGCCGCGTGACTGTCTTCGCTCTCGGTCTCCGAGTTTTGGCTTGCGTTCGCCGCAGACTCGCTCGTTGCCGCGTGAGCGTCGTCACTTTTGATCTCGATGATTTCGTTTGCGTTCTGCGCCGCAGCGGCATCGTTGTCGCTGTCCATCTCCTCGCAACAATGACTGCGCACATACTCCGACAGACGCTTGCAGGGCACGTTGTATCGAGCAGCAAGAGCCGCAGTGTCTGCAAAAGTAAGGCCATTTTTCAGCCCCTCTCCAGCAGTCATGGCACGCCCATCCAGCTCGTGAAGAAGCTCAGGATGCGTCAGCCGGAGAGGTGGAGCAACTCTGGCCGGCCTTACTTTCACGGTGGCAGGGTTCGATGCGGAGGTGTCGCGATGTGGTTGATTACGGAGAGCAGGATTTCCACCACGGCGATTCCGAGCATAGGTTGCGCGGCGCCCTGCAAGGGTGAAGTCGTGTTCCAGCTCTCTTTGAGCTACTGAAGACCTGAGTCCTCCAATCGTCGCACCCAGGTGCTGGCCTTCGGGAAGCTGCTTGTGCCATTGATAGCCTTCCTCGGCTGTATCTTGAGGATAGGGAATCAACGGATCTTCTTGCCACTGCCGCTCGCGCTCTGGGCTGTTTGGAGCACCAAGAGCCTTTTTGAAGGCGCGTTGTGAGGTTGCGCGAGGAGTCCGATTTGTGACATCGGCGAGAGGAAGCGTGACGGTCGTCGACAACGGTGCTGCAACTCCGATGGCGGTGGTCGGTGGGGCGCGAGATGAGGTCGTTCTCGTTGCTCCCGCGGACATATTTGCACTCGCTGAAGTGTTTCTTGGTGCCGCAGACGTACTCGCGCTCGCTGAAGTGTTACTCGGTGCCGCAGACGTACTCGCACTCGCTGAAGTGTTTCTTGGTGCCGCAGACGTACTCGCACTCGCTGAAGTGTTTCTCGCTCTCGCGGATGTGGACGACGCCTGCGCGCTTGCACTCCTGACGGTCTTGTGAAACAATTCGTTGAGAAGGCAGAGGGTGTGCACTTGTTTGCGCAAGTCGTTGAGCAGTTCCCGGACAGGACTGTCTTTCAGCAGGGCAAAGATGGCAGGGCCAGCTTCCTCAGCTGCGCGGAATATAACAGATTGAAGATACATTACCCTGCTGTAGTCTTTGACCAGCAGGCTTCTGTACTTCAGCGCCCCTTCATCAATGGCAGGGACAAAGAGCAGATCCCTTTCCAGCCAGATCAGCTGAGACCAATACTTGCGCAGCCTGAGCTTGACAAGGCGAGGCTGGCCAGCCTTGTCAATGAGATCAAAGGGCAACTGATCTGCCCTCTTCACAAGGCGCTTGTTGACTGAGCTGTCTGGGGACGTGAGCACCTCTGGCAAGTGGGAGATGTCCTTGATGCCAGTGAGCACATCAAAGACAAGTCGATCTCCTGCACATACAGCAAACTCCTCCAAGAGAGAGTTCAATTCTGCGTACATGTAGAAGGCCACTTGCTCGGAAGTCACCCTAATGACGGTCGCGTTGGCCTGGATTGAGTGACGACGTGTAAGCAGAACGCGTCAGCGACGTGTAAGTAGGTGACCGCCCTCGCAAATCACTGCCACGACCACTCACGCGCAGAATCATTCGAACGCACATCACAATGTGCAGAGCTGGCGCACGTCAATCTAGACTGTGAGGCCAAAAGTTGATGATAGACCGTCAACTGTAGGCAGGTGGATCGTGCACGCGGAAGACGCCATTGTGCACGTCATTGTTGCTCGCGTAGTCGCACAGAGTGAGGTTTCTCTGATACCCTTCTGGACCTTGTCCGCATCCCACACCGTGGAGGCCATAGTCATCTGCGTTGTTCCTCAAGTCTTCTGCTGTGATATCCTTCATGATTATCATCAACTTGAAAGGCGTTGTGCTCAAAGCTTGAGAAGCCATGTCAATGGCGCGCTCGAGGGGTTGCCCCTTTGTGCCGTTGACAAAGTTGCAATGCTCTTGCATCATTGACTCTATCGCATGATCGCAAGGAGATAGAGGTGGCCGTCCTGCAGTGACACCAGCAGCAACCAGCAGGTTCTCGGCCGCCTCGCGGAATGGCGTTGAGGGACTGAAACGGAGATGCAATCCACCTCTTGCGGAGTTGGCAGAGAGGGGACCAAGGATGCTGATGAGAAATCGCTCTGCATCTTGCTCAGTGCTGGACCGTCGCCATTCTAGAACCGTAGAGTCTAAAGAAGTCGCCTGGTCAGCACAAGTGACGACAAGGGCGGCCGCAACTCCACCGTGCATTACGCGCCATCTCGTGTCCCTCGACTCACCTTGAAATCCATCAACAAGCGCATACACGGACCATTCCCCCGTGGCCCAACGTGACAGACGGGTAGTGGCCACCGTTGAGCGGGCATGGTCTTCAGTGTTGCGGGCTGCGGGCCCATTGCCATCAAAGTTGCGGTGCACGGTACCAGCATACTTGATGAACCCCTCTCTTCCACGCAGAAGCAACGTCCAAGGCTTGTCTCTGCGACACTTTTTCTCATGCTCCTTCAGATGCTCATTGCTGAGAGGCAGCAGATCCTTGCGAATGTAGTGCTGACCATTGCCATTGAGCTGGAAGCATGGCCAGAGGTTCAAAGCGGGATCAAAGCCAAGAGGGTCCCTTGCAAGGTTGTAAAGTGCACACAGGATCTGTGGACTGTGCAGCCAGCAATGAATTCTCAAGTCTGGTCCATACTGCAAAGGGCCCATCTCATGATGCTCCCAGTCTTGGCAAACCAGCTGAACTAGTTCTGCCCTCATCCCTAACAAGATGCTTTGGAACCTCAAACAAATTTTGAAGGACTGAACATTGGAGTGTGTCTGGCAGACACACTAGCAAATTTCTGCCGCATGCGGTGCTCTCACTTTGTGTGCACAGCCTGAGCAGGCTGATGGTCTTTGTCATTGACATTTTTGTGTCTGTCTCCAATGCAAGAATGAACACTGCTGTGCATCAATTTTTTGCACTGACCCAGCTTAGCAGATTCTCACCATGAGGTGAAAATGTGCAGCAAGCTCAAAAGATGGTGGTGATGCAGCATAGCAGTGCACGCAGAAATGGGTGCAGGGGCTCATGTGCTTTCCGCTTGATCAACACTGGACTGGTTTGCAAGTCTGATCACTAACTTGTTCTCCAAGCAATGAGGTCAATACGTCGCCTCCCCTCTGCGGCCACTGAGCAATGCATCAAGCGCCTGTAAACCATATTGGGCCGTCCATGCCCCTTCGAGTTGAGCTCTCTGCAATGTACTTCCTCCTTCAGAGCACATTGGCGCCACTGAAGGGAAAGCTGCAAGACAACGCACACAACTTAGAGACCTTGGCCTGTGCTCATCATTCAGGGCTACTTGAGTTTGTTTATACATCAGAAATTCATCTAGACACCTACATTCATCTGGACTGGCCTTCTCTCCTCCTTGTGCAAGCACGGCTTTGCAGCAACACACTGGTACTGGGTGGTACGTCATCCGCAGGCAATGCTCCACAATCTCGAGTGGTTGCAGTGTTGGCACTGCTCTTGCTTTTGTGAGCGCTTCTGCCAGTCTTCATTGTGCCCACTGCATGTGGCAGCACAAGAGTGGAGAGGGATTTGTCATGACAGCAGCATGGAGTGAGTCGACGGAGAGGCCCTCAATCCCTGCTGGCCTCCACGCCCGGATCAGCACTTCTCTCCAATAGAGCCTGAATAAGAATTTTGTTAGACGCGCGCCCGAGACACATCACACCGACCCACGTGACCGCGCCCGAACCCAAACCCGAACCCGAACCGCCCAACGGCGGTGACCGACATCTTTGCCAGCGGGCGTCCCCCACCTTCCTTTCTTCCCCGGTCGCAATTATTGTCTATTCACTGCTATCTTAGGATTCGCCCCGCTTCTGTGCCATAGTCACCGCAGCGTCCGAACCATCTAGCCATAGTATAGCATACTTGCCTGATCACCCAGAGTCTTTCCCGAGCTTCCCAAAGCCAAACCCGAGCTTCCCAAAGCCAAACCCAACGTTCCCAGACTACACAAGCGTAGCCCCAGCCTACCCGGCCGGTGCCGTTGTCGGCCGTGACAAATTTGACCGCATACCGGTGCGAGGCCAAAGAACGCCACGGCCTTATCCTTTCAGAAACATCTCAAGGTGATTGTTTAGGAGCGTGTAACAGCTCTCGAGTCACTGCGCAAGGTGTCAGGCAACAAAGAAGAGCTACAGGGCAAACTTGACAAGCTGCAAGGCACCCATTCGCAGACCTCACCACCACGTTGTCCGCTTGATAAAAAAGCACCAGCAGTGCAAGGTCGAACTTGCCTGCCCTCTTCCTTCTCTGATCTCCTCCTTCTTGACCACTCACCATCACCTCTCGACACTGAGCTGATTCCCTGGTTGTCTTCCACTCACTTCCTCCTTTCTCCACAGACCTCAGCAGTATATTGATGACACATTACATCTGCTAGGCGTCTGCTCCCTAGCAGAACAATCCTACTTGCGCCAGTGCACATCTCTATTCAGAAGACGCGCTTTTCCTGAAGGTTTTGAGAGCTACAATTGCCAGCCTTCAGAACCAATTTGCACATGAGCTGCTTCAGCAAGTGTCGGACCTGAAAATGCACAGCATCCAAAAGCTTTGCATCTGTAACAAAGTGTCTTCCAAGTGAAGACATACGCCGGCGCAAGTAAGGTCCTTGTGCAGTTGAGCAGAGGGCTAGCTGTTGTTAGGTGGCAGAACTTGACAGCAGCGGGCTGTGGAGAAGGAGGAAGTGAGTGGAAGACAGCTGGGTGATCAGGCCAGTGTTGGCCGGCAGGGGTTGAGCAGGTCAGTTGACAAAGAGGGAAGGAAGATTGGGTGAGGAAAGGTTGTATTTGTCAAGACGTTTGCGAAAAGGGCCATCATATTTGAGAAGAAGGGACGCGTACACAGGAGCGGTGTATGTAGACGCACGCGCGCGCGCTCACATCGCGACAGTATTGCAAAGTGGGAGAGGCCTTGGAGGGGCCTCTATATATACCTTACATGTCTGTCTGAGAGACAGAGTGTGTTGTGTAACAGAATGAGTAAGAAGCAGAGGTGGAATGTCTCTGAGGCAGAGTGAAATGTCTCTGAGACAGAGGAGAATGTCCAAGAGAAGTTCTGATTTGCAAGGGGCATATGAATGTTCAAGAGACATTCTGACTGCATGAACCATGTGTGAGAGACATTCTTGGACGTGTGAGAGACATGGTAGAATGGCTGAGAGGCAGAATACTGCTTGGCGCGCAGTAGTGCATGTGTATGAGTCAGAATGTGGTGCGCTGTGCACGCGCCTCACATGTACGCGTCCGCCTCGTCGCAAGGGACCTTCAATACTACCATCTTTCCCCCCTATCCAAAGCGTGATCAGCGCGCGGAGCATAAGGCATGAATTTGGGTACAGGACAGCGTCGCTTCTTTACAACACCTCTCAGCACGATCTCAAACCTTTCCCCAAGCCAAAGCAAAACAAAGGAAGATTAGGGGGCCGGTGGGAAATCAACTGGCCAAAGCATGGACCAGACTTGAGCACAATGTGGCAATGGAAGCGCAGTAATGGCACAAAGCACCTGACAAAAAAATTGGAAGCACTTAACAGGAGGCAGCTGGGTAAGCTTTGAATGAAGCTTGTTGCTTACAGGCTCATCCAAAAGCAAATACTCCAGCAAAATCTATTAGTTGGGCAGGGGCATGTCAATGCAGAGCAGCTGCATATCATTCAGCCGCTCAGAATGCTTTGTGGTGCTCAGCAGGAGCTTGCTCAAGTGCCAAGAAGCCAGAAATGCTCACTGTGCAGAAACACTTTGCTCAGCAGCAGGCCACTTGCTTGTGGTCTTGAGCACAGCACAAACCAGACCTTGCATTGCATGGGAACATCATTTCTGCCACTGCCAGCTTGCACCGACTATGCACATCTGAAGCTCAGAAAACTCTGAGCCAGCCTCCCTTCGAAGGGATCAATTGAGAGGCAAGCTTCGAAATATGCCAAGCTGCTCCAGAAGCCCAGTAGACAAGAGGACAGTTGCAATGTTAGCTCAGCAAAGAACAGATATCAAAGGGATCAGGAGCTTGCTGAGCACAAATAGTAGGCTGCTCAGCAGTTCTCACCACTGTATGAGTACATGTCTGACAGTAGTTCTACCTCACATAGTATTTGTCTCTTTGGTGACAAGCTTGGTCCAAGTCATGATGTCTAAAAAATAGACGCCTGTGTAATCCAATGGCAAGCTGTTGTAATGTCAGTCAACATTCACTGTGCTCCAAGGCCCCCTCAATTTGTGTGGTCGACTGCAACCAAAATGGAGCCCAGGCTCATGCTTGAGGAGACCTAGAGGCTGCACATTCTGTAAAAGTTGTTTCCCGATGCCAAACAGATGTTGCGAGCAAGACCCCAATCTGTTAAAATCATCACCATTTGTACTTGGGCCTAGTATTTGTACATCTGTTTGGGTTCACGACTATTGCACGAGAGAACATAGCGGTGTATGTATCAGCTACACTAATACGTACACAGGGTACGTGCATGTGGCACAGCCTAGGCCTCGCGCCACCAATCAAGCCACCAAGCCACGACAACACCGCCACACGTTGAGGCCTGCTTCCTGAACCAAATAGACCAACAAAGCCACTCCCGTTCATTGTGGCTTCTCTCGTATACGCATTTGTCCCTCTGTGCACGCATACAAACCCCTAGATCCCTAAGTCACTCGCGATGTATAGCACAACCATGACATATGCCTTATAGGCGCCCAACGCCTATAAGAACCCAAGGTACAAGAGCCATTGACTCTCACAAATACATCACTTATGCTCTCATCTTAAGTCCGATCCTACCTTCAACTGCGCTTCCGCAAGTCGAACACTTTCCCTGCCCATCTACTCATCACGTGCGGGTTACCGACCAAACACATCCAGGTGTCCCAATGATCCCCAAGCATTGCATTGTATGTGCAAGTCTTTCAAGATCGCAACTGACGTGATCTGCTACCCTCTTTTGCAAATATTCGAAATCACTTGAGGCGTTGAGTCACGCGTTGGTGCACATTAAAAGACGCTGGCCCATGAAGAGGACGGTGTGGACCAAGAAGGTGATGCACACAAACAGGTAGAAGCACGCTGCCAAGCGTGCTTCGTGTTGACCTGATGTGTCTACACCTTTCTCAAGCCACGCTCTGCGCTGGTCTGATGCATTGACACCCTTCTCAGGCAAGCTAGCAACCTATACAAGCGCACACAAGTCCAGTAATTCATCCCAGGGACACGTGCAGATACGCATTTGGGGTTTGGATATGCACTCTGGCGCAACTCGTGATGTGAATTTTAGAGGAAAAAAAATGCGTCCGATTGGAGAAACGGGGGATTGAACCCCGGACCTTCTCGAGGTCTACATATGATCACTGTAAAAGCTCTCAATGTGCGAACAAGACACTCTACCACTGAGCCATTTCCCCGTCAGACTAATGATCTCTGAGCTTCTGGCACTGATATAAAGGCTTGGCTCTAAAAAAAGCACATTGCAGGTACTTGTTTACTGACTACTGCTGACAAGTCTCTGTCATGCCAGGTCACATCATACACTGCTATGCTGCATCACCACCATCTTTTGAGCTTGCTGCACACTGTCATTTGTAATTTCATGGTCAAAAGTTGGCAGCACACTCACGACTTGAGGCAAGAGTGCGTTAGAGAGATGTCTTGCTCAATCACGAATCTTGTGCATCTGCTGGAGTGCGGCTCACACGACACGCACCGACGCGCGCTAAACACACCGACTCTTGGCTCGCGCGCGCGAATCCATGACTCACGACTCCACTCGTGATTCAAAAAGACACCGACTCGCTACTGATGTAGGCTCGCGCGCCCACGGCACGGGTCGGTATCCAGCACGTCCCATGCTGCCTAGGACCAGTCTTGAGTGGCAAGTCACGTCACGATCGAGTCGCCAAGGCTCGCCCGCTCGCCCACTCGCGGCGGAGGAACGACCAAAAGGTCCGCCGGCGCGCGCCACTCATATGCGCGGCATGCGCTTAATTGCTGCACATGACTCGAGACTCAAGGCGCGATCGATCGTGACTTGCGACTCGTGACTTCAATTCTTCCCGCCGAGACAATCGTGAACCTTACCTTACCTTCCCCTCCCCCCCTCCCGCTCTTACCTGCGCACCATCTCTGCAGCACCATCTGACCTTGCACTTTCCCGAAATCAGCTCCCCAACCATGCCTGTTCCCGTAGGCCACAGTGGCGACCAACTTGCAGCCAACATTGGCAGCGCAGCTCCAATTTCGCCCGCAGATGCTCGCACAAGAGCCTTGGCTCTGTCTGAAAAGCGACGTGCCATCGACGACGAAATCGCAGCACAAAATAAAGTGCTCGCGTCACACAGCGTCAGGCCGGACACGCAGCTCATCGATGCTCAAGGCTTTCCTCGGGCAGACATCGACTTGGTGGCGGTGAGAACCGCGCGATCAACCATCGCACACCTCGTGACGGACAGGAAGCAGGTCGAAGCGGAACTTGCCCAAGTCATCGAGATGGCTTTGCCGCGACCCCACGCGAGTAGCAGCAGCCAGCCATCGGCTCCACCACTCGCGCGCAGCAGCCAGCCATCGGCTCCACCACTCGCGCGCAGCAGCCAGCCATCGGCTACACCGCTCCCACCAGCAGCACCGACGTCCGGCCATCACGTCGCTCCCGCAAGCTCGTCCACATCCTCTCGAACCGAGCCCACTGCTACGGCGCTCGCTCCTCCTGCCCGCGACCCTGCCGACGATCATGCTGTCGGTACTTCGGTACCGCCCGCTACTGCCCACGCCGTCTCCGTCAGTCTTCCCAAATGGCAAGACAATGTCGATTACGAGGAGGGCAAGCTTGGCGATGTCATGGAAACCGGCTATCCTCGATTCTTCATCCACAGACTTGTGCAAAAGGTGAGTGAAGCAAGGCGCGAGTGTCAAGGCGCGAGTGTCAAGGCGCGAGTGAATGAAGCAGGGCGCGAGAAGCAAGGGCTCACGTCCACCTATGCCACGCTGACGCGGGCTCACGTCCACCCTCCCACGCTGACGCGTAGCTCGCAGCGCTCATGCTGCGCAAGTTTGGTGGCGCAAGCGGAGATGTGGAGGAACAATGTCTTCTCGTACCAAGCGCAAGAGTGGCAGAACGATGCAGGCAGTTTATGCTCTCTCAATGGGCTCTGACAGCAAGCAGCGCCTCCGCGACGCCTTCGATACGAGTGGTAGAGTACCGGATACAGCCAAGCGCCGCACCACCCACACCCACGAGCAGCGCTGCTTCCATCAATCCGTGCGGCGCGGCACCGCACGACTACATGCTACTCTACATTGTCCTCTTTCCCTCTAGCGTTTGGTCTTTGGCAAAGAGCTACTGGCAACACACAGGTGACGGCATTTCCTCTCGCTTCGCCCAAGACGTCCTCGCCCGGCTGGATGTAGACGGGGCAGCAATGACGGCAACAGATCAGCAAAACGCGCTAAACGTCAGGACGGCAAATGATGCACAAGCACATGGAGCAGCACCTCTTGTCGAGATCCCTGCACCGCGCGCGAGGAATCGCCATTATGCGAGGAGCAATTCCTCGTCCGGTGCATTGGCCTCCATGTCCACCAGTGGTACATTATTACCACCCAGTCCCACGGCGCTGCGCCTCACGAATGATGTAGACGCTAGTGCGGACCAGGTGGCTTACCTCGAAGAGCGCTATGCTCGAGTCTTGCCATCCTCCATGGGAGACCTCGCAAAGGCAGCTCTTCGACGCAGGATTGCCGGCACACTTCTCATAGATCGCGACGGTACAGCCTCGCAAACTGACGTTTCAGCGACGGCAGACACGCTTCGAACAGGTACAAATCTCGATGAAAAGGACGTGTTCCTGTTGCCCTCCGGCATGAGCGCCATCTTTCATGCGCACCAGACGGCGTTGAGATGGAAGAGAGCGCAAATGACCGGCCAGACGACTGGCGAGGCGTCACCCACCAATCTTGGGAGGAGCGTCTGCTTTGGGTGAGTCTGTGCGAATGTTGACGCACGCGCCCCCCCTTGACCGTGCCTCCCCCGCCGTCTCTATCGCAGCTTTCCTTACCTCGACACGCTCAAGATTCTGCAAAAATGGGGCGACGGCGCACTCTTCTATGGGCATGGAACCAGCTCTGACCTTGCAGACCTGGAGAGCGCTTTACAGAGCATGGACACGAAACCATTGGCTCTCTTTTGCGAGTTTCCCTCCAACCCCCTCCTGCGTTCGCCCGATCTCAACCGGCTGCGCCAACTTGCTGATCAGTACGGCTTTCTGATCGTCGTGGATGAGACCATCGGGAACTTTCTAAACGTAGAGGTGCTGCCTTACGCTGACATTGTGGTCAGCAGTCTTACGAAAGTATTCAGCGGCGATACCAATGTCATGGGCGGAAGGTGAGCTGAATGATGTATGCGAAGCGCACCATTTCCGAGGCTGACTTTGCTCTACGTCCCCAGCCTTGTACTCAATCCACGCTCAAAGCATGCTGCGCTTCTTCGTCAGGTATTCGAGCAAGAGTACGAAGACACGTACTACGGAGGTGATGCCTGTGTGATGGAACGCAACTCGCGCAACTTTGCCAAACGAGTGGTACGCATCAATGAGAATGCCGAAGCTCTTGCCGACTTTTTGTACGAAGAGCGCGGCAGAGGCGTCATCACAGACGTCTTTTATGTGAGTGGAATTGTCGTCGATATCCGCGTTCAAGCGTCTGACCTTGGCTTGCTCACCTGCGCAATGACAGCCAAAATACGTCACTCGTGATGCCTACGATGCTTGTCGACGCAAGACCCCGCTGCTACCAGCCGACGAAGCCAGTGCGAACGGCTGCACGACGAGTGCTGCAGCCGACAAGCAGGGTCGCTACGGTGGCCTTCTCAGCATCACGTTTGAGACGCCAAAGCATGCGCAGGTGTTTTACGACAATCTCGACGTGGCCAAGGGTCCAAGTCTCGGTAGCAACTTCACCTTGGCATCTCCGTGAGTCGAGCTGGACTAGCGCAAAGCAGACGGGGAGGGGGGCTGACCAGACTCGTGACCTCGCGTAGATACGCCATCTTGGCACATTACACTGAGCTTGATTGGGCGGCAGAATATGGTGTTCCTGCCAGCCTGGTCCGCGTGTCCACTGGTCTTGAGCAGCCCGACGATCTCCTTGCTACATTTACGCGCGCGCTCCTGAAGGCCGCCAGGATCCGTGTGAGATAATGTGCCGATATCGGTATGAATGAATACACTCGTGACTATGGCTAGAGTTTGACTCTTCAACTAGTGACTGTGTGCGTTGCGCGACTCCGATATAAAGCGTGTGTTCTCCTGCCGCCACCGCGTACGTGCAGCGTATGCCGACCGCCTTTCAACACCTCCACTTTCTTGATGACCCGCGGAATTCTTGCGTAACGATCATATTCGTTCGTGATTCCGCACTCGCAGCTGCATCAGCAGCTGCCTTGCATGCTCGGCTCCGATTCAAGATTTCGTTAGTTGAGTAAAGCTAGAAAACCCCGCTGCGATCTGTATAGCCACCTCGTGACTCGTGAGTTGGCGACGTGAGCAAGGCCCAAGCGAGTCTACGGCATAAAAGGAGGATCCGCAATCGGGAGCTTGCACCACCGCATCCACCTTGTCTACACCGTCAAATTCCCCCCCCCCCCCCCCTCCCCCCCTGCATTGTACCATGTTGATGGATCTGATTCGAGGAAACGGCATCTTCGCCGGCAAATCTCCCTACAATGCGGCCGATGTCCCAGACCAGACTGGCCGTGTGCACCTAGTAACTGGAGCCAACACCGGCATCGGATTTGTCACCGCCAAAGCTCTTGCGGCCAAGCACGCCAAAGTATACCTTGCTTGTAGAAATACGGAAAAGGGACAGGAAGCGATTGAAAAGATCAAAAAGGCGCAGGCAGATGCTGATGTGGTGCTGCTCAAGCTCGACTTGGGAAGCTTGGTCGCTGTCAAGGCTGCTGCCGAGGAGTTTCTGAGCAAAGAGACGAGATTGGACGTGCTGATCAGTGAGCGCGACACATGTGGCGTCGCCTAAGCTCGCGCTTCCTGATTCTTGCTTGCCCCCCACGACAGACTCGGCTGGCGTCATGACTCCGCCAAGAGGAAGCAAGACTTTGGATGGTTACGAGTTGACCTTTGGTGAGTCATCGTGCGAATCGGGAAAAGCGCAATGGATGCTCATGCGTAGCACGATTAAAAGGCACCAACAATATTGGTCACCACGCCTTTACCCAGACGCTGCTACCCCTGATAAAAAAGACTGCCGCATCTTCTCCTCCCGACTCTGTGCGCATCGTATATGTCAGCAGCGCTGCGCATTGGAACATGGCGCCCAAAAAGCTCGACTTTGAGGCGGTCAAGGAGCCCAACATTGCGAGACTCGCGCCCGCGCCCTTGTACGGTCAAAGGTGAGTGTGGGCCCATGCTGGCAAAGAAGCATGCTAAGAGTGCTCGCATGTTGCCCGCTGGCAAAGAAGCATGCTAAGAGTGCTCGCATGTTGCCTGCTGGCAAAGAAGCATGCTAAGAGTGTTGGCAAGTTGCCCGCTGGCAAAGAAGCATGCCAAGAGTGCTCGCATGTTGCCTGCTGGCAAAGAAGCATGCTAAGAGTGTTGGCATGTTGCCCGCTGGCAAAGAAGCATGCTGAGAGTGCTCGCATGTTCCCCCAGCAAATTGGTCAACATACAGCAAGCCAAGGTGCTGGCGCGCCAGCTCAAAGATGATGGCGTCGTCGTCACTTCGCTGCATCCAGGACTCATTGCGAGCGACCTGTACAGGTACATGGGACCCTTTCTCACAGTCTTCATGTCCAGCGTCGAGCTCGGTGCGGTGACGCAGCTCTATTGCGCCACTTCGCCCAATGTCACCCTAGCCGACTCTGGAGAGTACTACGTTCCTTGGGCACGCAAGGTGAGCGGCCCGTAGAAGCGAGGCTTGGGCGCCTGTCTGACCATCAGCAATCGCTATTCTTTGACGTGCACCCCTCGATCAACAGTTCAAGACGCAGCATGCTCTGGCAGAGAATGTCGAAGAGCAGCAAAAGGCTTGGGACTACCTCGAAAAGGAGGTTGGCGATTTTTACTCCAAGCATGCAGCCGAGCCATCCACGACGCAGCCTGCTGCACCCGCCCAGCCAGCTGTCTGACTACTCGCATGGCTGTAGTCCAGACGCCGCTGTTGACTGCATTGTTGCAACGACTGGACGGTCAATCGATTGATTTGAGATGTGCGCGGCGGGCTCATCCTGCCGTTGACGCTGTGCACGGTCTGCTTGGATCTCGACCGAGCGCGCCAATTAAGCGCTGAATCAAGAATGCGAAGCGCGAATGGATGAACGATCGTGAATCGTGAACGAGGCTGGAGCCAATCAAATCGCAAAGACGGCGGGCGGCGTTTTGCACGGCCGCCCTTTACTCACTCGACTGCTGCATGGCTGGCTGGCTCGATCGTCATGCTGCAGCAGGGCACGTTATTCAATTCAAGATTGCGCCGGCCGTGCTCATGCAAATTGCTGCTTTAAATTGTTATTTGTGATGTGCGTGACACGCGAAAGCGCAGCACATGTAACAGCAGATCTTGATCGAGAGCTCGCGCGCAGTTGAGAGCTGCAACTCACGACTGCTGCTGCTGCACCGTGCCACTGCCGCCGCCGCCGCCGCCGGTGTGTTGCCCGCAGGGGCTCCTCTTTTCATATTCCCCCACGCATCCATCAGCTCCGATGTTTTGACTTTGCATGGTGGAGGTCAACAAGTTGTGCTAGCACGCCCGCACGCACGCCCATGCACCTCTCTTAACATTACTGAGCACCCTCGAGCGCAACAAGACCACGCCATCATCCATGGCAAGCCGGATAGCCACGGCAGACATCGGGCCGCACTCCCCACGCCACCCGCTCCGCACCTCTTTTCAGCTGCTAACCGCCGAGCTAGATTGATTAGCTCGGAACATCGACTTCCGCTTCTGCCAGACGCCGTCCGTCTGTCAATCCTATTTTATTTTCAGGTGCAGCCCATACACAGCAGCGCGTCGTGGCTGCAGACCGCTCCAGACAGACACCCACAGCCCTCCTCTGCAAAGCATTTGTACAATGTCGACTCTGGGCAACAAGCTGCGAAACAGGCTGTCCGGTTCGCACAGGCGTGCTTCTCGGACAGGACTCACGCCCGAGCCCGACACGAAAGAGAACATTCAACCTCTCACGCCGTCGCACTCGCAGTCACAGTCACAAGCCGACGGCGACAAAGCATCGGTAAAAGTTCCAAAAGTTCTGGTGAATGGGGCAAGCGCATCCGAAGCTTTGGAATCGACCAATACGCATACATCGGCAGAAACGGCAGCGAGGCCTGAATTGCAAGATCGTTTGGACTCGACCATCTCTGCGGCCGCCAGTGCTGCTACTGCGAGCACCATCAGCACTGGGGAACCTCCGGCAGAGATTAGCACGACTGTCACTACAGAAGTAGTGCGTCCTGGCACTCAAGCGGGCGAAGCAGATGTTGTGAAAGAGGAAACGCTGTCTCAGAGCCACACCACCCAAGTCACGCACCTCAACGCTTCAGGTAGGTGCTCGTCGAGTTGCAAAGAGTGGGGTGTTGCGTCTCAGGGATGAAGGGCATGTGGCAGCCCCCGCCTGGCTGCACCGCGCTGACGCACACCCTTTCGCTCCCACGACAGACGTCAAGCACGAAGTCGGCAAGGATGGTTCGATCGTGCTGAAACCGCTTGAAGCGGCGTCGTCCCGCCACAAAAAGCGAGGCAAAAAGATTCGCGCTTTGGTCACCTTTGTCCCTCGTGAATCCAAGTTTGACCGGTACAACGCCGAGTCGGCAGGAGATCCGTGAGTAGGCAGATCACCAGCTTTTCCATGCCCATGCCGACGAGGCTCTGATCCTTCGATTTCCGCTCGTCACAGCTTCCGCGGCTTCTATGTGCTCTTCTGGATCTCCCTCTTCCTGCTCATGCTGGACACGTTCTACACCTCTTGGGCATCCACTGGACAATTCATCTCCTTGGCTTTCGCGACTCTTTTCAGCAAAGATGCGGGTGTGCTAGTCTTGAGCGATGCAGCTCTGGTCGGAAGCACCTTCATATGCGTCCCTTTTGCAATCATGCTCAAGCGAGGTTGGTTCAGCTACTGGCCTTCTTTGATCTGGCTCCAACACGCCTGGCAGAGCGTGCTCCTGGGCGGGGTTATCAAGTGGACCCAGTATCGGGACTGGCCATGGGTTCAATCGGGCTTCATGACGCTGCACACGCTCAGCATGATGATGAAGGTGCATTCCTACTGCGCCGTCAATGGCGCCATGGCCGACTCCTTCTGGAAAATGCGTCGAGTGGAACGTCAGCTGGAAGAGAGAGTTGCTGAGATTGCCAGAGATGCTGCGCCACATGAAAGCACTCGCATCTCGCAAGAAGCGTGGAACGTGGCGCTTGCGGAGGCCTCAAAATCCCAAGCGGGTACAAATGGGTACGGCGTCAATGGCATCAAAGCGGAGAGAGTGGAGGACTCGGCGGCAGCGTCTGCATCGCTCTCTGCAGCAGACGAGAACGTCTGGGCAAGTCTGGAGGCTCAGCGAGGCTCTTCGAGGCTCAGGCATAGTAATAATGCCAGCGTGCTCAAGAGGCGAACAACCAGCGGCCCTACAAGTCCCGGTTCTCACTCGTCGCAAGCGCCTGTCGGCAGCAAAGGCGGCGCAGCGGGAGATACAACCACTGTGAGGGATCCTCACCCCCTCGCGTTCCACCCTGACCCGGTTGTCAGCAAGCTTGCCAAAGACATTGAAGAGTTGCGCGAGGAGCTGCTTTCTAGCGATCCTGACGAGTCTGGCGAGCACGTCTCTTGGCCGCAGAACGTAACCTTTCGCAACTTTTTCGACTATCTCTGCTGCCCCACGCTGGTGTACGAGCTCTCTTATCCTCGTGTTAAAACGTGAGTGATATTGCATGCAGCGCGGCATTCGCACAAAGGCTGACCACTCCCAACTCGATATGCGCCGCATCGCAGCATTCGCCCCTCCTACCTGCTTGAAAAGGCTCTAGCAGGCGTGGGCACGTTTTGCGTCATCTACGTCATCACAGAACACTGGATCATGCCCCATCAACCTGCAGCGGGAACCTCGCTCGCCAAGACCTTTTTCGCCTTGGCCGTACCCATGCTCGTCAACTACCTTCTCATCTTCTTCGTCATGTTCGAATGCGCCCTGGCGTTCGCTGGGGAAGCGACGCGATTTGCTGATCGAGAATTCTACTTGGACTGGTGGAACAGTCGAAGCATGGATGAGTTCAGTCGAAAGTGGAACAAGCCCGTGCACACCTTTCTCCTCCGGCATGTGTACGCCCACTCGATAACTGCGGGCGTAAGCAAACAGTTGGCGCTATTCCTGACCTTTTTGCTCTCTGCACTTCTTCACGAGCTCGTCATGGCCATCGTCAGCGGCAAGATACGGGGCTACCTGTTTGCCATGCAGATGGCGCAGATTCCTCTGATCGCCATCAGCCAGATACCCTGGGTCAAACAGAGACCTACCCTCGGCAACGCCTTCTTCTGGATATCCCTCGCCATCGGCTTTGTCACCCTCGACATTTGCTACATTATGTACTGAGCTTGCGCTCACCTTTGCCTGCCACCAATGTCCAGCATCTACCGAGAATGCATTTGCTGAGAGTCATGAAGCGCACGCGGAGACTGCATTTGCTGAAAGTCGTGAATGGATACAAGTACAAAGAGTCTTGAACACGGTGACGAGTTGCCGAGACGACTGCATGCTCGATTTTAATCGACCTGCATAGTCCTGCGATGCGGAAATTAGTCAGCTTGGACATTTAATGTGATCATCATGGGCAACTCACATGGCCTGGCCGCTCCCCTGTGTCAGAGCGCTCTTCTTGGCCGCATTTCTGGCCTTGTTCTGCACCTTGATCCTCTCCAACTTTTCCTTTTGCGCAGCCAAGCGTTTCCTGTCCGCTCCGAGGGCACCTTGCAAATGCCTGTTCTTGTGCACCTCCAAGCGATCCTTCTCTTGACGAGCAGCTGCGCCTCCTTTGGCCTTGAGCATGCGCGCCTTGTAAAAGGCATTCTCTCGCCTGGCTCGGATTTCGGCGATGCGCTCCATCGCCTTTAGTGTTTGTTGCACCAGCTCGCGCGAGTATCGCACTGGCACGTTGCGACGCTTTTCAAACTCCAGCGTCGAGTCCTTTGAGTGGCGTGGAAAAAGAAAGGGGGAGGGAATGTCAGCACGGATAAGAGGAGTCATCGTGCATAGCCGCCCTCCCTACTCCCGGTGGGCTGGGCAAGCGCTGGTAGATGAATCCTGTCGTCGCCAGTAGCCCGGAATCTAGACACTCACCACCGTCATCTCCTTTCCGGCAGCCTTTCTGAAAGCCTTGGTCCATTTGACCTTCCTGGGGTTCCTCTTCATCTTGAAGTTCTTGTGGCACTTGGACCTGCAGAAGATGAGTTGCTTGGCATCGTTGCGAACGAACATGATGCCGTTGCCCGGGTAGACCGGGCTCGAGCAGAAGAAGCAGTGATTGATTCTCATCTTGCCTGTCTATGATAAAGGGAACTGCAGACTGTCAAAGGGTCCTTGAGTGAGTGGTGTAGCCAGAGTTCGAATCGTCATTCGATTGGGGTACGACGTTGCGGTGTGTGCGGTCTTCAATAATTTTTCGAATCGTGAGTCTCGCTCGGCCGAGAAGATTCTTGCCAAGATCAGATTTCAAGAACTTTGATCGACCCGTTGTTCGTACACGTGGCCTCGTACTGGCGAGCCCTCGTCTAGCACCCGCGCACTCCGAACATGCCCGCCTGCAGCAGCCCAGAAGTGCAACCGCGCGCGCAGGTGCCATGGCATCACGCCAGCGAAGAAGACCACGCGCGCGCACGGTTGCAGCAGCAGCAGCAGCAACAGCGCGCGAGGGAGCAGCACAGTCGACGGCTGGGAAGGCCGGGCGGGGCGCCCGTGCTCTCGCGCCCGCCCCGCCCGTCCGTCCGCTCGCGCAAGCGGTTCTTCGTCGCGCGCGCGCGCTCAGAGCAGACCGAGCAGGATCAGCTAGCTAGCAACTCAGACTACCCTATCCCTTCCTCACACAGTCCACCACTCCGGTTAGGTCTTCTTCACTCTTCTCATCGCAGACCCCTTAAATCACCTGCAATATGCTCGCTCGACCTGCAGGACTCGCCGCTGCCAACTTGGCACGCGCTGCCGCACCAGCTGTGAGTAGGGAGGTCGTATGAAAAAGAGCGGACAGAATGGCCTCGTTCGAAAAAAAGATCGACGAGGAAGCCGATCAGAGGGATCTACTCAGCTTCGGACAGGCCTCAAGCGACCATTCGCTCGTCCGCCTTTACCTGCGAATCCAGTGCGCTGATGAACAAACTGACTTGTCGCCTGTCAGGCTCGCGTTGCGGCCCCTTCCGTCGCCTCGGCTGTTCGCACTTACGCGACGGCCAAGCCTGGTGAGTAGTCGTAGATGCGTCCACACCTCGGGTCTTGTGCTGACCAGTGTCTGCTTCTTTTCTTGCCTTGCAGCTGCCGCTGAAGTCAGCAGCATCCTTGAGCAGCGCATCTCTGGCGCATCTTCCGGTGGTGATGTTCAAGAGACCGGCCGTGTGCTGAGTGAGTACATTCGCGCTCTCGAGCATGTTAAAGATGCGCTTGTACTGGGCGTCGTAGCAGGGCGGATCGCCCCATATTGCTTGCCAAGGGCGCGAGCATTTGTTCAGGCGTGTGACTTGCGATAGGAGTGCGATGCGCACTTGTCAACTTAGTACGCGGGTGATGACGCGGCTCTACGCCGCTCGGATACCACGAGCTGCCGCTTGCGAAAACAGTTTGACGCAGCTTGCGAGCCGCCGCTGACATGTGCAACGCTTCTCCTCTCTAGCCATCGGTGATGGTATTGCTCGTGTCTACGGTCTCCGCAATGTCATGGCCGACGAAATGGTGGAATTCAGCTCTGGTGTCCGTGGAATGGCCCTCAACTTGGAAGCCGACAACGTCGGTGTCTCCATCTTTGGATCTGACCGTGCCATCCGCGAAGGTGACACAGTCAAGCGTACCGGATCCATCGTCGACGTTCCCGTCGGTCCAAACATGCTGGGCCGTGTCGTCGACGCCCTCGGTAACCCAATCGATGGCAAGGGCCCCATCGAGGCCGCTGAGCGTCGCCGTGCCTCGCTCAAGGCACCTGGCATTCTGCCCCGTCGTTCCGTCAACCAGCCCATGCAGACCGGTATCAAGCCCATCGACGCCATGGTTCCCATCGGCCGTGGACAGCGTGAGCTGATCATTGGTGACCGTCAAACCGGTAAGACCGCCATCGCCATCGACACCATCCTCAACCAAAAGCGATGGAACGACGGAAAGGACGAGTCTCAGAAGCTGTACTGTGTTTACGTCGCTGTCGGACAAAAGCGTTCCACTGTCGCTCAGCTGGTCAAGACTCTCGAGGCCAACGATGCCATGAAGTACACCATCATCGTCGCCGCCACTGCTTCTGAGGCTGCTCCCTTGCAATACCTCGCTCCCTTCTCTGGTTGCGCTATTGGAGAGTGGTTCCGCGACAACGGTCGCCACGCTCTGATCATCTACGATGACTTGTCCAAGCAGGCCGTCGCCTACCGTCAAATGTCCTTGCTGCTCCGTCGTCCTCCTGGACGTGAGGCCTACCCTGGTGACGTCTTCTACCTGCACTCTCGTCTCCTCGAGCGTGCTGCCAAGATGAACGAGAAGCACGGTGGTGGATCTCTGACTGCTCTGCCTGTCATCGAGACTCAGGGTGGTGACGTATCCGCTTTCATTCCCACCAACGTCATTTCGATTACCGACGGTCAGATCTTCCTGGAGTCCGAACTCTTCTTCAAGGGTATCCGCCCCGCCGTCAACGTCGGTCTGTCTGTATCTCGCGTCGGATCTGCCGCCCAGACCAAGCTCTACAAGTCCGTCGCTGGTAGCTTGAAGCTGTCGCTTGCTCAATACCGTGAGCTTGCTGCCTTCGCCCAATTCGGTTCCGACTTGGACCCCGCTTCTCGTCGTACCCTGGACCGTGGAGGTCGTCTCGTCGAGCTGCTCAAGCAGCCCCAATTCGTTCCCATGGCCACCGAGATCCAGATTCCCCTCATCTTCGCAGGTACCTCTGGTCTCCTCGACTCGATCCCAACCGACAAGATCACGGCTTGGGAGGAAAGCTTCCTCGAGCACCTCAAGGGCAGCGGCTCCAGTTTGCTGGCCAAGGTCGCCGAGGGCAAACCCTCCAAGGAGCTCACTGCGGAATTAACCTCCTTCATCAAGGCTCACGTTGAAGGCTTCGCCAAGTAAGAGAGGCGTCGTCACGTACATGTTAGAGCAAAGCAGCGAGCGCTCTTTGCACGGGTGATCGACCCTCCTTTTGAAAATGCATGAGTCCCGTCAAGTCCAGACTTTTGCGCGTGTGCCCAAGAGCGATTGAATCGGGCGTTGATGTGGTCACTCGCGAAGGGTGCGCATTGACAAGTCATGCCAGCTGGTAAGACTGCTTGCGAAGGAGGTGCCAGAATGTAGTGTGCGGTTACGTATAGTGTCATAATAAGAATGTCGAATAAGAAAGACACGCGTCAAAAAGCTTGAGGTTTGTGAGAAAGTCACAAGCGTCCTTGCAAAAGGCACTGTTGACTCTTGTCTTCGCACAGTCACCGAGTGATGGCCGCGTGACACGTGTGTGCATGGCGCGCAGGACACCACGCGTCGGGGTGACGTGCGGCCGATGTTCTCCACAAACGACCAACACCTGCAGCGTCACAACTGACGACGTAACGGCGCAACCACTCCAGGCTTGAGTCTTGAGATACAGAGAGCGTAGCTCGTGCCGTACTTCAGTCAACGTCGTGATGCTAAAGGCAGACCTCAGCGATGGATCAGGCTTCGAGCGATCCGACGTGAGCGACAAAGAGGAGCAGATGGGCAGTCACATCTTTGGCTTGCGCTCCTCTTTTCCGGACAGCGGCCCTAGCCGGGCTCGAGCGAGTCTCAGGGCGGCAGTGAGAGAGCTGGAAGATCGATCTCTGCTTTCTGCTGCCTCTTGGTGCGTTGTCACTTCTTGCTACTCGCTCAGGCACATGTGCTGATGGGTTCTATCGGCGCGATGCTGTGACTACAGGGCTCAGGAACTTCTTGCACATGTGCCTAGATCGGAAGACTTGCACTTCGACGAGCCGCAAGATGCCGGTGATGCGCCATCGACGACCGCAAGAGCTGGCACGACCCGTCGAGGGGCGCCAAGCTCCACCCCGGCCAGATACACGCGCTCTGCCTTTCCTGTGCATTCGACACCCGCTCTAGGAGGCAACAATCTGGTCAGCTCGTCCACGCATCTCCTGTCGCCCGGTCAGGCTAGTAACGTTGCGGCGTCACCTGCAAAAGGCGCAGATGAGAGCGGACGATTCGCATCCTTTCGTCTGCCTCCCTCTCCATTGGCCAGGCCTTACTCTCCATCAGATCAGGGCAGCGCTCATGTCCACTTTGCCTCTTCCCAAGACACTTCGAGGTTATCTAGCGTCGATGCGGACTCGCTGCAGCGATGGAGCAGCGCTGACGTAATGGACGACTACGATGCCGACAATTACGCTTTTGCGAGAAGTCTGTTCGGATCCCATCAGCTAGAGAGGTGCGCCTGGGTCCTCGAGAGCAGAAAGGTGCCGGGCGACAAGGCGAAATTTCTGCGGCTGTACGCCAGCTTCTTGGTGGGTGTTGGCGGCGAGGGCCACGGCGCGCTCGATACTGACAAGCTCCGCTGCGCAGCTCGCTGAGCGACATCTGGACACTGAAGCAGCCATCATCCCAGGTGAGAGTATTGCACACGGGGAGCTGATAGGCAGCTAGCTGACGAGTAAGGTGCACTGCAGTCGCTTCAAATAAGGGCATAAGCGCAGAAACAGCAGACAGCTTGCTAAACATTCTGCGCGAGCTCATCGATCCCAGCGATGCTTTTCTGCTGTACTTGTACGTGCGATCAGCAGGGCCCTGACGAGACTTTGGCATCCTTCGCTAAAATCAGTTGCCTTCGCCCCGCAAAATGAATCAGGAAAGGAATTCTGCTTCAAAAGTTTGGAAAGCGCATCGAAGCCCTGGACTGTTTCGTGCGCAGTGTGGCAGAGTTTCCATACTGTTGGTCTTCATGGTTGGAGATCAGTTCCGCGCTCAATCCTGAGAGCGGCGAAGTGAGTTGTCCGCATTCCAGACCGTGCGTCGCTTGTCCTGAGTATGAGGTCCGTGTGCACCGCAGCTTGGAGAAATCGCGGATCTCTTGCCAGATTCCTTCATGACTGCGTTCTTTGTGAGCCATCACAGCCGCCACATTGCCAGAATTCATCGCAGCACGAACGATCCGCAACGCTGCGAAGCGCTACTGCGATTATTTCCCGGCAGTCCGTACGTCATGAGCTGCAAAGCGCATTCGCACTACGTGCTGGAAGGTGAGAAGCTAGAGGAGGTGAGAGATCTCGAGGTGCGGCGAACTCACTTCTCGCATTGGACCCTTCGCAGAGTATGCTGCAGCAGAGGTGCTGTGGAAACAGGCCCGGCAAATTGATCCCCACTGCAACGAAGGCCTGGGTGGCTACTCAAATCTGCTTTTCGTGTTGAACAAGTACGAAGAGCTCGCTCACCTTACCAACTCACTGATCGAGAGCGGACGCGACAGTGCAGAGATATGCTGTGCTCTCGGTGAGTGGGCCGTGCGAGCTTTGATTGTGCCATCTGCTCACTCGTTTCAATGCCTTGAACCGCAGCCAATTATCACACCTCTCGTGGCAACCATCATCGATCTGTGCAGGCCCTGCAAAGAGCACTTCGGCTCGATCCCTCTTGCGTCAACGCTTGGGTGCTGCTTGGTCACGCATATATTGAGTTGCGGAATGCTCAAGCTGCGACGGAAATGTATAGACGGGCGATTGGTAAGTATAGCACAGCATTGCTGCGACGATGCGCCACGTTGATTCGTTTCCTGGGTACACAGACATTGCGCCACATGACCATCGAGCTTGGTACGGCCTTGGCTATGCCTACGAGCTCAACGAGGCGCCACACTACTGTTTGCATCATTTCCAAAAAGCCTGCGCTTTAAAGTGGGTGGGGCGCGTCCACTGAAGCCGGTCGTCCTCGGCTGACATGCGATCCTTTCCGATGGCAGCCCCTTTCTTCCATCCCTCTGGATCGCGCAAGCCAATTGCTACGAAAAACTTGGCAGGTTAGTCCGAAAGATACAAAAAGGCTCAGCGCGCCTGCACTCAGCTGAGCACCTTCAGTCGATTTGACGCAGATCCCAGCATGCCATATCGTGCTACAAGCGAGCACTCAGCGTCGGCTCTGCGAGCATGGCGACCATTGACCAGATCAGCCACATCGAGTGCATCATTACGCTTTATGAAGCGGCGGGCGATATTCTTGCTGCAGCAACGTGGCACAAACGCATTGTGGATTTGGTAGAAGGAGCCAGAGAGAGTGCGGACCCTTTACCTTTCGAGAGATACGTCGCCAGCTATGTTGTGGCGGCACGGTGGGAAATGGGAGACATTGCTTCGGAGAATCAGAAACGCAAGGAGAGAGAAGCTCTGTTGAACCCAAATGCGTTGCGACACATCAAGAACTCTCAAATCGCACGAGCGGGCGCGCAAAGAGACAAGGATACCTCGGCTATGGATCTAGATAGTCAAGAGTTTGCGCACCAAATTCCAGACGCCGCGATACCACAAAGGGAAGCGAATCCGGCCCTTGCCAACGAGTACTTGACGAGGGTCATCGCGGCCAATACTGAGCACACCGCAGAAGCAGAGGATCTGCTGAAGAGGTTGGCCTTTTTGCCCGGCCCTCCCGTCTAACCGAATCAATCCTCGGGCTGCTGTCCACTGGGAGCCTGTTGTATAGCAGCAATGCATAGCAATCGATGTATTTAGCGACGCTCCATGCTCTACAATCTGGTGCGAATCGCAAAGTGCTTCTCGATCGCTTCAACTGCCTTGTGCACCGCGTCGATGCTCTCGATGGTTGGCGGAACCGGAAGCTGACTGATATCCGTGCTGCTCTTGCCCTCTGCTGCCTGCTCCGTGACGACCCTGACTACCTTCCGAAGCGTCTTGCCCGAGCGCGTCTTTGGCAGAGCAGAAGTGAGGACGAGCGCGCCAAGCTCTGATATCGTATCAAGGTTGCTAGCGTCAGCTGGCCCACAACCAAGGCTGCTTGGCAAAACAAGGCGATAGCGACTCACGTGCTATGGGACCAACCTCTGCTCGAAGGTGTTCGTTGACATTCTTGAGTATCGCTTCAACATCTTGCTCTTTCCGGTCCGAACGAGCGACGACGAGGGCGAATGGAACCGTTCCTTTTGTCTTTTCGGGTGCTCCCACAACGCAGCACTGCGGAGAGAAAGGCGATGCACGGATCAGCACTTGACATTTGAGATCCACAACCTCGCGCCGAGTCCGCCGACGCACCTCGAGAACGTCGGGATGAGAAGTGAGGACTTGTTCCAGCAAGCCCGTGCCCAGACGATGACCGGCGACTTGTATGATGTCGTCAGACCTAGCCAAGATGGTAATGTATCCCTCTTCATCCATGACGGCCGCATCTCCCGTATCGAACCATCCCTGTTTCTGGAAACGGCTCCAATAAGCATCGTGGAAACCAGCCTGGTTATTCCACAAACCACCCAGAAAGGTGGGCGACAGGGGAGGAGCAACGACCAGGTTGCCCATCTTTCCCGCTTCGCGAATCTCGTTGCCAGCATCGTCGACGATACGAACGTCCATGCCAGGCTGAGCCAAGCCTGCAGAGCCTGGGATGCAGGGCAAGTTGTGCCAAGCACTGCCCAGCATCAGAGCGGTGATTGGAGACCCCGATTCCGTTTGCCAATAATTATCGTTTGTCTCGAAGCCCGGAGCAGCAATCTCTCGCAACCGTTTTTGGTAAAACGAGACTAGGGTCGGTTCTGATCGTTCGCCCGCCAAGAAAAGCGCCCGTAGAGTGCGAAGATTGATGCTTGGTGAGCGCATCAGTTGACCAGAGGGGTCTTGACCGCGCACGGCTCGCAGAGCTGTGGGCGCCGTGAAGAGATGTGTGACACCCAGCGCAGAGATCGTCCGCCACAGAATCCCAGCGTCAGGCGTGACGGGTTTGCCCTCGAAAATGCACGTGGAAGCGCCGAGGAAGAGTGGAGCGTACAGAATGTAACTATGACCGACTACCCAGCTGTCTCCGTGCAATTTGGGTTCATTAGGTCATTGCGCACTCCGCAGAGCAAGGTATTCGAGCATGCACGCACCCTAGATCAGAGGCGCAAAGCATAGTGTCCGAAGGCTTCATTCCAAAGGCGTGCTCTATAGAGTACCTCAAACCGACGGCGTGCCCACCCGTCAATCTGGTCACGCCCTTCGGAGTACCGGTTGTTCCGGAACTGCGAACGCACAAGTCTCACCGCGCGTGAGCGGACTCCAACAAGATTCCGTCAAGAAAGTGCTTGACGCGCGACTCACGTATACAGAATGTAGACGGGCTCCTCTGAAGCTACAGGAACGCAAGACCAGCACTTGTGTCTTCCATCCACACCTTCCCTCGTTAGCCTCAGCTCGTCTTCCCAATCCCACTCTGGCACTCCCGCCTTGCCTCGAGCGTCGATCCGCGGTGGCTCATGCCCAGAGATGGTGTTTCTGGCCAAGAAGAGCAAGCCTTGAGGTTTGTGCTTGCAGTGGCCGAAAGCTGCGTCCACCAGAGGTTTGTACTCCACGGGCCCTCGTGGCTCCAACCCACAAGAAGCGGAGAGAACCAGCTTGCATCGACTGTCGTCGATACGCTTGGCTAGCTCTCGAGCTGCAAAGCCGCCAAAGACGACGGAATGGATAGCGCCTAGCCTCGCGCACGCCAGCATGGCTAGCGCAGTCTCTGGGATCATGGGCATGTAGATGATGACCTGGAAGCCGTGGCATTGCGTGTCAGAAGAGCTCGTCGCCGCGCTGCCATGCGGCAATACCATCCCTTCACTCACAGTATCGCCCTTCTTGAGGCCTTTGCTCTTGAGCACCCCGGCGAGGGTCTGGACGTACTCCAAAGCAGCGCCATAAGTGATGGCTCGATATTGTTGTTTCTGAAAGGGCAAAGGCGAGACGTGATGAAAAGCTATGCGCTGCGAAAGAGCAGAGTCGATGGCCAAATGTGGAGTGTGAGGGCTGGGCGTAAGAGGTGGAGCGCCAGCGTAAGGTGGTGGATAGACGTGCCTGTCCAGCGCATTGAAGCAGGTATTGACTTGTGAATGAGGTTCAGGAGAAGGTAGGCGGGGGGAAGATGTGGCATTGGGGCGACTGGGTGAGCAGCAGCGCAATCAGAGTGATACGAATGCTTGAACCTACGCTGAGCATTGGGGAACCAGGTCTTGCCTTGAGCGTAGGGCGCAGTCTCGCGCGAAAGATCAGTCTTGCCGTACGCAGTTGTGGGCGGCAAGTGCCACGAGATATCTTTGGACGCCTTGAGCCAAAAGTCATCCCTGGCCTCCAGGCTCTGCCGATGAATGGCGTTCTGAGGGTGCATGCTTTTCGTGCGGGCTGCGACGTCAGCCACCGTAAAGAAGCTCGAGAGAGACGGCTGGCTGGCTGGCTGGCTGGCTGGCTTGCGGTACTGAAATGTTTTGAAACGCTTGTTGCGGTACTGAAACGCTTGGTGCTTGTCGCTTGCGCAGACTTTTGTCAAGGTCAAAGCTACGAAGCGTTTTTCGTCTCGCTTGGCACGATTGTGCTTTTACCAGTAGAGCAGGGTCACACCCCTTGAAGGATTACCAGCCTTGCGCGTGGGTGAGCAGCTTAGACGAGCAGACAGGTGATGGAGTGTGAGTTCGTGAAGTGCCTCGTCGTCGGCAATCAGGAGATTCACCATTCACCATCCGTGGATTCGTGATTCGCTCAAGACTCACGACTCGATCACGACTCACACTGTCACTGATGAATGTGACTTGACTTGGCCTTCGTCGATCGCGATGTGACAAGAGTCCGAGTCGTGAGTCACGATGAGTGGCTCGAGCGCATGTGTGGGGTTCAATTAAAGCATGCTAGCAGCGTCGGTCAAGCGAGCGAGACGGCCGGGCGGCCGAGCGGCCGAGCGGCGCAGGAATAACAATACGCTCCAAGCGGGGGAAGCGGGCACGCGCCATGCACCGCCTTCATGCATCGATCGATGTGGAGTCACGCGGGGTAATCACGAATTGAATGGTGAATATTGGGCGGAATGAAACGAGCGTGAGTCGTGTGAGTCGTGCCATATACTCACACTCGCTACTCACACATTCATCACGCTATAGCTCTGACTACTGAGAGCCAAGCGAATCGTTCGGATACGCGATTCGTCATACGAGTCGTGACTTGCGTGAGCTGCAGCATGGATATTCGAGATGGGCAATCAAGCACCTCGATCGCGTGTGTCAAAGCGTAGCGCACCCAATGCCTGTCGCTTCGAAAGCTGCTAGAAATGTGTGGAAGAAAAGCGCCGCACCCGGAGCTGCAGAGATGCGTGGCTCTTCATTGGAGTTGAGATCATCAGGAGCAGAAAAGCTTGGACCGCGCGCCCACTTTGAGATGTTCGCAGCCAACAGTAAAGCGCAATGCAACTCGTGGGTCGGAGGCAGGCAGGCAGGCAGGCAGGAGTGCCTGCAACTCTTGAGCAAAGCCAGCACAACACAGGTCAACTCGATCAGCAAAGCAGGCTCTTGCAGATGGTATCGAATTGCTGAACGGTTCAGAGGAAGCAGGTCTGTCTACGTACGCTCCCACGGCAAAGTTGTGAACATCTCGCGGTGCGTGGTGAAGGGCGTCGTCAAGGTGCATGAATCGTGAATGGTGAGTCGTGAGCTGCGTCGCTCGTGGCGCTGATCCTTGCAATCATGCTTCGCAACGTGATGTCACCTCGTCAGGGTGCAGACAGGCCGACTGTTCTTGTCTTCAGGCTGCTGCAATCGCCGGTGCGGCTTGCGCAGTCTCGACTGCAGGTGTGTCCTGCCTCGATGATCTCTTTGCGCTCGTGCTGATACGCTTGAGCCACTTGGCAGCGTTTTTGGTCGCCACAGCAGGCTCATTCGTCGACGCCTGCGCCGATTCGCTCGGTTGAGCCGCATCCGCAGAAGCATCCTTCCCTGCTCCGTTGGCTGACGCCGCAGCAGGGACAGTAGCATCTGGAGACTGCTTACTCAAACGCTTGCTGATCCTCTTGTGCTCCTTCTCTGCAGCTTTGAGCTGAGCAGAGGTCTTCTTGAGCGCGGCCTTGTCGTCAGAATTGAGAATCTTGATCGTCAGCAGAGCTGTTCGGCCGTCCACCTGTAGTGTGCAGAGAGACACGTCAACTATCTCTCGCAGACTTTCCGAGACAAGTCGGCGACGCACGGCAATGTCATGGTTGATACCTTGAGCACCTGCAGGCATTAGACCGTCCAGCCATTGCACCTTGGTCTGATACCGAGTGAAGAACCACGAGCTGAGATGCGAATCGGTAATCGGAACGCCGTGCCTCGAGCGGTGAGCGACCGCAGCAGCAGCTAGACGACGAGAAGCCGATCAACTCACGTAATACCATTCTTGTTCTTCTGACTGAGACCCACCACTTTGTCTCTGCCCAAATCGTAGCCATTCGGAATGATCTTGTGATGTTTGCTCACATTTTCTTCCTCGCTCGCAGCGAAGAACCAAGCTCCGGTACCTTGTTGCTGCCAAACGCGGATATGATTGCCGCCAATCAAGCTTTCCACGCACGTACCGAACAGATGATCCAGAGGTGTGTAGACTTCGCGGTACAGAAAGAGCTCGTCGGAGAATCCTCGAGGGTCTAGATTAGCCTTTTGCAGAGCACCAGAGTGCAGTCCGAAACATTCCATGTCCAAATCCAACGAACGGAGGTATTGCTGCAGACCTTTTCGAGTCAGGATCTCTGGGGATGACAGAGCCGAGACTGTCATCCCAAAGCGCAAGAAGTGCCAGTGTCAGAGTTGAGACTGGCGGTGAAAAAGGCTCAAGACGGATCGCAGGTGGCGTGCCGCAATGGTGTGGCAGTCCACTCACCAATGACATTTAAAGGTTCGCCCAAATCGCCATTGCTCTTGTTGACGCTCATCCCTCCATACAGTCTGGGATCTATGAAAGCCTTGCCGACAGGATCAAGCAGTGTAGTAGAAGGCGGCCCAACAGGCGCAGGGTACTGCAGTTGTTGCTGAGCGTCGACGTCGCCCAGCTCAGTAGCCTTTGCAGCAGCGCTCGAGCCTCCCGCTGTAGCGCTGGACACCGCTAATGGCGCTTTGGAGTGATCAGGTCGACCAGTCGGAAAGATGTTGGGATCGTCCTGTAGACGGACATCCGATGGATCCTCTAGTCCCACCCGTCGACCATTGTTGACGGCTCGCTCGCCAGTATCAACAGAGTTCGTGCCACTCTCAGCAGCTTTCTTCTTGTAAAAGGAAAGTTTAGAAAGGGCCGGCATGATCTCGATGGATGGGAGTGCAGAGCTTGGAGGGATGACTGCGTGGCCAAGCGTCTTTTGGACCTCTTTATAGCACGAGACAGACGGCTGGACTCCTCGGGCGAGGCGGCGCGCACGTCGAGCTGTGGCAGTGTTCTATCTTGTTCGCTTCTCTTGACTCAGGAGGTCTGCCGGGTAGCTTGGAGTAATGACGTGGGGGTGGTGGTGCCTCACGAGCCCGCTCGATGACGAGCCAACCCACGTTCGGGGACGCCAAATGCTCAGTCCAGCACCCTCGCCCCCGCCCCCGCCCCCGCCCCAAGAGCGAGACATGTCTCGTGTCCACTCACAGTTGAGTCACAATTGTGATTCTGGAACGAGTGATTCTCCATGCCTGCATCCAACCCCTGCTGCATAGGCGACTACAGCTGATCGGCAAGCGGCATGCATGCTTGAGCACGTTCACACGGCCCCTCAGACACGAAAGCTGCTGCTGCTGCTTAGGGGCTCCTTTATCTTGGCAAGCAACCTGTCTGGCTTGTAGGCGCTAAAAGCACGATGAGCGGAAGCGCGACAAGTTGCGACTGCGCACACGCGCGCGAATCCTCCGTGCGGGAAACGGGGAAACCGAACGAGCTAACCGACTTCCCACGTGAGAGTGCGGTCCTTGCCATGCTCACCGTGCAGACTGAAAAAGGGCTGGCTAGCCTCTTTCTGTTCATCCGTCCACCAGCTGCCACCCACGCAGCTACATCGTGGATCCAGAAGGTCAGAGATCGATCAGAGCGACCACCTTGCGTAACGTCGTCGCTGATGACGTGCACGACCGTGACTCTCCGCGGGTGCTTAATCGCATCAGTCACGAGTGCGCACAGCACAGCCTTTCCCCTGGTCCGTTTTGAGCTCTTGCCCGCTAGCGCGTCGACGCCAAGCATGGGTATTCATTCGCTTCAGCGAAAAGTTCATGCAGGCGAACTTGCTCAGATCGGAAATCGTGCAGACTCGGGAATCGTCTAACTACGCAAGCCGGCCCAGCTGGCAATACGACTGCTGCGCCCGATTGACGGAGGAACAACAGCGAGCGGTGAGCTAGCTATAGGCAACAACAATCTATAAGTCTTGACACCGCGTCTCACCTGAGACGCAGCTTGCCAGCGACGGTCTGACGCGTTGTCAAGCCACTCACGATTTTCGCCTCTTCCTTCATAGCTTGACCCAAGTCTTGAAGCGTCTGCAGCTAGGTCTTCGACAAGGCTCAAGCGGATTTCTGAAGGTGAGACGTGCTGTTGCGTCAGAGAAACTCCGCAGGATCGAGGGACAGAGCTTGACCGCTAAAATGTTGACCTCAAAATTGGTCTAATAGCGAGACGGTGGCGATGGTGAAGGACCTACAAAACATGCTCGAGACTCCCACGTCTCCCAAGCACCCAGACGCCATACTGCCTAGGTCGTCTATAGGGGTGGGCAGATCGAGGGCGAACCTTCTATGACTCCTAGCTCTAGCTCTGGCGGTTGAAGGGGCCCCGGAAGATTCTCAGACTGACTTGATCGCTCGTGCGTCTTTGCCACTCGCTCGATATTTGCCACCCATGCGCAAGCACACGCCATAGATGTTGGCCTTCGATCATTCCCATACGCGGATCCGTCGAGCACGGCGCGGTGATCGGACGGATCTCGGGGCCTCTTCAACTAAGCAGACGCCGTGCCGCATAGGCAGCAGCCTAAGATCTGCATCCGAGACAATCACCCATCGTGAAGATGAAAGGGGTCTGTACCGCTTGCACATGGGAATCGCATCCTCGAAAGAGACTAAAGTAGCCATCGCAATAGGAAGCCGCGACGCTTCACTCTGGGCAAGGCAGCGTGCTCAGTACATTCACACGTCTCAACTTTACGGCGAGGAGATGGCACAGACTGATAAATGGTGAATCAAGCTCAGCATCACCGCAATGCTTTATCGCTGTTGCACTGGATGGATTGCGGTGGGACCCCGCAGTTGATGAGGCGCAGCGTTGCTGGATGTTGATCCATCACCAAGCTCATTTCATTATTCGCAAGTGCAACCTCATTCAAAAATGTGGAGTCACTGGGCATTTCTTGCTGCGAACGAGACGCACTTTGAAGCGTGCACTCTGCAAAGGGCTGCGGGTGGAATGCCCCTTCGCACGTTCACAAATTGATCCATGGCGACCGACATGCTTTTCCCGCCACCACATCGGCGGTTGTGAGCTTTTGCGCGACGCACAACCCACAAGACCCGCGTCGCATGGCAAGTGAAGCGCGGCCAAGGACTCACGATTCAGATCTGCATTTCGATGTTCACCATTGCATGATTTTGCAACGCAAGAAGCAATTTTCGCTTCCTCTGGACGAGAGTGAGGACCGTGCACTAGACCTCGCTTCGGTACAAGACGCGAAGCACGTCAGTCAAGAGACATAGTTCAGAGGTGCAGAGACGCTCCCCTCTCCCTCGAGAACGCGCAGTACGTGGCAAGGTGTCCAAGTGCCTGACAAACCCTCCCGACCCACACTCAAAGCTTGGTCATGCTGCCGAGTGGTCAAGGCTCACCTCCATCCAGGGTCCAGTATCAAGACACAAGGTTGAAGCTCGATCGCTGTCTCATTAGATCACGGTCGCTACCGAAGAGAGGGTCAAGCAATTACGCGCCCGGGCGCTGCTACCCGATCGTTCATATCGGACTTCGTTTCATCTCGACATTGCGGGCGTCTGTAAGCACTCGGCACTCATATGAATCCCGCTCTTGAGCGATCGAGCTCAGGACCGCTAGGCGACCCATGGCGGACGGATCTTTGTCGAGGCCGCGTCCTGCCGCACGCCTGGAGCTCCTTGATACATATTCGCCGTTCGTTCTATCAGAAATGAGGTGCTAAATCCCATGCAACGATCAAGAACCTCCGCGCCCGCCCCCTCACACGATACGGCGGCACATTTCGCTGCGGTACCTTGCGTATGCGTGGCGTGGCGTAGCGTTGGTCAGGCGGGGCGGAGCAGACCAACACCTTGCAAGCGTCAGCAGCCGAGCGGCGGGATGGAGCGTCGGCCCCAAACATGATGAAGCGAGTGCGAGTCGACTTGCGCTGTACGCCCGCCCGCCTGACTGTAGTGGCGCATGAGAAAGGTGTCCATGTCCGCATCGTAGCGTACGCTGTACACAGGGAACTACATCCAAGGCGGGCGAAGCGCATTCTTGCCCCTGGTCTACCCTGCAACGGAAGTTCGTTGACGGATGGTTGCTGCGCTTTGCAGCACATCGCCATTGTGGAATGGCGGCTACATGGGCAGACAATCGCAAAGCCGCAGTACCAGCCAGTTGTGCTCATAAACGAGCGTCTACTGTAGCTCTGCTCGCCTTTCCCCCTTCATCTCTTGACCGCTCACTCGAAGACCACCGGTCAGAGCTTTGTCGACAGCCACTTCGGGCCAAGCCAACAAACATCTGGGCGCCCATTTGCGTCGAGCTGAAGCACATCTCTTCTCCACCACCATGCGGCTCCCGTTCCAGTGCCTCTCCCCATCTTACCTTTGCCGATTGGACCTCGCTACAGACTCTACCCTCGAGCCAGAACAGGTCTTCAAAGAGCGTAGCCTTGTAGTCCCCATCCCCGCAGCTATGGAGCCCATCTACGAGCCCCACGACGTCTCTCCCTCGACCGAAACCACATCGCTGGAGTGGAACTTTGACGAGCACGACTGTAGCCGTGGTACCAACTACGCTTGGTCCTCGCACACTAATAGTCGTAAACCCGTCGAGCTTGTGCGCACTTTTACAGGCACTTTTCGAAAATGTCAAGTAAAGACACGTCGAATCGCCCTGGCGCCTCGACTCCCAATGGCGTCCAAATCTCCTAGAAAGGGACTAGACTTGCTCGCTAATTGGCATTTCGCTTGTTCCGAAGCGAAGGATAATTGGGCTACATGCAATTGGTCGGCCCAGAACAGTCCGGTATCTCTAGATGAGAAGCATAATACGTTTCTCCCAGACGATTCCATTGCCAAGGTGAGTCAGAGGGCAAGAATTGCCGAGAGCGTCAAGTCTGGTGCTGATGCAGACGCCGTCCCTATAGGGCAAGCCGCATCCGCGCATCCAAGCGCACGTACAGTGCGTTCAGTGCACAAGGAGCCATGTAGCGGTCAAGGCGGATCTACCTTCAACTGAAAAATCAGAGCCAACTCTTTCTGCTAGCGTGTCTATTGATGGAGATGCCCGCAATTGCAAAGACACCGTCGCTCTTCTTCATCGAGACGCCGACTGGCTTGAAATTGCAACTCCGGCCCTGCCGAGCTCCACCGCCGCCCCATCCAAAAGGATCGGTCTCTTGCGCACACTCAGCAAGAAGATGCCCTGGTTTGTTTCAGATCGTGCAACTATGCGTCAAGCAGCAAGACGAGCGTCCCAAGCGAGTGGCCAGAAGGATCAACCTACCCGGAGGACGACGCCACGTCAGGCACGCGACGCCATCGAGCTCGATGAGCCGCGCGCTCTGTGTCAGTCTCCGCTGGGTGAGCCGCCGATGCCAGACCATCTTCCGACCACCAAAACGCCGTCCCTATACATCGGCAACGGACATCGTCCATTGAGCCTGCTGGTAGACGTTTGCGACAACACCGACACCCAGAGTCTCACATCGACAGGGCCGACCAGTCTCTCGAGCTCATCATGCCAGTTCGAAGAGCAGGTGCACGGCAGTGTCTGCGCAGTTGCGCACGATAATCTGCCCGGTGCTTTGTCAAAAGGACCTATCTTGCCGAGCACCGACGTCAAAGCCCAAGCGATGCGCCGCCAACGTCCTTCCCTGTCGCTCGCTCTCAAACAACAACACGCTTCTCGAACCTTTTCGGAACCGCTTTTGCAAACGTCGAATCATTGCACTACACCCGTCCGGCGCTTGACGGTTCGCAATGGACTTCCCTCGTCCTCGTCCCCTGCTTCTCTCTCGTCTTTCGACCATCCGCAAGACGCTGCGAACACTGACTCGAGTCCTACGACTCCCGAAGATGGTCACCGACTCATCTCTGCTCATCCAGACTCCGAGATTTGGCGACCTTTTCCGCCAGCCGATGTTCATAAAGCTGACAGCGTTACCTTCAATAAGGAATCTACACTTCACAATCAAGATCCCTGCCCCATCTCGAGCCCCATTACACCACGCGCAAGGTGCGAAGGACTGCGTAGCAGATCCACTTTGCCACACATGGCGGCGTCGAGAGCAGAGTACGACGTGCCTCCGCCACTGATGGGCTCGACTTGGGGGGCGGGAGCCTATGCCAACAAGAATGTCTCAGACTCTTCGTCTTCCAAGTTTTTAAATATGCGCCTGCTGCGCATGAATAGAGGAGGCCTGGAACAATGGTCCTCCTTGACCAGTGCTCCATTCCCATTCCAGCCTTCCGAAAGCCCATCTCACCTCGGCCTCAACATACACACCACCGCTACTGCGCCCGCAGCCAAAAGGGCCAATTCATTCAGCTCTCTCGGCCGTCGTTTCCCCACAAACACCTTCTCTTCCCAACATCGGCTTTCCACCTTCGCATTCACATCTCCCAGCTTTTCCCTCTCTCCTTCCGCTTCTGCTCCTTCGCCCCAGTTCCAGATCCTGGAACGAAGAGCGACTGCTCCTTGCAGACATGCAAAGTGCGCAACTATCTCCTGCGCGCCCAGTGATGAATGGAGCAGCAGCGTATTGACTGCTGTACCTCCCACGCCCATTGCAGCGCAGCACGATGCCGATGCCGATGCTGGGGCTTGCTCGCGCGACGATTAGTGTCAGACCGAGGCCTTCGCTATACGAACAATGATAATCCATGATTGTGCCCCGTCGTAGGCAGAGAAAACTTTGAAGCCCAAGAAGTGCACTCCCTCTTCGCACGCTCCTTTCAAAGTCACTTCAATTACCCACCTTGCCCCTGCTATCACAAGCGTGGTGATAGATGTCCAAGAAACATGCTTGAATTCTCGATAGAGCAACATAACTCGACACTTGTCTCCCTGTCTGAAAGACGCAAGAGCAGCTTGTGGGCCCGTGATGTTGTGGAAAGCCGAGCTTCATACTCGTGGGTCAGGAACGGCAGTAGTAGCAGAGATGAATTCGACTTCGGAGCACAATCTATGCCTCCTTGCTCTTCTCCATCTCGGCCATCTTGCTCTCGGCCCATGCCCTGTCCACTTCGTCCAATCTAGACTGAACCTCTTTCACAGCTTCCTTTCTCTTCAACCTGCTCTCTTCCCCAGTGACAGCGACGCTGTCCAAAGCCAACAAAGCCCTCAGGAGCAACTCGCTCAATCTTTTTTGCGTCTTGGATCTGCTCTCGGCAGGAGAAGTAGGCGGCTGCGAACCTGCACAGAAAGCCTCTATATCCGGTCCCAAGTCCCTCCTCACCCCGTTCAGGATCGTCTCTATGCGAGAAATCAACGAAGATTCGCTCTCCGGTTCTTGCTCTTCTTTTGGGGGAGGTGGAGGAGGCGCTTTCCCACCCGGTCGATCTCCGATGGGAGGAGGTCCGTCTGTCGAGCCTACCAGGGTCAGCTTGGATCCATCTTTGAGGCCAAAAGAGGTTAAGGCGGCTCGGTCGTCACGAAGAATGAACCCCGACGATATCAGCTTGATGTTGTCGTAGGGTACGAATGTTTGAGTGGCGATGTGCGCCTTGAGAATGCCCAGCGTTGGTGGTGGGCTTGGTGGCAGGTTGATGGATAACCTGATTTGTGCATAGGCGAAGTGAGAGTGGAAGTGTGTCAGCTTTAATCGACCGGAAGCATCAGCTTGGGCGATCCGAGGTCGCTCGGGCGCAACCAAAGACTGGGATCCAGCACTCCAACGCCAGTGAGCAGCATTGTTTGCACCCATTGCGCCACAACTCGAGAATTCTATGTGCGCGCTAGCACACAAAGTCTGTACGTTTGCTCTCGGATCTGCCTGGACACTCACCTTTGCTTGCCCCACGCTACATTGATGTGCTTGATAGGTGCCCCATCCGTAGTGCCAGAGTTCGCTCTGCCAAACGGAGTCCTGCCCGAGCTGCCACCAGCGATCCCACTAGCCGAGGCTTGACCTGGATCATTGTGCTGAGCATGAGGTGAGAATGTGCCGTCGCCTATGGGATCAAACGTGTCGTTGACCGCATTTTGTAGTCGCGACCATTGATTGCTGAACCACGCCATCTAACCAGTTGTCACGAGTCTGAAATCGGCGGTCAAAGCTGTCCCTCAAAGGCTGGACCGTAAGGAGTGTTGAAGATGAATGGAATACACCTGACGAGAGTGCTTCCCGTTCGCGTCTTGCGATAGACTGACAACTTCAGAATAGAAAGTAAGCGTGATCGAGGTTAGCTCGTGACATGCTGGTAGGTCGCTGATCTTGACTTTGATTGGGGCCATGGTGATGGTGGAGGGACACCGCGCAGCTCTTTGGCCGCGCGCATGAGCAGCAATCAAGAAAGACAGGGCGTCACCAGAGCACGTGTCGTCTCAGCTCGGCGTGGGTCGGCCGTCTTGCGCCGCTTGATTCCGGCGCGATCCGTCTCGAGGTGACGCGCACGCATGTATGCGGCGCCGTTTTGGTTTTGGATTTATCAGCAAAAAGAGGAAAAAGTTCACAGCCTCACCAATGAGTGTTGACTGAACCTCACAACATCTCGCAGCATACAGCCACACACCCTTTCAATTCTTCCTCTTGCGCCACCACTATTCAGGGCGCCGGCGATCTTGGGAAGAAGCAGCTTTGTTCAGCCAAGACGACCCATCCGAAAGCTCCTTTAGCGCACCTCAAAATGTCTCCAGCACCGCCTCCACATCCAGCCTTGGCCGGTCCAGCATCCAACCAGATGGCGATTTTCGAGCTGCTGCAGTCTCGCGTAGCAGCAGGGGCATCGCCTCGAGATGTCTGGAGTCCCAACTACGTTCCCCTTGGACGCAAAAGTGGCGCGGGACCTTCAAGAACAAAGCCGCCAAGCGCGTCAAGGACCAGTGCGCATGCCAGGAGCGCCGTCGCTACAGAAGAGGTGCCTGCTGGCTGTCCAATGCACAAGGCCGGGTCAGATTCGATGGGGTCGTCGCCATTCTCTGCTGCGAACAGGTCGTCGGCATCGGCGCCGGTGTCCGTCGATGAGTCGTACGCCTCCACCTCTGCCTCCGGTGGCAAGAGTCTGGCTTCGAGCCTGAATCCGCTCAATTACATGCCTTTTCTCTCTCAAGCGCGGGAGTCCGTCAAGCAGACTGTGGAGCTATCGACCGAGCGCATAGTCAGCTCAATACCTCGAAGTCAATCATCTGCTCCGGCGGGTGCCTCTCCTTACGACGCGCCTGCTTCCACCTCGGACGGCGCGTCGAGCTGCCCCGTCATGCACGATGCCACAGGCGGATCGTCAAGCAAGGAAGCGCAAGCGAGCAACTGGGAATACCCTTCGCCACAGCAATTCTACAACGCGCTGGTGCGAAAAGGGTGGGAAACGCCAGAGGAACACGTCGAGATGATGGTGCTGGTGCACAACTTCTTGAACGAGGAAGCCTGGAAACAAGTGCTGGAGTGGGAAGAAAAGTGCGGCAGGTGAGCAGAACGAGCGGATGACTTAATGGCGCGGATACCGTCGCGTCACAATCTACTGATCACTTTTCGACGATATGGCTGCAGAGATTCCAAGTCCACATCTCTCGTCAAATTTCAGGGGCGTCCAGGCACCTTGTCGCCCAAAGCTAGATTCTACTCGTACCTCGGCGCCATCGCACCCAACACTTACAGGTGAGCAGCTATGAGTGACGCGCATGATTTTTGAGGGATGGCTTATCTGAAATCGCAACCCGCCTGTGTCCAGCTCCGAGCCGCCGTTCGACCGGCACGATTGGGTCGTTAGATCATCCCTCAAGTCGGCCAACTCTGTCTCTACGGCATCAGCACCACAAGGGGATCAGAGATATGTCATCGATTACTACTCTGGACCTGACGATCCAGAGACCGGAGAGCCCGTGTTTCACCTGGACATCAGACCGGCGCTGGACTCGCCTGCGGCTGTCTGGCATAGAATCAGAGCTACTTGGGATGACTATAGAACGGGAGCAGGATCTGTAGAGGTCAAGGCTGCTTAGCTTGGACGTTCCCTACCCTCTGCTTTGCTTGTCCTACGATGGCAAGAAGGAGCACAAGGTGCATCTTTGTCGGATTGCGCTTCAGATGTGTACGCAAGCTTATGCTCTCCGTCGCGCAATGAGAAGCTGCAATCTCAACTTTGACACCCACCATTATCTCGGTGGAGACACACGCGTGGAAGTATTGCCTTCCGAATCGAGCGCTGAGCTATTGACATAAAGGGCCGCACATGGTGTCGTATCGACGGCGCGCGCCGCCCGCTCTGCGGTCAGATCGCTCCAAGCATGGACTCCAACTTTTTTGACACCCTCCATAGAGAGCGTAGCTGCTCTGCACCTCGGACTCACATTCACCCTTCATTACGCAAGCATATAATCCCTCCGTAGGCGCGTTCGACTTATTGCCTCCCCCAAAGCGCAGATTGGAGACACCGAGCGGTACAGGAAACTTTTTGATGACGCGGGCCGCGCCCAATTCCCGCGACGTTCACACTTCGACAGGCTTTAAAGACCAACGAATGGAGAAGGAGCGCTGAGCGAAGGGAGGCGTTTCCCCTGCGTCCCGTTTGGATGATCACTCAAACATTGACTCCTTGTGATGCACCTTGCGGAGTCCTTGTCTTCCAATTTGGATTTTGTATCAAGAATCGTGAATCAATTGAATGTTTGTGCGCGAGTCAAGAATTCAAAATGGATTGGCCTTTGTGGCTGAATCGCCAATCACGTGAATTGTGCCTGCTGAGCCAATTCTTGGCTGAGGTATCCTGCGTCCGTGCGCGCAAGTCGCTCAAATGAAGATCTCATAAGCGCATCAATCACAAATCAAGAATAGAATTTGATGCCTGACGATTACACAAAAGCCGACTTAGTTGTGCATGACTGTTATTCAAGATTCTGATTGATGCGGCACCGCGTCTATGCGGGCGGGCGCTGCGCGTGATGTCTACGGGCGCAGTCAGGCGACCCGCGGGACGCAGGTGCACGCACCGCGCCGTTGAGAAGAGGGTCTGCAGCTGCGATGTTCCATGCACTGAGCAGCACCACCTCACGTCTTGATCCATTCACGATTTCTCTCCCGCCCACAACGTGCACAACCCCAAGCTGCCCCCTTCGATCCGGTCTTCAAAGCGCTTGATCGTGATAGGAGCTTTGGGCGGAGATCCTGGCTCAGCGCACGACGATGGTCAACCTCGCAAGGCTGGGTCGCAGCAAGGCGAGAATAGCGCAGTTGAGCCTCGTGCTTCTCGCAGCCATCCTGCCATTGGTCCTCTCAGCAGCTCAACCTTTTGTGAGCAAGACGCACTTCTCGTCGCTTCCTGCTCGGATCAGCTACTTTCCAGATTCCAGCACGGTGCTCTATCATGATGCGGTGCACGGAACTGTGTACAGGTCGGAGAATGAGGGAAGGGATTGGAAGGTTATCGAAGGTCCCGGTGCGCCTACGAGAGGGCAGGCGGCCATGCTCGTGGAGCACCCGACCGACCCAAAGAGGGTGAGTTGATGTTCCATCATCATTCAGACCATGTTCATCGCAAGCGCACCTGCACGTGCTGACTCGTCTCGTCATTCCGCGTCCAGGCCTTCATCCTCACGGCTGGCAAGACGCACCATCGGACGATAGATCGGGGAAACACGTGGCAGAGCTTTGAAGTCCCTCTACCTCCAGCCACTAGAGCAGGAGCTCCCTTGGAATTCCATCAAGACAGCTCTTCGGGTGTGGAGAAGATCATCTATGCTGGGAAGAAGTGCTCCGGCTGGACACCCTGGGGTACCGCCACCTGCCATGACGTCGTAAGTGTCACACTCCCACTCCCACCTCGTCCTTGCGTTGCTAACAAGCAGTTGTCCTGTGCATTTTTAGGCCTACTACACGCTCGACGGCTTCGCCTCGCCGGCGAAACCACTCATCGAGTTCCTTTTGCACTGCATCTGGGCCAAGGCTACGCCAACCCTCAGTCTTCCCGCTGAACGCCAAGACCGGATCTACTGCATTGCTTGGGAAGATTCTCCAACAGGTGGAGACATCCATGTCAGATCCACCTCCTCGCTCCTTGATGACCCTCGTCATCTCCTGCGCTCACGTGGAGATCATCGCCTTAGTTCTCGCGCCGTTTCAGGTGCTACGAGGCTGTACTATTCGGACGATTTCTTCAAGTCTAGAACCTTGGTTCAGATGGACATGGGTCGCGATGCGAGAAACTTCATCGGTATCGGTCCTTCGGGCTCATACTTGGTGGCGGCCCTGAGGGATATTTCGAGCAGTACAGGGGGCAATGCGGGTGATCAGATGGCCCTCTTCGTCTCACGGGATGGAGAGAGCTGGCACAAGGGCAAATTCCCCCATGACGCCGGACTGCAGGAGGGCGCATACACGATCGTTGAAGGCACAACTCATAGTCTCGTGGTCGACGTCTTTGATCCCGGCTTCGGCACGGGTAGGCTATTCACCTCAGACTCCGAGGGCATTCACTTTGTGCAAAGCCTGGACGGCACCAACCGCAACGCTCGCGGCATCGTCGATTACGAGCACCTTGAAAATATCGAAGGTGCTGCACTTGCCAATATTCGCGCGGGCCTGCCCGGTGAACATAGGGTTCGTACCCGCATCACTTGGGATGACGGAAGTCGATGGGCACCTTTGTCAGCGCCCGACGACAAATGCAAAGGCCAGAATCCGGACACGTGTTCTTTGCACCTCTACTCTGCAAGCCGATTGCACAACATCGGTCGCGTCTTTTCGTCTACCGTGCCAGGCTTTGTGATGGGTGTGGGCAGCGTTGGTGACCGACTCTTGCCGTACGAAGATTGCCAGACCTACCTCAGCACGGACGCTGGTCACACCTGGCGAAAGATTGCCGACGACGCTCACAAGTACGAACTTGGAGATGGTGGATTGCTCGTACAGGTCAATGATGAGGAGCCCGTCGACTTTGTCCTCTACTCTTGGAATCACGGCAAGACTTGGGATCGACTGAAGCTGCCTGTGCGCATGCGAGCAAAGATCCTCACCACGATTCCCGACAACACTGCGCAAAAATTCCTGTTGATTGGAAGCCTTTCGCGCCTCGACGCCGGAACTAATAGTCGTCACGTCGCGCTGTTTCTCGACTTTGCTGCGCAAAAGAAGCGCAAATGCGACAAGAATCGCGACATGGAGCAGTGGTATGTGGGCGGCCTGAATGCAGGATGCTTGATGGGGAGGAAACAGTGGTATCTGCGAAGGAAAGCAGATGCGGACTGCATCATTGGCGACAAGTTTCATGATCCTGAGCCTCACATGAAATCTTGCGCGTGCACGGACGAAGATTTCGAGTGCGACTTTGGCTTCGTGCGCGCACCGAATGGTCAGTGCGTCTCTGATGGATCCCCCGAACACATTCCGGAAGGCGACTGTGTAGGCAGCAAGCAGACCTACAAGGCATCGTCAGGGTATCGCAAAATAGCAGGCAATACGTGCGAAGGCGGCGTCGCGAAAGATCAAAAGGTAACGAAGCAATGCTCGGCTCGCAGACCCGAAAATGGCCAGGTACTGTCCTCTCGTCACGAATTTCCTGGCACAGTTGTCGATCGCGCATGGTTTGCAGACTCTTCGTACGTGATCATGCAAGTGTCCGATGGCTCAATTTGGATTTCGCCCAACGACGGCTACTCGTGGATGCGGCCAGAGCTGGTCAAGGATCCTCACGATCCGGAGCAGCGTTTCTTGACGTTGGCGATGCATCTCTACGAAAAGACTTACGCGTACCTCATCACCAGTGGTCAGCGTTGCCACTACACTTTTGATGGGGGCAAGACGTGGCACTACTTTACCGCGCCTTTGCCGCCCAACGGACTCGGGATTCCCATCTTGCGCTTCCATCCTGACCGACCAGATTGGTTGATCTGGATCGGTTCAAGAGACTGCAACTCGGTCACTTCGCAGACATGCCACACTGCGGCCTACTACACCCTGAATCAAGGCCGCGATTGGACCTTGCTGGATCGTTATGTGCGCAATTGCGCATGGGCGAGGTCGCCGAAGTTCCACGTCGACTCGTCCTCGATTCTGTGCGAGAGCTATGTTCAAAAGACGGGCAATCAGCACGGGTTTGGAAACGACAATCATCTACAACTCATTTTGGGCAGCCAGTTCTACACTCGAAAGAATGTGCTCTTCGAGAACATCATTGGTTTTGCGAACTTTGAAGAGTACCTCGTTTTGGCCAAGATCGACGATGCCAGGTCCATGTCCATCAGCTTGCAAGTTTCGCTGGACGCAAACACTTTTGCCAAGACGCAATTCCCGCCCAACACCCGCATCGATGACCCGCGCGCCTACACCGTGTTGGACTCCGTAACAGACGCAATCTTCTTGCACGTCACCACGCATCCCGAACCGAAGTCTGCATGGGGCAATCTCTTCAAGAGCAATTCCAATGGCACCTACTTTGCGCTCAGCCTGGAGTATGTCAACCGCAACGCTGCAGGCTTTGCTGACTTTGAAAAAGTCTTTGGTCTGGACGGAATCGCCCTCGTCAATGTCGTCAATAATCCCGAAGACGCTGCAGTGAATGGCGTCAAAGCTCTTTCAACGCGCATCACACATAATGATGGTGGTCGCTGGAAGCCGCTTACACCTCCGAGAGCGGACGTCAATGGCGCGCCGTACGACTGCCATCAGGTCGGCTGCAGCCTCCACCTACACGGCTATACCGAGAGGGACGATCCCACCACAATGTTCAGCAGCCCGACCGCTGTTGGTTTGCTGCTTGGGGTAGGAAATGTAGGCAAGAGCCTGGCGCCTTACGCCGACTCGGACACCTTTATCTCACGGGACGGCGGCTTCAGTTGGGAAGAAGTACACAAGGATGCGCACAAGTGGGAGTTTGGCGATCAAGGCTCGATCATCCTGCTGGCAAATGATGAGCGACCCACGAACGAGGTGCTGTATAGTCTGGACGAGGGCAAAAGCTGGCAGAGCTACAAATTTGGCGAAACCCTTCGCGTTACTGGCATCTTGACAGTGCCCGAGGACACGCATAGGAAATTTGTGCTCCTTGGGATCAAACAAGGTGTTCAACCTCAGAGCGTTGCGGTACATCTCGACTTCTCGGCCCTTCAAAGGCGCAAGTGTAAATTGGATGCTTCCAAGCCTGAAGCGGACGACTTTGAGTTGTGGAGCCCCAGCGAAGAGAGGGCCGAGCCATGTCTCTTCGGAAGGCAGACATTCTACTACCGGAGGCGGGCAAGGGCGGACTGTTTTGTTGGCGAGACGCTCGTCCAGCCGCATTCGATCGGCAAGAACTGCAGTTGCACCGCGGCGGACTTTGAGTGCGAGTTCAACCACTATCTGGACCCGGAAGGTTCTGGCAGGTGCTTGCAGTACCCCGGCACGACGCTGCCACCACCGCACGTCGAAGAGCAGTGTCTCGCCTACGGCAACGAGGACTACTACTTCGATCGCACCTCGGTCCGCAAGATTCCTTACTCGAGCTGCATTGGCGGCGATCGCCCGGACCGAGGACGGAGGCATAGCTGCCCAGCAAGCCTTCGTGGCCACGGCTTTTTCTGGTGGTCTACGGTCATTCTGTCACCCTTTGCTCTGGCAGGCTTGGTCGGCTCTTGGTGGCTCAAACGTCACAGATCGCGGGGCTACGGGTAAGTTTGAGGAACTGGCACCTTTCTTGACTGCGCTTGATGCTGACGCCTGAACCGATTCTGTTCTTCTAATCAGCGCCATCCATCTGCCAGACGCTCGCGACTATGTCGACGGCAAGCTTGTGGACACCATCGCTTCCGTCCCTGCCTTTGTCATCGGCGTATCGCAGGCGGTGGCCATGAAAGCGCTCGACCTGGCCGAAGAGGTGCCATTCCTTCGACGGTGGATTTTCGAGAGAGGTCGTCATACGGGTCCCCGGGGCCGGGGCAGCTATGGCAACTACAGTCATCTTGGTACGGACGAAGATGCTGCCATCCTCGAGAATTACGAAGAGGAAGACGCATCGTGAAGATTTTGTGGCAAGGCGCACTCTAAAGTATGAATTGAATATCGTTGTAGATCGCGAGGGCCCGCAACCGTCAATGATAGCCAAGCGGCTTTGAGACCACGATATATCAAGCGTGTGATTCAGACTAAGAAGCAAATGAGTACAATAGTAGCGAAGCAAGCTCGAAGGACGAGATGGTGGCGGTGGTGGTGGTAGTAGTAGTACACTAAGCAGGATGTGGTGGATAAGCGCATGAGCATGCGCGTTGCTAATGAGCCAAGTGATTGCCAGCGCCATCTGGCTTTCGTTCGAGGCGGTCGGCGCGTCTCTGCCTCGCACCGAGGTGAGCGCGCTTGAGAAGAACCTTGACTTCGCAAGTTTGCTTCCAACGAGCCGCCATTTGTCTCATACGAACAACGGCCACAATCGCCTGCGCGCACTTCTTGAATCGCTGTTTGGGAGTGGGGTGCGCGGGTGCAGGCGGTCTGATGCCCCGCGAGCGACTGATGTCGGCAATGAAGCGTCTTGTCGCTTCCTGATTCAGCTTCAGACCTCCGACGAGTTGTTCCAAGTAACCCTTCTGATGAGCCAAATCTGCGCGCAGATCTCCTTCGCGCATCAGCTTGGCTTTGAGATAACGGATCTGTAGCATCAGTCCTTTGCATTCCGCTGCGTGCTCTGCGCGTGATGCGATATCGCTGCACGATTCCACAAGAGGTATTGGATGAGGTTAGAAGGAGCGTATGACGGCCGTGCCACGCAATAAACGACTCACGTCTGCGCACGATTCTGAGAGAAGCGCTTACTGGCAATCGCCAAATCGCGTTCCAATTCACTGATCCTGTCGTGCGCCTTCGAGTTGGAGAAGATGGACTTCTGAGCAATTTCGACTGCGCGTGCTCTGTCGAGCTCTTGATTGCGTCTGGCCCTCTCAAGATCTGCGCCGTACTCGTCAGACTTGCTCTTGACGCGACGCAGCTCCGCCTCGAGCGCACGTAGCTGAGCAAAAACGGCATCGCGTCGTTGCTCTAGACGTGCATTGGCATCCTCCGTCACCGCAAGCTTCCCATTCGTCGCGCGAAGCTGGGCATGCAACGATTCGATCGTCCTTATTTGCTCGCTCAATTGGATCTCGTGGGTGTTGACCGCTGCGCGCGCTTCCTCGAGCTCAGCATACACGTTCTCGTGACGCTGTGTAGAAGATTAGGGCGGTGAGTATGGGTCAGGCTTTGCCTACGAACGTGCACACTCACCTGTGCGGCTTCCTGGTACCTCATGTGGAGTTGATGACGTTCCTCCTTCATGGCTGCTCGCTGATTCTTCATATGTGCTACTTCTTCAGCAGTGCGCTGCACGTCCGCCTGGAAACGTTGTAGCTGAAGCGGGGCCGAAGCGCTCATGGTCGAGCGCTCTAGCAAATCGGAATGCATGCGCTCGTGCGCGTCCTGCTTCTCGCGGAGTTTCAGCTCTTGCGCAAGGAGTGCAGCCTCGGCCTGTCGCAACTGCACCTCCAGGTGGGCGCTATTCATGTTGGAAGCTCGAGAATCTGCTTCCAGGCCGCATAGCCTTTGACGTTCTTCGCGCAGGTCATGATCGTACTGCTGCACGGTCTGAAATGCCCTATCGAGGCGCTATGTTTGGCACAGGACATGCCTGAAATCAGTCCCTGCCTTCGGCATCACCAGCCTCTGTGTCCTACTCACTTTTTGAGTCTGAGCATACGTGTGGGCAGCGATTCGTTTCAGCTCATCCTCCTCCTGGCTCTTCTTGGCGTTGAGGGCGGAAGCAATATCGCGCAGTGCGCGATTGTCTTTCTCAAACCCATCACGCTCGCTGCGCAATTTCTGCACCTGCTGTGTCTCCTGAGCCAGTGTAACTTTGAGCTCGTGGATCTGCTCGCTCAATGCTTTGGAGTCGAGACGCCTAGTCGTGCCGTCCGAGCTTGCCATCGAAATGGAAGGGTCTCGCAGCGTTCGTGTAGGTTCAGGCACTCCGACTGCTCTTAGTTCAGCTTTCAACTCAGCAATTTCGCGCCTAGCGTCGTTCAGTTGCCTCCTTGACTCGATGTTGGAGAATCCCTGCTCGCTCATATAAGCCAGCTTGTGGTCCATGCTAGTATTGCCCTCGTCGATGAGCAGTTGAAGGCGCTGCGCTTCGTCGCGATCCACCTTGTTGCCCAGCGTGGAATTTCCGAACGACGACTGCGTAGCATTGTGACTGTCAGCGAATGCAAGCGCAAAGGCTTGGGCAGATCGCACGTGCACTCACTCCGACAAACGAAAAGGGCGAGGCAGGAGTGCGGGCAGTTCGAAGCGACTGTACTTGGCGCGGAACGGGCGTCTTGTCCGGGTCGAAGTGTGCTCTAGACTGGTCCGCCAGGGATTCTATGATAGCGCTCTGTTTCTTGAGCCCCTCAACGCGCTCCTTCATGGCCCTTTCAACTTCTTTCAGATGAGCGATTTCCTCATCTTTGAGTGCAAGCTCGGCTTTATGATGTTGATCTGCGATCTGTAAACGTTCGTTGAATTTGGTCTCAAGTTGCAGTTCCCTTCCAGGAGTCATCACCGTTCCCGTGCTGGGGCGAGCGGGCGTTTCTTGAGCACGACGCAAGCGCGTGGTCAGGCTATTCACCTCGCCTCTCTTCTCTTCCAGCTCGATCTCCTGTGGGTAGAGTGAATGTAAGTATACTTTTTCTGGGCCATGTAGCACGCGGACGCGGTCGACTCACCAAATCGGAAAGTCTGCTCTTCATCTTTTGCTCTACCCGATCCGCCTCTTCCAGCACCCGATCATCGGCAGCGTCCAGCTCTGCCTGCAGCTCTTGCACTTCAGTATGCGCGTCATGGAGCGCTGTTTCTTGCGTCATCGCCTGATCTTCAAGGGCACCGATATGTCCTTCGAGCTCCTCCTCACGAGCAACAGCGTCTTCCAGCTGACTTCTCAAAGCCCTATTCTCGTCACGCAGTTGCTCCGCGTCCTTCTCGACCTGATCAGTCGCAGCAATTCTTTCTCTCGCCTCATCCAGGTCAATATAGGCTTGTTCCAACTCTTGAGCCAAATCATCATTCTGAGCAGCATCATGCAAGTCCTGAGCTCGCTTCGCGGCAGCTCGCTTGAGAGCATCACGTTCTTTCTGGCACTGCTCCAACTGCGCCTGGAGCTCTTGTTTGTCTTCGGCCAGCTCCTGAGCTTCTTGTCTAGCTTCAGCCTCGCGAACCTCGAGCTCGCGTCGCTCCTCAAGGGCTCTCTGCTCCGACTCCCGCTGGAGCCCGTCCGCCTCTTCCATGGCGCGCTTCATGCGATCAACCGAATCACGCTTGATGTTGTCCATTTCGAGCTCGAGGTCATTGATTTCCTGATGTCTATCTGCGAGGTCTGCCTCGAGCAAGTTCAACTGAGCGCGTAGAGCCGAAGCCTGCTCAGGCGTCAGCTCTTCTCTTTCGTGGTCTTTTGCAGATGCGGCTGCATCTTGGTAAGCCGCTAGCTGCTCTTCCAGGTGGGCCTTCTCTTCTTCGAGCCGATCGAGCTCTTCGTTCAATTCGCGCTGGCCTTGCTGCAGTAGTTCGATCTGCTCTTGTGCGGCACGGGATCCTTGTTGAGAATGGTCGTTCACATCTTTTCCATCGCTCTGAGTGTTTCGAGGAGACGTCTCGGCGCGTTCATATTCTGCGATCCGTGCTTGAGCATCATTGAGCTCCTCTTTGAGCACGCCGATCTCTCCTCTCAGCCCCAGATTCTCATCTTCGAATTGTCCATTTATCTTGTTCAAGTACGAATTCAGTCTGTTGCTATCCACCGCTCCCGCCCCAGCAGAGATGGCTCCAGTGGCGACACCTACGCCTGGGAAAGACGTGTTGGACCTGTATGGACCCGCCCGATGAGCCGGCACGGTCAAGTCGTTCGTCGATGAGACTTCAGAGACCATTGACTCTGCCTCGCCCGCATTGGCTTGCAAATGAGAAGCAAGAGTTGACAAGGGAGACTGAGCAGTGCGGCGTCTCTCCCCAAACGAAGTGCTTGCAGATCCTTTGGCATTATTCTTGCCGTTTTGCGCACCTAGTGGTGCACGAGGGGTCACCTTGCGCAATGTCTGGGGGCGTGCTGAGCGAGCAATTGTGGAAAGTAGATAGTTCTCCATACGTTTTTGATCCGCTGCGCTCCCACCAACCCGCGGTGTCTTGACCGCATCAGCCTCGTCTACCTGTGTAGGTGGAGCCGAGGTTCGAGCTCTGGCAGTCTGCTGCTGTCGGTCAAGCTTGCCTGCCGCTGGGCTCGAAAAGGATGTTCGCGTCTCATTTTCGCCGCTCCGTCTCGATGTCTCTCCTTCGCTCTGCTGCTGCGAGCTAGGTTGATTGCCTTTCGAAGTGCTAAGAGAATCTTCAGCATCGAGGTTCCCGAGGGCGCGCTCGACGTCTTCGGCCGAGTCTACGGTCTGCTCCCTCTCCTGGCGGTGTCTGGCCTGGAATCTAGCAATCGGAGTCATCGGCTTGAACGGCTGCAGGGAGCGCAAGAAGAGGTAAGTAGCCTTTCTGTCGTTCTCTGCGTGCTTGCACTCACTGTGCGAGGCTCTTCGCCTCGATCCTTGACCCGCGTCACTTGAGCAGACACATCCTGCTGGTCCTGGGCGTCGCCGTTCTGACTAGCCCCAAAGGTAATGCTGCGCGTGACGGAAACGCTGAGATCAGGATCCGCGGCAGCAACGGCCTCTGCGATTCTGCCTCTCCTCGCCGAATTCATGCTGTCCGTTCCCGGTGTAGCTGAGCCCGGACGCTTGCTGTGGTGGCTAGCGCTCGCCGATTGCGAGTTCTGAGACCTGGCACTGCTGCGTGGTGTAGCCACGTCTTCCTCATCGAACGAGTCAGAAGGAGTCGCTGATCCGCGCCTCTCAATCACCTCATCCTCCCGTCCTGGCATTCTAGCAGTGTTGGGATCAAAGGGCGTCACGGCTATATCGCTCGTGTGCATGGTGCGAGTTGCCCCTGATTCTTCAGAATTCATAACCGCGCCTTCCGCGCCACTCTCATCTTCCAGGTCGCTGGCAGAAGTGACGCGCTCCATCTGTGCGCTTCGAGAGCTCATAGGCCGTGCGCTCGACCTGGCAGGGACCTCGCTAGGTTGAAGAGCCGCGCTGATGTCCCTTGCTGAGCCATACGCTGTCGACGCGCCAGCGGAACTCGCGGCCGCCGCAGACCTCGGCAGGAGTCCAAGTCCGTTGCCGCGAGTAGAGCCTGCCATGGATGTCATCGTACGGCCAGCGATGGATGGCGCGTAAGGAGTGGAGCTGATTTGGGTAGCTTGAGGCTCGCGAACTGGCGTGCGAGGAAGCGAGTTGAGATCGGAAGCTGAGCGAGAGATGGAGACAGAACCGCGAGGCGCTTGACGCGATGTCGAAGGGCTATCGTAAGCGCTCTCTCTAGCTTGCTCCCTTGCCGATCCCTGAGAAGCCGTAAGAGATGCAGACGCGGAATCGTCGTTGGCAGGGCCGACATCAGCACCATCGGCTTGAGAAGCAGCGACAGCTGCCTGCAAGCTCGGACCTTTTGTCGCCTGTGCTCTCATGCGGCTTGGCACTGGTATGGCCGCATCGGGTGTGTGATGTCGATAATCGCTGACATCATCCCTCGCCTCCTCCTCTGCTCCGTCGTCCAGACTCAAGCTGGATGCGGACGCGCTGGTAAAGGAGGCGCGTCTACCAATGCCTGGCGAAGTGTCTGAAAAGTCCAGTGCTCCGCTCGACTCGTCTCGCGCTTGACGAGCAGCGAGACGCCGTTCGATCCTTGATGGCGTCTCCATCTCCATCATGGTGCCGGGTGTTGCTCAGGTGACGGACGAGCAGAGAGGCTGTCTAGCGCGAGAGACGCAAAGCACAGAGATGCGCCTACTATGGCCACGCGTAGAGCGGTGCTCGTGGTCTGTGTAGTATTGGCCAAGGTACCTAACAGGGAGATACGCTTGATCGATGGTCGGTGTCATGGCCTGCGATCAAGTCGAGTACTGATCGCTTCACAGACGCTTTCAAGTCGGACCGCATTGCCAACAAGACGAGAACAACAGCATGCCGTCTCAACCCGTCTCGCGCTTAAGCAGCCATGCAACAGCAAAGAACACCTAAAGAGGCGCGCGCGAGACGCGCCTCGCGCGCGTGTTCAAGCGGTTCATCACGTGATGCGACTACACTCAACGCAGCTTTGAGCGTTTCGAACGTCTGGCATCGGGCGTGCAGCATCATATCAGAGCAGCCGGGAGCGCATCAGGGTCGACGAGCTATCGTGCCTCCGCCACGCGCGCCGACGGCTCTGTGAGCCCGTCACGTGATCGACGGACGCATAATCCGTGTAGATAGATACGTGTGAGCCATGCTGCAAGCGAGCAAGCGTACGTGCAGCAAGCGGCAGCTATAGGCAGCAGGCAGCAGGCAGCAGGCAGCGAACAGCCGGTCAGTCGTACGTCGTGCGTATGACTGGAGCCAGCCAGACTCCCCATATGCTGTGCCCGTGCAGGCACAGCGGCGGCGCTCTCAGACCGGCCCCGCCACATTCGTGATTTCTGGGGCTGCGCGATCCTCACCCACCGCAATCACGATCACAATCACAATCTGAATCGCGAACGAAAGATTGCGTGCTGTTGCGAGTCGAGGTCTGTCGAGGTTTGGCGTCACACTCACCATATCCGTACAAGATCAGCGTTTTACCATCCTCGAACGGTGCCGCTTTCCAATCTCAGAGGATTTTTGGCACTCGTAACTGGTGACCCTCGCCTAGCAGCAGATCCGAGTTGGAGCAGCGCAAGTGCAGGTGCTTCTCACGTTTGGTTTGCACCTCGCGACGAGCCGAAACCTCTCCGGGGAAGCGCGCTCTGACTGGATATCTTTGGCGCATTCCTGCGTATGCGATCACTACATCCTCATCAGACCCATTGCCAGTATGGCTTACGTTTCGCTCTCAAAGGCATTGTACGACTATGCAGCAACGGCAGAGGACGAGTTGAACCTGAAGGAGGATGACCTGCTGTACATCATAGATGCATCCGACACCGAATGGTGGAAGGCCAAGCTCAAGACAGGTCCAGAGGATGAGGAAAAGATTGGGTTGGTACCCGCAAACTATGTGGAGGAGGCAGAACCTTTGAGGCAGAGCAGAGCCCTGTACGACTACTCGCCACAGACGGAGGAAGAGCTGGAGATGAAGGAAGATCAGCTCTTGTCGGTGTACGAAGATGATGACGATGATTGGCTGCTGGTTCGAATAGCGGACTCGGGCGCACAGGGCAAGCTTGGCTTCGTCCCCAAGAATTACGTCGATGAGGTGAGCACTCACCACTGCACGAGAGTCCTGCTCATGGCCCATTTTATCGACTGGTTCATCCCTGACGACCATCTCTACTGCTCGTCAGGTTGCTGCAGTGGATGGCGCGACCTCACTGGGTGCACCGATATCGGCTGGGGCAGCTGCAACCTTCGACGGGCAAGCTCCTGAAGAAGCTGAGGAAGAAGTGGAGGAGGAGCGGCAATCTATTCCTGCCACTTTCGTGCCCCCACCTGCAGGTGACAAGAGCGACGAGATCAAGATGTGGGGGGTCTCAGTGAGTAGCTTAGAGGAGCTCCTTTAGCGCAGCCCTCGATGTTTTAAAACGCGCTGAGGCTGACGCATTTGACCTCGTGGTAGGCCCTCGACGCCAAGAAAAAGAAACGCAAGGGAACCCTGGGCATTGGCAACGGCAACCTCTTCTTCGCCTCAGAGTCCGATAAGCAGCCTGTGCAGAAATTCAGTGTGCTACTGATCGAGTCTCACGCACTCGAATCGAAGGGGAAGCAGATCAATTTGGAGCTACACGAAGATGCAGGAGTGGAGGACAACATGATACGCTTTGTGTTTGGAAGCAAGTCGGAAGGGGAAGAGGTCGCACAGAAGCTGGAAGAGTCCAAGAGCAAAGCCATCGCGCATGGCAGCAGTGCTACTGTCAAGTCGCCTTCGCCAGCAGCAGGCAGGTCGCTGCCACCACCAATCGCCAGCGCAGCTCGTCCCGCTGCTTCGCCCGCAGCAGCTGCACTGCCACCTCCTTCACGCAACACTTCGACGCTCCCGCCACCCGCTCGTCAGACAGCTAGCGCTTCTCCTGCAACGACACCAGCTAGGAACGGGCACGCAGCGAAAGAAGCGTGCATCGCTCTCTACGATTTTGAGGCCCAAGGCGACGACGAGCTAAGTGTTGCAGAGAACGAGAAGTTGACGCTGGTGGAACGTGAAAATGAAGATTGGTGGAAAGTGCGCAATGCTTCGGGGTCGGAAGGTGTTGTTCCTGCCAGCTACATCGAACTTTCCGATGGTGAAGACGGAGATGAGGCTGCGTCAAGCACACAACAAGATGAGGCTGAACGCGAAAAGCAAGAGAAGGCAGCCGCTGCCATGGAGGCGACCAGACGGACGCAGGAGGCTGCGGCAAGAAGGGCGCGAGAGGCGGAGGAGCGACGCGAGGAAGAGGAGCGTAGACGCGAAGCCCTCAAAGCTCAGCCTGCTCCTGCTCCACCTAGAGCTGCGCCATCAGCGGTATCGTCCGCAAGCGCAACTAGAGCTGCTCGAGATGTGAGCGTACCATCCGGAAAGGGTGCTCCCGAGCGCCCAACGGACTCGGCCCAAGCCAAGAGTCGACCGAATCCTGCTCGCACGCGGAACTGGGTCGATCGGACAGGTCAATTCAAAGTCGAAGCTGAGTTCCTTGGTTTCAATCAAGGCAAGATAAGGCTTCACAAACTTAACGGAGTTATCATAGAGGTGGCCATTGAGAAGATGAGCAATGCCGACATTCAGTATTTGGAGGATGTCACTGGAAAACGTCTCACGCCTTCCAGCACGTCAAGAGGAGCAGACTCTAGTACACGCATGGATCCCCGATCTGCTGGGCGAGAGCGAGACCGCGATCGCCAGCGCGAGAGGGAGCGGGAGCAAAGGCGTCGACAAGCACAACGAGATGGTCCGAAGAGGAACATTGATTGGTTCGAGTTCTTCCTTGCTGCAGGAGTGGATGTGGACAACTGCACTCGCTACGCAGCGGCCTTCGAAAGGGACAACATCGATGAGTCCATCTTGGCGGACATCGAGAGCAGTACACTCCGCAGTCTAGGACTTCGAGAAGGGGACATCATCCGAGTCGACAAGTTCATCAAGCGCAAATACAAGAGACCCGACGCGGCGCCTTCAACAGAATCCAAGGAAGCGGCTCAAATTCGCGCGGATGAAGAGATGGCGCGCAAGCTGCAGGAGAATGAGCAGTCTGCACGTCGCGGAGCATCGAATAGCCCTGCACCCAATCTTTTCTCGGGCCCCGACGGCTCGTTGAGGAACAACACTCGACGAGGACGTCCTGCACCTAAGACCAATGGCTCGGGCAGTGTGGATCCTGCTGGCATCGCTGCAGCAGCTGAAGGTCTCGCGCGCACCGTCAGTCCGCCTACGCGCGCCAGCACTGCCAGCCCAACTGTGGTGCGCAAGGCGACGCATCCTACTGGCGCAGGCGGTTTCGACGATGATGCTTGGACTCCACGACCGTCCAGCACTCAACCATCCACTCCCGGGCTCTCTGCTGCTGCGCCTAAACCTGCTTCGGTGCCACCAACCCCTCCCCCCGCTCCAGTGCCAGCGGCAGCACCTGCGCCCACACCCCCTACGCCTCCTGCTGCTGCTCCAGCACCTGCAGTAGTTTCTCCTCCACCAACCGCGGCTGCTGCACCACCTTCCGATCCCAACTCTGCGCTCTTCGACAAGCTTGCTGCTATGAAGCCTCCATCGGCAGGTTTGTCTCCAAGGCCGGGCGCAAGCCCTGCAAACGGCTCTTATTTGAGCGGCTACAATCCCAATGCACCAAGAGGACCTCTTGCGCCGGTGCCTGGCAATCAAGGCTTGCTCTCACCGCTCGTTCCAACAAGCGGCACTGGCCAATTTGTGCCCACCAGCGGCCTGGGCCCACAAGCGACTGGGTACAATAACGGTTATGGCGGAATGCAGCCTCAGCAGACGGGTTACATGCAGCCTCAGCAGACGGGCTATATGCAACAGCAACCTCAACAGACGGGATACATGCAACCTCAACAGACGGGCTACGGAATGGGAATGAGCATGGGAATGTCTTCCCCTGGTATGATGTCGCAACCCACCGGATACAACCCTCAATATGGAATCTCAAATGTGTCGGGCTTTGGAGGCGGTATGCTTGCTCCGCAGACCACTGCTATGCCTCAGCACCAGCAACAGCAGCAGCATCTGCAGCCGCAGGCAACGGGCATTCAGATGCCCATGCAAACCGGACCTAACGACAAGCTGGGAGCCGCTAGCATCTTTGGTCGTGAGTGTTCGCTAATGATTGACTCTTCTGCGCGTGAGTCCTTGCTGATCGCATCCCTCTCCATTCGATTCACCCAGAAATGAAGCAAGGCACGCTTCATCAAGATTCCAACAGCAACCCGCAGTCTGCTCGTGAGTCCTCAGAGATTGTTAAGTACGATGATGCGAGCATCCTCTGATGCGTCGGTCCTGTCATGATGTCTTTTCTCTGCAGAGCGATACGATGCGCTCAGACCTCAGCCTACTGGCTTTGCGCCTGGCGGCGTGATGGGATCCGGCTTTCAGGGCAACGGCATGTATGGCCAACAATCTGGCTGGGGTGGGCAGGTGAGCAAACGAAGACCGAGGACGCACGTCTGATAAAGCTCAGCTCACAATTCTTTGTTTGCGCTGTTTTCACAGTATTGAAGATGTCTTTGTTGCTCAATTGTCATACACCCGCATTTTCTCATTCATTCGCTACCTTTCCCTGCTCGCCTGCTTTCTTCAATTCATCCGTCTTTCGCGCGTCACTAGGCAGATCACCGCCAGCGCTTCGCGCAGGTCTTGCGCGTGACAAGCTTGAAATCAGCCGCATCAAATGAGGTGGTAGTGTACATGGACGGGTCAGGCGTAACATGATTCAACGGGGTCTGCTGAGCGATGATGTACTTTCATCGAAGTTCTCAACGAAGTTTGCTCTTATTTCGAGGCCCGCTAACAGCTTTCCCGCCACTTATAGCTCTGAGCGCAAGGTCGTCATCTTTGCCAAACGTGGCCGAGGCGCTGACGGTCGTCGAGCGCGGACTGAAAAAGTCAGACTTGGATCGACCATCTGGACTCCTGACATGCTGAGGGCCGAGTCCCGACCTCTTGAGGGCAGCTTCGCTCTTCGGCTTCAGCGAGGACGGGTGAGGGATACCTTCGGCCCTCGAATTCGACCCCTTGGATTCGGGCAGAAAGACGTCGTCTTGTTCATTTAGGGCTGTCATCCTCTTCAGCACGTTTGGCCCGCTTCTCGCTCTGACTTTGTCGTCCGTGATTGATCGCGGTGGTAGGGCATCAGCGCCTTCTGAGACCGCTATTGTCGATTGCAACACCAGTAATGGTCGCTTCGAAGAGATGGCGGCTGGACCTGTTGCCGTATCTGCCGTTCTCTTCTTGGCAGGCTCCGGGCGAGACCTTTTGCCCAGCCCAAAGAAGTGGTAATCCTCATCTGACAGCTCGGCTGTGATGTCTTCGGGTACAACTTCCAAAGATAGGGAAGTGGACTGGTCAAAAGAGTGCGAAGGTCGAGGTACAGAGCGACCATTGAGGCTGGAGCCCATTTCCGATAGGATGGCACGAGTTGCGGGATAGGAAATTTCTGCATCACTTGAGCGCTGCGACGCTTCTTCGCTTGCTCGCGTAGGACCTTTGAAAGTTGAGATGGGACTGCTTTGTTGCTGACATGCGCACAAACGGTTGCTCGGCGTGCCTCCATGCTCAGCTCGATGATGAGCAGCTCGGACCTCAGCTTTGAGCTTCTTGACGGTGCTCTCGAGGTTCTGTATTCTCTGCTCGTACTTTACCCTATCTTCTTCCCTCTGCTTTTTGGCCTTGGCTGCAGCAGTCTTGAAAGACGCAATGCTGCCCGCAATGTACTCGCTCTTTGCTCTCGTTGCATTCCTCTCTTGCTCAGCCCTCTGCATCTCTGCCTTGACCTCGGCGACTTCGTCTTGCATACATGACGTCGCCTTTCTCATCTCTCCCACCTCGTGGTCCGCCTTCGCCTTGTGAACTGCAATCTCCTGCATAGCATTGATTTTCATCATCTGAACATCCGCCGCTTGTTTTCTGATTGCTGCTTCCTCGAACACGAGTTCTTCTCTTTTCTTGGTGAGCCTCTTCTCTTCCTGCTCCAGATCAGCTTTGTGACTCCGCGCTGATTCCTTGATGGCTGCACTTTTGGTTTTGAGCCCTGATTCTTGCCTCTCCACTTCTGTCCGACGCTTCTTGATCTCCAGCGCTTGACGATCCAGGTTTTCTAACATTGTCGACACTCGAGACCGTTCCTCCTCATAGTGCGCTTGCGACTCGCGCACTAATGTCAATTTGGAATTGAACATGGCGGCGACCTGATTGAGGGATTGCAGGCCGCGCTATTGTGAGCAGGTCCGAGATCAGGTACAGTCAGCATACACTCAGAACACATTAGCTGACCTCAGAGACTGACCTTCAAATCACGTTGAGCTTCCTCGCTAGCACCCGCGTCTTTCATCAGCTTGGCCATCAGCATGCTCTCGTTGTTGGCCCGGGTGATTCGAACATCATTGATGGCCATGAGGTAGCTCGTGCAAGCGTCTTTCCAATCAATCAGACATCCCAGCAGCTCGTCCTGTTCCTCCTCGTCCATGACACATTCCAGCACCGGCGCAACCTCGTCATCCAGCAGAACAACTTCGTCTGCAGTCGGAGGCATCCCCTTTTGTCGTTTTAAGCGAGCTTCAGCTCTGATCGTGCGGAGCGTATTACGACGCGCTAGGTACGGCGCCAGATCTTCCACCCTGTCCACGTACAGCGTAACCATCTCTGATGGATGGAAAAGGGACTTGCACGCGCAGCACTGCTTTCGACCACCTTGTCCGCTGCCACTCGGCAAGGCGCACCATTGCTCTATGCATGCTCGGTGGAAGATGTGACCTGTTTGCAAAAAGAGGTATGCACATTGATCGACGCCATTTTCAGTACGACATGACGAAGGCTTGCGAAAGAGGCCTGCCCGACTTGCTCACCGCATTTGAGAGCTACAGGCTGATCGGTGGGAGGATCGGTCTCCTTGTACTCATTCAAGCAAATGTTGCAAGGCATCGTGTTCTGGTTGCGCCTCGATTTAGGAGCATGGCAAGTGGGGAGGACGAAGAGGGGAGCAAGGAGCGTTACCCGTCAACTTTGAGGATAAGGAACACCAATGGACCCGAACGTAAACGGGTGTTGGACTTTCCTACTTGAACAATCACAATCACGCACCGTAGCCACGCGCTCGCACGCGCCTTCTCCTCGCGAACGCGTCGCGGTCACGGCGGCCGCGGCTCAATCTAAATGAAAGGGTGCATGCTGACGCTGTCTATACTTTGACTGATGTATGATTGAATTCACGATTCTTGATTGACGCTGCTGTGTAGCTGCTGCAGCTTGATTCAGTAGTCAGATTGCTGCACGCATGCGTGCCAACGTGATTGATTGGAGCTCTTTCTTGATGCCATCCGTGCATCCAATTGGCAAGTCGAGGGTCTGTGAGTTCACCCATCGTTGCACCTACTTCAGTTCGCTGCATTCGACCACCACAGCCGCGGCGCGAGGAGCACAAACGAGACAAAAAGACCCAAGTCTGTGCTCGAAGGAAATTCTCCTGCTCTCCATTCTCCGAAGACCAGCCAGCACCTCCGGTCCACTTTTCCTCTGTCGCCGACTCATCCAGTTTCCACCTTGTGCTCTGCAGACCGTGGCTCCACGGAGCGGAGCATCTTCTTCCGGCGAGCTCTCGGTGTGACAGAGCATTTTGAAGCACTCGCCCATCTCCCCTCTCGTTGCAACCAATTCTGGAAATGTCGTTGGTTCTGCCGGACTGGGTGTCTCACGACATGGAAGGGGATGGGCAGGTGACGAAGAGGGTCACGATATTCAGCATACATGTCCATCCAGACGGTAGCAGAATAGCCACAGCTGGCTTAGGTGAGTCGAAGAGGTTGATGGCGCCCGCGGCAAATCATTGCCCATCTCACGTAATACCGTTCGATGCATTGGCCTTCCGTCTCGCTCCTCTCCGAATTCAGACTCCAAGATCAAGATCTGGGCCACTGCTCCAATACTCGATCCCAAAGTCGAGAGCGACAATGCCGCTAACAGGCTTTTGTGCACTCTGGCACGTCACAGCGGTGAGCGCGGCATCTAGAGTCTTTGAAAATGGATGGGTGACGTGCCTAGCTCAACCGCTCTTTTCTTCTGGCATCCACCATTGGCAGGCTCCGTACTAGTCGTGCGCTGGTCTGCATCAGGCAGGTTCTTGGCTTCGGGATCAGACGACACGATCGCGATGGTTTGGGATCTGGACCCTACTGGTCTAGCGTCAGGCTCCGTCTTTGGAGCATCGGATGCTGAAGCCAACATTGAAGCATGGAGACCTCATCGGCGACTAGCAGCGCATGAATCGGACGTCGTGGACTTGGCGTGGAGCACTGATACGGACGACGCATATTTGGCCACCGTGGGACTCGACAGCACAGTGTACGTCTGGTCCGGGCCTAGACCCGGACCCGGAAGCTTTGAGCGAATCAAGAAAATCGACGGACACGCGGGTTTTGTGAAGGGAGTGGTTTGGGATCCTGTTGGTGCATTCTTGGCTACTGCCTCTGACGACAAGAGTGTGAGGATTTGGAATGTAGAAAAAGGCTTTACAGAAGAGGTCGTCGTCACGGCACCTTTCAAGACCAGCCCTAGCACCATTTTCTTCTCAAGACCGAGGTAAGTTTGGGTCGACACGTGAAGATCGTTCGGCTGTCTTCCGTAGACTACTAATCACCTGCTCTTCTTGGATTCGACTAAGTTGGTCACCTGATGGAGCTCATCTACTCTGTGCGAATGGAATGTCCGGACCGGTGTTCGTGGCCACTGTTGTTGAGCGTCCGACTCCCGAGCGGGGCAGCTGGACTAGCGACATACACCTCGTCGGCCACGAGAACAGCGTCATCGCTACTGCGTTCTCACCCAAATTTTTCAAGTCCAGAGACCCTCATCCAAACCCTTCGCCAGCGACTGTTCTGGCTCTGGGCTCCTTGGACGAAAGCATAAGCATTTGGATCACTGGACAACAGAGACCTTTACTTGTATCCAAACACGTCTTTGAAAGGCAACCCATGGATCTCAGCTGGTGAGTTTGCTGGGGCGGATGTACGTGAAGCACTCAGGCTGACCCTTGTTTGGCCGCTTTGAAGGTCTTCTGACGGCTTGACACTATACGCCTGTTCTGCTGATGGTCGCGTCGCGGCCTTCATGCTCAACGAAGAGATCCTCTCTCCTCTAGAGACGGAGGAGAAACTGGAGACAGCTCGAGCTTCCTTCGGATGGCGCAAATCCCGACGAGTGCTGTACCAGGTACCGTCTGCCCCTCCTGCTCAGCACATTGGATCGGATGGTACCAATGTATTGATCCCGAGGAGGAGAGGTGTGCCACCATTGAATGGGAGAAATGCTGGCAATTCAACGCCGGCTGGTAGCACCCCTCAACGTTTGGTCCAAAACATAACCCGAGATGCGAAGGGTAGACGAAGGATTCAGCCAACGTTGGTCGGAAGCGGGTCGAATCCTGGCTCCGACTATCAAGCAGCCCTTCGCTCTAGTGACGACAACGCAATGCAAATAGACGGCTCACTCCAACACGTCGGACCTTCGCTACTCCCTGCCTTGGGCGGATACGGTCAACTTTCTGCGGCTCACACCTTTGCGTCCACCTCTGCGACGTTGGCGGAGTTGCTTGATGCTGATGCTTCGACGCGACGAGGCAAAGATGTGGGACGCACACTTGGCGGAGAGTCCTCTTTGAAGCCGCCTGTGCAGGTGATGAACCTTGGACTTCCAAAGGCTGCACCGTCGCATTTCAATCCGCCTTCCATTCTCTCGTTCTACACTCGAGAAGGCCCTGGATGCGTCTTTGAAGCGTATAACTCCATTAGTGGCAGTGAGTCTCGCGCGTGCGCCTGCAGTTGTATGAGTGGACCTTGCACTTACTCGGACTGCCTCTTACTATTTTACTCAGATACGCAAATCTTGTTGAGAGTCGATGATGGAAAGAGCATCGCTTGGATAGACGTGCTGCATTCTCCGGTCATTGCTGCTACCAGCACCTCTTCCTTCACCGCAGTATCGCTCGAAAATCGAGAGGTCCTCATCTATTCCCAGAAAGGTCGACGCATGTCGAGCTTCATACTGGAGCACCACGTCTTCAGAGCGGAGGCTAGCGGCAACACGCTTGTCATTGTGGATCTCAATGCCGATCTGCGTCGATGGAATGTAGAATTGGGCGAGAGTATCGGTCAGCTCGTCTCAGTCAAGGGCTTGATCCAATCTCCCACCGGTGCAAATGCGGTCAAGTTCTGGGTGCACGGCAATGGCTCGCCAGTCTTCATTCTCTCCGACGAGACCGCTTATACGCTGAACGCTGCTCAGGCCGCGTGGACATGCGTCTCGAGTGGTTGGTGGGCTGTGAGCAGCGCGGCATGGGATGCGAGAGCAAGAGGTCGCGAGTCGGTCGGCGCGTCTGCCAGCAACAACGACGCCTTGGCTGGCTCGTTAGCCAGAGAACCTGTCAAATACATCGAGAGAGCCATCAACGATCTTCGCGTATCGAGTCCAGATACTGCCAGGCAGTACCCATCGCTGATCGTGACCGGGTCTGCGGAATCGGAAGCATCAATCGCTTGCACGCTCCGACACTTGGAGAGCAGGTTGTTGGCTGCTGAGCTTCTCGAGTCACCGCTCGAGTACAGGTCATTCTTGCAACAGTACGCAAGGAAGCTGTCCGATGAAGGCATCAGAAACATGGCTGAGGAGCTCATCAAGAGTTTCTTGGGTCCAATCTATTAGTGAGTCGCTCAACATTTTTGGTCTAGCAGAGATCTGAGCAGTCTGAGCACCAGATGTAGCATGGCTGACACGCGCGCCCATCTTGACGGCCCCGCAGTAAAACGCACGCGCAAGAAACGTGGAACCCGCAGATCCTCGGTCTCAACAAGCGCGAATTGTTGGCCGAGATTCTCAAAATCATGGCCAAATCTAGACTCTTGCCAGGATTGGTCCAGACGTACGCTGAGCACCTTCGCAACGTTTCGGCCAGATAAAGAGACGCTGCAGTCGTGCCACATCACCTCTCAGAGCCGATCTTCAGCGCTTCGACTCACACCTCCATTGTACTTTAGCATCGATACTTGACTAGCCTTGATGATCTGGTGACCTTGTAGTCGGGAAGGAGGGAAAGACTCAAACGTGCTCGAAACAGATTGCGCGATCGATGCGCAAGATTCGTTACAGGAAATCGTGATTGCGCATGGCACCAACGGGCGTCAGCGCGACATTTGAGAAGCCATAAAGGTACACTACATGCATGGGAAAAAGAAGCGAGAGAAAAATGGATGGCAGGAGTTGGGTATGATGGGCATCTATCGCAAAGTGAGCGGTTTCAGTACGCCATGCCACCAGCCACCAATTCGTCGTGAGAAGCGCCGTTTGCGTGAGGGGCGACGTGGCCAGAGGGATGCGCAGCAGATTGTGAAACCGGATCTTGCACGCCAGATAATTGAGTTATCAGGTCTGCAGACCTTCTCCTAGCAAGTGCCGCCGCGGCAGTCTGCGCCGCCGCTGCACTGGCTTCCGAAGAGGGAGTAGGCCTGAAGCCTTGTTGGGGGCTGGAAGGTGAGGTCGAATTTTGGCGGCTGCCATCAGCTGCAGGAGACCATGCCTTTCTCTGCACGAGATGATCTCCGTCAGCCGCAGCCGAAAAGGACTGAAATTTGCCGGTCTGTGCAGGCGATGTGCGCTCAAGATCCAATGGAGAGCCTAGCGAGTCCGTGAGACGGCCCGTTCCAGGCGATGGTAAGGAGCCTTGAGGACCCCTGACTTCAGCTTCGCGAGCCATTAGCATTTGCTTGAGCTCGGGCATATGATCCACGGCGACGATTTCGTCAAAGCTTCCCTTGCTAGTGGGGCCAGACCTGCTCATCCGAAAGTCGCCGTTAGTGTGCTTGCGAGCTTCGCGCTGCGCCCTGATTCTCTCGATGCGCTGAGCCCTGCTGACACCCTCTTCTAAACCTCCACGAGGGTTCCGGCCGTCTATTGCAGAGTGAATGTCTCCCTCATACACGTTGTGGGGGCCAGGCCTTGGAAGGCCTTCAGGACCAGCTGTGGCAAGCATATGGGCAACATCGTCTTCCTCAGAGGACGGTTGTGCGCTGCGCGCAGATTCAATGGACGTCAAACCATCTTGAAAGGCTGCACTAGCTGTCTGAAGAGGTTCGTTGGCCCTCCGAGCGGCCCACTCGGCATATCTCCGTGCCTGTGCCACTAGATCGGTTTCCAACTCATCTTCGTCTGCCTCTTGCGGAGAGTCCAGCTTGGAGCTGGCTGACTGCGCTGCAGAAGCTTCCGTGGGCGCTTTGTTCTCCTGGCTTGCCTCTTCGCTGCTGACCTGTTGCCTGCGTCGTTGCTCCGCTCGCAAAATCTTCAGACCAGACTCCCACTCTGCTGAGAGCGCGAGAAGATCATCTCTCATGCCTTCAAAAAGCCTGGTTGCAGCTTCTACCTGGGTGAGACTGGCGTTTTGCATGCCCGAGAGGGGCGATTGCGTAATCTCGTCGCTGGATGCAGATTCCACACCATGCAATTGCGTTGGAGCGCCAACTTCAACCTCGCCTGCAGCTGCTCTGAGCTTGACCTGCAGCGTGCGTAGCAAGAGCCCGAAAGCATTACTGCGGTCCTCGAAACCAGTGTGATCTCCACTGGATTGCGCTGTTCCTTCTGTCTGACCTCTTGAGCCTCCTCTGGAATTCGGGGTCGTCGAGCCGATCATGGCATCGCGGACGGCGAGATCAATGCGCTCCTGTTGGAATCGCATCTCGGCGCACAATCGACCGACAATCGGTTCAGCGAGAGACCAAGGGTCTTGCGCTTGGGCGTCCGAGCTGTCGCCGACGTGCTTGGAGCGAGGGTGGCCCGTTTCGGCACCGCTGCGTAGTGAAAGAAGGTGTGAGATAGTCAACTTTCGAGTGTAATGCATGTGCTCGAAGGCGCCCTTCATTTCAGCCAAGTGCAGATTGGAGGATGGAGCTTGATGCTGTGCACTAGCTGCACTACTCAGGTGAGAGAAGCCCGACATGTTCGCCCATTGGTTGCCCGATAGCCTGCGAGAATCGGGAGGATTGCTGACAGAGACACGTCCTGGTTCAGGAGAGCCAGCGCGCTTCAAGGGGCTTTCGCCGTTGCTCGTGGTGGTCAGCGTAGTGCTCGTCGGCCGACTGCCTGTTGCCGGCGTCCAGCTCGCCGACTGACTGACAGGGGGAGCAGAGTGGCCAGGCGCACCCGATTCGGTACTATTTGGAACTCCCAAGGAAGGTGAAGTCGACGTCGACGCTGATGTCGTACTGTTGTAGCTCAGACGCTTTAAAGCTGCAGTTTCTACGGCGCTAGGCGCATCATCGTCGCCTTTCTCGCTCACGTACGCCAGTCTCGAAGTGGGCCTGCCGGTCACTGGAGATGTGGCCGAGTGATCAGTGTCTGAGCCGCGCGAACGTGGCAGACCGCGCCGCAGACTCGATTGGCGCCCAAGGCTTGACGTGCCTCCATCAGAGAGAAGGGACAGCCTCTTGTGGCCAGTGGGCGTTACACTGGGGCCTTGTGAAGATGTCTCCTCAAATGTCGATGTAGATGCTGAAGCAGATGCGGGTGTATTCAGCGTGCTGAATATGGAAGGGTCTAGGATCGAGTTTCTCGCTGAGCTTCGGATCGGTGAAGTCATGCTGAGGGACAGCGGGCGTGATCGCGATCCCACCGGTGCAGAGTGCGCCAACATTTGGGGCGATCTGCCATCTGCGTTCGCAGCGTGCACGTCGATGCTGTGCGTACGTCCAAACGGAGAATCGAATGAGGATGCTAAATTGTGGGAAGAAACGTCCAAGCCATCTTCAGACCCCTCATTCAAGGAGTACATGTGACGAAGAACAGCTAATTCCTGCTGGTCAACCAAAGGCGACAGTTCGCTGGACGTCTGCATGCACGCTCGCCAGACATTGTCAAGCGCCGTCGCCACGTCTTGACGTAAATGCGAGAGACGAAGATTCTGCGGAGCACCTGACGACTCTTGTCCCTTGCGCAAAGAGCCGGTGCGGGACAAATTGTTGCCCGTGGAAGAGGAGCTAGACAGAAGCGCTAGGCTTGACAAGCGGTTTGAGCGAGGCGTTCCTGTCCCAACAGGGTCGCGCGCTTCCAGACGCGTGATGGGAGGCAGAGGATGGGCGCTACGATCACAAATAGCGTGGCCGAAAGGTATCAGCGACCACCCTTCAGAGTCAAAAGATCACAATTTGCGTGCAGTCGCTCATCCGACACTCACAGCTTGTATCCCCGCGCCACCAACTCGACCTCCTGCACCGCGCTGAGTGCCCGATTAATGCTCCGATCGAAATTGTAGGCAGCCTGCACAAAGTCGTCGGCATGCTGGCTGGTAGATCCCGCATTCTGCTCCGCGCTCGAAGCATCCCAGTCACGCAGCGAGTGCCACAGCTCCGGAGCTCTGAAGAGCACTTCAAAACGCAGCAAAGGTTGCTCGTCCGTGCCAACGAACAACACACTTGCCCACGCGCAACAGATCGCCGCAGAGGTGAAGCGTAGCCACGAGCGCCAAGAGAGCATCACCAGCAGCGCCAGGACTCCAACAGTGGTTCCGGTTCTGATCATTCGACCGGCCTTGCTAAGCGCAGGTAAAGCCGATGTACGTCTAGGTACCAAGAGGGGTCTGCGCCATCGCTGAGTCTTGGGTACGAGCTTCGCAAGCGCGCTCGGTGAGGCTGTCTGCTTGGTTGGATGTGGGTTGGGATATGCGGAGATGGTGAGCTGGCGAGAGAGCAGGAAGGACGTGGCGAGGGTGTGCTTCCATGTCTCAGAGCTTGGAGCTGCATCCTGGGCAGCCTTCTGCGCCGCCTTGCCTGGGCCTGATCCTGAAGGACGCAATGACTGGCTGGCGTCTTGTTTCGGCACAAGCGCTACAGCGCCCAGAATGAGATGCTGGTTCCACGTGGACCCACAACAACGTCAGCCAAGGGCATCAGGGCAGAAAATCCGTGCGCTAGAGTACAGAACTCACGATGCCAGCCGAAAACAGCGGAACGAACACCTCTCTGCTGAGCGCTTTCAACGTCCTGTATACCTCCAGCGCGAACACAACGAGAGGCAGCAAGCCCCACTTGGCAAGCTTTTCCCGAGCGGCCATGCGGTTGGGATTGGGCGCGTTGGTCTTGATGAGATGCTGTCCGCTAGGCATCGCGAGCGGTTGCGGCTGATGTGAAGCACCTGTCCTGCTGCCCATCGCTGACCCCAAGCCAGCTCCGCCTCTGCTTCCACGACGGTCGTGCTCCCAGCCAAAGGCGGAAGCGCTTCCGTGCTCTGATGAGGGATTGGGTGAAAGAGGTAGCGCCGAATTGCCGGTTGCAGCGCGGATCATGATGGTGGGACCTGCACTGTCCATGTTCATGCTTGTCCTGCTACTTCGCCTCTTCGCCCCGCCGCTGCTCCTCCTTCTTGATGCACGTGCGCTACTTGTAGGGCTCGACGTCGCAAAAGCGCCATTCGTAGGTGTGGGACTGGCAGAGGTCGGCCAGTCATTTACGGCACCTTCGTGAGCTGCTACCGAAGCTAGCTCGGTCGCCAAAGAGAGAGGAGGAAGCTCTGGAGGCCATTCGCCATCATGAGGGTCCGAGTATCGGCTGGCAGCATAGGTGCTCGCACTAGCTCTACTGGACCGACGCGATTGTGTCTGACTGGCAACGCTAGGCGGGCGTGGTGGTGGTGGTGGTAGACGGGCGGAAAGGGAGAGCAAGCCTTCAGACGGACTGCCAGGTGATGACGCTTCGTAGCTGTAGCTCAGATCGCTGCCCAAATTTTGCATTCCACCCATGTGCTCCCTTTGAGGCCCATCTGTCATGGTGACGTGGCTGAGCATACAATTTTGCCAATCTGAAACCAGAAGGTTGCTGATCGCGAAAGTTGTAGCTGTGGAGGGCGGGGTGCTGCTGTGCGCGTCAGGACAGCTAGGCGTTGAGCTGATAACAGACAGTCAATGCTAGGGGCGACTGGACTCGATGAGGGTCAAAGACGAGACTGAAGGGGTCGAGCTGGCCGCGTCGTAGAGCAGACAGGCTGTAGGTGAAGATGGCACAATGTGGCAGCCGAACCTCGTGTCGGCGCAGCGCGTGGTCAACACCGTACACACAGGAGGGGACGATCGAATCCCTTACGCAAAGCGCGCGAGCGTTTGAAGGTCGAAGAAACGGGACGCCGACTGAGCGTAAAAATTGGATGATGCGCGTGAGGGTGGTAGGGGGGGGGGGGGGGGGGGGGGGGGGGGGGGGGGGGGGGGGGGGGGGGGGGGGGGGGGGGGGGGGGGGGGGACGTGTCTCACGGTTCCTGAGCCGTTGAAAGACGGTGGGTTGCGTGAATGAGGACCACGAAGGGCATGCGGACTTTGAAAATGCGCACCAGCCGAGGCAGAAGAGTCTTGAGTTGGGTGAGCGTCGACTCTTGCATTCAAGATTGAACGCTTGACTCTTTAATTGAAATTGCACTTTTCAATCTGGGACTTGCTTATTGTGGCTTGGGCCGCTGCAAGCTCGTGACCCGACGCGTACAGGTGTTTGTTTCAAGATCGAAAACTGTAATTAAAAACAGGTTCTCGACTTTGCGAGAGGAGCCTTCAATCAAAATGAAGAAACGGACGCCTTCAATCCGGTCACATGAATGGAATGTGAATGACGAATCATTCAAATTCGAATTGGTTTTCATAAACCCGTCTCAAAGGTTTGATTTTCAAGTGGCTGTCGGTCTCGAAATCAATGAAAGAAGTTGGAGCTGATGAGCTTGGCTCGCTGTCCAAACACGAAAGTCGCACTAGAGACTGAGGTCCACCAGCTTGAAAGTCAGTCGGCAGTCTTGAGTCAAAAGTGCGCGGCTCACGTAGCCGGCGGGCACGCGCTGCGCGCGCGTGTGCTGTCAGGGCTGCAGGTGCGCTCAAAACTTGCAATAAGCGATGCTTGCATGGGCACCATGTCGCACCGGCCGCACGAACTGTGGCGCTTGCAGTCATGAGTCAGGAATCACGACCAGCAAGCGTGATCACGAATGATTCAAAAGCCTTTTCTGATCGACTGAAGCGCTCCGAGAGTCGTGAGTGGGGTGGCTAAGCTAAGGCCTTTGCATGCCAGCGTTCAGTCCAGACGCCCATGTTTACCGGATCACGGCGCTCCATACACGCTGTTGTGCTTCTTGTTGCTCCTTGCGCTCTTGTGCCATGAATGCAAGTCGTTTAGCGCTTGGGCCGCCTCGCGAGGCAGCACAAGACATCCATCCCTATCCTGGTCATGCGTGCTACAAGACTCACGACTCTGTGACTGTATCGTAGCTGCTAGATGTGCATATATCCACAGCGCGCGTCTGCACGACCATGAGCAGTCGATCACCACTCACACTCTTGACTGTGACTCCTGACTCTGGATCTGGACTTTCAACATTTAGCGTCTTTCGTTGTTTCCTCTTCGAGGTACCTAATGCCGAAAACTGCATCCGACGGTACGCTTCCTTCACTGCCTTTTGGGATCAAGACAAAGCTTCACTTCGAGCACCTGACAAAGACGTGCAGGCCCTTGTGGGCTACTTGAGAGCGTTGCAACAAAGTGACCTTTCGTCATTATCACAATTGTGCGCTATGGACGGCTGCATGGGCAGCATGAAAGGCGGCGTGTGAGACCGCAAAGACGACACGATCCGTGCGCCTCGATCGATGCACTGCGTTGGATGAGGGATGCAATGGCTTCAAGTCTTGTATAGGTGCTCCTCAGGAGGAAAGGCAGAAAGTCACGAGTGCCAGACGTCTTGAGTGATGGATGGAAAACGAGCGTCCAACTTTGACACGAGACGAACAGAATAGAAGAATCAGAATGCGAAGTCGTATCACGGATTCAGCATTCAAGATTGTCAGTCGTAAGTGTCATGCAAATGTGCGGTGCAAAAGCGTCATCTTCGAAACGTTCAGTAGTTCTTCGACTCCGCGGTCGCAGTCTTTTCCTGCCTCTTGTACACCTGCCAGGCCCAAGCTGCGACAGCGGGCAGAGCGGCCCATGTGGTGAGAGCGAAGACGCCTCTTTCGAATTCGAAAGCCTCCTTGTTGAGCTCGTCTGGCAGTCCAAAGGCTTTGTGTACAGTCGGAAAATTGGCGGCGATACCTGCAAACGTGAAGAGAACGATCATCATGACACGCTGGTGAAATGTGCACCAAAAGTCATCAGTGTCGGATCTGCGCTGGCTTCTCACACCTTGGAGCGCCTTGGGTGGTCCCTCAGATCGAGCGAACCGGCTCAGGCCTCACCTGCATGGGAATGACGCTCCCTATGAATGTGTGCAGAGTAGCCCAGGCTCTGTGAGCTTTCCAGTCCTTCTTGCGCGCCGTCAAGTAAGTCATCAACACGGTAGGCGGCCTACAGATGCATCGTAGCTACTCGATCAGCTTCGGCGCCAGGAACAAGTCAATCTGCCAGTCCATTGCTCACCAAAAGAGACCGGCGAGAAGGACAACGAGGTTAAAGGAAGGCCACACGAGGTAGCCCCAACGGTGTGTGGCCTGCAGCGCGCCAAGTCGCGAAAGGGACCACCATCCGTCAGCATCTGGTGTGGTCTGGCTTCTCGATTCGCTCGACTCACCAGCAAGTCGGCAGAATAGCTGAGATCGTGAAAGGGGAAGGAGACGCCAGAGTAGGTCAAAAGGCACGCAGAGACGAGCGTAGCTCTACCAAGCCATTTGTGCACGGCAGGATACGCTGATCGCAGCCGGATGGAGTGCTGGGCAGGGATTGCGATGCTCCAGACGATAGCAGGAGCAATGTGCAGCCAGCCGTAGAGTAATGCTCCCTTTTCGAGCCGGTCCATGCTGAATTCGAGTCCGGTCGACTGCGTCGCACAAGCATCGTCAGCTTTGATTGGCACACATCTACAAGTGACCCTCTATTCTCATGTCCCCATCAGAGAACGACGACACTCACTGGCTCTCTTGTTCCTATCAAGATTGGCGTCTCGACGTCCCAGTACTTTGAGGGATCCCAAGTTGAGTTGCCGCGGTTCAGCCAGGCCTGTTCTGCTTGTGACCTCAACGATCGGGCCATTTCGATCCTCGGATTGCTGCCCATGTTGAGATGGTCCATCAAGGGTAGCAGGGCGAACGCGATCATCACAATGGACAGCAGAATCAGAGGGCTTTGCCTCACAGTCTTTGGAGAAGACAATGAGCTTGGCAATGGGATCAAGCTTCGCGCAGCTCGCTTTGAGCCGTCAGCAGTGCCCGACTGCTCCATTTTGAGGATTGAAATGGGAGGCATGACGTGTTCGCTGGAATTCCAAGCAGAGTTAAAGAGTACTGAGTGGATGGATGATGAAAATGTCTGACTGAAGAGTGATAAGAACCATCGACGGCGTGCTGTTCCTTTTATTCGTGGAGGCACGCCTTCTTCACTTGAGCACAGAGCGCAGGGCATGCCAGCACGAAGCGTGACGTGAAGAGGAACTCACAACTGCCTCGAGCTCAAGCTCATCCGGATGTTTCAAGCAAATCCCACGGATCTCCTACTCTTTCCCTGTTTTCTCTTATGAGGACCTGTGGGTCAATTTCGGATTGGCAGACCCAATCTGAGGACAACTGCGTGGACGATGAGAGAGCTCAGCCGCCCAGTGATCGAGAACTCGCGAAGGCCAAACTGACAGACATGCTGCTGGCCCGGTCCGCTTTTGAAGGTGATCCACAGACTTGGCAATCAATCTAGCTCCGCCGGAAGTCGAGGTGTTGGGCCAATCGTGAATCAGTGCATTACGCGAGCGCTCCTCCAGGCGGAGCTCAGCAGCCGCATGATAGGTGGATGCAGCTCCAGCACAGCAGGCCATGCAGCAGCAGCGGCACGAGCGGAACTCATCAGCAGGCCAAGCCAAGCCGCGCCGCGGTATGTAAAACGATCCTGCGATCATTCTTGATCCGCTTCCGATTCGAGAGCGAGAGCGCAGCACCCGAAATTGTACCCTCCCAGATGAGCCAACAAATGACGGAGCAGACTATCCCTCCAGCAAATTTGTGCTTCAAAGAGGTTCATGATCGTGCTCACTGTCAGGAAGCACAAGAGCCCGCGTGGAGAAAAGATGATCTCAGCGTGCTGAGGCATGTTCGGCCCGACGACAGAACATCAAAAGCATCAAGCTCATGGAGCCGGCGGCATCCACCATCGCTGGCTCAGGGTGCATCCCGCTGTCCCGAGGGCTCGTAGCTGGCGATCCGTGAGAGAAGTGCGCTGAGCAATGCAGCGTGGACCACACTTGCCATGTCTGAAGGGCTAGCGGCTTCCTCTGCGAGAGCAAAACGAAGTATAACTTGGTACGTCAAGAAGCAATGGGAAGCACTCGAACCTCGAGCGCAGAGGCAAGGCGAGCAAAAATGGTTATTTGGTACAAATGCAAGAATGTAAGGGAGGGCAAAAGCCCATGCTGTACAAGATCAAGTAGCTCGTAATGTAAAGGTGATTTGTGGTTGTTGGGTAAGCTCCTCTTCGCCCTCGATGCGTCAGTCGAGTGGTGGGGCAGAAGGCTGTTGTGTCTCGCCTGTCTGTGCAGTGAACCTTTGCCTGGCGCCCGCCGGCTCTTGCGGTGCGGCGAATGCCTCAGCTCCGACTCCGTCCAAAGATCCTTCCTCGTCGAATGGTCCAATGGGCGGTGCAGACGGTGCGGCCGCACCGTGCGCGATGAGGGCAGCATTTGAGCCGTGGCTGGGATTGCGCTCATAAGCTGGAAGACCTCCAGTGCCCGCATGCTCTTGTCTGGAAAGCTGCGCCAAGTCTGAAGGGCTAGAAGCGACAATGGTCAATTCTGCCTCGGCTTCCCTGCGCTTTTCCTCAGCTCTTCTCAGACGCTCTTCGCTCTCGAGCAAAGCAGGCGCTGATGGTCGTGCGGACGCATTCCTGTGCTCCGCATGCGTACCTGAGCCAAGAGCAATCGATGGAGCATGTGGTGGAAGCGAGCTTCCTGTGCCTCTGCCACTTGCTGACCATGCATCTGACGTTCGAGGCATCTCATATTGAGTAAGTCCGGCAGATGGGGCTGGCGGTGGTGGTAAACGCATTGCTGCCTTGCCCTTACTTTCTGAGCCGAAATCGATCTCTCTGTCGGCAGAGTTAGACCATGAACCTTCGGGCACAGAAGCTGCATCCACGTCCAATGTGGAGGACAGTCTTTCAAAGTCATCGTCGGTCAAGGTGAGAGGCGGCGCAGATGGAGCGCTCGGAGCGGCGGAGCCGAGAAGCGCGTGACCACCGCTCTCATCTGCCAGGTCGCTCAGAATCTCCATGTCCGAGGCACCATAGCCTGGCGCTGACGATCCAGCTCTGGGCGCGGAAGCAGCTGCTCGCATGGCGGCAAGCACTGACTTGTCGTCCGTTGCGACGTGCGCAGAATGCGGTCCCTCCGCCAAAGCATCATGAGCTTCCTCAAAGGGCGTCAAAGAATCATGAGATGCAGCTGCACCTGGTTGCGAAGGGCCTCGACTGGCATCATCGAAGAGCACTGACGATTCGGCCTGCAAAGACAGGTTGTTGTGATCCACGGGCCGCTCCGGCTGCTTCTCTGCCCTGGCACCGCGACCTGCTAGCGCTCGATCCAATGTTGGTGCGAGAGGCGGCGCATCGTCATCACCAGCGAGGGGTCGATGGAAGCTGGAAGACGCCGCCGCCTCTAGGCCGGCCGGCTCTGGTCCTCCGCGAGAGCCAACGCGAGAGCCAAGGGTGGCGATGACGGAAGGTCCCGTGGACTCGTTCCGCTCGCGACTCGGAATGTATGCTGGTGGCGTCACTTCTGCATCGTCTTGGTCTGCGGTATCCGCGGCATTGAGATCCGATTGATCGAGGCGTCTGCCAGAACTCGGTGACAAGCTTGAGCTGTAGCCGGTGCGCAAATCCACTGATGGAGAGGGAGCCCGCTGACCTGATCCGCGCCGCTCCAGCGGATGGGACGTTCTGTCGCTGGAGTCCAACGTAGCGGGGTCCGAAGCACCACGAGAACGCACGTTCATCGCGAGTCCTGGGCGTTCGTGATCTGCGCCCGCAGCATCATCGTCATACACGACCTCTACGCTCTCGCCCCTTCCGTCTCCCAGTCGAGGCGCAGTGTTTCTTCTGTGAGCAGATCCCGGTCGGCTTGCAATGGAGCGTCGACCTCCGTCATCGTCCTCTCTGATAGCTCTTGGCTCTGACAAAGGCGCATCATCGCTCGCACGTCGCAGCAGGCGATTGGCGGGTGCTCGAATCCATCGACTAACGACCCTCCTGCTCACCGCGGTCGAGCTGCCGGTGCTGGCCTCCTTGCTTGCGCTCCCAATACTCCTGAGCTCTTTCTCTTGCCTCTTGCGGTCTCTCTTCTCCTGTCGTTTCTGTTTCCAGCCAGGTTTCTCGCCACCAGCCCCCCGCCCTGCATTACGCATCTCCCGTTCTTCGCGCATGCGCTCGACAGCCAGATCGTCGGCATCCGCGTATTCCTCCAGCTCATCGTCATCGGATGCTCTATCGCGCAAGAATACCGCGGCACCGATGATGAGCACGATAAAGATCGCCAAAAAGATGGACACTATGATGACGGCCTTCTTTTGGAACCACACCGACCTGTCCTGCGGTCGCCACGAGGATGCCAGGCCAGACGTCCATGCTGAGGGCACCACAGTGCGTCCGTTCGACAACGTAGATAGCAAGGCGCCTCTCGGTTGCATTGTCTTGGAAGGCCGAGGTGTCGGAAAGGGTGCTCGCGCCTGCAGCTGAGCCACTGATGAAGGCGTGCGTGGAAGCGGTTGAAATGCCTCCTCACGGATGTGCGCGCGCTTCCGCAATTGGCTCGCGTATGCTGAGCTTTTCCTATCATCTCGTTGATGGCAGAAGCGGGGCGTGAGCTCATCTGGTAGCATCGACCAGGTCTCTGACCATGCCGGTGATTCCTCCATGTGCAGAGAAGCTTGTCGCGGAGGCCGCGCTCGTTTACTGCCCTGATTGTGCTTGTCCGCTCTCCCTCTTTCCCAAGTCTCATCGATAGAGCTGCGTGGCAAGTTGGAGTGTTGTGCAGCATCCACACCTCGATCGGACCATGACGTGCCGAGCGCATAGCTGTCGGCAGTGGGAAATGGTTGTTGGGCGAGATTCGGTGCAGGTGACGGGGTCGGTGCTGCTGCTGCTCTCGGAAACGCTGTCGGATTGATGATCAGAACAGAGGCTACCAAGCATGTGGTCAAGCTTGTCGCGAGACGTGGTGTATGCTTGGGCGCCTCCCTTGACCGCCTTCTACGAATCTGGCGGTTGAGGCCAGTAGAGCTGGACGCCACGCTCGACTGGCAAGTCTTAGCCGCCTCTCGAGGGCCCATGGCGGTCACACCGCTTGATTGTGGGCTGCCTCGAGATGCCGATTGAGATGAGGGTGCTCTTGTCGATATTTGTGGTGCAGAGTTGCCCCTTGGCCCCTTAGGGAACGGTACGCTGAGACGGAGTGCTGTGCGATGCGCGTCTCTGAATGCGAAGTGAACCGCAGCGAGCGGATCCAGAGTTTTGAGTGCCAAGAATGGATACTTGGACGGTAGCACGTATCAAGGATGAGGGGAGGAATAGATGTGACGCGCGAGGTCCAAGAGGTTGATTCACTGATTGAAGCAGGGCGCGGAGAACCACTGCGTGACTTACCATGTAATCAAGGCGCAACCCAAAATGGTTCGACATCGCCTGCCAAAGGAGCGCAAAGTCGAGGCGGCGGTCGTGGCGGCGCGGCCGGCGCAAGCCATGACGCGGCGGCGGGCAATAAGAGAGAGAGCGCGACGATGCGGGCCTGGATGCACCTCATCAGCATGCGTCGCATCAGCAGAGCAGCGCCTCATCAGCGCAGTCAAGCTATATATAATTCGTGCTGACTGCATGCATGCTGCCTGCGGTGTAGCGTACAAGCTATCGCGACTCGATCAATAAGACTGGCAGAGCTCGCGCGCGCGCGGATTCAAACCAGGATCTCGTCGCGCGTGCACGGGTGCGGCTCGGTAAGGCGGCTGCGAATGCACATACAGCGTGCAGTGGGCGAGTCTCGCATGCAGAATCGCCCGCTTTCGCAACCGCGCTGGAGCTGGGGGGGTGCTGCATGCAAGCGCGCATGCACATGCTGGAGCTGAAATGCCGGGAAAGCTTCAAAATTAGGCTTTCGTGCAGCCAAAAGTCAAAGTCGAGGGACTTTGTGTCATGCGGTGGAATTACAAACCCCACCGGACACCGGAACTTCGACATTCACGCGTGGCGAAGCGTCGCGTGGCCTGGTCCGTACGAGTGACGTTTGATTTGAACTTGATTTTGAATCGAGAACTTGATCGAGATACACGTTGATTCAAATACGCACGGATCGGCCTAGCTCTCCCAAATGTAGACAGTATAAATATCCGCGCGTGCACACATATAAATGCAGCACGCGGCAAAGAGCGGACGAAGGCGCGGAGCTCCTTGTCCGCTCATGACACATGCCGAAGCTGACTCTTGACTGATGTGCCGGCCCCCTTTCCTATCTCAGCTGCGAAATCGTGAATGCTTTCGGTCATGTCGTGAGCCCCGCTAAGGTCACTTCGCTCCGAGCTTCACCATGATCTGCACAACAACAGCTCTCACACCAAAATTTCCTGCTCAACTTTCGGCTTTTGGTATGAGTTCCTGTTGATTAGCACTCGGACTTTAGCTTTTCTGTACACAGTGACTGAGCGAAAGGGATTTGAGAGGGTCACGAGTAGCTGACCTGCAACTTCGAATCACGGATCGTGAATGAGCCGCGTGCTGCTTGCGGAAATTGGTCCTTGAGGCTTGACGAGCCACCATGTCAGCGCGCGTTAAGTGCTTCCATCACAGGGTCTTGTTGCTCTGCTGATCCTTGCGAAGGCGGCTCGCGACGATGCATGCGCAGCTCCCATTCATTCACGCCTCTTCAGACTCATCAGACGAGGTGTGTTGATGATGGACTGCCGTCACAAGTGCGCCTGACTCGTGAGTAGGACTGTGGATTTGCTAGCTATACGATGAATAGAGTCGAGTCTTGTGCGTCTCGATCGTGATCGGTTTGAGTCTTGCATATGCTCGAGATCGCGGGCCGGTGAATACTCATCAGAAGAAGCGAGTGAGGTTCCCTAAACGGTGATTGAGCAGTGGGCCAGAATCAAGTCCTGTCGCAGCCAATATATCGCCGTACCGCTGCGAGGTTAGCTAGTGCGCGAGGCAACGCCAGCAGAAGGTCAGACAGAGCACGTCCATTCCATCGATCTGTTGTGCTCCTGACGAGAATTCGCCCTGGACAAGCAAGTGAACGCTACAAATCGAGCAACGACGCTAATAATACTTGAGCCTGCATTATCTCGGCACTCATCCTGTGCTTGCCTGCAAGAGGCAAAGACGAGCCACAGAGCCAGGCTGCATGAGACCATTCTTGATTCTGATTCACGTTCTTGGATTTTGACTGTCTCAAATCGAGCTTTGCAGGAAGAAGTGCCAATCAAATGATGTGCGCGTGTATTCGCTCGCGTTGTGCGCTTGTGAACGCTCTGGGCTAGCCAGGTCTCTTCGGCCTCAGCTTTCTACAGATCAGGCGCACAGATGGCCGAAGTTTGAATCAAGAATGCAATCTTGAACGATGGAGCACGTGTCTGGCCCAGAGTCGCAAAAGCAGCGTCAAGAGAAGCATTGGGCCAATCTGAACGACATCGACGATGGCCGTCGCTCCAACATCGCACACAGCCCTCATCAGTAGTCTTGCGCAGTCCTCGAATGCGGCGACAACAAGTAAATATTCGATTACTATCTTGCCGGGCGATACAAGGCTACGCGCTGAATCGTGTCAAGTTAGATCGCCTCCAACAGCCACCTTCCCGCTTGGCCGACGTCCCAGAACGCGACGCCAGCGGCGGGGGACAGCTCTGCAACAGTGCTGAGTCGTTTGGAAATGGTGTGGGCACTTGGAAAGTAAGCTCTGTAGTAAGAAGCCATAGGTTGACCCTTGTTGTAGCCCTCTGGAAGTTCCTTCGGATCGGGCTGTTGAGAAGGCGGTAAGACTGCGACATAATCCAAGAATTGTTCTTGCGACTTTTCGTCCAGTCTGATCAGAGCTTTGTGTACCTTCAGACGACCTACAAGGTCTCGTTGGGTGAAAGCATCTCCCGCAAACCGCAGCACTGCCCGGTGTGCGAGCTCCTCGTCCTTCTTATCCGCTTTTGCCCGAGCAGCTTCTTGCGCAGAGGTAGAATTGTCCTTGGACACCAGGGGAGAAGGTGGCGGAACGCGCGGCACGCCATGCTTGGAGGCTGATTTGGTCTCGAACCAACCTACTGGATACGAGTAGCCTGTGTCGCAGATCAAGACGCGCAGACCAGACCTCAGTGGATGATACTACTGCAGTGTACCGTCTGGCTAATGCGTATGACTCACCGTAGAGAGCGACCCCGAAGAGAAGCTTGTCCGCAATGCCGTGCTGGCTGACAAACTCTGTATGATCCATGTCGTTGGTCTGAAAGATGTTCTGAGCGCCTGGCGTCTCCAGACTTCCGCTCAGCATCTCAATGTTACCTTCAAGCCAGCTGATTGGTGTGTTGGGACCAGGCGTCCTGACGCCATCTTGCGCAAGGGGACTTCCTTCTGGAAGGCTGCTAGTATCATAGACATCCTCAAAAGCCTGGCCATTCATGCCAGTGTAGTCGTAGGTCATGATGTGCAAAAAATCGGCAATAGGGCCAAGTGTTTTGATAGAGTGCAGCACCACCCGATTCGTCTTTTCCACTTCCGCATCAACGTGACCCGTCCGGAGTGGAGGAAGCACCACGCCAATTTGTCTGTCATTGGCTCGCAGAAGGGCTGCCAAATGCTCCACCAAGCCCTTCATAGCCCAAACGGCGTTGCTCTCAATGACCAAGCCATCATATCCGGCTTCTTCGATGACCGTCATGACAGCGCTCGAAAAGGCTTCGAGGTGCTCTTCCTTTGTCAGCATCTCTGCCAAGTCCTCTGGTGTCCATCGGTCGAGTGCGAAGCGAGGCAGCACCTTGACGGGTGGCAGTCGAGTATCCTGCTCGGCTGAGGAGAGTATCGTATCCGACGTGTTGCGGCCAGGCAGATCTCCTACTCGGATTGCCACCTGCAGTCGATCTTTCCACTGCCTGTCCTTCTCCGTCATCTCCCCTCGCACTTCGTAGAATGCTTCACCACCCTTCTGCGCTCGAACAATGTCGACCGTGTGCCAGCAAGGTACTACGACGTCAAATTTTCCCCTATACTCCTCTACCAGCTCAGCACCTTGAGGGTTCCAGGGTGATGTGTAGCCCAGAACGGTTCGGCTGGTGCGGTGAAATGGACGGCGACAGGGAAAGCAAGCATGTGGAGAGTGAGCAGGGGCAAAAGCGACTCTCTGCCAACTTCCAGACGAAGTTGGGCAACTTTCTATCGGACGCTGTAGCGCCAGCTCAAGCGCTCTGCCTTTCGCTACTCACCCAGCCATTTTTCTTCTTTCATGTTTGTGGACTCCCTTCGAGGTGCTATGGTCCGACTGTGACAATATTGCCGACCTGCTCGGATACTGCGAGTCGATGCCCTGTGCTCGAGCCTTCAAGATACAGCTCAGCGCTGCGACGATGCAGATCAAAGCCAAGGGCAGAGATGCAGATCGAGTCCGCCAAGTCGATATCCGCTGTCTGTGATTGGATGCAAGTGACATGGTGGATCAAGCTTCGAAGCACCCGGCTGGAAGTGACTGGCGTGCGGGAGCGAGCTGGGTGAGCTTACGCTTCGTCTGATGCTGCAAAGGCTTTTTGGCGAAAGGTCTAAGCAGCGGCCCCTCAAAGACGCTGAAAGAAGAAGAGGCGATTTGAGTACTGCAATTGAAACGTCAGGGCCGATAGGCGAGACGTGATTATTAGAAGTCAGAGTGCCCAGAGCCGTCTTGCGAGCATGGACGTCAACAGAAGGCAAAGGGAGGAGCTCAAAATGCGGGGTTGATGCATGCACGTGATCTGCATTTGGAGCAGCTTTGGCCACGTTGACCATGCCGGCTTGCACGACGCAGGATCAAGCTTCGTGATTGCTCCCGATGAGCGCTGGCAGACGGCAACCGGGCATGTAAACTCGAGGACCGGTACAGGCACACATCCTCAAGTCCAAAGTCAGCTGGCTTCTCAATGGTCAGTGGGGAACGCTGTGGATTTGACGGCATGTGTGCAACAAGGAGGATGACTTACGACTCCCCAGGGCTTCAATGCGCGCGATCTTTGTCCGCGGAAAGCAGCGCTCTTTCCTCGAAGGTGAACTCAGGCTTCCCTGACAAATCAGCACGCTCATAGACAGCCCAAGTCATCACCCTGAGGAGCCGACTTCAGCTATGCACGAGAGTCTAGCCAACATCTAGGCTATGCTGCAGTAACCAGGTCTGCTTTTACAACAGGGTGAAAGAAATCGAGTGCGACGCAAGCTGCCCGCGGGCAGTTTCATCCTCAGGCCCTGAAGTCCTCTGCTCTGCCGCTGTCGCCACGTAGATGCCTTTGCTTGGGCGGTCGGCCGCCGACTCACGAGCCCGAAGGATGACCGTAGGCAAGGTATGAGTTGGCATGTCATGTCATATTGCGAGATGAATGTGTGCGGAGCGGAATGCTGCGTCTTGCAGCGAATCTGCGCTGAACAGCCTCCCACGGCGACAAAGGATGTGAGACATCGGTGCCACTCGATGGCCAGGCTAGATGTACAGAACGAAGGATTTTGTTAGTTGAAACCATGATGACGATGTGAACTGAAGCGCATGTTTGCTGTTTATGCGATGAGCTGTTCAGGGTGATAAAGGGAGAAGTGTCAGCAATGGAGCGGATCATGGCGACAGAGCGGGGTACTCACCTTGACAACACCACCAGCCTCCTTGATCTTCTTCTCTGCCAATTCTGACACCCATCGTGCCTTGACGATGAAGGGAAGTTGAGGCAATCTGCCCTTGCCGAGGACCTTGCCGTACCCAGCTGCCAGAGTGTCAATGACGGGAACTTCAGTGGAGCTCGAGGTCAAGCCCTTGCGTTGCTCAGCAGGGACGAGAGTCCAGAGCTTGTCCAGGTTGACCACTGGTCTGTAGTAGCTGTTTCTGGTCAAGTGGAAGTGACGCATACCAACCTTTCCGAAGTAACCGGGGTGGTACTTGTCAAAGTTGGTTCGGTGGTGGTGTTGACCACCAGCAAGACCACGACCTCCCGGATGCTTGCGGTGCTTGCCTGTATATCGGACACGAGGAAAGTGTGAGATAGACTGAATCGAGCTTTCTCCATGGAGAATCTTGCACTCCTTTTCCGGTCGCCGAGCGTCCCACACACTAGTTCGCAAGGGGGTTGCTTCCCTCCCGCGAGAACGATGACTGAACACCTAAGCCCAGCTGGCAGTCCACCTGCCTCTTTCCCTGAGTCTCTCTCTCCGGCTCCTCCGTCGCAGACGACCGTCTTCCAATATCTAACCTGACAGTCACCCCAGCATTTCCTTCAAAGACATGACGCATTACTCACCGACACGACCGTGACCGCCGGAGACGTGTCCACGGAGCTTTCTGTTCTTGCTGAGTCTGGACGGCCTATTCACACCGCATCGAGATCAAAAAAGCCAGGATGTTCCAAGCATTCCCACCATGAGTGAACGCGTCCCAGCAGCATAGGAGACCATTGTGCGCAGCGTGAAAGGTGGGAGTCGTAGCGCATCGCAAGACCATGGGATGATCATCGTTGGTCGGGGTTAAAGAGAGCGCAAGGCCGAAGGAAAAAGAGACGAGACATGGTCAGTATACCGTGAGCGAGATCTTGTCAGGTAGACGTATGTCCAACGGGCATTATACGTACATCTTGAAATCTTGATGTCGAGATGGATGGTGGAAAGGTGAGCGTCAGATGATAGATGCGCGGAAGTTCGTGGGCACAGCCTGGCTGGCCCTCAGCGCAACCGCGCTGCGGCTCGCGCACGCCTTTGGCGCCTAACATGCCCTGCAAAATTCGAGACCCGTGCGAAAGCAAAGACGCCACGTGGTCATACTCGAGCCGACCGCCTGCAGCATGCAGCAAGGCGTGCGAGCCGTCTCAAGCCAGACGCGACTTTGGCACCGCGGGTCGGTGCTGCATGATGTGGTGAGTGCCTTGCCGCGTGAGAGTTTCGATGCGCTCAGCGATGCTCTATTCTGATTTCACATTGGTGATTCACATTCAAGATTGAGGGTCATGAATCTCATCACGCATCATGGCAAACGTTTATCGGTCCTTTGTGAAGCCTCAAATGAGGAGTACCAAGGCCGTCAGTCAAGCTATGCGTGCCCATAAGACAATACCAGCGACCACTGCTCCTTGATCAGTGATGCGAACCAGCCCTTGAGCCCCAAGTTCACGTCGTCCGTTCGAAAGCGGAGGCATCAGGGATCCGACCTGTTGCTGTTTTGAGCCCTTGACGCAACCCTCTCGCGAGCATCTTGACTCGTGTCCGGCCAGCTTCTCGCGCATCCGAGTACCACAGAGAGAGCACTGCAACATGGCGTCCTCAACTTCGCGCAGCACTCAGTTACCTTCAGCTGCCATCTTCCAACGCCACATCCACTGTGGCCGATGCATGCGACCAAGAGACGAAGCTGTAGACGCTCATGTGCAACCAAGCCAGCAAGGGTCACATTCTGTGCCCACGCAAGGTGCCACCAACAGGCCTGCATCGTCTCGTTTGAACACTGCTGTGTCCATCACCGCGCCTACGGAGCCGCTCCTGTCGAAAGAACCTTTCTGGCTCACCCAAGTGCGAGGATTCGATGTCTGCCAAGCAGTGGCTCACATCTGCGCTGACGTCCATGTCCTCTTGCGGACCATCGATGTGCTGCTCACTCCGTTTCGTCAGTGCGCTCATATCATTTGCGGCAAGTGCCAATTTCCTAACGGTAGTGCGTCGACTTACCAGACACAGGCTGAGCGGGGCCATGTCGCTCGCTGCTGTGCTCACTGACCTTCTAGTCGAACCATACAGCCCCTGTGCAGCCACACGAACGGACGCATACATGCGCATTGTGCCAAACGTCGCGCATCAGCATTTCGCTGCTCACCGACACCAACGTGAGTGCTCGTCGACCCGGGGTCTGGGTCGCCATCTGACCACTACAAAAGATTGGACTAAATACACAATGAATGCAGCTACCACCGGCTGTTGCGCCATACTTTCGGCAAGTTTCCACCATTCTTGAAGAGGTGGCAGAGGTCCACCTCTTTCAAGCTACGCACATGGGGTCGCTGATCGAGTTCGTGAGAAGTCGCGCTGCTCTCTATGCGTCAGAACGCCGCACTAAGTTTCTCAGCATCGCGCTCAGTTACTTGCGCAAGAAGGTACTCGCGCAACGTCAAGTGCTCGAAAGAGTGAAGCCGGAATTAGAAATCTCGCGCGAGCGAAAGCGGTCAGTCTGCCTGGCATATGCATCCCGAGCCTCGCATTCAAATTTCTTCGGTATCGCAGACGTATCGAGGAGCTGGAGTATGATGTGGCTGAGCTACGAGCTCTGCTACAACAACACGGCCGTCATTTTGAGGCCCAAGCCGATAGGATCGAGGAGCCAGCCCAGCCGACCGCCCACACGATGTCACCGATGACACCGAACAGCTTCGCCTTCCAAACGCCCTCCTCAAAACGTCGCAGGTGAGCTGATGTGACTCGCCGACGAAAGCGCAATTGGTGGTCACTGCTCACAAAGACGTATCCAGATCATCTTCGCCACCACCCAAGATATCAGCAACTCAGGCTGGGCCATCGTTCGCGTCAAGCCCCCAATCAGTGAGCCAGCACCTCCAGACGCTTACGCCGCAACCGCCTGCTCAGCAATCCGAATCAGGCGCCGCGAAGCTACGGTAAGGCGTGGTCATTGCAGGTGACCCGTCATCTTGCTGAAACCGCTGTACCAACCAGCAGCCGATTCGCGCACACGTCGTCTTCGTCGAGGCCCCCTAGCGGGACTGTCGCGAGTCAGGCCCCCGCGCTCTTCCAAGGCGCGAACTCGAGCACTCTGCTGATGGGACCACCTCGCTTTTCACGAAAAGAATTTGCTGAGCAATTTGGACAAGACTCATCTCGTGACTCTCAGTACCAAGCGAACATCGCGCTAGCGGGTAGGTGCCGCTGAAGAACAGATGTAAGGCGATGCGCAGAGGTGGCTCATGTGTTGTACGCTACGGTGTTACTTCTCTGCAGCTGCCGGTTCTTCCACTCCAGCGCATCACGGCACACCTCGCCACTTGCGAAGGAACCATCTAGAGGAGCATTCAGCGCGAGCATTAATCTCTCGACCGTCTCCGCTATCTGGTGACATCTCTGCCGGGACCTTCGCCTCGGCGGAAAGAGAGGCCGTTGGCCGTAGCACGCCATCCACACCCCATCGTCCTTCAAATGCAAGCGGTCACCTGCTGACACCGAGAAGCAGCGCAAATAGCAATCGCGCTCCTTTCATCCCCAAGTCTAGCTTTCGTTGACTGTCAAGATCATGCCAGGAGGGATATCCGTCTTGATCGAGAGGCCCAATTTTCGTTGAATTTTAATGGTCGCAAGAGAGAAGTCGCGGTATAACTTGCCTGAGTCTGTGGCTCGCACCTTCTCTGCGCTCAATTACGCAATCCACCACACAGCGATCGACAGTCAGAGTTAGGAAAGAAGGTAGAACCACGTCCGTCTCGCCATTTGACAGCTGCAGGAGCTCGATCTGTCAGATTATTGCCGCCGAGAGCAAGACTCGGACTACATTCTGGATACTGTGACGGAAGTATGCACGAAACACAGCAAATGCATGGCTTTGACGTGACCTGCGCGGTCGATGATCACCGATTTGGGTCAGAAGAGAGTCACAAGTTCAAAGTTCAAAGTCTTGATTCTTGTGGTCTGGACTCGCACTCTTGAGTCAAGAGTCTGCTCTGACTTGTTTGACTTGAGAAGCCTGATGGTTTCGGCATGTGTAGCTGTCGATCACGTGATCGCTCGGACGTGCGATGGTGAACAACGCCTCTTGCTCTTCCGTGTAGCGGACGCATCAGTCAAGAGTCTCCATCCATCTTGGCACTCCTTTAAGACCTTACTCGTGACTATCACAATAGCGCTCCAAAGCTGAGGCCCATCAACGTCGAAAATTGACATCTCTCAAATCTTGTAGGAGCCAAATACATTCCGCGCCACAGCAACAAGTACCAGCCTCGGATTCGTTACCTCGGATTCGTCTGGCGAAGGCGAAATTTGGAGAGAACTTTTGTTGCGCTCGTACTCGTATGAGCAGGGCAGATCATAGACACCGCGGCTGCCTCTCCTCTACAACCTTTCGGCATGGCTGTTCAGCTCACGCAAGCCGAGCAAGATGCGGTTCTTCGCTCTAGGCTGGCCGTACCGGAAAGGGCCCTTCGAAGCCTGATGAAGCGCTTGACTTCCGTTGCTGCTCCTCTGCCTTCCAACGAGGGCGCCTCGAGTAGCGTCTCGATCGAAGATACGACGATGGCGGATGTCAGTGAAGAAGCTGCGACCGAGGATGTCGAGCTACGGTGAGTGGTGCTCGTGCGGCCAAACTGCTATGATGCAGCCATGGTCTAGGTACGTCATGCTAGTCGCCACGGCTGCTTGCTGACATTGTGCCACACCTGTTCGCTATTCTCAACGATTAGAGCCACGCAATTAATAGCGCTCAAGACCGATCTTGCCGCGTACGTTGCCAGTCTGATCAGATCATCGAAGGTTGCGAGGAATACATGCACGGCGGAAGTCGAAAGTTACGAGGAAGAGGCGCACCAAATCCGTGAGCTTTGAAGAGATGGGTCAAGAGGCCCGAGGGAGAGACGATGCAAGCTCTTATCGGCTGTGATGATAAGCTGACAGAGCTCTAGCGGGGCGCTTGACTTGCAGAGGAGGAGCATGAAGCTGATACGAAGAGGATTGAGGAGCTGAAGAGGGAATTGGAAGAGGCTAGAAGGGAGAGGGGCAACAAGTTGTTGTACGATCAAGTGGTCGAGCGTATGGGCAAGATGGACAGTCGAAAAGGCTATGCAGAGTGAGCAGACAGGAACATCAGCCGAAACATCAGCAGGCTGAAGCTCGGACTTTCTGAAATACGCTGACCTTCCGGACAATCTCAGATCGCTCGCCAGTCTTCGCGCTCAGATCGTAACGCTGGAGAAGCGCAACGAACGACTGTCCACGCTGTCTAAATCGTCCAAGGATCAATTCGAGAATATCGTCTCGCAGATGAACTCGCTTGGCGAGTCTTTACGAGGCGTCAAGACGAGTGGAGCGTTGGGCTCGGATGAGGAAGAGATTGAATCCGATTCGGAGAGCAGTGCAGCTTCTGACGCGGGCGAAGGGCCTGAAGATCCCTCGAGCGGACCGACAAATTCCAAAGCGGGTGCTGTTTTGGGTAGTAAGAGAAGCTTGAACCCGGCTGCCACTTCATTCACTCCAGCACGTCCAGCTTCGTCGTCTTCGGCGTCTGGCGAGAGGAAGAGAGCCAATGCGGAGAGTGGGGAAAGTCGTAGCGCGAGGAGAGCAGGCACTACCTCTGCTGTGGTCGATGATGCACGGAAGCGACGAAGAGGTGGGACCTCTACGCCGTTGGCTGCGTCGACCAGAGCAACGAGCGTAGAAGAAGGCGAGGAGGAGGAAGGAGCAGTCTGAGCCTGAAGACTTCAACCAGGAACATCTCGTCCCTTTGACGCACCAGATGTTGTAATATAGAGCCATTGATGATACGACGCAAGTATTACAAACACGCCAACGTTGATAAACAAAGATTAGACAGATGGTGACGTGAAAGGGATGCACGCTTCGCTGGATTTTTAGGGCGTGCGCCAGGGCAACATCTATGATACATGAAGGGAACGATTTCTTTCCAGATAAGACCAGCGATCTACGCATCATCGCCAGCCTGAGCCATGCGCACCTTCTCAACAAATCCTCTCCACCTCTCCACAAGAGTACAGACCTTCTCAAAGCCGTCAAGTACCGCTCCAGCTCTGTTCGCGCCTCCTCTCAACGCATCGCACGAATCCACAAGACATTTCTTGGGAACCATAAAGATTTCTCGATGCTTCGTTCCGCAATCTTTGCACGACTCTGATAGCTTTGTGCAGCCGTCCAGCTGCAAGAGCGAGAGGTGTACGAGATGTTCCCACTGCCATAGATATGTTGTGCGTGGAGCGTTCCTCTGTCAGCTCTTGAATACTTCCCTTCGAGATACTCGTTTGCTGCGAGGCAAAGCTTTTACGCACCATGTGGCTGCCATGAATGCCTTGTTGCGTTGGTGCTGAAGCGCCAGAAATGACGCCTTGAGATGCGTTGCTCGGGAAAAACGCTCTCAAGACTGAGCAAAGAAGATTTATGGGCGAAGTTGTGAATGGATGAGTCAGACAATGGCGTGTCGCTATCAGCTCCGGAAATCCCGCGCTTCGATGCTTCGTTTCGCCCAACACGTAGCTGCTCACCTGGATCCTTGCTTCCGCATTGCTCTCTCCACTGACCGATCCTTTCAAACACTCTCGCCGCTCTGCCAACTTTGAAGCAATACTTGTCCCGCGTGTCTCTATCTCTGAGGGAATAGATGTACACGTAACCCCTCTCCTTCATGTCCGAAGCGGACATTGGTCCTCCCATGATCGCTCTGATCTTGGCCGATGTCGAAGCGTGACTTTTGAAGTTCGCAGAGGATGCCGATGCGGATATTGACGACGGATGCACCTCTGGAATGTAAAGCGAAAAGGGAATGAAAGTTGTTCGAGATGCCGACGTGCAAAAAGGGTCTGGAACGAAGAGGTGTATCCCAGTAGCCTTGTTGATCTCCTTGACGTGCTGATGACAGAATTCTGCTCGATACGTATCTCTTTCTACATCCTGCTTCGTGCGCTGTAGCTCACAGCTCGGCAAAGTGTCCATTTCGGTTTCAGAATCCGAAATGACGATGGGCGCATCTTGCCTTCCCGTCTTCGCATCGGGTTCATCTCCGGTCCGCTTGACAGGCGACGCGCTCTGTGTTCTCGACCTGCTGGCACTCGTTCGGCCGCTAGGCTGCTTGGAGGGCGGCTTGGCAGTCCCAACCAACGACGTTCGAGCTTGGCCCACTCTCCTGGTGCATCTCTGACCATCCTTGCGAATACCTGCACATTGTCCAGGAAAGCCCTTGAGGACAGGCGCAGCGTCCTTGTTCGCGCTGGAAGGGCAGGCAGCCTTTTCATTGCGGTCAGGATTTGACAATGAAGTCTTGCCCGAGCTCGGACCGGCGAGACCTGGCTGTAGAAAGTCGGATTGCGGAATAGGATGAGGCCCGGCTGGATGGAGCACAGGTGGGTGTGGCGCATTGATGTTACGATCTGGCTGACTGTTGGAGGCATCGACACCATCCCATGGATTGGGAAATGCCAGCCTACCATGCGCAGTGCCCAGGATGGGCGAGTTGTACGCAGCGTGTCCATTCAGACTGACTCCGGCAGCGGGTGAGAAATCGGGCAACTGGGATTGATGCGTTGCTGTGCTATAAGGAGTGGGCTGCGGAAAGCGGATGTGCATACTCGAAGATGTCGAAGGTATCGAATGCTCCGAGATGCGCTGATCAAGCAGCAGGGGTGGTCTAGGCAGCGGATGTGTCTCCTGATCGGCGCTACAGCCTACACCCGCATGCACCGGCCGAGGTCGAGACTGGACGCCAGGCATCGGAGCCGGCCATTCTGATCCACCGTGTGATGCCGCTTTTGGGGGCACTTTTGGCGGACGAATCTCACTTTCCTCGACTGGCCGAGCACCAGGTCGGTCCCTCTCTCCATCAATACGCGTCTTTCGCAGGGCTCTCGCCAGATCAGAAATGAAGCTTGGCATCTTCGTCTAGGGGCGGCGGAACGCTCATCGCCGCCATCAGCGTAGCATAGGGGGAGAAGGGAGTGTCTTCTGCAGAACCTGACAGGAGTTCTGCACAAGGTCAGACAGTCTGGGCGAGGAAGCGTACATGCATGCACTGCCACTGTCTCGTCGTCCACTCGATCGCTCCCAGATGGCTCACCGATGGAGCTGTCGATCACCTTCAACGATGCAAGCCTTGGCGTTGCGACTACGCCAAGATCGACACAGAGAGGGATGCCAGGTCTTGTAGGGAACGGCGTGCGATGAATGCAGTGATCGATTTCGCTGCGCTTCAAGTTGTCCGCAGCTTGCTGTTGCATGTGGAGAGGACGGAGGAGATGCGGATCGGCCTTGTGCGCGTTGGAACAGCAACGCGCCACAATCCCCTCACCTGCAACGCAACACCGCCACGCACAGATCAAAAGAGGATTCAACGCACGGCATTCAGCATTCCTACATCCGCCGCGGCTCGATGAAGCACAGCAGACACATTCCACGTGATTGTGATTGTGAGCAACGGAGTACCGCATCATCCACTCACACTCATATGATAGGACTCTGACTCAAGACTCGAGGCTGTAGCGCAAGGCTGACTCTATCGATCCTTATTCGCATGCATCCACCCGGCCCCGACGACTCGTCGAGGCCCAGATGTACGATAGGCCCCCAAATCAATCAAATGAATCTGATGATACTCACGCGCACACAATTCAGAACGCGTAGTATCACGTGCACGCGATGCTGGCCCATAGCAGCGCGCCCTCAATCCAACCTAGCTGACTTCACCATTCGCGGTTCAAGTTTCAGATTCACCAAAATTGAAGACATGGGACTCGCACTGGTAAATCCTCTGAGCATCGCCAGTCACTTGATGAACCGTGTAGACGAAAAGTGAAGAGCTGAGGCGATTCGAATGGTCATTGAGTCATGTCATTGCATTAGATTGCCCTGAGTAGACTCGAGTCGATGTGCTGCTGCAAGCGCTCGCAGATGGGCTCTACATTGTCTGTCCAACGCGTTGATGGACATGGCATCGCACACGACAGAGGATGTTGCAGCGAAAGAGGTCCTCCTCATATCTTGTCGAGCGGTCGATTGAAGCCTGAAAGGGTGGGCGAGAGGCGTGTGGACGTCAGCATTGCTTGCGTGTGGGAAGAGCAAGTGAGCTTGACGGGTGTTGCTCACCTCCTTGCCTGTTCATGTACTGCCTCCAACTCCTCTCCTTTCGCACATTTGCCGCTCCTTCCGCATTACCAGCTACATGCTTGCCCTGCGGTGACGGGAGCAGAGAAGTCAATGAGGGCATCGAGCCAAGCGTAAAGAAGCGCACGCTCGGATGCATGTCTTCACAACGCACCTTTGTTGAACCAAAGTTGCCGAAGCCCTGCGGCAGAGTCCCCAACAAGCTCGTGTCAGCGCAGACAGCACGCCTTGACGACATAGGATCTACAGCCTGCCAAGCTCCCTCGCGACTCACCATGGCAGCCATCATGGCCTGCTCATCCTCTCCCACTTCAACCTGCCCCGCATTCTGCTCTGCGCCACCATCCACATACCCAGTTGCGCTGCTTCTCTTCCCCTTGCCCGACCTCGAGGTGCCTTCATGCTTGCGATCCAGCTCTTCCTCCCGCCTTTCTCGGTGTGCTCCACCAGCATTGCGATCCCGATCTGATTCCCGATCGTACTCGCGATCAGCGCGTCTTGCACCGGACCTGGATACCGGGCTCCTACTCCTCCGATCGCTTCTTTCATCTTTGCCGTGACGAGCATCTCTAGCAGACGCATGCCTCTCGTCTTCTCTTCTGCTGCTACCATATCCTCTCTCTTCTTCCCTCCTGCTGGAATACCTCTCCCCGCCAGCGTACCTCTCGTCCCTCCCTCTGTCTCTGTAATCGTCCCGCTCGTACTCTCTTCCACTTCGACCTCCGTAATCCTTGTCTCGAGAGCTGTAGGATGGATCGTCATAATCGCGATAGCCCGCTCTGTGCGACGAGGCAGGCAGAGGCTCTCGCTCGCGCGCCCGATAATCCCGCCTGTCATCCCTCGATGATCGTTCAGGGCGACCATAGGGATCGGATCTGGAAGAGTAGGACATCTTCCTTCGCGTGCAGGGTCGCTGTGAAAGTTTTTCGACGCTCAAACGTTGACGACGACTGAGACGGACGCTATCTTCATGAGCGCCATGCAGAGGAAAGAATGGTAAGGAATGCCGACTTCCCCGGGCGAGTGGATCGTTGCCCTTCAGAAGAGGTGCCGTATCCAAGACTCGCGACTAACTCGGACTCAAGACTGGAGGTGAGTGAGTGAATTCACGATTGTGAGGCGGAGCCATGCATGCACGCATGCAACCTCGCGGCCGCCGAGAGGCTCATCAAGCATTCGCAGCAGTTGAGTTGAATTGAATTTTGAGTGCGCCAGAAACGCGCCTTTGCGCGCGCGCGACGCGTGCTCGCGCACGCATACATCCGTCCCATGCACTCACGAGTGCCAATCTCTTTTGACACCAACAAACACTCAAGACTCTCTCAAATTGTGACTGGTGTGCCCCTTGCGGCACTAACAAATGACTGCCCCTCTGAGCGCTCAGACTCACCTTTACTCAGCACTCAATTTCTATCAGAGACGTCGCCAGCAGCGCATCTCAAGAGGTTCGAGCGGCACAACAGCATGAGTGGACTACGAACCATGAAGCGAAGCTGGTCCGGCAACGCAGAAGATCTAGGAGAATCGGAAGTCGTGTTCCTGCGCACGAGTCAGCAGGCATCGACCTCCAACCCGAACCTGCAACCGATCGCCTCAGGCTCCCAATCCGCCAAGACCAACACGCCAAGACAGAAATCTGGTGACCCTTTGGGGTTGTTACCTTCTTCGGAGATCAAACCTGCTGCTGCGAGCTCTGGAGTACCTATCGAGTGGTCCCCAACCCCTTCTCCCATTCTTAATCAGCGCACTCTGGACAAAGTAGCCAAGGATTTGACAAATCGGATGGATGGTGAGTAGAAGTCACGCAAAGCGTCGCTTCTGCACGTGCTAAAGCTGTACAGAGCGTATATATGCCCCATGTCCGTGTCTCCCACTGTTGCTCAGCTGGGCAAGAGGAGCGTCCTGAGGCCGCCTCGAAGGGACCCAAGAGACGCAAAGGCGAGATCAAATTTGGGGCGCCTCGCAAGCCCAGCAATGATGCGAAGCGAGATTCTGCCATCGAGAGCAACGCGTCGCAGCAAGACGAAGCATCCTCCAGTCGCTTTATCCCTTCCATCTTTAACAAATCGGCCGCTCAATTGAGAGAGGATAGGAAATCGGCGGGGATGAATCCGCTTCATCGTAGTGGATCTACTAGCTCGGACGCGTCTGGGGTGCGGGAAAAGAAACCAAAGCTTAGCAAGGTATTCTTGAGCAAGGAGCAGCAGATGATCTATCAATTGGTGGTGGATGAGGGAAAGTCTGTATTCTTCACGGGTAGCGCAGGTGAGTATCCGAGCTAGCTTTCAATATGTGGAATGCAGAGAGCGCTGAGGAGATAAATCCTTTTGAACAGGTACTGGAAAGTCGGTCTTGCTCAGAGAAATCATTGCGGGGCTCAGGCGGAAATTTGCAGCCAAGCAACAGCAGGATTGTATAGCCGTGACGGCCTCGACAGGTATTGCTGCTTGCAACATCGGTGGTGTCACCTTGCACAGCTTTGCCGGAATCGGACTAGGGACGGATCCCACACCTGTCCTCGTGACGAAAATCAAGCGAAACAGGAAGGCAGCAGGACGATGGCTAAGGACAAAGGTTCTCATCATCGACGAAGGTGAATTAGCGCGGTCCACGGACATGCTCCAGGAAGCATCGTCGGCTGAGCCGAGCATTTCCACCTCTACAGTGTCCATGATCGATCCTGCATTATTTGACAAGTTGGAAGAGGTAGCGAGAGCGATGCGCAAATCGCCAAGGAGCTTCGGTGGCATCCAGATCGTCGTCACTGGCGACTTCTTCCAGCTGCCGCCCGTCGCGAAGAAAGGCGAAGCGACGCGTTTTGCGTTCGAGGCCCAAAAATGGGACGAAGCCATCACGCACAAGGTCAATCTGACACAAGTGTTCAGGCAAAAGGATGAGAGTGAGTCTATCGAGTTGACGCTTCTGCTCTTTCCATTCTCAGCCGTCACACACGCGGCTGACCCGTTCGCGCGTAGCCTTCATCCAAATGCTCAATGAGATGAGATTCGGTCGCATGTCGGAGGATACGATCAAGCGATTCAGGCAGCTTGATAGGAGGCCGCAGGCTCAAGTAGGTATCACGCCCACCGACCTCTTTCCCATGCGCCACGAAGTCGAGCGAGCCAACACTGGTCGTTTGGACGCCCTGCGACAACCGTCCAAAGCTTTTAGAGCTCTGGATGGAGGCTCTTTACCTGAAACAGAGCGGGCGCGAATCTTGGATAGCTTCCTTGCTCCTCAGGTAGTCTACCTCAAAGTCAATGCGCAGGTCATGCTGATCAAGAATACCGACGATGTACTAGTCAATGGTTCGATAGGCAAGATCACCGGATTCATGGACTGTGAGTGGCCCGCTTTGCACTGACGCTGACCTGACCTTAGCAAGTGCGGCTGCTCATGCACTCGATGATTTTCTTCTTAGTGAGCGAATACAAATCGCGTATTTCTGCAGGACAGGATTTAACCAAGACCAAGAAGGACGGGAGCGTGGACCTTGTGAAGGACGAGATTGCGGAATCGACGGAGTTCAAGGGTGCCATCAAGCCAGGTGCTGCCGGATCGGTCGCTGGTGATCGGTCCAGGTCCACTTCTCCCGTCAAGACTCCAGCTCCGGGTCAACAATTTCCACTCGTCAACTTTGTTGTGCCAGGCGGCGTGCGGGCAGAATTGGTCATACCAGAGACTTGGAAGAACGAGGATTCGATGGGTACCGTGCTCGCATCGAGGACGCAAGTGGTGAGTTGGACCGTGTATGTCACCCTATCTGAGCAAGCCATGCTAATGCTGGTATGATCAAACAATCGTACACCTCTTGCAGCCTCTGATACTTGCCTGGGCCAGTAAGTATGAAAAGGATGGCTGCGGGTGGGCGACAGGACGTTTGCTGACTGACTTTGTCCTCGATTTCGTCGTGCGCAGTGTCAATACATAAAGCGTGAGTGGCACATCGTCTAAGACGGGATACTACCTGCACAGCTTCTGACTTCTTTCTCTTGCCTTGAATCAGTCAAGGTCAGACTATTTCATGCTGCAAGGTAGACCTGACAAAGACGTTTGAGAAGGGTGAGTCCGACAAGTACATGCTTTTGCGGTGCGCCTCTCGGCCTCGATGCCCCTTGCCAGCAGCTTATGCTTCGTTGTCTGATATTGCTTGACAGGCCAAGCATACGTGGCCATCTCTCGCGCAACATCCTTGGAAGGCCTGCAAGTGGTGGGCTTCAAGCCTGAAGCTGTGAAAGCTCATGACAGAGTCATTGAATGGAGCAAGACGCTCAATATACTAGCTCCTTCTTGAATGGCATCACTTCCCTTCTCGGACGATGCGAATGGCTTCGACAAGTCCGATGAGATTGTTGCGACAAGCTCCTCGGAGCCATTAGTGCATCGGCCTTAGAAGAGCATCCCGTCTCGCAATGGGTTGGGCTACATCCATCATCATGCGCTGTGGACTGGTGCCCCTTCAGCCGTCGCGGCGCTTCGAGAGCCGTTTGTCGGGTCGCACAGCAGGTGCGGAGCTGCACACGTGGGACTAGGTCTCCTCTTCATCTTAGCGATGCTCGATACCGACCAAGGCGCCCGACTGTCACAGGATCAGACTGATTGGGAATGGGCTGTGCCTTGGGCGCAAAAGATTGCTCTCAGACTCACATCTTTGCGGCTTTCGTGAAAGATCGAAGGTAGAGGCGTAAGTGAATGGGTTTTACGACTACCAATCAGTCCTCAAAGCTTGAATCCCAAAGTCAAGAGTCAAGGGTCAGCGAGTATTCGTGATAGTCGTGATTCAAGATTTACAGATTCAAGGCTCCGGGTGGGGTTTCCTTTGCGTCTGGACCAAAGAATGGTCATCACGTGATGCGTGTCTTCGACGCGTGAGTCGCATGCGCGCAAAATACAAAGTGGCAGGCGCATCGAGCATATGCCGTGCAGCAGCTAGGCTAGGCATGCAGCAACACGCACCACTCACCACTCGCCATCCACACTCGCGCACGCACTTACATTCATCCAAGCATTGATATCGATCTCCCAGTCCTCACTGCAAATTACGCTGCTGCACCCGATAACTACGACTTGCTGCTCAACATTGGCAGCGAGCAGATTCAAGTGGACCTTCGTACCAAAGTTGCCGAGGACTCGTCCATCGCGCCAACAGCTCGGGGCACGCTCTTTGCTCTTTGCAAGCACGAGTCTGCCACAAGCTTCATTTGTCAGCCAGCGCGACGTTCAAGGCTCGAAGCCTTTGCTTGCAGGCGCATATCATCCAGGAATATTGGTGCAAACATTCTTCTCATCCGCTCCACCTCGAGCTCCTTGATCGATTGATACTCCTTGCACGTTCATCGGCTCATTAACATGCGTCTAGCACCACGCGCCACCTTGAAGCGTTTGATCCGCTCCCACATCTCCTCTTATCGTCTAAACAAGAACGTGGATATTCTAGCCTACCTGGCCTTCCTCTTATGGTTGCGCAAATTGGCAAATGAGAGCAGATTGGAGATGCAGCTTGAGGCGGGAATGGGTGGACCTGTCGCCGGAAGGATTATGGGTGCTCGACATGTTAGGGCTGCTAGGAGGCGCGCGAGGGGATAAAGGAGGACGCTTCCAGCATACGTGCGTCGGAATGTCATCAAGACTGATATCGACGGGGTCCTCCCAGTCGGCGCATGGACGAACACTCAGCCCCGCATCATCAGAAGCGACGCAGTTTCAAGCCCCCTCTCCGGGCCTCACGGCATTCCACCATCGCTGCTCGACCCTCGTCTCAACCAAGCCGAAGCGATCTGTGATGCCAACGACGCTTGCTATCCACAGCATCACCATGAGCACCCTGATCTGAAACTTGTGCCCACAAGCATCCCATGTCGCAAAACCTTTGGCTAAAAAATCCTCCCGATGCAAGTGCTACACGACATCGCGCTCGCTTCTGCTCGGAACGCAAACAGCGGTCAGACTTGGCGCGAATGGCAAATCTCTTTGAGCCCTTGTCGAGCATCATGAGCGGTGTATTCGCTCCGCCTGGTGCACTGAGCGCCGCTGATGCCTCTTCACTGGTGAACCCTCGCGCCTTACCTTTCTCGAAGAAGGACATTGCCGAATGAGCAGTAACAGCCATCTCCGTCCTGTCCTTCCTCATCACGGTGTGTCTCTCATTCGCGCTCTCCTGAGGCTTCACCGCCTCGGACGTGCAATCTCTGTGCACACGAAATAGCTCGTCCATGCATGCCTTGATCACTTTTCTGCGGACCCATCTCGAATTGCGGGTACCGAATCGTGAATTGAATTGGGTATTTGCAGATTGGTCAAGAGGATGGAGGACACGTACACAGAAGATGGAGAGCTCGGACAGATCATTGTCCTGTCGAGCAGATGAAAATGAGAAAGACTTTTCGTAGAAGAGGATTGACGGCGCGAATGTCAGATGTCCGATGGCTGGAGATGTGAAGTGCAAGTCGGCTGTACCAATGAATGTCGGAGCCAGCAAATACCCTCAATCTTCGGCTTCACTCTGATGCGGAGCGTGTTGCCGCTCGTACAAATTTGCAAAGGCTCTCTGTAAGGGCAAGATGAAAGGCACGTGCAAAGAACCTGTCAGCGTTCAATCGCGTAACGCAGCAAGTAATACTCGAGCGTACTCACGTCAGCATACATGTTGATATTGTCTTCGCCCATCTCTTCACAGCTGGTGTAGAGCCGCCTGATCAGGTCCCGCATGGTCCATTGATCAATCGTGATGGTTTTAGGGCAGGCCAGCTCCATGCTCAAAAGCTCCCTGATCGTAGCTCTCTTCTTGGCGTCCCAGAGCAGAGACTGTCTCATGCTCTCGATGAGCGGAGGCTTCACATCTCCAACCTCACTTCCGTTATCGTCCCTTCGCTTGTTATCGAATGGGATTTGATGGTTCACATCGCAGATAGCGGCCAGCTTTCGATCGGATCGAATGGCGTCGAACGGTGGTCGACCATACACCATCTGGTACAAGATGCATCCCAAGGACCACACGTCTGAAGGCTTGCCAGCTTTGTATGTCCTCTTCGCCCTGTCTTCGGAGGCTAGGCTGACGCCACGTTGCTCGTGCGCAAAAATTGTCTCTGGCGCCATGTAATTTGGCGTGCCGATAATGTTGCTGCGGGAAATGTGCACCGTTCCGATCGGTATTTTTTGAGCGATACCAAAGTCGATTAGCTTTAGTCGATCGCCTACGACTAGGAAGTTCGCTGGCTTGAGGTCTGTATGCACTAGCCCTGCTTGCACGTGAATGAATTGCACTGCTTCGAGCATCTGCACCCAATACCGCGCAATCTCGGTCGGTGGCAGAGGCCCTTGCTTGAGGACAGTGCTGAAGTCTCGATCGCCGACCTCGATAAGCTGTGTTTGGAGAGTAGAGTACAGAATTGATACGTTCAGTCCCACAAGCTTTTCGAGGACACTATTCTTATACACGACTCACAATTTTGAGCGCGCTCGAGCTGCTCTTGTGTCCAAAGTAGCGAAGTATGTACTGTTCGTAGCCCGGCTTCTCTGCCAAAGCCTGGAGCGTCTCCACCTCTCGGAGTAGATCGACTCTAGATTGAGGCTCCAATCTCTTCAAGCTGATGTGCTTCATCGCGAACAGTGCCGTCTCGTCTTCGGCAGCAGGTTCAAAGTACGTGCCGTCTTCGCTGGCCCTCTGCATAGGACCTCTCACAGCCCACACGCTGCTGAAACCTCCGTCGCCGAGGCGTTGTAGCTTTTTAAACTTGATACCGCGGAACTGAGGTGGAGATCGGTGATCGTTGCTCAGCTTCGCCGCGTTCAATACGAGGCAGTCGAAATCACTCACGCTAGTTTCCTTGCATTCGGCGAGCGATTTTCCGTTTCTCCTTTCCATGCTGAAGTACCTGTTGCCCGCATCTTGTTGTCGTCGGATCTCCAAGTCGACGGCATCAGGGTACCTAGCTCTATCATGCTCTTCCAACTTGATGCGCAAAAGATCATTCTCATCCAGCTGTTCGTGTTCATCCACTTCTGCGTCGAGGGTTGGCGCGACGACGTCTTCCATGGCGCTCGGACGCAAGGCAGATGGTGCTCGCGATGCAGCAAGTATTTCGTCCTCCTGATGTCTGGAAGACGTGCGAGCCGCCTGTGCAGGGGCAGAAACGTACCGTTTGGCTCCTTCAGGCGGTCGCGGAGCAGCTCGCTGATCGGCTGGTCTAGGCGCGATGCCTACCCCCACTCCTTGGCGGGGTAGATTGGGCATAGCTTTGCCGAGCACGCTCTGCCTTCGAGCAGCAGCAGGATGCATCTCAGACCTGGCTGGAGCTGGCGGATGTTCTGCTACGGCAGTGCCCTGGGACGCGATCGCCTGGCTTCCGGAATGCTTGGATCTGAGTGCCTCCATGTCGTCCGCTTCGCCTTCTTGCTCGTCCTCTTCATCTGCTCCCAGCGTGACTTCGATCTGGGGCTCACCAAGTGGCGCATCTGCCCCGTCTTTATGGGTTCCTTGCCTGCTGTGATGCCTCTCCGAGCCTAGCCTGCTCTCGGGTCGGGACGTGCGGCGAGGGTCGGTGGCGGGGCTGTATGGTCGAAGCGCGCCCTGTCGATCAACTGGTGAGCTACTCAGCTCTCGTCTTGAAGATGTAGGCCGTTGAGCTGCAGCGCCCACATCGTGCCCGGGGTCCGCCTCCGAAGCGGACCTTGCTTCCTGCGGCGAGTCGGAGCGCGAAGCTGATGATTCCACCTCTTCTGGCTCCGGCGCTAGCATAGCCACCGGAACCCTCCTAGCTGGGACGTGTGTGGAGCTGGCTCGCCCTGCGCATGAGCAAGGCGGATGGTCAGATGCCAAGGAAGGCTGCAATCTCGCGAATGAAGCGACTCACCATTAGTGCGCAAATTTCTAGCGGTGCTTCGAGGGGGATTGGTCGGTCTCAAAGTGCTGGCAGCAAGAGCGGACCCAGCTCTATAGCTCCGAGCATGAGCCGGAGTCTCATACGCTGTGCCTGTGCCTACATGGGCGGCTTCCCTTGCCGCTACCTCCCTTGGAGAGCTGCTGTCTACTCGCGGGCTCTGCTTAGATCGATCTGATCCGTCACTAGTGCGACGCGAAGGAACCACATTCTCGTCAGGTGGCGAAGAAGCGCCGGCCGCGGTGGGCGAGGGACTCTGATTGCCGCGCAGTCGACTATCTAACGGACGCGCTGTCGACGCTCGCTCGTGCCGATCAGACATTGACGCAAGCATCGAAGTGCCCATAGAAGAGACCCGACCATGCCTCGAGCTTACGCCTGAGAGCGGGATTTGCGCCTCTGAGCCCCGCGCTGAAGTTTCGTCCATCCCAGATCGTGGATTGGAGTATGCGCCGTTACTGCTACGATGAGAGCCTAAAGGAGGGCGCGAAGCATGCGACGTGCTCCGTGCGTGTTTATATCGCTCCTCGTCATACGCGTCCGCCTTCTCACTTGGAGCTCCCATACCCAGAAGACCTCCCAGACTCCGACCATGAGCTGAGGTCCTCCTCTCCAAATTTCTTGTGCCGAGTCTGCTGCCCAGATCTTGTCTTTGTCCTTGGTGTCCATCCCTCCAAGCTTGACCTGCCGGAGGAGTGTTTTCAGCACTGCTACTGCTTGCTGCGTGCCGCAGGCTTCCAGCGCTGGAGCGCACCCTCTTGGGTTCCGGACTGGAGGATCCCGATCCGTTGAGCGCATTGGCTTTGTACGCTCTCGCCATAGCCTCGTCGATGTCCCCCCTACCTAAGTGGTCGCCGCCTGCCAGTCTCTCCCCCAGTATGGCAGCACCTCGGGGAGCTGCATCCTCTTCTTCCTCCTCCTCTTCGTACTTTGGCCCGTTGCCCATTCCTGCAACACCACCGCCTCCTAGCCTTGCAGTCATTGAGGGCGGGGCAGGCAGAGGCGAATCCTCCTCGAGTGCAGGAGCGGCACTTGCGATGCCACCCACGTACTTTCGGGGAGTCGATGGGTCGACAAGGTCAGTCTGGCGAGTCGAAGTGTATGCGCTGGGCAGATTAGATGTATCGCCCAGCGGCCTTCTCGCTGTCGCTGCCATGGTGCAAGCGCAGCCTTGGAGGTGGTGGATGCGACTTGAGTGAGGAATTGCGTCCACTTTGACCAGTACACGGTGCCGTCGCGAGTCTGAGCGGTCTCCAGACTGAATGACTTAGTCGGCTGGATTGTTTGGCGATCGTGTTGAGGTGAAGCGGTAGCAATTGTAGAAGCCTTGCTGAGCGCTACTGGCAGCGATGAATGGTGAACGTGATTCGCTCGAGCGAGCAAAATGTCGACTTTCTTCTGCGGGGCGAAAGGACGCTGATGAGGGAAGCCTCAACGATCACCGCTGCTGTAGCCCTGCTGTGACTTCTTGTGACTGTTTGCCCACTGACAACCAGCATGCACCTGCTGCACGGACTACGAGGTAGACGTGCATTCAGCTGCATCAGCAGCATGGCAACGCAACAGCTGCACAGTCAGAGTGTACATTTGTAGGTGGCCATCTCTTTGCATGGCAGGCAAGCATCACTCGTGACTCTTGACTGCTCAGCAGCAGGGACGCGCGTGATCACACCGCGCGCGCATAGAGAACAACACAGAGCAGCCAGCACCATGCGCGCGCAATCAGCAAGCATCGCACACGGCGCCATTCCATCCTTGATCGTCACCTCGGCTGGCGATCATTCGACCCCGGCGATTTTCCTCAGCAGGACCGCTCGAGCTCTCTCTCACTCCAGATAAACAGCCTATTGTGCTTGATAAAGATCAAGAAGGTATGTATATGGGTACGCTTTCGTGTCATCTCGCCATCACAGCTTGGTCGAAGCATAGAAGGAGTCCCATACATGCAGCTCTGATGAGCGACGCTGAAACAAGCTCCACACGCGCCACGCTCGCGAGATCGACGCGTTGTCAAAATGGATCACGTGACAAATCTCAGCCTTTCCTCCATGCCGCTTCAGGTCACTCAGACTCACGCGCACACGTCGGTCGGCGCATACAAGCCTCGCTAGTCGCAACTTCTTCTGCCACGCCAGTCACCAGAGCTGAGACATCCTACACCTACCAGTCAAGAAGACCGGTGTGCACCTCGTGCAGCCTAGGGTCGCCTCAACAAGGCGCAGCCATGTTCGCCCACTACACCACACAACGTTTATTTATTGTAGAATCGAACATTCATCCAACAATTCCGATGTTGTGGAGCCGTTCTTGTTGGGCATGCTGCAAAGATGGCCCCTCGACGCCCATCGCGAGTCGTGCGGTAGCGAAAAGCACCACGCTCGTGTGCATCTTTGGCCCACTTTGCGAAGCGATAGGCACAAATGGCGCGATGCCATATCGTTAAAGGAAACCAGTCTCATTGCTTTGGCGTGAACCGTCTTGCAAATCGCCGTTGCGATGTGCGGCGCTCTCCTCCGAGTGCAAAGGCCTCACATTGAGCGAGGACCGTTGGAGCGGATGGTCGCGCTTGGGCCCCTACCGGTACAAGATGCTCATCGCGCGGTGAAGCACGACCCCCTCGGAGTGCTAGGCTCTTCGGGAGGCAGCGGGCAAGGCGAAGTCCCGACTGCGATCCTCCTGTAGCACGAGCCGCTTCATTTCGCTCGCACCCGCCGAAGACCGATCAACCAACGAGTGCGGCATCTTCTGAGCGGGTTTGAGCCATGGACTTTCCACAGGGGGGCCTCGCACGGTGCTTGTTGATCAAGGCTCGAGAGATTGGACAGGAAGTATGGACAGTATCGCGCGTGCACGCATCGAAAGAAGTCAATACTGAAAGGCTCGTTGCCTCCAGTCTTGGGCTCAGGATCGCTGTTGGAAAGAATGTCTACGCAATAGTCGGATTATAGAGTAGCATATGATTGCTACCTCCGGCTTGAGAGGCTACCACCACTACGGCGCAAGAATCGCTGATGCCCAATGATTTTTCGGTAGATTGCTCCATCACTATCCAAGAACCATAGGAGGCAGCCGCTCTTGCTAATTCGACTATTCAGGGAAGTTGAGGCGGTTACCGCGCAACACTCAGAGCTGCTGCGAGATCGGCCTGCCGCGTGGTCTCGCCGGTTAGCCCTGTTTTCTTACTCCGGACGCATCGCCACCTCATTTGAGCGCCTCACGTTTTGGCAGTCATGCAGGAAGCCCATTCGCCGACGAGAACCGGGGTCAAGGTCGCTTGGTCCGATAACACGCGCTCTCAGGGACCGTTCAACTTAGTGGCAAGCTCGCTGGCTGGCCCGAAGATACGCAATGCGTCTCATCGAAAGCTGTCTGTTTCCCTCGACAGCGTTCGGGCACGCGGAGCACCGGTTGAGTTTCCTGGCTCATTCCCTCCAACGCCACATGATCCGCCCCATTCTGCTCGTGATGCATCTGTCGCAGCCCAGCCGGAAACCTCTTGGTCGGATCGTCACCGTTATCCGTCTCTTCTTGCCGAAATGTTTACTGCAGGCAGCGATACGCTTGAATCCAGTGCTGCTCCGGCGTCACACGCGCTCGAGAGCTCGCACGAAGACTTTCTGAATGGATCGTTGGGATCGCGCAGGATGACATCTCGCCATGGAGCATCTCAAGATCAGCAAGGTAACACTCTGAGCATCGGCCAAGCCTCCGACCCGCGACTGATTACACCCACAAAGGTGGCCAAGAGTCCGAGTGTGCCGAGGGGGAGACAAGCGCAACTGATGCCGAAGGATGAGATAATGCCCACCTCGCGCCATTTGCTAGCCGAGACTGACGCCCCCTCGACCGGTACATCAGAAGTAAGTACCAGCAGGACGACATGACGATAGCGTGCTCTGCTAAAGATCATCGTGCTTCTGGTCTCTTCCAGCTGGCGCGATTCCTAATGTCCACGGGCCCTCAGGATCACGGTCGGCTCGCGCGACATGGCGCAGGAGCTGACGATGGATTACCGCCCCTGGCATCCCCCGCGGGACATTGGAAGTCGGGTCGTCTGATGTCAAAGCTTTCATCGCGCTTGAATGTGGAAGGCAAGTTCAAATCGAACAAAGCACTGGCAAGCAGTGCGGGAGGGAGTCCCATCGACGATGCGTCGAACTCCTCGGCAGCTTCCACGGAGGCCCAGAATGCCATTTCTCGCGAGTTTGACGCCCAGCTCAACTCTGCTAATCTCATCAAAAAGGTGAGTAGCCGGGTGTATTCCACGGGATCACGAGAGAAACACTTGATTGACCAGTTATTGCGGATTTATTTGACAAGGTCCTGCCGAATGGCACCAGCTTCTTTACCACGGAAGGCCATCGTGCTCCCGCATCCAAAGCAAACTTGGACTCTCGGGCATCCGGTCGCAGCATCTTGCGGTCTGATCCCCCCACACCAAGCGTTCGAACCGGGTCAAAGCGCGACTCTTACCTTCAGCGGAAACCACCTCCCAGCATGATCCCTCGAGTCACGGTCCAACACGAAGAAGGCTCGTCGGCGTCACTCCAATCACTCCATGGCAGAATCAGCAAGGGCCAGTCGCCTACAGAAGGCCGTTCTGCACCGCTCGAGAGGCTGCGCAGCATTCATTCGGTGACGAAACGCAGTTTATCTCTCGCTGGAGCAAGTGCGCGCGCCAGCGGTCTCCTTGGCCTACATGTCGACGAATCGGCCGAGGGCGGTGAGGACGCAATCGAGCAGCTTACAGAGAAGGTCACAACTCCACGCCATGCGATGCTCTCCTCTTTGTCTCCGTCTCGCAGCGATGATGTTAACATTATCAGACAAAGTGCTCGCAATCCCCCCAAACAGCTCCGGAATCAGGCTTCGCACTCAACAAGCATCCTTGCAGATAGTTCCACGAGCGACTCAAACATTGCAACTTCGTCGACTCGTGATACACTGCAGAAGCACGTGCCTCGAAGACGCATGAGTTTACCCAAACGTTTGTCGGGGCCAGAGAGCGCGCTCCCATACCTACCAAAATATTTCTCTGCTAGCGGGCAAGGTTTCTTCGAGCGACGCAAGGGGAGATCAGATCGTCAGAGGTACGATTCGCACGAGGATGTGGGCCCACTACTCTCTCAGGATGTCGCGCCTCTTGCCCGCCATAGAGTGTCCAACGACACTGCCTTGAAGCCTGGTGCCAGAGATTCTTCGACGGGATCTTTGCCAACTGGCTCGCTGGGCATCGTCCAAGACGCGCGCTGGAGAACGGGGAGTCTTCCGCCAAGTTCTGCTTCGTTCCGCTCTTTACAAGTAGGCAGGTCCTCTACTGGGGCACCTATTATTGCTGATGCAAAGCACGGAGCAGGTACATCCAACCAACGCTCCCGTTACCGCAGATCTATCATCTCCTTGCCAACACGAGACCGTGCGCAGAGCTTCGCCGAGGAAAGCACTTTGCCGTACATGGACCCCTTACGAAGCCAAGACTCAATCCGCGAAGACTCTCGTGTGCGCATTGCCAAGGACGCGACAGCAGCAGTGCAAGAGTTCTCCAGACTCAAGAGCGTTCAACCCCTGCGGCAGCCCTTGACACAGTCGCATGCCGTCCTTTCGGGCGCTAGCAGGAAACTTCAGCTTGGTGCTGCTGCTGCAACGGCGCCTCATAGTGACCCGGCGCTGCACATCTCCAATTCAACGCAGATACTTACGCCGCAGAATCAACTCTCTGCCGAAACGTTGAGCGAGAGTCTTGCCACCTCTACACCCATGGCTGCAGTTTCCGAACCTGCCACATCAAACGTCACCGGCAATCTCTCAACCCGCGCCGACCCCGCTCACAGAAGTGAGGCTGATGGCGGCAGTCAGACGATCGTCGGTGACCTGCAGACCAGCAAGGTGTCAAATCTTCAAAAGCATCACTCCGAGTCTCGTCTGCGACCGCGCAGTGGACCGCCATCGCCCCCGTCCGACAGTGTTGCCGACACACTGCGACAATTGGAGGGCTGCGAAGAAGAGATGCAACCCCTTCAGCCCTCAGCTTCTGGACCATCTGGCCCTTACGGATCCGCGGCGCTGCGCGGAGACGGTGCGAAGAAGCAGTCTGCGACTGCGGATTTAGCTTTCAAGTCTCGGACCTCAATGATCGTAGATGGACTGCCTCTCCTGAATGTGGACGATATGGCCACTTCGCGCTTCTCGTGCACGTCATCAGAAGATGCGGTTAGCCTGCACGAAGAGATGGACAGCAGCGATCCAGCTGCTGTCGAATACACGACAGGGAAAAAGATGTCGCTGTACCGCGAAAGTGTGAAGAACTCTGACAGTCGAAAGTGCGCCGAGATTCTGGAACAGCCTGTACCCGCTTCGCCTGACTCTTGGGTCATCGAGAACGAGATCCCTTCCAGACCTGTGGTCGATTCTACGGGACGTGCCCCGTCCGCACCTCAAGATTCGCAAGGCAGCCATGCGCACCCAGATCCTGTCGAGGTGCTCAACGACGGTCGGCAAAGTAAGTCGCGGCCCACATCGCCCGCGGACACCGATATGAGCTGCACGGTGCGGCCTGATCGAAACGACACGAGCCGCGACTTCTCGCGCGTACTGGGATCTTGTGTTGGCGCCGCCAGCAGAGCAAGTGACTCAGGCTCGCTGGAAATGTCGGATGGGGTCGATGGCAGCCCCACAGGACAAGCGCGTGACCACATTGCAGGCTCTCGCCTCAGCTACTCAGGATTGTCTTCCCGCAGCAATGCGTCTTCTTTGTACACGGCGTTGCAGCAAGCGCGCAACGATGCTCTCCTTGCCGAGAGCACAGCAAGGGCATCTTCGGTCCGTTCCCGGCAGCTTGCCAAGCGCTGCGTAACCGTGCTCGAGCGCGTTGCCGAGGTATGCGCGCTCTCGTCCGATGTCAAGCACGCAGCTGATCCAAATCGAACGAGAGCAGCATGGGGAGTAGAGACATATGACCAGGCACAGAGGCTGGTGAAAGACTTGCTTTCGTTCATCGAGGAGATTCCGACCAATCATCGCGAAGTGGCAGCTCGGCGCGGAGTCGACGGCACCGCTCTTGTGATGCACGCTCAACGCGTCAGCACCAGTCAAGCGACGCTGATTCGCTCCAAAGGTCCCATGCGAGACACTGGCGATTCTGCTCAGCAACGCCAAAGATCAACATCAGCCTCCTCATCGGGATTGTCGATAAAGACTGCAAACGAAGTTCTTCCACCATGTCCCACATTACCTCACAGCTCCCCAGAGTCGCCGAGCACACCATTCAAATCTTCAGTCTCTGCCACTTCCTCGCCGATGTCCTCAACGTTCGCGATGCGCCCCTTGTCCCTCTCCAGAACATCTCGCAGCGATCTCTTCTCGCCTACTCGCAAGGCTAAAGAGAGTTCAGGAAGTGCCAGCACGCGCAGCACCAGCAGCACCACTTCTCGCGCCGGCCAAATACCTTCGGGCCTGCCCGGTACGCTCAACGCTTCTCGTTACGTCATGGCACCCGAAGAAGCCGCCTCTTGGTTGCACAATCTCTCACCGATGCCAAGCCCCGACTGACAAGTGTCGTGCGCGACAACGGCGAAGACCATCTCGCACCACACTCGCCCGACTTCTGCGCAATTCAGAGTGGCTCCAACTCGCTTATTCTTGGCGTTTTCCCAACCGACATCTCGTCAGCATGTTCCTCTCCATCAAGAAAAGCAAAGGTGGACTCAAGATCGAGGCAAGCGATGCTGTCTCGTGAGGTCGAAGCCTTGCTGTCCTGTTCCAAAGTGCACATTGCCTGCGTTGCCTCCTCAGCTGCTGCACCACCATCACCATGTCTCAGCGGTTCAGGGCCGGTTCCTTTCGCTGCCGTGACATCTACACGCTCTCTGTAAAGCCTCCAGTAATCTTCCCCTACATCTCGAGCCGATATTCAAACACACGCGATGAACAGCGTGATTATGATGATAGCATGATCATGGATCGTGAGTGTCTGAGCACCTCACACGATGGAATAGAACAAGATTACAATGGGGCTCGTGGGCCTGGCTATGAGACAGCGACTGGAAGACGTGAGAAGGAGGGCTCATGCTTTACACAAAAGTGTGAGACTGATCGAGCCGCTCAAAAAAGGCGGGCAAGTCGGCGTGTGAGTGTCGGCGAAGCGACGCTGCTTAGGCACCGAAACCGTAGAGAACACGACCCTGGCGCTTGAGCTGCGAGAAAGGTGATGCAGTAGCGAGGGCGTCAGAACATACGAAGGTGACAGAACCGCGGATCTGAAGTGAGACTCACAGCGTAGACGACATCGAGCGAAGTAACAGTCTTGCGCTTGGCGTGCTCAGTGTAGGTGACAGAGTCACGAATGACACCCTCGAGGAAGAGCTTGAGGCATCCACGGACCTCGTCGTAGATGAGACCGGAGATACCTGTTTGTTGTGACGGAGGCGTGCAAACACGGGTCAATACACCGAGAGTCAATGGTAGCAGGGAAGAAACGACGGGGTCCCATCACTCACGCTTGACACCTCCACGACGTGCAAGACGACGAATGGCGGGCTTGGTGATACCCTGGATGTTGTCACGCAAAATCTTGCGGTGACGCTTGGCGCCGCCCTTTCCCAGACCCTTGCCGCCCTGTCGATCGATAAAGTGTCATGTCAGCAAGAAATCGTGATGAGATGTGCACCTTGTGATGATCCTCACCTTTCCGCCTGTGACAATGACGAAGTGATTGGCAACGAGGAATGTGGTGAAAGGTGTGAAGTCAGCATACCGTGTCAGTGCTGAAGGCCTGAAGCTTCACGGTAAAGATCGCCACCAGTCGTGCTAGGCGCGGTGCTGCCCGCACACAATTCCCCCCCTGCCGGTAATCTAGGCATGACCAATCTCGTCCCAAGCAAAAGCAAACGACCTACTCACGACCAGACATGTTGACTTGGAGTGTTGAGGTTGGTGCTGTTTAGTGTGCTAATGCAAGAGACCGCTCCAAGGTTGAGCGATACGAAGTCGATGGGTCGATGCTTGATATCGAAGTCGAGAATGATGTGGTGGTGGAGCTGAAGGCAAGGCTCGATGCGCGCGCGCGATTGCATTTGAATGCGCGCGCACTGTTCGCCCGCGCGGGCTGGGGGAGGTATCAAGCAGGATCGATTTTGATTTGAGATGAAGCCCGTCAGGCAGACCTCCCATGCATGCATGCATGCAAGACTAATCGCGATGCGCAGCAGGTCTGTGTCTGTGCTGCAAGGCGGCGCGCGTCTCGTGTGTACGTATAGCTGTGGCCCAACAGCACCGGCTCGGTGTTCTGGGCCACAAGGGTCGCACACACGCGCGACCAATTCGACGAGACACGTGTCCCCCGATGCCCATCAATCTTGAATAACATGATTTCAAAGCCAAGCTGTGGAATCGCGAATCAGAATAGCCTAGCCGTGACTCACATGAAATCCCAACACCTCGTCGGTCACAACCAGCTATGCATGGCAATCTCGACTCACTGTGAGCACACATGCCTAACGCGCGCAGCAATCGTGGCAGACTTGACCTGACCAATCGCAGCTGTTGTATCAATATGTAGGCGGGGCAAGTGCGTAAGGTGATTTTCCGCGGCTGATGATGCTCTTGATACCTATAGGTGTCATATGAACGGCAAGTTGCATGTACGATGAGCTTACCTTCCTCGCTTCGAGCCAATTTAGATTCAAAAGCTCCATGGAATCGTCACAGCCGCTTCTTGCCCGCTCTCGGTCGCTCAATCCTTGCTCACAAACAACAAAGAGCCGAACTAGATGCCGTGGAAAGGCCATTCAATACAAATCATTCATTCATTTCGTGCTCCATTCTCGATTCTTTGGGATGCTTTGTGAGACGTGTAATGTGCGGTACCGGCGGTATGCCAGTACAAAAAGTGGGAGCGTGTTGAGGGGCAAAGCGGTGCGTCGCGGAGGGCTGGGTGTGCTGGCGACGTCCGACAATAGAGTGGGAGGGTGGACTGATGGAAGATGCCGTGCGAGAATGGTCCTTCGTAATGAAGGTGAAGGATCAGGTAATGCAGGAGATCAGGGAAACGAGACGGGAGACAGGATCTAGAGGCGAAGCAGAGAGGCACGAGAGAGGGAGGGCAGAAGAGAGAATGAGGGAGAGGGGGAGGCAGCACAGCGGCCGTCCCTCGCTAGCGACAGCAGTCGCTTTTTCTATTGTAAACAATGTGTAAGGACGAGGCAGATCAACTAGACTCGTCCTCCTTCTTCTTTGGTTGGGTAAAGCCGACGGGAATGAAAGACCCGCCTCCCTGGCCGCCGCCACCTTCAGCGCCAGCTGCCGATGAGCCGGGCATTCGCGCAGCACGAGGGGACATGAAGCTGGTCTTTGCAGACATGGTGGGCTGGAATGGAGCTCTGCCAGATCTGGGGTGGAAAGTGACGGGCTGAGGAGGCAACGAATAGACGATGCCGAGCTCTTCGCAGACAGTCTTGACGTGGCGCATGAGTTTCGTTCGGCGCGCCCATCTGGCCCCCCAATCCTGCCAGTTGCCCTTGTGTTCCATGGCAATGACCAGCTGCACCGAGTTTTGGTTCGAGATTTGATCGTAATTGACTTCCAAGCCTCCTCCCCACTCGCGATCATTTTCCTTCACAAATTGTCTCATCTTCGCTCTAAATTCGTCGATGAGTTGGATGAGAGTGTCGAAGCCGACTTGGATGAATGTGACTTCCCAAGTCGCACCACTACGCCTCGAGTTGAAAATGTACTTTTGTGACGCGAGCATCGCGTTCGGTGCGACAATGTACTGGTTCGTCACCGTACGGAAGGTGGTGGAAAGCATACCGAAGGACTCGACGAACATCCAGTTCTCATCCACGCAGACGAGGTCCCCGACGTCGTATGGATGAGTTGCGAAGATGAAGATCATGCTCTCGAAGATGGTCTTGGCCGAGTTTCCGAAAACGAACGAGAAGCCAACGACGAATGTTGACAGGGGCACAATGTTCGCCACAGTCGAGTCGCGGTTGAAAATGAGCAGCCAGATGAACACCATGATAATGAGGCCGAGGAACATGAGCACACCATCGAGCTTGCTGACAGCTGAGCCCATATCTCGCAGCGAAACCGCGAGGGCTCGCTTCTCGCGGTAGATGCGCTGCACCGCATCGCGCATCTCCGCCTTGGAGATGTCGCCGTTGTTGTCAGCGTCAAAGAAGCCGAATGCTTCGCGAGCCTCTTCCGTGGTCTTGAAGTAAGGATAAAAATCTTCCGCAACCAAAGAGTCTCGATGGTGGCCCAAATTATAAAACAGCTTTCGGGCTAGCTTGCGGGCCGACTGCTGGGAGCGCGCCTTGCGTCCTTGGAAGAGCCTACTTTTCTTGCCTGCTGCCGTTGTGAGAGCTTCAGAGAGTTGAGATGCAAAATTTGGCCTTCTGCCACTGTGCAGGCCTGTTCCTGCTTGCACATCGAACGTCGGTGTCTTGTTGCCACTGCCGTCTTTGCGGTGCGTGCGCTGAAGAGGGGTCTTGGTGCCAGAGCCGGAGCTGGCAGGCTGTGTGGCAGCGGTACCAAAGTAGCCGCCAGGACCCCCACTACTCTTGGTGGGTCGATGGCCAGGCGTGTTGGGCCCAGGGCTGGCGGGACGACTTCCGAATCCGAATTTGCTCGCCCAGTTGCCAGTCGCTCGGCGACTTTGGTCCCGGCTGCCTTTGACGTACTCACTCTCGTGGAGCTTGTCGAGCGCTTTCACAGCTTTCTGATTGGTCTCGAGGCGATCCGCTACGGCAGTCTTGTGGAAGTTCGTAGCGATGAGGCGCAGACAAAGCTTCTCAACGTAAATGATGACGCTGGAGCCAAAGAGAGCTTGGAGCGTGAGGAAGACGTAATGGAAGTAGGACGGTCGCACCTGGTCGTTCTGGCCGCCGAATTCGATGCCAATGATGCCCCCGAGCGAAATCCAAGCCCAAGCGATACAGAGCATCAGCTTGGCCCAGATGAGAGTGGCCTTGACGACCTCGACGTATTTCTGCGCATCATGTAGGAAGATGAGATGATGAGCCTCACTTTTAAAGACGAAATGGTCCGACTCACCGCAAATGACGCGGGAACTTTGCCCCAGATGGCGGTCGCGATCTTCTCCAGAAGAGTAGGAACCCAGTTCAAGACAAGGAATGTGCCGCAAGCAGCAGCCCAGATGATGGCAACCCAAATGCTCCACACCTCCACTTGCGGGCGAGCTGCGTTTCTGGGGAATGCCGTGAGAACGACGATGAAGGGAACTAGGGCAATGGCAGATCCAAGCAGGCCCAGGATCATGATGCGAATAGGGCGGGCGAGGTTCATCAGGAACATGTAGATCCGGCGACCTCTCTTGGCGCGAATTCTCTTGGTGCCATCCGCCTCAACGACAGTGTCCGGATCGTCCTCGTCGGAGCTCCAATTGAAGTCGTCAGTCTCATCATCCGACGACTCGTCATTATGACCGCCTGCTCCATGGTGAGGGAGTCCGTCCTCTTGAAGGGCGGCGCCTTGAAAGTGGCTCTTTTCAGTGTGGCCATGTCCCTCTGTGTTGTGCGGATGTGGGTCGTCAAGGAGGCGAGAATGCGCCGCATCGTGGTTAGAGGCGGTGAGCCAAGGCAAAGCAAGGAGGTGTGATGATTCGTTCGATTGGTCAGCACCGACCAGGGTGGGATCAGTTGCATCGGTGAGCATAGTCGAGGACAAATTCGCAGCGTAGTCGTGACGAGGCGATCGCGAGGTGTCCGCCGAGTCATCGCCAGAGTTGTCATCATTGAGCAAGCGGGAAGCATGGGTAAGAGCAGTTGGCGAGAGGTCGCGCATGGCGAATGACCCGCCGGACGGAGAAGCCATGTCGGTAAAGTTGAAGAGTATTCGAGACGTTTGAAAGCGAGAACCAAGAGCGTGGATTGAAGAGGGGATGGTACGAATGGGGAGAGTCACACTAGGTCAGCACGCCAAATCCAGAAGCAAGATGCATGTACACCGCGAATTTGCACGAGGGACCGCTGCGATTGCCTCGTGGTAAAGGCAGGTATACTGTGAGTAACGTCAATCAGATTTACCCTGCCGTGCGACCCCTCCCGCCACCCAGCGACTTGATCGAGCGGCCGGCCTGATCTCGCTCTGGCAATTCCAGTTCATGGCAAGTCTTGGCTGCACATGTATGACTGCGCCCGAACAAGAAGGGCTCGGCATTCCGGGCGATGAACGGGCGCCCTCATCAAAGCCTGACAATTGTCCCTCGGCGACCAGAATGTGCTCTTCGAAGAACGTATCCACGATCTCGTAACCGCTTGCACAGCTGTGGGCTTCGCAAGCATTCGGACTCACCGTTGTAGGGATGCTGATGGGCATGTTCGCGACCTCCTACATAAGTATCGAATTTGCCCCAACCTTGTTTCTCATTCTGGCGACTTGCGCTGCTTCCGCTCCCACTAGCCGAAGCCGAGGGTGCGAGATCCTCTTCCCGAGGTTGATTGCCGACATCGTAGCCCTCAAAGTAGTTTGGATTGTCGAAGCCGTGCGGATGGGCGTAATGAGCTGGCGGTGGTCCTCCGAACGACTCTTCGGATGGCTGACGTGCCGGCGCGTGTGGCGGTCGCAGGGAAGAGAGCGGTATGGCACCCGCATCCCCCTCTCGCTGACCGTCCGGGTCAATGGTCGGCACTCGTGCGTGCGACATATTTGTGGATTTGTAGTCAAAAGTCACGCCCCAGAACTCTCGGTGGAGGCGATATCTCCCACTGCTGATCGTCTGCGATACGTGCTGGTGTGGACGCTAGCAGACTTGAGAGATTCCAACCCAGTCGCGAGGAGTCGTCAGCGAGATCACGAGATGTTGAGTGGTTTTGGCTCGTAAGTCATCAACGTTGGTTGTTGCTTTGATGGTAATTGTAAGTCTTCAGGCCGAGCCACACGTACACGTGTACGATTCACCTGTAGCTGTCGGACAGTCGTGAGTTTGATTTTGGCGAAATTGACCTCTGAACTGGCCAAACCTCGGAGATGTGTGGCAGGCAGCAGATACCTGCATGGCATGTATGCGCGACATGCAACGGTGAGCCGTGGAGGCGCATTCGCAGACCTTGGCAGCATGCATGCAGCAGCAGCCGCTCAATCCATGAGAAGCAGCAGCACAGCTAGACCGCTCGCTGCTCGCCGCTCGCCACAGATGCATGCATGCTGGCAAAGGATCTGCAGAACGAAATTCTTTGGTCCCAAGCGCAGCTGCATGGCCACAGTTGTGAGTGGTTGCTGCAGTGCGCGTCTGTCTCATCTCTCTCTTCTGTATCTCGAAACCCGCGCAGATGCACCATCGACAGCTTTTGGCAGAAGTCAAATCGTGAAATTTCGAAGGTTGCAGCAGCAGCAGCTGCTGCTCCTAAGTGGACGTCTACAAGGTGCACTCAATGCACACGCGCGGCCGGCTGATCTTGCCGTTGGCCAAGACGCCGAGGTGCACGGCTCGAATATTCGTGATTCACATTCACGATTTCAATTGAACGCTTTCATCTCGACAAGCACCAAGCTTGCTCGCAAGGCAGGTCTGCCGACTCTCGATGGTCCTGTCAGCCCGCCGAGATCTGTTGGCTTTGGCGGCCATGCACACTTTGGATTTTGATTCATGAGAGAGTAGTGTCTCTTCATGGCACTACGCGAGCTCTCCGTGCGCCTCCATTCCAGCAGTCACAGTGAGTGAGTCCTGATTGATGTCTACCGCTACGTGCGGAGCGGTCTCCTTCGCATCCACCCACCCCTTTTCCGACCCACCGACCGACCATGTCCGCTGGGGCGGAGTGCGAACCTCCACCACATCGAAGCGTGGCGGATGTCAACAGCTTCCCACACCCTTCGTGCCCTGCCGAATACACGGCCTCTACTGTCGATCAACCAAAGGCGGGTCTAGGCTAGATCTGATACAGCGCGCCCTTGCAATTTCGCCTGGGCTCCGGCCGCACCTGGTCGTTGCCATACACGTTCAAATCGCTATTCGGCTGGCGACCTATTTTACCAAGCCCATCACTCATTCCTAAACATACACGATGGATATGGTCACCAGCCAGACTTGCTTCATAATTCACGATTCGTGATTGGTGATGTTGAAGCTATATCGAAAGAAGCGGAGGTCGAGCCGGGGAATAGAGGTGCATGCATCGTACATCCGACGGGAAAGCAATTTGACACGTCATCCAGCGCAAAGCCTGCAGATTCTTGCTTCACACTTTTTATTCTAATCGTGGTGCTTGTCACAGTCATGTGAGCTTCACGACTGCTGACCTTGCTCCGACGCCTAGCCTGTCGAGGCGTGTGTCAGTAAGGTGGGACAGCAAGCAGGGCCACGAGGGAGCTAGGTGACCACAGACCATGCAAGCGAATCGATGAATGATGATGGATATACCAAGCAACCAAATTCACAATTTTGAATTATTAGGGGTCTCGCGCGTAGCCCTGGTTCGCCTCCTTTGACCGACCGAGCCAAGTCAGCTGGCTGCCTGGGTGGAGATCGAGAATCAAAACGCAGACTCGTGACCGATCTGAATGCAGCGATTTCGCACTCCGCCGTGACACGGAGGTCCGGAGTCTCGGCTGGACGAAAAAGCATCGCTAGTCGAGAACATTCTTTTCGCTGTGCGGACGTCTTGGTACTTCTCAGATACTGACAAACCCCAGTCGTCGTCTCGTCGGGAGAGCTATGGTGCTTTTCTCGCCAATAGATGACTTTTGGCGGATCGTGTCCTGTGTCGGGAAACAATGATGACTCGTTCACGAGCTAAAGGAACATCTGTGAAACCTTGCGGCGCACATCGACAGTCGCGAGTCTGACAGTCATTGTAAACGTCAAACGTCATTCCGTGATTTAGATTTTTGTGGCTCGCGTCTGTCAGCGTCCTTGATCGCGAGCCGTGAAGTGTTCGGGTCAACGCAACAAGCGTCTTGTTTGTTCCACCCTGAGCTTTGACAAAGTGACAGTGATGGTAGTGATGAAAGTGCACAGCGGGTGCGCAGCGTCTCTTCCGCGCCATTCAGCAAATTTAATGGTGACTCGAAAGACGCGGTCGAGAAGCAGCGCAACGTTCTGACGCCATCAAATTCGTGCCAATAAGCATTTGGGCCAATCACAACTTTGAACAAAGTCTCTTCCGCCATCATTTCGGGCCAGAGGTGGGCACTGGCCACCCACACTTGCGAAGACGTGTTTCTCCCTTGCCCCTCCCAAGACTCCTGCGAGCGTTGCACGGACGTGTTTGCAAGTGACAGTGCAGTCAGTTCTGGCCTCGCGCGAGGGCCTTGCCAGTCCGAATTATGCTGTGAGACTTGTAGAGCAGGATACACCACAAACCTACAAATACATCAAGTAAGGGCTCGCACTGCCACGAGCTTCAGGCGCCGGACGGTACCTGGGCAAAGCTTTGCTTGTGGGTACCTTCAACAGTGCACCTAGGGTGAGCCCACAAAAGCCAGGGGAAAGAATAATGAACGTCTTGTGCCACAGCAGTCACGCGTTCCCTTATGTCCTGAACAGAAACGTCTTCTGCAAAAGAAGTGAAACGGCTTTTTGTTGGTCATGTCGATCAGGAGTGTGGAATTGCGAAGTCGGCCTTTGGCTCACGCCTCTCGCTGGATGTGACATGAGGACGCCGCTCCGCCGCAGCTTCGGTCGACGCATCTTTGATGGGCTGCTGCAGACGGATATCGGTAGAGATACTTCCGCTGTGGCCTCGCATTGACAGACTGGAGTCTCACCGCCTCTTATTACGAACACGTCTCTCGAGCCTGAGCTCACTGAGCTGTTTATATTTGACAGGTCACCTGAAATTGAAAGACTACGTTGTATGCAATGGTCGGGGGCCATGCATCTACAGTAGCTATTGCCTACCTTGGGGCTGTGATGTCGTGCGCCGGTGATTTCTCGGAACCAATGAGAGAGATCATGTAGGGCCTGCTGATGCGGCGGCTTTTTGTGAATCATACATCGTCAATACGGTCGGAAGCAGAGCTGACCGGCCTGCAGCTAGCAAGTTGTCACAATCGAGTAGTATAGTGCTCATGCAGCATGCAGCTGCATGCTGGGTGAGTCTTGGGAGAGTTACCCCGATCTCGTTCTAGATCTGCAAAACAAAGATTCGTGATTATTATTACTACTACTATTATTGTGCTGGACAATCAGCAGCAAGAAGCAAGAAATAGCAAGCCTTGCTACAGCACGCGAGCATGACAAATTAGGTCACTGATCTATCATCTTCACTGCTCTCGCGCCTTTGCTGGTGCATACTGAGTTGCGCGCGCGACACGATGCACCTCATGATGATGCATGGTCCTGCGGCGTTTCGCGGAGGCGCGCCTATGACACTCTGACTGGTATGGTGCTCCGATTGATTTTTCGACTTCCGGTCATGCATTGTGCTGCGCTGAGCCCCGCCCGCCCACGTCAGCGCATCTACACTCGTGACTTGTGTGACCGCGTACTCCGCCTGTGTATGATGGCCGGGATGGTCTGGATCGTGCGGAGGCCAATTTCTGACTGTACAGGGAGCTGACCAGGGACGCACTGCTTGCTTGCTGGATGCCTGCGCATACGCCTGCCTGCCCCCGCTTCTCTCGTGCGCGTGCGCGTGCCCTAACACCACTTCGCTGTGGTCATCACATGAATCTACACACATCGCACAGCATCGTCCTCAGCCCTTTCTACACTCGCTCCCAAGCCTCGTTTGGCGAGAACGTGATTTCCGAATCTCATAGAGGGAACCACTCACTTCGACGCACGAAAGTGTCTCACCTTAGCACTACTACTACCTACACCGCGTGGCCATTGGCGTCAGCAGAGCTGGAGCTTCCTCGGCCGCGCGCACGACAAATCTCCGCCATCGCGTCCAATCACTACCTGAACGCTGGTCCAGCAATACAGAACAGGCAATTGGTTGCGATCCACTGCAGATACTCGAAGTCATCTGTGCTCACGCACGCTCCGCACTGCCTCTCAAAGCCGAGGGTGCGAACCTCGCGCACGCATCTGAGTCGGGTTCTCACCGGGTCACAAGTCACCCGCTGAAGCCCGGTGCCGCTCAGGGCAAGGCCTAGGCAGGTTGTAATTCATTCTGCCAGCGAGCAGGATCAAGTCATCCAAGCATCGCAGGACTCGCATTCAGGACTTCATTTGCGCCGCCTCTCGAAGTCTCTAGCGCTGATCACGATGTCTTCCGACACTTATAATCAGTCTAGCAACGCTGGTGGCAGTTCGAGCCGTAGAGGTAGCACAATACTAGATGGTGGCGGCGCAGGCATCTCGCGCACTCGAGCAGACGATACAGCTCCTGCGAACTTTGCCGGAGTGGGTGCTCTTCACAGGCCACCCAGCATTGCGCGCATGTCTGGCCCGCAAGGAATCGCAAATGCGCTCGGCGGCTCAGCGACCGGGTCCGGTCGACCTACCAGCGTGAGCATGGTTCAAGCGGCATCGGCTCCACCTGGCGCATCATTGGATAAGTCTCCACTGGCCCGGTACGACGACGAAAGACTAAACGGGATGAGCTCGTCAGCTACGTCAAGCTCGAGCGTTTTTGCGCCCCCGCCCCGGAATCCTGCGAGACAAGATAGCATGGTGGCGGAGAGCGGCCAAAGTCTTGATGCAAGTGCAGGTTCCGAAGGCTTCAGACGGCCTTCGATCCCACCTCGCGCCGGGTCTTCGCCGCTTGGCACGAGACCAGTCCCGCCACGCATAGACACCGCAAGCCCATCTCGCGCGTTCAAGCCACGCTCGCCGACCAGGGATGGCCCGCCCCTCTCAGCCGCCACGCAAGGCACGACCTCGACAGGAACTACAATAGCAACGCGCCCTCCAAAAGATCGTGGAGGATCCGGGCCCACTTCGTCCAAGAGAGATCAAACATGCGATGCCTGCGGAAAGCCTATGACTGGACAGTTTGTTCGGGCGCTCGGAGTCGTGTATCACCTGGACTGCTTCCGTTGCAGGGTAAGTCGAGATCAGAAACAGCTGATCCGCTTCCCCACGGCAAGATCGCCCTGCTCACGTCTGCGCACTCTATGTTCCCTGCGCCATGAAGGACTGCAACAAGGTCGTGGCAGCCAAGTTCTTCCCAGCAACCGACGAAATGGGGCAGTCATCTCCCTCCAGTAACAGCGGCGATGGGCTTGAACGCAAGACTAGCCCCACACAGGCTTCTGGCAAGCTGTTCCCCCTTTGCGAGGTGGACTACTTCAGGCGTCTTGACCTGATCTGTGCCAAGTGCAGTGGTGCACTTAGAGGTAGCTACATCACAGCATTAGGTAAGTAATAGCTACAGCGACAAAGAGGCATGGATGAAGGGTTGCAATGTCGACGGATGATCCTGAACGACCGGTGCTCCTCCCTTTCGGCCTCACAGGCAAAAAGTTTCATGTCGAACATTTCACCTGCTCCGTCTGTCCAACCGTCTTTGGCCCGCAAGACTCGTACTACGAGCATGACGGTCAAGTCTTCTGCCACTTTCACTACTCCTCCAGATTCGCCATCAGATGCACTGGTTGCCGCACTGCCATTCTCAAGCAGTTCGTCGAGATCAACCGAAACAATCGCGATGAGCACTGGCATCCGGAGTGCTACATGATACACAAGGTGAGCCTGAGGCTCATTTGCGTCGTGATGTCATTGCCGCTAAATCGCCACACTTCTGTCACGTGTAGTTCTGGAACATCAAGCTCTGCCCGACAGGGTCCACACCGAAAGACTCCGCCCAAATTGCTGCCGAGCCCACAACTCTGCCCGGAGTGCCAGAGCCCTCCAACACAGGAGTGGCACCTGCATCTTCGCTGTCGTCTTCGGCAGATCCCACACCAGAGGCATTGGAGACCGAGGCGCACGAAACACCAGCGAGTCTCAAGCACAAGCAGCGGCTCATGGAGGAGCAAGTGTATCGCATATGGACCGTGCTCAGCGCCTTCGAGGAAAGCTCGGCTGCTTGCATATCTGACATGCTCCGGAATGTGAGCAGCGGAAAGTATCTGGGGGGTGTGCGCATGGCAGAGCGTTTCATTTTGCACGTCGAAATCCTATTCTCTGCCATCGACGACCTCGAGCGGGAAGCGCGCAAAGAAGGGGCAAAGGGAATATCGCACATCAGAGAAGCACGCATGCTGTGCAAGAAGATCGTCAATTTCTTCTCGCTGCTGTCACATACTCAAGAGACTGGTGCGCAGCGCATGGGCATCACGCAAGAGCTTCTTTCGTTGGTCACAGGCCTGGCGCACTACCTGAAGATTCTAATCAGAATAGCCCTGACTGGAGCCCTCAAGCTTGACAGAGAGTACGATAACAAAAAGGCCATCTCGTGGTTCTTGGATCAACTCGCTTTCCTTGCAAGGGAAGGCCACTCAAATGGCGATGCAGGGTCCGAGAGCGCTAAATCGCCTCGAAGCGCAAGCGGGCACGGTTCGTCCGCAGATCACGGTGACACTGCCGTTGATGGCCGCCCGTATGGATATCGTAGCTTGCCCCGCAGTACTAGCGCCTCAAATAGCGAGGGTGGAGAGAGCGCAACGGACCTTTGCGTAGCTTGTTCGCAGACTGTTGAGGAAGAGTGCGTACGGATGGGCATCAATTTGCGCTGGCATATGAGCTGTTTGCGGTGCAAGACTTGCCGGCGAGTAGTGCATCGAGAGCCTGGCTCCTCGTCCAGGTCCAAGTTGCCAGAACCGGAACAAGCCGCAGACGCACCAGAACCGCTGCCTCTGGGTCACTTCGCGCTCGAATCTGTGAGACGAGGTCTTGAGAACGCAGCTGCTGGTGGCAGCTCCGCAACTTTGCCGTCATCAGGATCGGCCTCTTCTACCGGCTTGCTGCATTCGCCGTTTTGTCCAGACTGCGCACCCGCGAGCGTTCGCCGAGGTTTCGAAGCCGTCACACGGTTGGAGCAGTATGCCTTCTTGCTCAGGGTTGCACTCAATCGTCTGTATGCGCTGCTCAAGAAGCGCGGTGTGGTGCCTGCCTCACCACCTGCCTCACAGCAGGTCGAGCTTGTGCCAGAGACCGCCGCACAGCAAGCGCACGATCTGTACAAGGACGAAGATATCAAGCGTGTCAAACCGATGGGGCTCGATCGCAAGCTTTCTACGAAAGCGAAGGTGCCGCACATGTCCACTGTCGTTGGCAGCCCTTCAGGACAGCACACGCACACGAGTTCTATCCAGCAAAGGGCGTCCCCGACCGAGATCGCGACACAGCAAGCCGAGTCGCGGCCGTCCCTTCAGCAGCCGAGGAGCCCTTCGCCAGGACGTTGGGATGGCCAGCAAAATCAATACGGACCGGGTAGATCTTCTCCGCAAAAGAAGCTTTCTTCTTCCCCGGGTACTTCGTCGAGAGACCCTTCGCCGAGCAGGCAACCGGGCGTGCAGGCGGGGCAAGCCCAAGGCGGTCGGCCACCCGCACCTGTAAATCAGCCGCCACCTGTGCCAGCCCAGCAACATCAGCTCCTGTCACAACAGCAATACCGGCAGCCACACGCACCTGGCGCAATCGTACCGATCAGGCCAGCTTTTGCTCGGCACAACACCGATGTGCGGATTCGAGACGATGGACCTCTGCGTCAGCCGTCTGGCGACGAGGTTGAACCGCACGCGTTGGATGCGGTCACCTTGGCAGACATTCCACAGTTGCTGGAGGCGGAGCAGTTGCGGGAGCAGCGGAGAGCCCTGCCTGAGGGCGTTCGAAGCATTGCTGAGCTCTCTGCGCTTGAGCTGTTCATCGTGAAGCACATGGCGGTCATGATGCTACAGCAAAGCGCATTGAAGGACCTGGTCAATTTGGATGATCTCGTCGACGTCATTGACATGCGCAAGAACACCTTCTGGGGTAAGCTCTTCAAGGGAGGCAAAGATGACAAGAAAGTCAAGAAAAAGGGCGTGTTCGCCATTCCTCTGGAGATCCTCGTCGAGCGGAGTGGCGCTGACTCTACGCTCGGAGCTTCTGCCTCTCAGCTGCGTATTCCTTCCTTCGTCGATGATATCGTCTCCGCGATGCGCCAGATGGACATGTCTATTGAAGGGATCTTCCGAAAGAACGGCAACATTCGACGCTTGGCGACGAGTGCCGAGGCATTGGACAGGGATAGTGCCCAAGTCAATCTTTCAGACGACAACCCAGTGCAGCTTGCAGCTCTCCTGAAGAAGTTCCTGCGCGAGTTGCCCGACCCCCTCTTGACTTTCAAGCTTCACAGGTTATTCGTCATGTCTCAGAAGCTAGAGCCAGAATCGGAACGTCACCGCATCATGCATTTGATCACGGTGCTTCTGCCAAAGCCGCACAGAGATACGATGGAAGTTCTGTTCGTCTTCTTGAAGTGGGTCGCTTCTTTCTCTCACATCGATGAGGAGACGGGTAGCAAGATGGATTTGCAAAACTTGGCAACCGTGCTGGGCCCGAATATCCTGTACTCCAAAGGAACGGACCCTGCCAAGGACGAGACGTTCTTGGCCAACCGTGCTGTGCTCGATCTACTCGAGCACCAGGACGACTACTGGCTCGTGCCCCCAGGTCTGGATGTTGCTCTCCAAGACCGCGACCTGCTTAACAGCTCTGCTGAGTTGACGTCGAGGGACATTCTCAAGAAGTGTGAGAAGCACGCCAAGAGGGTGAGAGCGACGACAGTATCGACGCCGCAGTACACTCGACCGGTCGCTGTTCCAGCTCAAGGCTCGAATCGATGGGGCGATAGCGACTCTCATCGGCACCAGCCACACCTCCATGCGCCTCCGTCCATGAGAGCCGTGGGTCCTGCCGAGTACGGAGCAAGCTACGGACGGTCCCAAGGAAGCAATGGACACGGTAGCTATCCTCGAAGCCCTGTCAGCGACGATCAGCATCATCGCCAGCCTATGCCCTGGAATGCTGCGCACGGCGGGCAGGGCCAGGGCCAGCCACAAGGAGCGACGCCCTATAGCAGCCCATCTCAAGCAGCCCGAGATAGGAATGGAGCTCCGATGGATGGCTCGTTCATGTCTAGCAATTCTTCGCAGCAGCATTCGCAGCAAGGCTTTGCGTCATTTGCCGGACAACAAACGCCAAGTCGCACGGGCACGCCTCACTACTCGAGTCCAGGCCAGAACGACGCGAACGGTGCGGACTATGCGCATCATCCAAGCCCTATGGAGCAACGGTCGAATTGATACCTACAGCTCTCTGCAGCTCGTCTCTACACGAAGTTTGCGTCTTTCCTCGACTGGTCTAAAGATCTTCTATGCCCCATCTCCAGGAATGTGGCCCACCCTTTTCTCATCGTCATGAAACTCGTCTCTGATCTTCTTTCACCTTGCCAAGATTTACAATTTCCATGCCCTCCGTGGCGTGTCCGCAGAGTCTTGCCTCCCTCAACGCTTACATCATCTTCTCGGGCCTCGTTGCAAAAAGTTCTTTTGTCTCCCTCACTCTGCTCAGCTTTTATGCGGCTCCCTTCTTCACTGGCGCGTCAAAGATTTGATATACATTCATTTCACTGTGCTTGTCCCCAATCCCCTTCGGCTCCTAACTTTGTTCTTTCTTTACAAACCCTACCTGTCTCGGTGGCGAAAGCGCCTCTCTACGTCGCTCCGTCGGTACGCTCTTCTTCATGGGGTCACGAATCTTCCCGTCGTCTATGTCAAATGCAACAGATTTTTATCCATCTGTACCTGCACGCACATGACTGCAGTCGCCCTTGTGCGATACGTATCCGCCCCAAGGATCCACTTGTAGATATCTAGCCCTTTCTGCGCGCCTGCGCGGACGCCTTCAGTGACTGAGAACACGTGTGTGACAGCATTTAAAGTGCGGGCCAAGCTGGATTGTGGGAACACATACGATGATTCAGACTGCCGGCCAATGTAACCCGTTCATCAACCGAGGCACGGGTGATGGGTGCCTCGGTAGGGCGACGAGCGGACAATGATTTGATGTTCAAGTCGAGCGTTCATTCTGATGATCTCATCGTGCTGCAGCTAGCTACATGAGAATGGATCAAGGAGCAAAAAAAAGGGGATGGAAAACTGGACAAATGATGGATTTCCCCCTTCCCTCTCCTGAACATTCTCTGCCAATCCCTCCACTGATGCTCGTCTCCGCACAGACCAGGACAACCTCGAGCGGAAACGAAAAGCGGGGCTCATGTTGTAGCCTGCGCACTCTTGCTCTGCAATCTCCACCTCCTCAATTGACCCAGCGCTTCCTTACCCGTAAGAGTGGCCACAACTCCGCCTAGCGCTAACCAAGGCAGCATTTCGAATAGGGTCAGACTCCACCAGTACACGGCTGCCAGGCTTTCCAGGTAGCAGAGCGAGAGGAGCAGGGCGATGATGGAGAGGCTTGGTGCTTTGAAAGAGAGGGAAGGGAGCAGGATGGACAACTGTTCGAGTTCGCGTCGCGCAGCGCAAGCAATACGAGAGAGGGAGAAAAAGAAAATGAGAGTCGAAAAAATCAGCAGTCGGGACCCGATGTATGGCAAGGAAAAAGATCGCTCTTGATCATTGGTCGCCCAACTCACTAATCCCAGCAGTACTGTCCAAGGAACGATCAGAACCGCACCGGCCCAAATGGCGCTCAAAGATTTTGGAGGCATCGAATCTGCCGCTGGTTTGCCGAAGGTGTGGAAACGAGCAGGCCAAGGTTTGAAGCCTTGTTCCTGTTCGAGGCGAGCCCTTTGAGTCAACTGGGTGGAGGTGGTGGGCTCTGGACCTGGGAGAAGCAAGTCTAGTAGGTGCAGGTTGAGAGGGTCGAGAGAAGGGTCGGCGCTGCCTACGAGGATGGATACGGTGATGCTTCGACCCAGATGAGACAATTTGTCGGGTTTCTGCGCGTGAAGAGAAGCCCCGATGTGAGTCTCGAGCCTGATACTCGTTGATGCATGGAAGATTTCCGCTTCCCAGAGCGAACGTCTAGTGTAGTAGTTGCCGCTCCCTGCGCACTCAAGTCGAGATTGCTCACCAGAGAGTACACCGCTTTTCCTCGTTTGATCGCTACGGCATTGACAATGCTCTTTCGTTTATCGTCGTCCACCTTGACAGCTACTTGATCAGGTACAGCCACTTCTCCATTCGCATCCTTGACGGAAAAGGACAACCTAAGAATTTCATCTGCGGCCAAATTCTGTCTTTCGAGCTTAGGCGTCGAAGTGGCTGTGAAACTGATGACGTGAATCGTGTGGGGTTGATGAACAGAATTCAGACAAGAGTGCGGGGCTACAAAAAGACGAAGAAGCACAGAGCTGGTCAAGCTTGCACGCACCTTTCTGAAAGGCGCGTCGAGCCTCCGTCTAACGAGGTGATGCTCAGCTTGGCATCGGTGAGCGTAAAGGAAGCGCCGAGTACGCAAGTTGGAGCTAGAGCTGCTAGAGCAGCCAGGGTGTGGAGCCGCAGTAAGCGCATACTATCGCCCTTGATCCTCAAGATGACCGGTCGGATCGCGCTGCTCGTACCGCTATCGGCCCTGTACGCTTTCCAATGTCGGCACTCAGCACCCCAGATCGAATGTATAGCCGGGTGCGAGGTTTTGCAGTCACCTATGGAAGGCCTGAGGCTGAGCAAGCCCAGTTCTCGTAGTACGTCCAAGCTAGGCTCGCTTGGTGTCTTTTGTAGGAGTCTGAACTTAAGTCAGAGGGTCGTCGCACGAGCTGTTGTCCTGATACGGATGGCGAATGGGCAAGATTGGGTCACAGTGGGTGCGAGCAAGATCTGCGACTCGTTGAGCGTCGAGTCAGAGTGAAGTCATGAGTGGAGTCCTGCGAACGCAACATGGATGATGGAGCTTCCAAAATGCGGGCAGATGAGGCGCGTGCGCGGTGCGTCGCATTGCCTTCCAGCAAGGCGCCCCCAGGAGTTATCGGCCGATGCGCATCGCTTCACGTGACTTGTTTCGCATCGCTCACTCGCCCGCCGCGCGCAAATGACCTCGATTACTGCGCGCGATTCAAGATTCGCAGCTCGAGCAGCGCGATGGCGCGAGCGATGTGAAAGGTGAGCTGGACCGCGCGGCACGCGGGATGAGCCACTCATCATCATCATCAGCGCAGAATGCATGCTGCAGGCACATGACACCGCGGCGGTAGGCGGTGTGATTTTGCTGCAGCAAGCCTCGCGACGATCTACGATTTTTGATTGTAATTTGAAAGCCGCGTGAATAAGCTATCCCGGTATCCGGTACCTATATATGCTGCAAGGCCGTGTGTCGTGCAGATGGGCTGTGTTGCATTATCTGACACCAAAAAGGATGTCACAAATCGAGAAGTCAAGACGACCCGCCCGCCCTCTGACTTCTGACTTCGGAGCGCTTCGAGATGGGTATACATAGTCTCGAGTGAATGAATATACCACTGTTCGCCTTCTCGAGTCATCGCCAATCGTCGATCAAAACGGCGCGACCTTTTGCCTTGATGTTCGATCTTGCAAACAGGCATCGAAAGCGACAACCATCCACACATCCATCTGCAATCGCTTCGTGACAATCACAATCTACATGTCTCCGATCAAGACTTGTTCTTCTTGAGCTGATCGACTCAATCGGCAAGGGGTAGGAACGCAAGCTGAGGAAGCGCCACGCGAGGTCTAGATGTAGCTTGCACCTTGCACGATCGCCACTCACCACTTCGATCTGCCAAGCCCCATCCCGCCCGGCTCCAAGCCCTTCATCCTGATTCTCCTAGAGGGCCCCCACAAATTGTGCCTCAAGCGTTCTTCAAGATATCATCTCCGCCACGATGTCCATCGCAGCGCAGATCAATGACACTCGGCACGTACGGCACGTAGACGCTGGTGAGGCGAGCCAAACGAGCACTCTCAGCGCTGCGACTTTCATGAGCGCACTGTCCACCTTTGAGGATCAAGAGCAACATGCGGGCGCAAGTGACCAGCAGGTGGACGAGTGCGCCTTTGGGGCTGGATCGGACGACGTTCAAAACGGCACGCATACACCCAGAGCACCTTTGCAACATGACGCACTCGTCCCCTCGGCTTCGAGGAATGGGGACAGCGCAGTGCAAGGAGGTGCTGACCCTCGACTTCAAGATCAGATTGCAGCAGAGCCGATGCGCACGACACCGCTACCGTCAGGAACATCCGCTGTCACCCATACAGCCATACCCACAGCCACAGCCTTGGCCTCCACTCCTGCCGCTTCGACGTCCACTCTGCTCTCTGCCAGCCACACCTCTAGGTCGGGCAGTGCCTCTCGAGGACGTTCTCGGCGCGCTCGAGCCTATTCCAGCTCTTCACTTTCCACCCTGACTCGTCGACGTGCGCGATCGCCTTCCCTAGGTTTAGGGCTTTCTTCTCACATTTCTAGAAACTCTTCGTTGGCTCCATCCGAAGAGTTGCCGGGATACACGGCGAGAGGAGCTGATGGATTGCCAAGGTATAGCCATAGCGATACGATCCGCTGGGAAGTCGGGCCGGATGATGGAAGCAGTGGACAGCGAAGAGAAGATATGGAACCGGGCCATGTGTTTGCTCTAGCTAGACAGGCCGGATCTAGAGTTTTGCAGCGCGCGGCTGTTGTGGCGGGAAGCAGATTGGGACTGGGACCTAGAAGAACATCGGCGTCGGATCAGCATGCGGACTCCGCTAGCAGATCCCTTTCAACCTCCAACCCTTCCCCATCCACTCCGAGTCAATCAAGACACAGACCAACAAACGTCAGATACGTCGTGTTTGTACCTGCCCAATCACGAAATGGTTCTTGCTTTGGCGCCAACAATTCGAGCTTGCGAGTAGCTGTACCTGCTCACAGGGTCGTGTATGCGCCTCTAGACTCGCGCAGGCCCACACGCACCAACCCAAGATCTTCCGATCAGGTTGCGGGTTCCGGGATAAGGGGGGAAGGCAGCGCATCGCAGAGCGGATCCACATCCACGAGTCGAGCATCCAGCGTTCGGGAAGAAGCGGTGCTGAATGCTAGAGCGGCTCAGCTCGTCGCGCGCATCAAGGCGCGCTTACGATCTGTTCGAAGTCCAGCCAAAGAAGAAGAAGAAGCCGATCCAAGCTCGGCCGCGATGATGAGCGCTGGTACGCCCGACGTTGTGCTGCGGGAGCATGGCGAAGCGAGGACCGCACCTGCTTCTATGCACAACATCACACCGCTCCCGACGCCCCAAATGAGCAGGTCAAATAGTCGGACGGCTGAGAATGTCGGACGAGCGTCCCGAAGATTGTCTAGCGACGCTGCGGCCAGTAGATCCTCTTTTCGACCCAGGTCGAGCAATAGCGTATGGGGCGACGCGGCAGGTGCGGCCTATCGAGCTCGACAAGAAGCTGCACTTGCACAAAGTTTTCAAAATCGACGAGGGTCGCGCGAGTCTGCTTCGAGATCGTCCAATGGAATCGTAAGACCCACGATGAGCAATAGACCAGCTACCAGTGCCGGTGAGGTGAGCCTCAATCATAATATCAACCACAGAGTGGTCAACGACAGCGAAGCAGAATCAGCTTCTCAACTTGAACTCTCCTCACCTTCTTCTAGAGGCCTAGGTCCCGGAAGATTTTTACACTTTAGACGTCAGAGCCAGACGAGCTTTCCCTCGACATCCACATCATCTTCAATAGCTCCGCTTGGCGAAAGTAGAGCACCGGCTCCAGCACGTTCGCCGGCTGTCGTACTCGTATAATCCTACCGTCATTCCTGCGCTTACTTCTTTCTCCCCCCCC